CAATCTATAATACTAGATTATAATATCTAGTTTAATCTTGGTTATAATCTAATTCTAATTAGCTATCTAATAATTAGTTATTAATCTATCTTATATTCTAACTTATAGGTCCTTTTAGCTATTCCTTAGGCTAACTCATAATATAATACCCCTTCTTTAAGGCTCTTTAACCTAAGAGCTTTAATATACTTTAAATACTACTAATAGCCTATATTTATAAGTATTAGTCTAAAAAGTCCTAGGAGTATATTATATTTACCTCACTTATTAACTCCTCTAGTATTAAAACTATACCCTGCTCCTAGTATTTTAAATATAACCTTATATATTATATTTTATAAAGTTCTTCTTACTATAGTAAATATATCTACTATAGTTAGTCCTATAATAGTTCTAATATTACTTCTATCTATTTATATCTTTACCTTTTTTCCTAGGTTTTACTAACTTATAGCTTTTAATAATAAAGATCTTGTCTAAATAGAAATAGGTAAAGTAAGAAGAGGCTAACGTTAAAGAAGCTCTATTTATACTTTAGACACAGCTATAGATAGCTATTAGATATTTAGCCTATCTTTATTACTAAAAATATATCTTAGAGGAATAGGGTTTTAAACTATTTTATTAGGGAATATAATTATTAGATAAAATAAAAGAGGAGGATAAAAGGATATAAATATTTAAGGACTTTATAGTTAGTAATAATAGATTATTTAATATAGATATCCCCTTTAACTAGTCTTCCTTAGGGTTAGATCTATTAAAAGCTAATCTAGCTATATTAATACATCTATCTCCTATACCTCTTTAAAATAAAGGTTTATAATTAAGTTTTCCCCTTTTAAATAAATATTCCTTCTTTATTTCTTAATAAATAAAATAATTATATAATATAATAGTAATATATATATATATATTATAGGACTTCTTTAGACTTATAGTAAATCTAAAGGAGCTCTATTATATTAGATTATAGGTTTAATCTCTACTATAATCTTATTTTTTTTACTGATTATTATTCCCCTAGTTCTTTTTATATATCGTTTAATAATAGCTTTAACTAATCTTTTCTATAAGGTAATTAAAGTATTAATAATAGAAACCTTATAAGTTCTCTAGATAATTAACCAAGTTTTCTACTAACTATTATAAGTTATTATTAAATCTAAAGTCTAGATATTTAACTAAATATTCTAATTATCCCTTTATAATCCTTAAATTAAATACTTCCTTTATATCCTACTTTTCTTCTTTATCCTTTATTCTAATATCTGTATTAAGTTATAAGTTCTTTAATATTAGTTCTAATAGTACTATATAAAAACGTTCGTTCTTAGCTTTATAGTTAATAGAAGTATAAGGGTATAGTTATTCTCTAGAATCTTTTTATTAATTTTAAATAACCTTATCTTCCTAAAGTTTAACTTTAGGAAGATTATTTAGTCTTAAGATTTTATAAACTATAGTAAACTTTATCCCCCTTTTCTAGGTAAGGTTCTATAAGTTATTCTATTATCTAAATCCCTTTATAAGATAAGAAATAGATCTATTTAGTAAGTCTATCTACTATAGTAAAAATACTATTATATTTTACTTAGGTTATAAGGTCCTTAGACTCTAGTAATTTAATAATAAGGTCTATTATTATTAAACTCTATAGTTGTTTAATGGTAGATAATAGTTATAGTAGCCTATAGAGTTTATATTATCCTGGTTTACTCTATTTATAGAGGTTATATTTATTAATAACCTCCTTAACCTATTCTTTAAGGTATAGAAAATTATAGTATTACTTAATCTTAATAGCTGTTTTTCTAATTCCTAATAGATAGAGGAAGGAATATCCCTATAACTGTTTATAGAATACTGTACGGTTTTCAGGGAAGAAAGGGGAGGACGAGAATTTCAGAGAACTATTACCAGTAGAGAATAGGCTGACTAGGAAATAGACCTAGAGGTCAATACCTCTAGCCTATAACTAGATAGAACGAGGCTCTACTATTATAATAAAGCCTATATCAGGACTTATAATCAGAAAGACCTTATATTCGAGGTATACCAGTGTCACGGACTGGGCTGCGGAAGGCGGCCCGTGGCACATGCAGGTGGGGCGTAGGACGTACCACCAGCCAATCACTTATATAACCAATCAGGAGAGGCTCGACAGGATCTCTTTGAGATCTATAAGAGCCAATACCAGGATCGATAAAGAAAGGCTGAGAGCCAATAGGCTCAATGGGATCTTGTTGAGATCCGTAAGATCCAGGTACGGAGGAATAAAGAAGTTGTAGAGTATATAAATAGCTAGCTAGTCACTCGTTAAGGGAGTCTGGGACTTCCTCAGTAAGTAATATAACTTGTTCGCTACTAATTACTATAAATATTAAAACCGGATTATTATCTTATTATAATATAAACCTTTTAGCTTTGCCAAATTATAACCCTAGTTATCTTACCTTTAGTAAACCCTTATACAGTATAGTTAAGACGATTCATCATATATTATTTACTCCCTTTATTTCTATTATAGTTTAGACGAAGGTATCTAATACTATAAGCGCCGAGATTACTATAACTAAAGACGGATATCAGGTTCTATAAACCGACGTAGAGGCTAGGACTATATTCGTCACGCTGTAGAAGAAAATCAAGGAGCTCGAGAATAAAACTAAGACCTAAAAGGGCTAGCTCTCAGAGTACGAAGATAAGGTCGACGGTATTTAGAGGGCTAAGCTTAAGATCGAGGCCCCTAAGAAGTTCAATGGAAAGAAGGAGGACCTGGTACAATTCCTTATAGAGTTGACCTCTTATATGGAACACTACGATGACCGATTCCCTGATAAAGGAACCAAGACCTATTATATAGCTTTAAGGCTTACCGGTCAAGCTGTATAATAGTTTAAACCGACGTTCAGCGACTACATTATATATAAGGATATTGATAATACCCTACCATTTACTTAGAAGGTTTTCAACAACTTTGGTAACTTTAAGGAGGAACTATATAAGGTGTTCGGCGACTAAGACGAGAAGGTCTACGTCTAGGTCTGACTCGCCTGACTTCACCAGAGCAAGTCTGCTGCGGTATATGCTACGCTGTTCCAGCAGGATGCTATTTGGGCTAGGATTAATAAAGACGGACTGATGTCCTTATTCTACAACAGCCTGAAGGAGGATGTGAAGGACGAACTCTATAAGGAGGACCGTCTGGATAACCTAGACGAGTATATCGCCAAGGCTATCTGTATCGACGACTGCCTTTATACCAGGAAGCAGCAAAAGAAGGGACAGCAGAAGCTGGTGGTCGGAGGGAACTATACTAACGAAGGGAAGAAGCAATAAGGAAGCACGGCCCTCTTTAATTAAGGTAGTTTAAAGGAATATACTATTCTTTAAAACCTCCGACTATTAATCTTCCTTTATAGGTCTTTAATCCTTATTATTTATTCTTTATCCCTAATTAGCTAAATTAGCTCGATACTTTAGGGTACTTCTATAGTTAAGGCTATAATAAAGACTTCTTCTTATATTAGTAAAGCTAGACTAACTTAAGGATTATGAAAGGTTTTGGATCCTAAAAGAGAAGGGCTTAGATCTATTCCTTTAGCCTTCTTAGCCTTAGCTATAAGGAGGTTTACTATCTTTTAGGAAAGTATATTAGTAATTATATTCTCTTTCTTTAACTAATAGATCTAAGTAATATAGAAGTTAATAAAGAAGTCTATTTAGTTAACCTAGTAAACAGAGAACAGATATTTATTTAAGAAGTAGATTAAAGCCTTATAGTTAGTAATAACTATAAACCTTTATTCTAATAACTCTAATTTAAAGTAGGTTAAAGTCTAACTATTAATAGCTTTTAATCTTAGATTAGATATGTTTATTCTATTAAGGTTATAGTATTATTAATATAACTAGTAGACTTTTATATAACCCAGGGATTATTCTATTACTAGTGAATAATATTAATAATAGTATTCTTTAAAGTATTAGTCTTAACCTTAGTTAAAAGCCTTAGATAGAAGAATACTATTATAGGGGCTATCATTATTAGTTATTTAAATATTTTAAAAGCTTAGATCTATTTTAGTCTAATAGAAAAGGGGGTGTTCTTCTTTAATAACTAGTTTAAAGGGTTAATATATTTATTAGTATAGAAGTAGAATGTTTAAATACAGTTATATAGGCCCAGAAAAGAGTAGACTATAGTCTTTAAGTTTAACTCTTTAATCATCTAACTATTAATTACCTTAATCTTAGCTAGGTTAATATAGATACCTTCTTTAGTAATTATAACCACCTTTATATAATTAACCTTAGTAAATTATAATTTTATAATTTCTTTTTCTTTCGTCACCCCAGATATTGTGTAAGCCAGTCTAATTAGGGCCCCTGCTATATATACTAAGAGGGAGAGGAATTCAAGAATAAAATCAGGGCTGGCTAAGGTATTCTCTTGTATATGTAGTTGTCTTCCTATAAGCTTCCTCAATAGTATAATAGAACACCGATCTATATCCTACACTGGGACCAGTTCCTTACATTTGGTTTTAAGGTCCTTATTCGAGGTACTTTGTACAGTTCGGCCCATTCTGATTGGAGTCTATAGCATAGGCCCTGAATGACAGACTTATTGGTATTGAGGGACCCGGGGGTGAGCGCCCGGGGTTTCTCCGCTGCCTTTGCAGTGACATTCAGCGTTCTCATGGTTTCGTCCATACAAGCCATTCCGAGTCATAGCGAATACAGACACTGTGTTGTAGGACGAAGCACGCGCCTTATAATCAGGGCCACGATCATCTTAAACACACGAAATCCTCTTCCACATCTAATGCTTATACTCTTTCCACTTGACTAGTCCGGCTCAACAAGCCACTATTTTTCATTATTATTCGAGATTAACCTTGCATACACCGACAAAGACTTCCAAACCGGGTAGCATTTCCTGTAGCAAGTTGCAACAACATGGGCCAACAGCGTCGGGAGTCGACGATTCGGTCATGTCGCCGCTTCAAGATGTACAATCCGCGTCTCTATTTTTGCGCCTTCCCCAAGTGATCCGACATACCATCTACTGTTTTATGGGCGTCGCATCAATTGGCAACACCCCTTACATCTTTGACCTCCATGACTTCGGTCGCCAGTTCCTGTTCGACAACAACGACCCATCGCACCTGGGAGACTTCCACGGCCTCCTTGTTTCTTGCCGGCAAATCCACATCGAAGTGGCCGCCCTCCTTTTTTCCGCCAACTTCTTTGTCCTTCACTTTGGCGACACCCAGTACTTTGCACCCCTGTACGTCTTATCTCCTCTGGCCCTCTCATCTCTAACTGGCCTCAAGGTCGTTCTTCATCAGACGTCCTGCCATCAACGGGTGCGAGATTGGGGGCATTGTGATTGCTGCGTGGATATCCGTTTAGGCAGCTTCAGTTCGATTTGCCACACTGGGCATAACCAACTTCCACTGCTGAGCCCTGCTCCGCCTTCCGGCGGCGATAGTGACAGCAGTGACGACAGTGACGAGACTGACGACACGGGTTCTAACAAATTTCAAAAAAGTACACTGGAAACCGATGTACAATTCATAGTACGGGAGTGGAGTGCGGTGGTCGAGCATATCGCCCCCCATATCTCGTCAAACCGTTTAAACCTCAGCATTGTTTGCGACATTGATCCCCAACATGAAACCGCTGTCGGTTTAGCCACCTCGATTCTGGAACCACTTGGCGCCCTACCGCAGCTTGAGGACTGTAATATCCGGCTGAGCAAGACACCAGACTCGCGGCTTTTTCGGATGCCACCCAACAAGCTCGACAAGTTTCACTGCCGTCCTACCTCAAGCCCAGCCCGGAAAGAGCTACCTTTGCCACGCTCCTACGCGAACTACGCTTTCGAATATTGGAGTACACAGACTTGATTACCCCGAGCAAGGAAGTCTGGTGGAATCGACGCGAGCGTAAATACTCGTGGTTACCTCTCCCAGTACGGACACAGTGCTTGGAGAGCCCATTCAACTGCTATTTTCCCGAATGCAGAAACCAAGGCACTTTCACATTCTACCTTACTGGAACCGGGTCGCCTGCGGGCTGTTTCTGCCGCCGCCGCCACGCTGCCTTCTCGGCGTCCTACACGTGCTGGCTGCCTCCTGGCCCGACCCTCTTTCTCATCTCTCGTGCTGTACGTAAAGATGCCCAAGCTGTTTTCTTTTCAGAAAATCGGGTTGTCATCCACGATTTCACAATGTCCCGTACCGTGGAATTTTTCCGCAGGGACCGCAGGTGGGACCTCGAGGATGACCCCGAACTTCCCGTTGATATCAGCTATCCACATCCACGGCTCGGGGTGTCCGAGTTTCTGCACGACGTGATACCCCAGGACTGCATCGCCTGTCCAGGTTTTATGCTGATTTTACCTACCCGTGGGAGTGGACAGCGGAGACGCAGGGCAGTTTCCACGACAACAAGACGCGCTATGATAAGGTTGAGAGGAAGAAAATAGCGTTCGACGAGAGCTTGGAGCGTCGCGTTTTGGGCAGTCGATACGAGAAAATGTACGCGCGATGGGGAAAGGCCCCGAGCTATAGTTTATGGCAACATGGATTTTGCTGTCATGCGTGATTTGTATGTGTAGGCACCTAACCAAGCTGGCCGGACTTGATATAGTTGGTAGTTCTTCTTGATCATGGACATTTGATGAACTGCGCCTATCGGATCCGGTACCTAGCCAGTTTATAATTGGAAATCAAAGATATGAGACTTCGGACCCATGGTCAGGGATGCAGATGCAATCTTCTCTTTTCGCCTTCTTGCTCCAGTATTCGAGGTTGGATAGCGCCACCTCTTTCCGACCAGGGAGGCTAGCATCATAGTAGGTAGTTATACCGATGTGACAGCAAGCCTGGTCAGAGAGAATTGGTATGGCCCGTGGGTAAAGTTGACAAACAAACATGGGTGAGTACGGGAATTCAAGTTGCACTGAGCCTTCGAACATGAATCAATTAAGCGCCGGACCTCAAAAGAATGGCTGGAGTATATGCCCGTACCTTAGTGATTAGTTGGAGAAAAATGCAAAACGGGAACTAAATCACCAGGTGTTGTAACAGCCTAATTACTTCCCACCAGCAATAACGAACATGTCACAGGGAGTACGACGATGGCAAAGGCTCTTTTTTTTGCCATCGTTAGCCGTGACTGGCAAGTGCTTATCCTGCTAATTAACTGTAAATCAAGCCGAAGCAGCCCCCAGGGCCTCCCTTCGTGACTTGCTGTTAGGGTCGAAGTAAGGCCTCTCGCCCAGGCCAACAGCACGGTTCCCAAACCGCTCGCCGTAGTTTCCATCGAGGTAGTCAAAGGTGGCGGTGTGGAAGACGGAACGGTTGTCCCAGATGGCTGCATAGAGAAACGTTGGTTAGCCCCATCGGTTCGCCCTTGAAAATGCGGATAATGCTACCCATAGGCAGTCGGTGTGATGCAATGAACGGGACTGGAAGCACTTACCAATGTCGTTGGAGTTCTTCCACTTGAAACGGACCTGCAGCTCATGGTTCTTGTGGACGAGGTCAAGGAACCAGTCGAGGAGATGCTTGCTCTCGTCCTCGGTCACGCCGTTGATGTGACTGACATGGCCACCGACCGGGAAGACACTCTTCCAACCGGTGACAGGGTTGGTGCGGATCACGGGGTGGACGGCCTTAAGCTCGCTGCCGATGTTTTCGGGGGCGCCACGAGGCTGCTCGTACAACTTGAAGCCGGAGTTCTCGGCGACCTTCTGGAAGCCCGGCTGCTCAAAGGTGACCGTTAGGCTCTCGAGGAACTTCTGATACGGCTCGCTAATACGGTCGTAGATCTCGTAGCCCGAGGCCCAAAGGGTGTCTGTCATATAACTACGAGTAAGCTTCAGGCTGGATAGGATTTCGGGCACACAAAGGACCACAAAAAGAACCACATACCTCCTCCGGTGGTTGGGAGGTCGACGAGGCGTAGCGAGGAGAAATCGGCCGGGACCGGCTCAAAGGCAATATCGCTGTGCCACTGGGCGGTGTTCTGCCTCTTGGGGCTGAGGGTGTCGGCCACCGTCTTGCGATAGAACTTCTTGTTCTGGACGGAGCTGATGGTGCTGATCTCGTTGTCGTTCCCGCCGTTCTCGCGCTCTGAGTTGAGGAGGGGGTGGATGTGGAGTCCGGAGGTCGCGGGCCGACCGGTCAACTCGCCGAGGCGTAGGATGAGCTTCTTCTGCAGATCATTGGTGAGGCCGTCCTGGGCACGGAAGAAGACGACGCCGCGCTGGGCAACTGTCGTTCAGTCAGTCCTGGTATGTTCGTCCTCTACTCGTTCTTTGGCTCTCTGGACTTGGCCGACTAATTACTCACTAGTGATGGCGAGATCTCTGATCAGCTCGTCCGAGTTGGGGGCATCGAGCCACTCGGCGAGGTTGGCCGTGGGGAATTCTCGGCCGATGATGGGAGTGACGTCGAATGATTCATAGGAATCGAGCACGCCAGATAGCTTGAGGGGCTCGCGGGACGCGCCCTTGGAAACCACCGGGACTTCGATGTCAACCGCCGAAGGAGCCATGTCGTTGTTTGATTATGCTGCTAGAGGGTCTACGTCTTGAAGCGGACGATGTGTCGAGAGCTGCCGTATAAGCCAGTCAAGTGTGCTTCTGAACTGGAGAGCACATAGCCATTGGAGAGAGGGGGCAGCTTGTTGTTTTATAGAACCAAACATGAAACCGCGTCACTGCCAGCTACCCGGCGAGTCAATTTCGTATTATCCATTACGCACGCGTTGCCCTCCTCCTCGTCGTATCTGCCGACCCCGCGTTCCCCGTTGAGTGCCCTGCGCGGGGGAGTTTTGGCTGAGAGAGCCCTCCTCGGCAGCGAGTTATCGAATAAGAGGGGCTTGGGAGTATGGCGAGCTCCGGGTCGCACATTTCGCCATGCGTGTTAATCGGGTATAGCACGGGATGCCACCCTCAACCCCCCAAGCCGTTTGCTCAGGAGATCCGGGCGAGATTCACGGAAGTGCGGCCGTGTGCGGGGGGACGGGTTGCCGCCGGCTGAACCGGCAGGCAAGTTTGCGGACGGTAGCGTAAGATGCGGCGACATCGGAGGTATAAGCACCGCTGCACCGGCACTGCTCATCTCGACCTCGGCGACCGGCTTTCTTCTTTCTGTTCTCCCGGGGGGAGGTGTGGTGATGGCGCCATACCTAGCCCCCACGTCCGCTCCGTGTTCTGGGATTCCTTCTCTGGGTTATCCCCGCCCCGACTAGCCGTTCTGTGGTTCGCTTTCGCTTGGTAGTGTAGAGACCTCGAAAACCGTGCCTGCTTTGGCTGGTCCCAGTACCGGATGTTGCGGAGATAATGCATGTTCAAGGCAAACCGGCAACGTGGGTGGGTGGGTTGTGCGATTTGAGCATGGCCGGGGATGGCGCCGGCACGGTTGGCGATGCCGCCATTTAAATAGCACCGTTATCCGGCATGTGAACTTGCTCTCCATTGGCCAATGGCGTTCTCGGCATTCCAAGTAACCAGCAGTTGTGGAAAGTCGCGTCAACCGTTGGGTCGAGCACGTTTCATCACGTCATTGATTACGAGCTCCTGCAAACGTTTTCATGATTGGCGTGGAACAGGGGAAGAGTGGGGGAAGAAGCCGTTGGGCGACGCCAACAACACGGACCCGACCGATACCGAGGCCACGATACCAGCGCGTGGGGTATTATTGCCTTTGACTGATCGTAGCGTAGCGGGGTACTGTTATCTTAACCGCTACTTCAGCCTCACACGGTGTTCTCTACATGGTAGTCATCATCGCTTGCTTCTAGCCATCGAACACCCGGAACATCGGCTCTGACTGCCCCCGAGGATCTGGTCATCCGGCCTTGGTACCGGCCTATTGCTGGGGCCGACTTCTGCTTCCCCCCCTTTTTTCAGTAATCAGACAAGGAGGCCGTTACTCTGGGTGTGATTTGAATTAGTGAATAACGGGTGTTGATTCCGCCCTCTTCTAGCACGAAGACCAAGAGACGCAACGTTTCCATACGTACCTGACCTTACCTAGGTACCTTAGCTTTGAATTCCTCAAATGATGGGGACACCCCTGGCTGGCGTCCCGATGACTGCCAATCCCTCTTGCTCCCTGCTAGTAATCCCGCCAGCCACGCGAGCGGTCACGAACGCATCCGTTGTTAAGACGCGGCCCCGGGAACTGGTAACCAGTAAAACTCGTAAAGCACAACGTTGGTGTGGGGTTTACATGAACTAATACGTGAAATCATGACCGAGATAAGGGATCCAGGGCACCGGAACCTTGCCCGGCAGGCCAGGTCACATTCGGAATCCTGTTCTGCATGTACATAGTATTGCATTCTCCCTCTTCGATAGCTCAGGTCTCGGCCGACCAAGCTCGCGCTATTCAAGGCGTGATCTGAGGGGGCATGTGCGTAATGAAGCCCCATCACAACTGTCTGTTGGCCCTGATAGCGGCGAGGGAGCTGTTTCTCGGCGTGGCATGCTCGGGATAGACTGTATAAAGGGCAAAGAGACCGTTGGAGAAATGAACTGCAGGTGAACAAACTGAAAAAAGAGAAAGAAAAAAGAGAGAACACCCCCTTGGACGGGATCGCCACCAAACCCAACCTGTTCTTCGTTTCAAGCGCCGTCGTCTCCTTAATGCTTTGGATCACACGTCTTTGTCTTAGACCTTGTTTCCGCTGTTGACGACACCAATGGCCACCATCGCCGCCAAGGACCAGGTACGGGTCACCCAGACCGAAAGGGACCCCGAAACCAAGCTGGGCCCCGAGAGTTCTACCACCTCTGTGAACACCATCCCGCCACTTGGGGTACCTCGACAGGAGAAGCGGTTCTGGTTTCAAAGGACGGCAGAGTACGACGCCGACGCCGTCGCCACACAGCCCAGCGTTTTTGACGACCCAGACACAGCGAAGAACTACCTCCCACCACCGGAATGGTAAGCTGCCCTCCATACTGCCAGGGAGATCTACCTAGCTAAGATCAGTGGCTGACTGCCCGATGGCGGATAGGGAGAATACTCACAGATTTGACCCCTTGGCACGGTGGACCTGGCGCGAGGAGTACCGGCTTGTGCGTAAAGTCGACTTCCGGATCATGATATGGGCCTGTATCATGTTCATGGCTCTCGAGCTCGACCGAGCAAACCTTGGCCAGGCTCTGACGGACGACTTCCTCAAGGATCTCCACTTAACCACGGATGGTGTGTAATCGATTCTTAATGCGTGTCTTCTGCTTTTGATTGTTGAGCCGGCTTTGTATAATTAGGGGAATAGTTCATGTGTAGACTATGTATGTTGCTGACTTTTACCCCCCTAGACTACAACCTGGGCAACACCGTCTTCAAGCTCGCTTTTTTGTGTGCCGAGCTCCCGTCCCAGCTGGTTTCCAAGTGGATGGGCCCAGATCGCTGGATCCCAGCCCAGATGACACTGTGGAGTATTGTAGCCAGCGCCCAGTTCTTTTTGTCTGGACGGTCGTCCTTTATCGCCACCCGCGCGTTGCTGGGAATGCTCCAGGGGGGTTTTATTCCCGATGTGAGTAACCTTACGATGTGTCTGGTGCCCGGGGGTTGATACCACGGGTTACTGTTAGTATTGCGAACTCACAGTCTCTGTTCCATAGGTGATATTGTACCTCTCGTACTTTTACAAGCATCACGAGCTTAGTTTGCGTCTCGGTTTCTTCTGGACAGCCATGAGTATCGCCGACATTCTGTCATCGCTGCTTGCGTACGGAATCTTGCACATGCGTGGTGTCCAGGCCTATTCCGGCTGGAGGTGGCTGTTCCTGCTTGAGGTAAGCGTGCTTAATTCACTCTTATGCCCCTAGCGTCCGTCGCAGAGCATACCCCCAGGCTGACAACTCGCACGCAACAGGGACTGTTGACTCTCGTCATCGGGCTTTTTTCATTTCTGCTGATGCCGGCAGGGCCGAGCCAAACCGCAAGCTGGTTCCGCGGCAAGAATGGATGGTTCAGCGAGCGGTAAGAGTTTCCGCCTTTTCCTCCATAAAAAGTATAAGTCCTTCCAACTAAACTACTCTCTCGATAATTAGTGAGGAAACGATTATTGTAAACCGGGTATTACGTGAAGACCCGAGTAAAAGTGATATGCACAACCGCCAGCCCATCACCCTCGGCCTCCTGTGGCAGAGTCTCAAGGATTACGATCTCTGGTAGGTGGCAAGACAGAAGAGAATGAGAGCGCTAGTACCCAGTAAGCTAACTTTATCCAGGCCGCTATACATACTGGGACTCACATTCCAGATCCCAATGACACCACCTGCCCAGTACCTCACCCTAAATCTCAGGAGTCTGGGTTTTGATACCTTCCAGACGAACCTGCTTGCGATCCCTTACACTGTCGGCCATAGTAAGAGAACCAATCCTTCAATTCTTTCTAGCTGTGACAAGAGGAAAGGGGCATGTGATCTAATGATGAACAGTCATAACCATGCTTGGGTTGACTTACCTTGCCGAAATTCTAGGCGAGTTGACATTGCTCGCTGGGTTCGGGCAGGTCTGGGCGCTGCCGTTTCTGATCTACCTCAACGTTGCCGACACGGCCAACGCTAGCCGCTGGGTGATCTATGCTGTCACCACACTCTTGCTCGCCTATCCCAATGGTAAGATCCCGCCTGACCCTTGGCACGCTCCCTTCCCCACTGTATCAACTAGTTAGCGAAGCGAAGAAATCAACTAACCGGTTACCATGATCAGCCCATCCCATCCAAGTCGGATGGAACTCCCGCAATTCCAACACGGTTCGGTCACGGACAGTATCTGCCGCCTGCTACAACATGTTTGTGCAAGCCAGCGCTCTTATCTCTTCCAATATCTACCGCTCTGGTAAGCTGTCCCCCATCCCCTTCCCCCCTCCCCCTGCATTCGAAAACGTAGCTGGCAATATGCTAACACACATGTGCCACAAGACGACGCACCCCTCTACAACCGCGGAAACAGACAGCTCCTCGCCATCGCTTGCATGAATATTGTTATCTACGGCCTCGTTAAGGTATACTATGTCCGCCGTAACAAGCAGCGCGACACCAAATGGAACGCCATGACACCCGAGGAGCGGTTGCACTACCTTGCTACGACAACTGATGAAGGGAACAAGAGGCTGGATTTCCGGTTCCAGCATTAGGGTTGTGATCTGATATTTACTTTGACAACCTTGTCCCAGGGAAGGTGTTCTCCGTAGGGGGGAGGAAGGGGGCTGCATCCTCTTTGTTGGAGTTCTCGAGGTTTGTTGACCGGCTCTGCTTCAAGCAATTATAGGATGATAGGGTTGTCGAAGGAAAAAAGCGAAAAAGAATATTAGGCATAAAGAACGAGTGCATTCCATGTTTCCGGTGTATTATTCGTAACCTGCCGTTCTAGTAAGGTGTTTTTTTGCTAGCCGAGACCTTCAACGGAAAGTCCCAGAGAACACTCGAGATATTAACTTACACGTGATGCCCCGCTCCGCTGTCTTTGAAGTGGCCGCTTCCCGCCCACTGGAAATACCCCGCTATGTGGGGGCGCCGTGGGCGGTTTCCTCGGGGCTCCGTTTCTCGCTTTTGACGACGACAGAGGTCTTTAAACTCAAAGGCGTTCTTTTCCAGAACTTGTGGAACGTGTGCGAACCCCTTTTCGCGGCTGGAGCGAGTCAAATTCCGCTGACGCAGCCAAGCCCCCGATTCCCGAAACACCAACACACACGGCAAAGACGGGGAGCCCATGAATAAGCGCCTCGCACTTCTGAGAAAACCCCACCACCCAGTGCGCCTTTCAGCCGCTGTCGGCCGTTTGGTTTTTCAGTCTGGTCCTCCTCCTCCGCGCTCTCAACCTTCATACGGCCACAGACTGCTTTCCACCAGGGCGGGCCTCACATTGTGCTTGGCCAACAGCAACAGCAACAGCAGCAGCCGTATATTCACCAGCCGTCTAGGACTATTTCCCGCAAGATCCTCCACTCCCAGCCGCCTGGGGGTAACAACAACACCCGCCGTTCTCCTATCCACTGAAACTAAAATGTCGTCGTCTACCACGACCCAGGAGCAAGCCCAGCTGGTCGAAGCCTCCAAGCGCCAAGCTGCCTATCAGGCCGTCAAGGACTATCTGCTCCCCGAGTACACCAGGATAGGCATCGGCTCCGGGAGTACCGTGGTTTACGTGGTTGAAGCTATTGCCGCGCTAGGACCTTCTGTCACGTCCAAGATGGCCTTCTACCCGACCGGATCGCAGTCTGAGGAGTTGATCGAGGCCGCCGGGTTGAACCTTCAGTACATCAGCAAGCTACCCGCGGGCGAGCAGTTGGACGTCGCGTTTGATGGCGCTGACGAGGTGGATGAAGACCTGAATCTCATCAAGGGTGGTGGCGCGTGCTTGTGGCAGGAGAAGATTGTGGCGACCAGCGCGAAGCGGTTTGTTTGCGTCGCTGATTTCCGCAAGCTTTCGCCGCGCTTGGGTACGGCGTGGAAGAAGGGCATTCCCATTGAGGTGTTACCCATGGCGGCGCCGAGGGTGCTGGATGAGCTGCGGCGAATGGGTGCCCTGGAGCCGCGCATCCGGCCGGGTGTGCCCGGGAAGGCCGGTGCTATTGTCACGGACAACGGCCTGTGGATTGTGGACGCGCCGTTTTTGCCGCTATTGCTTTCCAAAGACACCGAAAGCGGCGCCCAGAACGAGGATAGGGAGAAGGGGGTATGGACGGTTGACGCGCTTGCGGACAGGCTAATTAAAATTCCGGGAGTGGCCGAGATTGGATTGTTCTATGGGAGCAACGGGCTGCAGGTGGCCAGCGGCGCACAGAAGCCGGTGGCAGCCTACTTTGGTATGGCAGATGGCTCGGTCGAGGTTAGAACTCCCTCAGCCTAGACGAAATGGATCATTTCTTGTTGCAAACGTCCAAGTTCACTTCTTCTCGCCTCGCCTCCCTTTGGAAGCATGTGGCATGCCCGCTTTAACTTCGTGATGGTGCATTAACTTTTGACCTTGACTGCGAGACCCGGCCAAGGGTGAGGTCATGTTTTACCGACCCCCGCCGCCCCGTCTCGGGAGATATCTCGCACGTCCCTGGCTGCCTTTTCTCCCGTAGGGCGGTTCGGAGGTCGTCTAAAACCATCTTATTCCAAAAAGAGAACCGACCGTTCTATCCGCACCGTTCGAACCGAAAAGTCTCGTCGAATCTCGGCTGTTCTGGGGTTGTTCCGGTGTTCAGAGTGTCGCCCGGTGTACGGCCCAGTCCTTTGGGTGATCGCCGAGGGCGGGCGAAATTCCCGGCAGGACGGCCGTTCAATCGCAGATCAACGGAAGTATTTTCCCCTTTTCGTTCTACGGAGACGGGCTTCCCCTCAGGGAGGGACTCTTGAATGAGCCTCGGTTTTCGCACCGGCTTTTTGAGACGCTAAAATGTTTGCCCGTGAACGTTAAAAGCCGACGGGCTCTTTGAAACGGCTGCCACAAGTGTAAGGCGTTGGTTGGGGCTGCGACTTGACATGTCGCACGTAAAGTGGCTCATCGAATCTTTCGAAGCTCATTGAAGGGTGAGCCGCCATAACGAGGTTTGGGTGCAGCGCATATGCCAGGAACAAACTCAACCTCGCGGACACGGTGTCGTGCTCGGGCGGCTGAGGACAGGCTCAAGGTCGACTCAACACAGCCGCGGTTTCGGAATCAATTCTACGCTGGGCGGCATGGGATGAAACCCTCACAAAGCCTTGGCCAAGCATCGGCTTCGTTTGCCGCCGCCGCGCGGCTTCCGGAGTCGCCCCCCCTGCTCACCGGGCCTGTTGGGCGTGCCTCGAGTCGGCGTCAGCGGCGAGAGCAGAAAGTTCAGAAAGATGCATTCTTTGGTGCGGACGCCGTTGAAAGCTGAGCAGGCGGCTAAGAATCCAACACGTCGAAAGAATCCGAGCTGCATCGGGCATCACGCGCACTGGAACTGGACTGACTTGCTACAAGTACGGATCCGTATGAAGGCCGCCTCGAAGATGAGGGCGAATCCCAAACAATCCCGCCCGCGCCGCAGACCGGCGAGGGCGAGAGAGGAAAGGGAGTTCTCGGCATGCGGCCGCGCGGCGGGCCGGATTGGACGGGTCACCAACACACTAGCCCCGCTGCTGCCTCGCGTGCTAAAGTTGGCTGCTAGAAGAAGGAGCTCACAATTACGGACGATAGTGCCGACTCCTATTTCGTTGAAGCTTGGATGTTGGGAGCGAAGGACTTCGGAGGAGAAAGAGAATTCGGAAGAGCTCGGCGGCTAGTTAGTTGCCTTGGCATGACGGACGGGCCCGCTCCGGAGCTACCACCGCCGGCACTTGTGGGGTTGGACGCCCAGGTGTTCCCTTCGGAGTTGAGAATCGAGAAGCGGGACCACAAACCGGCAGAATCCGGGTGGATGGAATTTCGGATTTGGAGCTGCTTTTTCTTCTTTTCCGATGGTCGCTGAGTTGAGTCGATGGTGATTGTGGCTGGTGCAAGACGAGCGGCGGGTGCTTGCGTGGAGGGATTGCGCGGGAGTGTCGCTGGATGGCGATAGGCCTTGAAGAGGCCGCAATGAGCAGCGCACGGCGACGAAGACCAGACCAAGCCCTAGTTCTACCTAAGGGAGCAAGCTCGCCCATGGTGTGTGTAGCGCTCCCGAGGGTTAATCAGTCCCATGGCCCATGCCAATCGCAACAGGCGGAATTCGTTTCGGGAAATTGCCCCTAACGTAATTCTCGGGCGTTTTTTACCTCATCCAGTTGCGGTCGGTGGGGAGCACAGAATTGTGTCGTCGTCAATGTCAATTACTGCCTCCATCACCGCTTTGGGTCGATTGGATCAAAACACGACACTTTGTAGAATAATTCGTACCTTGGGACCTAATTTAGTTGGGGTTGTGAAGAAGCGTTGGTGGAGCATGGCGGAGGGTGAAGTGGATGCGCCTGTCCGGCGTCGGAACACCTGTCCGCCGAAGAGTCCGAGCGTGGGTCGAGACACGGGAACTGTGGAACTGGGTGCCCCGGGCGTGTTGGAGCCGGTTGCTGCAGCCGCTGGGGCGCCTGATCAGATTTGCTCGGTGTCATACCGTCCAGCACAGCCGCACCGGGCGAGCCGGGCGTCTTGGGCAAGTATTTTCGATTTCACGATCGACACTCCGTGCTTCTTCCGCACATGGACACATACACGCTCTCTTTGCCCATCAAATTGTTGCTTCAAAAATAGTTACCCTGGAAGCTAGCGATTACGGAAGGGAGGCAGCGAAGACGGGGTTTTTGAGACGGCGTCAGCCGGAACACGGCCCCACTCAGTGTGAGGTCGCATTCCTGCGCGACTTCCGCATCTGCATTCAATCCGGATCGCATGGGCGCCAGAACCTAAATCTATCTTGGGAAAGAGCGAGGGATACACGTAATTATGTATGAAATAAGAGTGCCGTGATCCCACGAGCGAGGGCCTCCGAGAAAATGGAAGGCGACACCCGGGCTTGGACTCTTGAATAGACCGTGCCTTCCGATTTAAAATGGATCCAGGCTAGGCTCCGGGACCAAAGGAAGGCACAGTCGGCGGAGTTGGTTGGCACCATCGGTTTGTCTGTCTGGTCCATTCATTTGCGTATTGACCCAGCTAGAGTTGATTTGTTTTCAACAAACAAAACGGAAGCCAGCTGCGCTGCCGCTTGCCGCTTGCCGCCTGCCTCGTGCGCCTCCAGTTCGCAATTGGATACAGCCGAGGACCCGGCCGGACAGGAGGCCTGTTTGCGTGGTCGCATCTGGCGAAGACGCGCACGCACACAGGGCAGATGTCGCGGAAGCCCCGGGGGTTGCAAATAATGACGAACAGCGGGCGTCGTTCATCTGCCAGCTTCAACTCCGGGGAGGCAAAATTAAATGCAGGCTCCCACCTCCTAAAGAATGGCCGAGTCAAGGGGCGATCACCGATCAGCAAGCATCTGTTCGCGCCGGGCTTGGTAGGCTGAGGCACCCGTGTCTCGGTGTCGGGCGCCACGGGGGAGGAGAAATCAGAGCACACCCCCCAGCCCGGCGGCGCGGGCAGACATCAGCATCCCTCTCGTGCAGCCTCCTGTTCAGAAATGCCGTTTGCTCGGAGATGGATGACGCTGGAGCGAATGTTGAGATAAATAATCCCAACTTCGCGCGACGTTCTAGGATGAATGAAAGCCGACTGGGTAGGTAGCTTTAACGGCCGAGGTCGATGGAAGGACGGGAGGGTAATGTTGGGTAAAATGAGGGAACGGATCGCTTCTGCTCAGGTCCTTGCCCGGCCCCGGGGCTGTGGCGGCCGACGCCGACGCTTGGGACATTGGTGCTGCTGGTGCCCTTCCTCAACCGTCCCCACTTTCTTCCCCGTCTTCTTCAGCACCCCGGCACCTTCAGCCGATCCGCCCGACTGTGGCCTCTCTGTGAACGCTGCCGCCGCCTCCTCCCCATCCTCGCTTCCGCCGCCCGAGCGAGTCCTTTTTACCCCCATTGCCCCCCGTCCCTCCCGTCCTCGCGCCCATTTTCCAATTTTTCTCTTTTTCCCGCGACCGAGTACCCCCGCTGCACCCGAGGTCAAGCTCTTCTTTTTCCGGCTGCCCCGCCTATTTCGATCGCCCGACCACTTTTTTTTTTTTTTGGCTGGCGCTTTGTGCTGCACCGGCCCTTTGAGTTTTCGACCTCCGGCGAAGGCCCGGGCCTTGGGTTTTTTTTCCGGCGCCCTCGGTCTTTCCGGTACCCCGCGCGCATCTTTCTCTCAACACAATCAACCAAAAGCGCGTACAAAGTACGACTTTCCCTTTCTCCTCGCCAGACAGACGCGTCCCTTTTGTCGCGTTATCGAAAAGGGCAACGGACTATTGTCAACCTTATTCCACTGAGAGATTCGCATCAGCTTCACGACCCATTCACCACTAGCGATGGCGTCGGTCGTGCGATCGACAGCCCTCCGTGCCGGCGGTGCTTGTGTGCGCTGCCGGAAGGGCAAGACCAAATGTGTCTACGAGAACGGCCGCTCGCCGTGCAAGAACTGCGCCAAAGGGATGCACGAATGCTATCTGCCCTCCGAGTCGATGAGCCACGGCGGCCACGGTGTCTCGCCGGCGCGTGTCCAGCAGCGAGCGCGAGAGTCGCTCCCTACCGAACGCGCAGTTTCCAGCACCGCAGGCGACCGCCAGGCGCCTCCCCCTTCTACTGTGCCACGGCACATCTCGACCACCACTGAAAAGTACGTCTCATTTTCTTGCCTACTCTCTACATCATTTTCCCTTCCTTCCCACAGCTTTCTTCTCCTCACCCCCGCTCAATTATGCGATTCGTACATCATCATTGTCTTCGTCTCCGTTTGCGGGGCTAGATGAATGCAAGTGCGCGTTTGTCCTGTGCACATACCCCCTTTCCTCGTTGGTTGCATCTTTTTTCCTTCGTTTTCCGGCGCGCTCCGTGACGAGTGTCCCGTGCCCGGCCCTTCCCCCCACTCGCCCGAGTCCTGCTTATTTGCACTTGGCCCGGAGCCCCAGCACGCCCCAACTGTTCCCCACCCGGCCTCATTTCTTTGTCAAGCACGAGCAATTTTTGCTTGCTCCGTGCACCAGTCGCCGTCTCACCTCCCGATTGCTTGGCCTTGGCACGCAGCAACTCCGGAGCTTAGTTGTGGAGCTCCGCCTCAACAGCTTCTCGGCGCCGGCATCTCGAGGTCTTCGGGGACATTTTCAGATTGAACTCTTGGCACCAGCCATCTCTCGCATTTCCCGATTCCCAAACACCCTGTGAACTCGGGCATCGACTTGATCATGGCATTTTGTTCAGCTTACGTTTTGATTTTATCTTGGCTTGTTGTTCTGCCTTGTATTTTGGATCGAACTTGAACTAACGGCCTATTAGGCTTACTCCGGAGTTGATGCAAGAGGCTGAGCGTGTCATCTCCAAGACACTGCCGGCATGTGTGGCCTTCCACAAGCCTTCTTTCCTCCAGCAGCTCAAGAACACCTCTATGGACCCGACCATGGTCAACGCTTTGTTGACCACTGCAGCTCGGTAAGTTGCTCTCTGTCTTTGTCCCGACAACCGTCACAAACTTGGGCCCCTGGGTGGGGTCCGGTCCCAGCCGACGTTTTGCTTTTTTTTCGTATAGAAAAAATTGGTTGTGCAACAACAGACAAGGACACCTGCTGATGTGAGATGACAGCCACTCTCCAGCCATGATTCGCCGGTATGGTGGCCACGCCGGGAGTTCAGCCGCCGCGGAGCATTTCGCCAGCAAAACTATCAGCCTCGTCATGCAAGCCATGGACCAACCTAGCCTCGCTGATATCCAGGCCCTCTGTCTGCTGGTGATCCACGAGTGGGGTTGCCGCAATGCTGTTCGGGCCTACGTCTACCTCGGACAGGCTGCTCGTATGGCCCAAATGTACCGCGTCGTTCATACCCACACCCACCAACCTGAGCCCGACCAGTTTCTCCAGGACGAATCTTTCCGCCGTACTTTGTGGCTCATCTACATCCTTGACTGCTTCCTCACTAGCAGCCCGGGTCGCCACCCTGCCCTGTCCTCGCATGATGTCAAGGGCGTGTCGTTGCCATGCCTTGACATGAACTACCACTTTGGTAGCCCGGTCTATGTCCGCACTCTTAACGATGCTTCGCCGCCTGCTCTGGCGGAGCCCAACGCGCCCCTCGCCGAGGTCGGCGAATTTGGCCACATCGTATTGGCGACCAAGGCTTGGCGCAACGTCGTGGAGATGATGACAACGACTACGCTTGACACCTTTTCAGAGGAGCAGTGCTTGGCCCTAGAGCAGCAGATCGACCTGATCCGCCAATCTCTTCCCTTGCATTTTGCCGACAAGCCCGGCCAGATCAACCTGCACATCACCATGGGGAGCGGCTATACGTATGCCATGATCCACTCGCTCCTGAACTGCGGCACCATCTTTGTGAACCGCCGCCGCATCCTACAGGTTGTTACGGACGAGAGCTTTACTCTTGAGACCTGGCGCCTTTCTGCACATACCCACATGCAGACCGTCGACCGCATCTTTGCCGCGTCGCACAGCATCATCCACTCCCTCTTGGCGCTCGAGCACGGCGCTGACAAGGATAGCATCCTCTGCTTCCCCATCTTCATGCTCTTCTCGGCCTTTACCGCTGGCTCTACGGTTGCCTATCTCGCTCTCAAGGGGCTCGCCCCTCCCGACGTCTCCGAGTCGGCTGCGGGCATTGTGCGCGACAGCCTGCGGCTTTGCCAGGATGGATGCGAATCTTGGCCCCTTGTTATTCCTTGGCAACGCCATCTTTCCGTCATGTCCAAGGTCCTTCGCGAGGTGAATAGTGCTCCCCGCGATGCCCGTGAGGATGGCAAGCTGGCCCCTCGTGCCTCGCCTTCCGTCAAGGACGACGTGCTCAGCCAAGCAGATACAAACCCTGAGCCCATGGACTATGACCAGACCAGCCTCTCTCAAGTCCCCCCCCCGCCGAGCACTGAAGGCGGCCGAGATAGCGAGCCTCCCGTCCAGAGACGGCCCGGCGTAACCACGATCAACGGCGGATCTGTTGGCGGGTCAACGCCAGCGACTGCCACGGCTAGCCCACCGCCACCAAGTCTCATTCCCAAGGCCGACTCGCCTGGCGCCGCGTCCTCGACGTCCGCCGCCGTTCACCAAGCGCCTCCGCAAGGCCCGGATGTGGACATGTCCGCCATGGAGCTCTGTGCAGCTTTTGAGCGCCAGCTCCTCGAGCTTGACGACCTGGCTGCATTCATGGGAGGCGGCGTGTGAGCGCTGCCCTTACTTCTGTCCACTTAATACTGCCGGACACCTTCGATTCGTGGACGGTGAGCCGCTCGTGCCGTCAGGAGTCGGCCGAATGCACCACTTACCTCCCCTTGCTTCCATGTCGTCTGTCTTGACATTTTCGTTTTAATTTCGTTCTTCTCATGGGCTCGGTGCCTGTTATTACTACAGGTGCTGGCGGAAAGCCTTGAGGGCTTTGTACTATGATATTAATATGGGGGGGGTACGCGGGGATATAACTTGCCATCGTCTGTGGGATGTTCTTTGGCGTTACTGTGGCTACGTTCTGTACCATTACGTTCTTTTTTTTCGCCATCTTATCGTTTCTTTTTTCTACTTGTTTGGCTGGCTTGTTTCCGGCAAAGCAAGGCCATCTGGAGTGGTGATGCTTGTTTGCTTCCCACGTTCCACCGGTCTACTCTTTTCCTTGTGTGGGATAGAAAAGATCTGGGGAGTTATTTGCTTGGGTGGCGGTGTTCTGCGTTAACCGGGACCTATCGGGAGTTTAAGGGACACTGGGCTGGCTATCTGCGAAAAGAGTAGCAAAGGGCGTCCAAGGGATACACGGAAGTGGGGAAATGGCTCTAGGTAGCTTTGTGTATCAATTTAGTTTCGTTTCTGTATGGCCAAAGTTGACATGTGCAAACTATGTCTTTGGGTGCCTCCGGTCCAAGCTTGTTAGCTACACGTATGCCCATCCTCCATTATTGATGCTGCTGTTTCGTCAATGACTCGTGATTAATACCTCGAAGAACGAACGGAATGGAGAAAGACGGCGGAATGTATGGCCAGCTTAGTTAATCGTCGACTTCACGATGGGATCAAATAATATCAGTCCCGTTATGGTTGCTTAGATTCTTTCATAGCATAGCCGGCATGGTCTCATCCGACAGAAGGCATAAGTCAGTCATGAGGTATGCCTACCTGATAAGGGGCATCGTTCTCTCTTGTCTAACTTTATACACAAAACATAAACCTCGTTACTCAGCTCACCGTGCTCTCACCGTTACTGCTCTTCCCCTCATTCAACGACTTAGACAATGCCATGATGATTTCCTTCAACTGATCCAATTCCTCCCGCAACTTCTTGACCTCAGTCACGGCAGGGTCCTCCTCAAAATTACTCTTCACCGCTTCAACCTGCTTCTTCCAGCCGTCCGATTCAAAGTCGGTGGACCCGATCATCTGCTCCCACTCCTCAACCGTATCATCGTCGTCGTCGCCACGGGCGCGGTTCTTACGGATGCTGCGCGCAGAGCAGGTCTCGAAGTATGCCGAGATGAGGAGGAGCGGCGAGTAGATGGTGCCCATGACGATGTCGTTGATGCGCTCGTAGGTCTTTTTCGGCAACCACCATTCGAAAAACAAGACGAGGATAAAGATCTCGATCAGGTTGAAGGGGGCAATGAAGACGTTCTCGTCGGGGGCACGGACAAAGGTCATGGTCTTTTGGGCGAACATAGCGAGGTACTCGTCGTTGGCGTTGTCGTAGATGTCTTCGTACGCAGAGTTGTATAGAGCGATGAGGATGTTGAGGAGGACGACCTAAAGTGTTGGGGTTAATAAACGGTTGGGAGATATTGCACAGTGACCAAGACAGGGGAGAGAGGAGAGAGTATGTATTAGACGTACCATGACCACAAAGGTGAAGATGTAGTAGAGAATCAAGCCAAATGGCGGTTGGAATCTCTCGAAGCCGCTAAAATCGGGCGACTGCATGACCGCGTTCGCCATGGACTGGATAATGAAGAGGATGTCCTCAACTACCCTGTCGTCGGCATAGTCGAGCCCTATAAACGCCTGCAGGAAACCCACGACGATAAAGGCAAGCAGAGCAAAGAAAATGATGGACTCCTTCATCATAACCTTGAGCACGACCAACATAGCACCGAAGAAGCGGAGACTGTCGAGGTAAAGCAGCAAGCGCGCCCAGAACATTGGGGCGCTCACAGCGAGGAAGCTGTAGCTCATGGTGCTGAAGTGGTGGCGCAAGCGGTCCGGGTCGTCTGGGGAGTGACTGAGGGCGATGCAGCGGAGGACGAAGCTAGTGGTCAGTAGGCCATAGAGGATGGAGTTGAACGCGTTCCAGAAGTTGAGAATCTGGTAGCCGGCCTTCCATAACTTGGTGATCTCGTCGCAGATGAAGCCCAGCGTAAAGAGGTAGAGCAAGACTTCCACAAAGTCAATGCCGCCATCTTCGTTGACTGTGTTCATGGCGACCGTGTACAGGCCGAGATAGATGAACGACATGAGAATTTGGGTGGCATTCTGGTACATGGGCGAGCGCATGCGTTCGGGATCCAGGTGGGCATAGTACGAAATGTTGTCGCGGTCTTTGTAGTCGATAAAAGTCGCCGGATCGTTCTCATCCTGGACCAACCAGCCGCGCCAGAGGAAGTTGATACAGCGTTGGTAGCCAGAGGAGCCGATGACGCGCAGGGCGTGCAGGTCGACGGCCTTTTCGATGACGTTGATCGGCTGGGTCGGGTGACCGTCGACGACGATCGAGTAGCGCTTCAGCAGAACTGAGTGCAGCAGGTACTCGAGGTTTTCTTCAGACTCGATGATGGCCTTGGCGATGACTTCGCAGGCCGTTGCGCGCAGGTAGTGCAAGTCGGCGTCCCATAGTTCCAGCAAGGCCTGGTGTCGCCACCAGCGCTTGTTGACCAGCAGGCAGAACACCACGCAGGCGGCATGCTCGTGGCCGCCGGCCTCTTTTGCGGCTTGAACGACTTTGGGCGTGATAACTTTGCTATGCGGCGAGGTGACGTGGTTCTCCTTGAGCTCGCATGGCACACATTCCTCGATCAGGTGGCGGATGCGGAGGGCGACCTCGGTGACTTTGTCGGCGGGAATGGCCGATTGGATCGAGTCATCGCGGTAACTAGGAAGGACTAGCCATGGAAAGGGTCAATGGCATCCACAAACAAACGAATGGGCTTTGCACGCACGTCTTGCTCTCGAGCCATCCCACCAGCCATCACGGTCGTGGTGGCCGCGGGATGGGTGGCGGTCCCAACCCAGAAAGCGGGCCCACGCCTGGCCGGGCATATTGGCGATGCGACCGTCTTGGTGTTGTGATTAGTTCTCCGCCTCGACTGGCGCACTGAGCAATTCGTCGGGTGGGCAGGGCAATAAACAAAACAACAACAAGCGAAACAAAATCTGTGGAAAAAGGAGAAAGCTCCCACAAGTTGAATTGGCTGCAGAATTAAAAGCCTGACATGTTTCCTGGGTAAGGATCAGGGAGGGGAGGACGTTAAAGAGGGGGGGAAAGGGTAGGAAGCTATTCAAGGAAAAAACGCGCCCCTCCTCCCTCTTTGAGTTGATCGGTGTTCTGGCTTATCTTGAACTAGCGTTGTTAGCATCCTGGAAACCGGGCCAACAAGCTTGGGGGTTTCAGCTTCAATTGAGATCAGATGACGTCGCCAACGGCAAGCCCAGCTAAGAAGGGCTAAGCAATTACTGTGGTAACATGAAAGGGCATGATAGTGGCCAACAAGAGTTAGCCAATTAACGCTAGTACCTCACCCGCTCGCGTGCAGTGCCATGCTTGGCGAGAAATCGTGGAGCGGATCAGGGAAACATGGGTGGTTCGCAGGGATCGACCAGCATGCATGTGCTGCAGAGGCGTTGGTCGAGATTCTTGGCCCCGATCGAAACTCGATCTAAAATTGTGGAGAAGGAAGGCATTCACACACAGGAGGATTAGGTAGGTAGTTAAAGCAGAAGAACCCAGGGCCGCTCACGTTTCCATATTTCCTGTCATTCTAATTACCATGTCCATACCCGTCATTGCCCCTTTCAACACACAGTCCTGCTCGATAGTGGTCTAGGGAAAATAGAGAAAGGGGGATAAAACGGTGAAGAAAACAGGGTATCCACCGACGAAGATACAAACTGAGCAGTAGGAAGCCACTGAGAACGGGGGAGAAGGAGAGCGGGTTGTCATGGGTGAAAAGGAGGGAATAAGGAGTTCAAGGACACGAAAAGGAAAAAAGGAAAAGGCAGTGAAAAACGAAGGCACACGAGGGCCGAGCAAGGAACCAGAAAAGGGGGACACCGGGAACAAAGCCAGGTAGGGAAAACAAGCCCCTTACTCAAAAATAGCTCCTCATGGCATCTTGGTAGCCCGGCCCCCCCTTGAGGTCACGCTCAAAGTTGGTCTGGACTTCAAGCACTTGGCGGATGTGGCTCATGCTGAGCGGTTCTCCCTTATTGACGGCTAGCGCCTGCGCCGTGCGCACCGTGTTCTTGATTTGCCGCCCGTTGAGCTCATGCCGCGCCAGTGTGGTGTAGTCTTCCTCGCTGAACGGCATGAGATTGACCTTCTCGAGCACCCGAACCCGCTCAATGAAGATCTTGAAGATGGCCCTCTTGGCTCGGAGGTCTAGGTTGTCATATCGCAGCGCAATGTGAATGCGTGACTGGAACGCGTCGTCAAAGGTCTGTGAGAGTTAGTTAGCGTTTATAGGAAGGCCCTCTGTATCTCCCAGGCTTGTGCAACACTCACCTCGACCCGATTCGTGGTCAGGAACAGGATGCCCTGGAAGTACTCCAGCTGCCGTAAGAAAATGCTGACGAGGGCATTTCGATGGATGTCATGCATGTTACGCTTCTCCAAGAACACGTCTGCCTCGTCCAAGAGCAAAATAGCGCCCCACGCATGGCAAATATCCAGTATCTTTTGGAGTTCACTCTCCAGGTACCGAGAGTCGGTGCCCAGTTCGCCGGCTGACACCATGTACAGCGGGCACTTGAGCAGCTCCGATATGCCTTCGGCCGTCAAAGTCTTGCCCGTGCCGGGAGGCCCGTGGAGGACAGCTGTAGCATATCATTAGCAGGGGCGCTCCAGCAATGGTCCCTCTAAGTATCTGCCTGAACTTACCGACAAGGCCCTTCCCTTTGCCCTGGATCACGTCGTCGATGCTTTCGGCGGCGTGGTACTTGTGAGACTCAACAAGTGCCTACATTTGGCGGTTTGTCAGCTGATATTTCCCGAGAGTCCCCAATAGCACAGTACGCAACAGAACATACCTTGACAATATCCTTTGTCTTGGGCTCTAAGACCAGGGACTCGTACGCCGTTTCATTCCACTGAATCTCTTTGACCCCAGAAACCGTAAACTCGAGCCATAACTTCTCGGCGAAGGCAAATCCAAGCACCACCGGGGATGCGATGAGGTACTCTTCTTCAGTGAATTCCGGCACCTCCTTGGCGTCCTTGTCTTCTTCGTCGTCATCTTCGCCCTCCTTCTGAGACTTCGTTGTCGACTCCTTTTCTTTATCCTCCTCGTCATCATCCTGCTGGGGCGCGTCGTCGCCCTTAGCCCGCACCTTGTCAAGTTTCTCCTTCCCGTCGTCATCTCCATCTTCCCCATCTACCTTGGGTAGACGGATCATGCGGATCTTGCCCTTCCCATCCTTGACCGCCTTGGTCACATACTTGATCTTCCCACCCTCACCTTCATCGTCCGAGTCCGAACCACAGCCACAGCCGCCAGACTCGTCATCCGAGTCATCTTCCTCTGAATCGTCGGAGACAACATCGTGGTCTTTGGGCCGCACCGTCGAAATGGGGTAGTTGGGGTTGATGCGCCGGTGGATGCTGGGGTCGATCATAATGCGGCCGTTGATGTTGACCTTGATGACCGACTTCTTCTTTTTGTAGTAGGCCATACCTTGGTGGCTCTTGTAATGCACGCCGCTGAGCGAGACAAATTTGCGCCCACGCTCAATCAGGTCTTTTCGTAGCTGCGCCTCGTTTTTGTGATACTGGAGCGGGTAACAAGACAGGCTGGTGATCTTGCGCGCGCCCCGAAAGTCGCCAATCTCCTGCGCCATGTTGCCAAACCCGTGCTGCTTACCGTCATACTCGAAATACTTGCCCTCGATGAAATAAAAGTCGCCCTTCATCAGCCCATGGTGCTTCTCGGCCATCTCCACCTTGAACACCCGCGGCTCATCGTGAGAGCCGTAGGTCGTTGTGTAAGCCAGTGTGCCGGGCTTCCATAATGCCCAGAGTAGGTCGAACGTGATGAGGCCGTTCTCTAACATCGGGTAAAGACTGCGAGCGAGGAGGGAGGAAGTGAGGTTAGCCGGGTAAGCGGGGTAACGACAAGGAAAACCAGGTGGTAAGAAGGGAACCAAACAAAATGAAGTGGGGGCTGAGGAAACTCACCTGTTCTTGGTGTCGGCATAGTCCTTGTCAATGTACTTGACAAGCACCTTGAGATGCTGGCGCTTGGACTTGACCTTCTTCTGCTCCTTTTTGCGGTCGTGTTTGTCACCCTTGGTGACCTTGATCTTCTTTAGCTCCTTCATGTGCTTCCGGAGATCCTCAAGGTACAAGAAGAGCATGTTGGGGTCGAGCTTGGGCGTGTCGTCGACCAGACTAATGCCCTTGATATCCCCAATGACATCCTGCAGACACTCGCGGAGCAGCTTGCTCTTGATGTCAACGATGGTTGCCTTGTACTTGCCCTCCCAGTCAAAAGTCCGCCGTACGTGGAAGATGAACTCGTCATACTGGGCATCAACGGTGCGCTCGGCCGTATCCTGGAGCTTGTAGTTGTGGATCGAGTCATCCCAAACCTGGTCGACGCGTTTGTAGTCTAGCTTGGTTGCCGTCTGTCGCTTCTTGTCTTGTTGCCTGGGGTCAAGCACAAGGTTGGGATCGAGACCGTGGAGATTCAGGTGCGGTTGCCCGCTCACACGGGGAGCCCCGCGACGTCCCCTTGATGGAGTATGGCGGGGGCCAGAGTCGTAGATGGGGGGCGGGGCGTTGTGGTTGATGTTAGAAGCGTATCCGTATGGGCTACCACCTTGCTGTTGCTGCTGCTGCTGTTGGAGGAGAATGAGTTGTTGAAGCTGCTTTGTCAGGTCTGCTTGCTTTCGCCGGCTCTTGTTCTTTTTCTTTGAGCCGCTGCCACTATCACTCCCCGAAGAACCAGAGTCCGAATCAGAGCCGGACGAAGAATCGGAATCGGAATCAGAATCAGAGGACGAATCCACATGTTTTTTGGAGGGCTTCTGATTCCTCTTTGGAGTTTCTTTCTTCTCCTTTTTCTTTTCCTTCTTTTCCGCTTTCTGAGCTCCCGGGCGTTTCTTGGTCATTTGCTTTTTCCTTGATTCCTCAGCATCGGGCCGGTCGCTCTCAGCGGACGAGGAACCCGATGACGACTCATCATCCTCACTGTCCGAGTCGGACGAGGATGATTCAGCAGGCGATGATGACTTTTTCGCCTTCTTTGGTTTCCGCTTTGAGCGTTGTTTGGAGCCCTTCTCCTTCGCGGATTTCTTACGCGTGTCGGGTTTATTCTTAGTCAAGGTTTCAGCCTCTGGAGACTGCACACTGCCCTCTACTGGCGCTTTGGGTTCCTCACTATTAGTGGGATCTGGCGGGGTCCCTTCGCGCACATCGGCGGTGGTTGTGCTCCCAGACTCCATATCTTCAGATACTCTAGGTAGCTGCTCCGGTTATAAGTGGAAGTTCCTCCGGGGCGTTGCGCAACAATTTCGTGCGCAGATCGACTGTGGAGAGAAAAGGCGGGTGCAAAAAAAAAACAAGATGCAGAGAGCGAGAAGATGCGCAGGGAGGTTGAGGCCAGTGGTGCGGCAGAATGGTGCTGAGCTGGGAAAGGCAGAATTCCCTACGAATGCTGTGCGACTAGTAGGCGGCGACGTGGCCGGCTGAGAGCCCAAGAAGATGGCACTAAGGGATTCAAGAACCGAGCTCGCCGGGAAATGCACCCGGTGCAGACGGGAGTGCGTTTGGCTGCGGGTATTATTCCCGTGTCAGCGGGATATCGTCGTATTGCGCAAATGGCGGCTTTGCTGGTGATTCTGGGATAGGTCAGGTGAGAATCTGTGCAGCCGACAACAGGCAAGGGGGGAAACGAGCAATCTCGTTTGGGCCTGCCTTTGGAAGAGGGGGTGGAAGAACGCCTTCAAAATTATGCCCTACCTTTCCGCCGGACCGGAGGATGCGGGACGACCTGGAAAGGTTGTGCAGCACTTCCCTCGAAAACGTCACCCTGCTGGCGGTGATAGAGCGATGCAGAGTGATGTGTCGCGCAGGAACCGACTGCGGAGTCGGCGAGGTCAGTCTGGGAGAGGGAGGGGGAGGGGGAAAGATGGCGCCAAGTCGACCAGGGTGAGCGCCACAGGTTCTCAGCCTTCAGCGTGCCCGGGCAGTCGGGATTCAACCACGAGGTGCGGTTCCGTGTGGGCGGGTCTTGCCGTTCTGGTGTTGAGCCCCTCAGCTGTCTATTGGCGTTTTGAAGGCACAGCGTACCTCAGTAAATGAGACTCGAGAGGGTTCTGAGAGTGGGGGAAATTGATGGGAGTGTGTTGTAAGTGCTAAGGGCAAGGAGCTGTCGTCTATCCGTGCCTTGGCTCTCAAGGTAGCTTTCGGCATACATTCAACGCCTGGAGAGGATGGACAACAACATCGGGAAAGAATTAAAACATAGAAGAGTTGCTTGCATCGGCTACTGATGGGGTTGCCCGGTTTAAGTACGGACCCGTACCTGCCTACTCAAAGGAGAACCTGTCAGAACAAGGCTCGGGATGGAAGGAGGCGGACGCCTTCGCTCCACCCCGCGGCAGCCTTGTTTCTTTTGTCTAGCTGGTGGGTGGCATCCAACAGGCACCCGATCGCATTGGGCGCGGGTTGGTCGTGAGTTTGCCGGGGTGGGATGGGGACGGGTGTTGGTGGTTGACAGCGGTCTACAGGAACCTTCAGCCGGGATTACACTCGATCCGTGAACTCTCATCATCCTGTTCGAGTCCTGAAGACAGCCGTGATGTGTTTGCTGGGTGCTGGTGCTGTATGGCGCAACGTCCGGCCCGGGGAATGTTTAGGAATGTACGACACCAAAAAAAGGAATGTTTACTGGTGGGGCTGTTCGCGTGGAATGCCGTGCTCCACGAAGTCGATGAGACGGGACGGTTTGCAGGGTGGAGGCGGAGCCGTGGGCTGCGTTGGGCAGACAGACAAAAGTTTGGCAGGCCGCCTAAGCAGGTGGGCGCCAAATCGCGGCCTGGAGGGGAGGGTTGAAAGGCAAACAAAGAAGATGAGGCGTTCCAATACCAGAAGCCCTATAAGACCATTCGGGGCGATGGACGGTTGACGATCCATCCATTTTATGGCGTTATCGTGTTCGTGAAACTAATGGGTCTGGCTTCATCTAACCTGGGAACTAGAAACGTCGGGATGTGCTATGCCATAATTAGTAGTCAATAAAATCGTTGCCTCGCCCTCGCCTTCTAATGCTGTACTCCCAAAAGTCGCGGGTACCGAGCGCGCTGACTGGCCTGTCGGTGAGGCCCCGTGAGGACGAAATGAAAGGCCCGGTCTGACTGTTTACTGTGGTACGTGATTTTTCGATGTGGGACATTCACCGCAGGCGAAGACGGGAGACCGCTGGTGTGGAATCTCACATTCAAGACCACTGATTGGTCTTGAGGAACTCGCCTTGCTGTCGGGCGGAGGTTTGGACAGGAGCCGGTACAAAAAAGCGAGGCGCTAATGGTGCTGTTTTGAGGCTGCTTCAGCGTACACAAGGAGACAAGTGGGAGAAGGGTGTTGGGGTGCCTGGGCGCGCGGGGGGTTAATGCTACGAAAATACCCTGAGTTCCATTGGAAGTATAAGAGAGTGGGCAGCCTCCCTAGGTAATCGAGGAAACTGCTCAATGTTCGTGGTGGGTGCCGTACCCTTCGCAATACGACACTGGCAAGGTCGCTGCGGTGCGGTGCGTGTCACGGTTGGGTGAGGCGGTTGGAATGACTGGGAGCTTGGCGCTTGTTGAATCATGAAAATCTGATTCGGTTGGGTTATAAACCGGGAATTCGACCGAAACCAGAGCCCAATCATCTCCTTAGTCTGGTACCTTTTGTCCTGTTTAAGTCGGGTTGAACGGGCCGGAAACTAGTGACGGAAGGAAATGCGTTAAGGGGTTCTGTTCTCGTGGGTTAAAATCGGGCAGGCACTTAGTTGGGCCTGCCACGTGATGCTACAGGCATCACACTCAAGTTTTGGCAGGGGCCACCCAGCGGTCCTGCCGTGTGTCACCTCCACGGACAACTTTGGCAGGTTTAATTCCTACCTTAGGTAGGTATGGACCTGTCAATATTTTCCTTTGACTTGTGTACGCAGAGCACCAAACCATGACAACGGACGTAAAAATGGCGGGCATCAAAAGGAAAGCCCCGGATGACGATGGACCCGACGACCAGCCCAGCGCCGACCTTTTACCGCAAGACCCTCCCACCAGGAAACCCGAACGCGGAAAGCCCCACAGCCGACTCGGACCCCCGGCTCCGGGGGTGTCCGCGGATGCGTATTTTCGGCAGCTTTACGGATCCGGTCCCGACTTTAGGTCACTAGCCCGGCGCGATGCCCGCTTTGCTGCAGTGTAAGGACCCTCAACCTCAGTTATCGGACGGCGCGAGGCTAATTGTGTTACAGGGCGCAGAGTAATGGGCAGTTAGATTTTAGTGACCCGGCGGCCACTATGCAGTTGACCAAAACATTGCTGAAGATAGACTTCGGCCTGGAAATTGATCTTCCTGATGACAGATTGTGTCCTCCGGTTTGGCACCCGCAAATGAGTTGGGGTGAAAATAAACTTACACCTTTGCTAGGTCCCAAATCGGCACAATTATATATTGTGGCTCAAAGAGTTGATGGATTCGACATCATATGAGCAGCCCGGGAGAAAGCTAATTGGGCTTGATATTGGGACGGGAGCCAGTTGTATCTACCCAATCCTCGGCACCGCCCAACGGCCATGGCACTTCGTTGCAACTGGTAAGCTCTCCTTGGCCTGTGCTAGTATCCCCAGTTCGCTCATGATTCTGCCTCTAGATATTGACACCAAGAGCTTGGGATATGCGGAGAAAAATGTCCGTCTTAATAGACTAGATGAACAGGTCCGGGTCTTGCAGCGGAAGCCGGCCGATCCGCTAATACCGCTTGATGACGCCGGCGTGCAGTCCATCGACTTCACCATGATGAACCCCCCGTTCTACACTTCTGAAGATGACATGCTTTCTTCGGCAAACAAGAAGTCAAGGCCGCCAATGTCTGCATGCACCGGCGCACCGGTTGAGATGGTTTGCGAAGGTGGCGAGGTGGCCCATGTTGGCCGGCTGCTACGTGAGTCGTTGGTTTTGCGAGAGAAAGTTCAATGGTACACATCGATGGTCGGGAAGCTCAGCAGTCTCGAAACTCTCGTCGACCAGCTTGTTGAGAAAGGAATACACAACTACGCCGTTACGGAATTCGTACAGGGCAACAAAACACGACGGTGGGCGTTGGGATGGAGCTTCACGGCTATGCGGCCGGTGGAACATGCGGCTCGCGGAATGAAAGCATTACTTTGGAAGAAGATTTTACCACACCCGGTAACGGCGGAACTATGTGTGTTACCGCCCGACAGGCCAGTTGATGACGTTGTCACCCACATAAGAGATGTTATCGGAAAGCTCGAGCTAATATCTTGGGTGTGGGAACCGGAAACATCGAAGGGGGTGGGAAGAGCTAAAGAGAACGTGTGGAGCCGGGCTTGGAGGCGAAAGAAGGCCCGGGAACAAGGCGAGGTCAACAAAAGCGAAGCTGTTAGCCCAGAAACAGCTGAATTGGGGAAGTGTAGGCTCGGCTTCGAGATCGCGGTTGTGGTTGGTAAGTCAGAAACCAACGTTCGCTTGCACTGGCGAGAGGGACACGACCCCCTTATTTTCGAAAGTCTAAGTGGGTATTTGCAAGGGAAACTCAAAGAATTTGTAAGAGATAAATAATTGCGATTTTCTACGCTATTTTTGTTGTCTGCATGACAACCAGGGAGGTATTATTACGTAATCTTACACGGCCCTTCAAGAATCGCCCGTAAATTTCCCACAGTCGAACTTCGCTGAAAAACGCCACCCGAGACATCGAACAACAAACGACCACGGCCACGGCTACGACCGCCCCGTCAGCACCACAAATCCGAGATGTCAGATCCGTCCCGAGGGGCGGCGTCACGATTCACGCCACAAAATCAAACCACTCACGAACGCCTGTCGACGAACACAGTCGGGCTCGTCGCGCTCTCTGACTTTCGCAAGCGCCGAGCCGAGGTGCTCGAACAACAGGAGCGCGAGGCACGCGAAGCAGCAGCGACGGCCACGCGTCCGAATGCCACCACCACCAACAATTCGACTCCCGACCGATCGCTCACTGCGACACCCAACAACAATGCCAATTCTAGCGCCGATGATGGGGAGGGAGACAAGTTGAAAAAGAGGAAAAGGCCGAGGAGAGCCAAAGCGCTCGTGTCGTTTGGGGATGATGAGGAAGAGGAGGAAGAAAGTGGGCCGCGGGTTATTTCTGTGAAGGGGAAAATGGCCAAGAAGGGCGGGTTGGACGTGTCCGGCAAGAATGGCGAGGACGATGGGACTGGAAATGACAGTGGGAATGGTAACGACGAGAGCGTAACCCGTGAGGCTAGCGCCTCAGCCGAGGATGATATGGACCAAGGCAAGACCAAGGGGGGGAAAGCGGCAGCAAAATTTGGGGCAAACTCCTCGGTGGGAATTGTCCCGCGAGCCCTGACAAAAGCTGCCCTCCGGAAGGAGGCCGCCGAGAGAGAAGCATTGCGCAAAGAATTCTTGTTGCTGCAGGCCGCTGTCAAGGCCACCGAGATTGCCATACCCTTTGTCTTTTACGACGGGACCAACATCCCAGGTGGCGTGGTACGGGTCAAGAAGGGCGATTTCGTCTGGCTGTTTCTGGATAAGGGTCGCAAGGTCGGAGCACAGCTTCGAGTGGGTGCAGACAAAAGCGCCAACGCGCGCCGGGATTGGGCCCGTGTCAGTGTGGACGATTTAATGTTGGTCAGGGGCAACATGATCATCCCACATGTAAGTTTCAAATTTTCTTTCTTGGCTCTTCAGGTTCTCTATATGGTGACTCTTTGCTAATGCGAATCTCTTTGCAGCATTATGAGTTTTACTTTTTCATCATCAACAAGACGACGGGCCCTGGCGACAAGCTCCTCTTTGAGTACAGCAGCGAAGCGCCCACGACAACCAACTCAGCGGCTGGCGGTACCAGCACGGCAGGGCTCAGCCGTGCCCCTGCTCTCTCTGAACTCGAAGGGGCGTTGGATGACCCGACTCTCACCAAGGTTGTGGACAGGCGGTGGTATCAGCGCAACAAGCACATCTACCCGGCCAACTTGTGGCAAAACTTCGACCCGGAAAAGGATTATTCCAAGGATATCCGGCGGGATCCGGGCGGTAACGCCTTTTTCTTCTCGGGGTGAGGTTGTTCGGGTGACGGGCGACGTTGAGTTGAATTTGGCTTGCGGGCAGCCGGCCGTTCCGGGATGGCCGTGGTTGCGACCCGCGTTTATGAGGGTTTCGACGAGAGACGATTTCGGCTGTTCGAAACCGTAAGCCTCTTCTCAAGAGATCTCGATGGACAACCAATGGGTGGAGTTGTGTCTCACCATCCTTCTTCAGCCGGTCAATAGCCAGACGCCACAACCAAGCACACCCAGCATGATCCAACCGGGCCAGAACACTACCAACAATACGGTGTTCCCGCCCCCAACGAGCAGAATGTACAGTTCGAACTCGAGCCGTTTGCGGAACCTCCTAGCGCGCTTGCAGTCCCACACGGACCAGGTGGTACGGCGCGCAAGGAGTAGTGATCGGATGGCTAGAAACTTGGAAACCAGAAGGGTCCTCCAGGCGATGGTCTTGCTCATCCATAACGTGAGAGTGGCCACAACGGAGGCGGCGAAGTAGGTCCGCACGAAGAGATGGAAGGCGACAGAGCTGAGGAAGTGTTGGAAGTAAACAGCGCTGGTGACGAGAGGGTGAAGAGCGGAGATGATGTCGGGCCGGGGGGCTAGGGAGACCGTTGGGGCGGTTCGGGACGCTGCGAGAAGTGCCATTGTTTGCTTGTTTGTGGTTTGATATCGAGTCGAGCACTAGTCGAAGTAATGACTATTAATATGGCACTGGGAGAGAGGTGGCAACGGAAGAAGAAAGAGAGAGGACTTCTTTCACATCGAGCGGGGTGAGATGGGTGGGCTTTTGGGTTACTTTTGAGTTCTGGGGCCGTCTTCCGGGGGCAGTTGCAGGAACCGATGGAAAATAGGTGCCCCCATTTTTTCCTGCCTCAAAACAATACTATGGGTGTGCCTTTCTCGCCGCGGATATTGTTGAAGCTCGCCAACGGTCCCCTCCCCTCCCGGATGTCGGCGTGGTCGGCCAGGTACCTCATATGTACCGCATCAAACCTCAGCCCGTGAACCGTGGGTTTCGCCCCGCAGCCAAACCCCCTGGCGGATCTTGTCACAGGCTCCACATCCCAACAGTAACTGACATGCGGGAACACTCAAACGGTCGATGCGGTTGCTGCGATTTGTCCACTCGTGAAACCTGACCTCCTATTTCTGTTCGTCTTTCCGCATCCCCCGCTCAAGCGGCAGTTCGCTTGCCCTGGGCTGTCCCACCTCCTCACAAAGGGATCCTCGCCCGGGGTGGGCTCTAGTGGACGTTTAGCGCTGCGAGTTCTGTTGTGGGCCTGAGAAACCCCGCGCTACACAGCGAGCCCACGTGGGGGTCGTGGTTTGCGGTTTGCGGTGTTGTAAGACAGAAAAGGCCTTGATCAGAGATGGCAAGAAAAAAGAGTGTGGCGGCTGAGATTACACGTTGTAAGTCGTCCAATGCTGTTAGCCTATGGCAAGACATATTCTCCCCCGTGGTTGGAAATGAAAGGGTTTTGTTGCAGTGGCGATACTGGTGTTAAGGGGGACCTTTTCGAGGGTCTCCCCAGTTCCAATGTGTGTACTGTGTAAGCCGCCGGACAGAGGATCTCCTGCTGTGTAATGCACCTGTTGGAACCCCCCGAATTTGACATCTCCACGAACTTCGGTTTTCACGCGTTTCCCCTCTCCTCTTGTCTTGTCTCGGCACATTTCTCCCCGTCTTTTCTCGCTTGAGCTGCGTTGTTCCTGAATCGGAAGAAGGCAGCGGGTTCTTTGTGGAGCCGACTTGTCCTTTGACTCGCAGCCGAGTGAGTGATTGGCTGGGCAAAGCTTGGTTGAAGAATCGAGGGAAGAGCTGAAGAATGCCATTCATTTGTTGCCAAGATCCTCACAAAGATGCATTCTTCACACATCCTCATCCCGAAATACCAGACAACCATCAGATTTCTTGCAAGTAGACCAATGACCCGGATCCGATCGGAGCGGTTCTGGACGGACCATTCCCGGGCTCACCCCCGGCCTTGCGGGGGCCCTGACCATCCTCCTTCCACGAACGTGCAACGGCGTGGGTTCTGATTGGACCCGAGACAGGAGGTTTTGTTTCTCGGATCTCGCATCGCCCCTCCCCGCCTCCTTGCCTCCCCCCACCCATCTCGACATCAGAAGGCGAGGAAGACGGAGGGTACATACCAATGCCATCACCCGCAGGTGTCATGCGGCTCTGGCTGAGTCAACGCGGCCGACCATTGATGTTTGGCGCCGGATGCAGGTGGGCATCGAACTGGTCGTCGATCCCGTTCGTGCCGCCAGTTCTGGGCCGTTTTGACCCTACCTTTCGGCTCTCGATAAGGGTTCTGGACCCTGGAAACTAGAGGTACATGGGAACTACATTGTCGGCAATGCTGCGATCTGTGACCGGGCTCTCTGGGTGCATTCGAGGATGCGATCTAGCTCGAGTAGTTCGTCGTTCCGTGACCACATCAGTATCACTTCCCGGTCATCGTGGCCCGATACACCCTGTTGGTTGGCCGTCTACTGTCAAGTTTGCCTCTGACGGGTTTTCGAGGGCCGCCCCGATGACCATTAATTAGCAAGGTTGAAGGTTTCCTAGTTCAAGAACCCGGCATATCCTAGTTGCAAGTTGCAATTGACGAAACAAGCAGCAACTTTAATTATACCCTGGCGTAACAACTCGTAAGAAACTTTATACCCTTCTTATCCCTCTCTAATTGTCCCGAGTTCTGTTTGTTCATTTCCCTGGGCGAATATGGTCCATTCACACCCGTGGGCTGCGAAAGCCCTGTGGGATTTTACAATACACTGCGCTAAATGCTCATTCCAAGAGCGACCACACAATCAGGCCCTTACTCATACCAACAGCAAGCGCAGAAGGACCTCGGGAGGGAGTTGAGATTTCTTTGTTTTAAAACAGGGCTCATGGTATCACTAAGGTATCGTTGAAGGCCAAAATGCACAAGAAAAAAAAGCTGAAAAAATGAACAGAAACAAGACCGGCTTTACTTCTTACCCGCAGCCTCCTGATCCAACACGCGCCACATCGCCGGGTTGTCCACCACGGTAAACCCACCCGGCAGCCTCTCAACCCCCTCACCATCCAACGCACCCTCCCACATATTAGTCGCCATACCCGTCAAAAACCTTCCCAGCGGCCCGGTCGGACTCCACCTCCCCTTGATCGCGTACTTAGCAACCGGCGAAAGGAGTGTGGCGAACGTATTCTTAGCCGCTCCAATCTCCGGCAAGTAAGGCTTGATCTCCTCATGGCCGGTCCAGTCGACGAAGCTCGGGCGGACGGTGCTGGCTTTGAGCGTGGTCGGGTTCTGCCTCTGCATCTCGGCCAGTGCGAGCTCCGTTTCACCCTTGACTCGCCCGAAGATGGGCGTGAAGAGGCCCGGCTTGAAGGTGGAGCCGTCGCCTGAGACGTAGACGAAGTGGAAGGGTTCCTTGGTTTTGGTGGTATGCGTGAGGTCTTTGAAGGCCTCTGCGGCTGCGAGGGCGTAGGTTTTGGTGATTTTGACGTAGTCTCTGTGGGGGAAATAGTAAGTTGGTTGAACCATCACTCGTTGTGTCAGGCGCTCTAGAGGGAAAGGAGGAGGGTGAGTAGGTAGGTAAGGTAAGTAAAGCAACCTACTCCTTGTTGACTTGGGTCTGACTAATCCCCAATGCCCACACACAGCCCTGCGCACCTTCGAGCTTCTGGAGCAGCTCCTTGTCGTACGTCTCAAAGTCCTTGTGGAGGATGACGTTGATGCGGTCGTCCGTGAGCTTGAGTGGTCTCCGGCTAATGACGGAAATTTTGGTGACATCTTTGGCCCGGACCATGGCGTCGAGCACGGCGGTGCCCACGAGGCCAGTTGCGCCTGTTAGGATGAGATGCATTTTGTTGGTGGTGGTTGAGGATGTTTAAGTTTAATGTGAGTGTGTCCGCTTGGGTAAAAGGCGTCGATCGAGAGAAACTGAAGAGCACGAAATGAATTGCACCAAGTACGAAGGATGAGAAAGCAGCTGAAGAAAGCTTTGCCGACCGAGGATCGTCTCGCTCTTGTACTAGGCGGATAGCGGAGAAGTTTGGTTCTGACTGCATTGCTGACGGCGGGCTTACTCGGGGTTAAGGGCCTCTCCGGACCGGGTCGGGCCCGGAGATTGTCAAGTGGATCTGACACCGGCGCTAGGTTGCCCCGTGCGGACGCGTCCGCCCCACTTCTTTGGCCACGTCGACGACGACGACGGGCTCCGGAACGATTCTGTTCTCTTTTTTCTGTTTTTGGCGAAGGAGAGAAACATTAGCTCCTGCCCCTCGATCTGATGGCTATCAGCCCAAGAGATGCTCATACTCGAAAATGGAAAGGGCAAGAATAAAAAACCACCGCCATCGTATTAGTTACCCCTGAGTCGCCTTGTCAAGACTTGCCCGTTTACGAGGCGGCCCCTCAACATCTTCAGTTTCCTCCACCTCAACAATCTTCCTTTTCAACTTCAAATCCCCCCTCTCAAACACCATCTTAGCTTTCTCCCCACCAGCCCATTCCCCAACTCCCGTCAGCGCACCAAACGGAACATACACCACATTCCCTCCCGGCTGTCTCAATGGCTCTTCTACCCCCCCGCCTTGTCCCAGTCTCGATTCAGCAGCAACACCAGTCCCACTCCCAGTCCCAGTCCCAGTCCCAGCCCCAACCACCTCCCGATCCACAACCGTTAACCACGCCACAGGCGGTAACCCCCCCGTCAAATCATCATACCCCGGCTCACCCCACCGCTTCGTGTCCCTTGACGGGACCTCGATGCGGTACCTGCTTCCCGCCCGGCGCATGGTCAGTTTCAGTTCGACTGCCTGGATGCAGATGGTTGCGATCTGGGTGTGTACGGAGTCTGAGTTGCGGCGGAAGGCGAAGCGGATGACGGGTCGGAGGGCGTCGAAGAGTTCTTGGGCGAGGCCTTCGACGCCTTTGGGGATGTCGCGGAGGGGGGTGGTGGTGGTGATTGTTGTGGCGATCCAGTGGTCGAGTTTGGCTGAGGTGACTGTGTATGAGATGGGAGAGACTGATGTTAGCAGATGTACTTTGTGTGTGTGTGTGTGTGTGTGAACGGTAAGAGGTTGGGGGGTGGGTGTCAAGGAATGGAAACTAACCTCCTTTTGCCTCAAGGTCTTTCTCCAGCGCACGAAGATAAGCTTCCGAGGCGGAAATCCCGCTCCGGAGAAAAGCCTGGACGCCAAAGATGCGCAGGCCCGGACGGAAGATGCGGCGGTACAGCAGCTGGAAGATCTTGGCCATGATCCGGTACCGCCGTTGCCCGGCATTCGCACGGTTCCATTCCTGGGGCTGGAGCAGGTTGTCTACGTCGACGAGATTGGGGGGCAACGGGCCCAGTTGGACGGCCGAGCTCCCGGCAAACTTGAGGATGGTGGTTCGTAGTTTCTGGAAGGCGAGCGTGACGGCTTGTTTCCCTTCCCTGGAGTTTACTAGGACGCCAGAAGGCATGGTTGCTACAGCTCGACCACGCGGTGGTTGTTCCAATGAAGGTTGGTTAGTTTTTTGTGGCATTCGTTTCTGTTGTTCTTCTTCTAACGCAAGTTTGGCTTCTGCGAGTTGTTGAACGCTGCGGTCAATTTGCATGTTGGAAATTACCAGCTCCGATTGGAGTTCCTTTAGCCGCTTCTGATCGGCTTCCCGTTCTCGCTGGAGTTTGGAAATCTCAAGATATTGTTGTTGTTGTGAGGTGAAGCTTCCCAAGCCGGGCGGTTCGCCCGATGGTGTCACCACTTCTGCGTTGCCGGCCTCGTCGGTTCCAGGTACTACCAAATCTTCCGCATCGGCTCTCTCATCAAGCTCTGGCTCCGTTTGCACAGCGGCATCTATGCCAGCCTTGCGTCGGGCTTCGGGTCCGAAGTCGAACTGAACACCGCTTAGGACGTTGGGTTTCCCGGCCGTCCGGCTTCCTGTCCCGGGCGTAGCGCCGTGTGTGGAACCCGGCCAAGCTCCGGGAACCGATACAACGGGGGTGGTGTCGTCAGCCCCAAGCCGGTTATTTGGGGTTCCATCCGTGCTGTTTCTCGCGCCGACTCTCTTCTCACGTGCCGTCTTCAACAAATCTGTAAACTTCGGGAGGACGCGAAGCTTTTCCCGTGGCGCCTTCGTCTGCGCGTCGTCCCGCCCACGTCGGGATTCACGAGTTTTCACAAGGCCCTCCCACCATTCCGGATCGCCTTGTTTCCCTGACTGCGGGCTCTGCCCGGTCCTGTTGGTGGTCTCATCGGCCGAACGTCGAGAAAGGGGTTTCGGGATCGCAACCTTCTTTTCGGTCCTCTGGCTCCGAAACTGGGGCCGCTGAGGGAGCTGGCCAGCCGACGGTCTTGCCGCCTCATATAGCTCGTTGCCCCATCGGTTGCTGAGAAAACGATGTCGTTGGAGTTTTGACCGGGGGAGTCCTGGGGGGATTGCTGGTGATGGGTTGTAGAAGGGGCTGGGACGGGAGAATGGCGACCAGGAAACCATCTTCAGTGTCGGGCCAGTTTTGACACGAGAAATGGGCATCTCAGCTTGTACACTTTAATTGGGGCTGGGCATCTGCCTGTATCTGTGGTTGTGTTGAGTAACGAGACAAAGGATGTGTCTTTGATACGAGGTGACGGCACCTGATCCAATCGGTGTGGTGACAAAGACTCCTTTTTGATCGGGATGGTCCCAAGACAATGGACCCAACAAAATAAGTCCATCAATGAGACAAGAGAGATGCGCATGGCCCTGCTAATCGACACGGCTGGCCGAACAAGGGCATCCGGCAAAGTTCGCTTCTTTGGCGGCTTGTTCTTAGCCTAGACCAACGGCAAAAGCATGGACTGCAAAATGAGGTAGTAACTATGTGGGATTGAAATCGCGGAATGATATTTGGGCCTTCATTACATACACCTGCGGCCTGAAATAACGGTCTAGATGGTGACCGGGACCTACGACACAGTCTTCTTCCCCTTCTTCTTCTTGCTCTTCCCCCCACCCCCAAGCTGCGCCTGGGCGCCCAAGAGAGATTCGCTCGGCTTTGTTTCTAGGAGCTCATGGAGTGTGATCTCCTCCGTCTCAGAAGCCAGGGACTCGACGTCGTCTTCCAGGTCCCTCTCAACGGGGATGAATGCTGATTCTGTGATATCGGCCATTCGGTCAGAACGTGAACGGCTCAAAGAGAATAGTAGGTGGGCAGAAATATTGGAGGGATCATACCCCCACTGACTCGATACCCGAGGAAGAGTCTGCAAGTCTTTGAACCATTTCGGAGAACATGGAGTTGCTTCTTCAGCTGGTCGCGCTCCGTGCGGATCTCTTCGGATTCTCCCGCAATACTGGCCACCTCCTGAGAGTCCATTTTGCAGACCGAGAGCGGGGAGAGGATGTTGTCGAGGATGGACACCAGCTTGGCCTCGATGACTTCGACAGCCATGTCGTCCACAAACCGTTTTAGAGCTACCTGAAGAGTTGGGTAGATGGTTAGTCCCATTTTAGTTGGTTGAGTGTGCATAGCCGTGGTGGATCCGGAGAGGGAAATTGGGGGGGGGGGTTGAAGACAGGACACACCTCATAGTATGCGTTCAAGCAATCGAGTGCCTCGGTAGCGGCAAACCGCTTCATGTTTGACCCATTGTCCTGGGTTAGAGCGGCTGCAAGCGCTTTGAGATCATAATCTCCACCGAGGTGTACTTTTGTGGAAATAGACGTGCAGTTGAAGAACTTGAGGAGGATATCCTCCGGTGTCTGACTCCGCCTGCTAGAACGGACCTTGTTGAGGGCCTCGGTGAAGGCATGGTCGTATGTGATAGGATGGCCGCCATGAAGCGGGCTGAGGAGCTCCGCGGTCTTGTCACGCATTGCTTGTAGGACGCGCTGCAGGGCGGGGTCGAACACGATGTGCTGAAGCGACTTGGCCGTTGAAGTATCGGCGGTGTGTAGCAAAACAGACTTGACAAAGGTCGAGGCAGCGGTCCAGACGTCATCGACATGGCGGCGGGCGATGGCGGCCCAGGGGCGCGATTGCTCGCGGAATAGATCGACGACGATCATGGGATTGAAGGTACCTGGCAGCTCACGGCCACGGGTCTTGCGCATCAGTTGCTCGATTTGATCAATAAACTCCTCCCTGGAAACCCGAATGTCCTGCTGGGGAACAAGTATTTCCGTCACAGTGTCTTCTAGGCTGTGCTTCTCGACGATAGTCCGATAGTGACCATTGAGCGACATCTGCGAAGCAAAGTCCTCGTTGAGATTTTGCACCACGGCCCGGATGCGCTGCTGGTAGCCTCGGTCGGTTTTCGCGTCACAAAAGAAGGAGCTGTCGTAGTTGCCGCCGACGGCAGCCTTTACCAAGGCCTGGAATGACTGGCTCAGCTGGACCAGGTACATGCGCTGCTCATCCGTAGTGGTCCGTGGGATGCCCAACTTGTCGAGCTGCTCCCGGCAGGATTTGAACTTTTGGTCGATTTCCTCCATCAAACTGGGCAGCTCGGTGGCTATCTGGCCCAGGAGGACCCGGCTGAGACGGGTGCGCAATCTGTCGATGCCGAGAGAGGAGACGGGTAGGGACTTCCAAGCCCCATGGTTGAAGAACTCGGTCTCTTCAGCGTCCCGGATGGAGAGGTCGGCGATGCCTTTCTCCGAGTCCAGGTTCTTGAGAACATGCCAGCCGTGGTGGAACTCAACCTCCTGGTTTCTGGCTAGAGAGACGTATTGGGTCTCGCTGGCGCCCCCGGGGACCAGGGTGTCGGGTTTGGTGATGACACCCAGCGTGCGAGCGCCCGTGGGATCGACGGTCCGGGCCAGCTTCAATACCACCTGGTTGGCAAAGTCGTTTTTGGCCGAGACCACGGCGAGAATGATGCAGCGGGCCTCCTTCATGTAGGACTTGACGACATCCTGAATGAGCTGGACGTCCTCACCCGTCTGGTTCTTGGTTTCGGTGTGGATGAGACCTGGAAGATCCACAATAGTGAGATGTGGGCGATTTGGGCCGGTGGCCTCGATGCGGAGGATGTCCTTTGCAAAGGCCCGGCCATGGGCGGTGATGCCCATCTCGGCCTTGGCCTTTTCGATTAGGTCTGGGAGAGCATCGAATCCGTCTAGATCCGAACGGAAGGCGAGGAGAGCCTTGCGCTCCTGCTCGCTGCGGGACTCATGGGGCACAATAGAGACCGAGGCGCTCGTGTGGTCGGTCTTGCGGAGGACAAGCTCAGTTGGAAACCGAGTGCAAAGGTTGCTTTTCACGGGGAAGGGAATGCCGGAGATGGCTTCCAGGACGGAGCTTTTCCCGGACGACTGATCGCCGCAGACGATGATTTGGGGAAGTGAAATGTAGCTGTTGATGCCCTGCAAACGGAGTTGGTCGATCGAGTCGAGCAGGACCCGCTGATCCTGGGAGCAGAGTTTACTCAATGAGTCGCTGGAGAAGGTCACCATCGTGAGAGATGAGGGATGGTGGTTACCCGGCAAGGAACGCGAGGGAAGGTAAAAGGGGGCCAAGGAGAACGGAACGCCGGGGCTCAAAGCTTGCGTTGAAGACCGAGTCGTTGGGATAGCTTGGGCGACCTAAGTTTCCAACAGTGGCTGGGAGAGAGAGGGTATTTAATTCGGTTTCTGTCTGCTATTGAGAGGCTCTGTTTGATGACAGCCAACTCTGCTGTTGCCTGGGAGTTCTTGCCGTCATGGCTGGAATTGAGGGAACAAACGAGTGACACGAGCTCGGGGAAAACCTATTTGTTCAGATTTTTCCTATCGGTTGACTTCTGCGCATGGACGGCCTCAAAAATTGGATCGCATGACTGTTGGCCTCGTCGTTTGTTGCGTAGGAATGCCGGCTATTGGATGTGGTCAGCCTGCGCGCCTGCCCAACGCAACGCAGCGCATATGATTTGTGATGCGTACGTCTGCAACGACGGGAAGTTGCAGGTGGACAGTGACGGCCGTCCGAGATAAACTTGAGCAAGGTGGACGAGGCAGGAGCAAACAGCCTCGCCCAGACAGATGCCCAGGCGTGTCGGGCCCCCGGCATTTTGGAAGGGCAGGCAGAGCGCAGTATATGTACCTAATATTGGGCAAGGGCGGAAAGAGGTTGTGACGTGTAGTTAAAAAAAATACGGACATCCTACGAATACATAGTAGACATCTTTCGAAATCTTGGACATGGACGTCTTGGCCATCCTCAAGATCTTGGATGTTTTGGACCGTTGGACGTCTCGATGAATTGTGGGCGAGCATGGACCCCTGTTGGTCAATTCTCCCCCGCGCTCCCCCTTGTTTACCGTCGATCTCCTACCGCTTTAGGAAATTTACACGTTAAAGTGGAGTCTCCGGGTGGATTTCACTGAACTAGCATCTAGGAACTGGACCTTGAGTTGCATTTTTTTGTCGGCGTCCTTTTCGCCGAAGAGACGAGCACCAAGGTTTCTGGGCCCCCGTGACGCGCGTGGTGAGATAACCTGCCCCGTTCTACAGTACACATCCACTACTGTCTACACGGTGAAACAGAATGAGGAGAACTGGGTTGATCAGATTAGACGTGGTGGGGTTCTCGAGGTGAGCTTGGGAGCTGATAATTTTAAACTCCTGCGGTAAAGCGGAGAGTCCGGTGCTGAGCTGAACCAGGGTGATACACTAACGTTAGTAGACCGAGGTTGGAACTGCTGACGGTGAATTATTTGAACAAGGTCGGGGAGTCGGGGTTTAAAGAAAACTGGAAGCACTCACCGGGACTCAGTTGGGCCTTTTTCGACCAGCTCTCCAACATAACGCATGCTTGGACCGCCTTACAGTTTTCTCTTGTCTACATCGCATCATCGATTGAAGCCTTCTCCTAATTGTCGGTCGCATTGTCACGGCCATGCATCTCACAGGGGTTCTCGCCCTCGCGTCCGGCTGGGCTACCCTCGCACACGCGGTCGAGCTAACTGGCTACGAATATGTCGTCGTCGGCTCCGGCGCGGGGGGTGGCCCTCTTGCGGCGCGTCTGGCGTTGACCGGGCACAAGACGCTGCTAATCGAGGCCGGGGACGACCAGGGCGCCAGCACCAACTACAGTGTTCCCGCGTACCAGGCCAGGATGTCCGAGGATGAGCACGCGTCGTGGAACTTTTTTGTCCGCCACTATGCCGACGACGAGCAGCAGGCCCGCGACTGGAAGACCACATATGACACCCCCGACGGCGGCACCTACACGGGCCTCAACCCGCCCCCCGGGTCTACGATCCGAGGCACCCTCTACCCCCGCACGGGCACGCTCGGCGGGTGTACTGCGCACAACGCGATGGTGGCCGTCTACCCGCACCGGTCGGACTTTGAGCACCTGGTGGATGTGACGGGCGACGAGTCGTGGGCCCCGGACAACATGCGCCGGTACTTTGAGCGGCTCGAGAAGAAGCAGTACCTGCAGGGTCTGTACGGCGGCCACGGCGTCGACGGCTGGTTAACAACGGAGCTGGCGCCGCTGACGATCCCGCTCGAGGACCCGCAACTGCTGGCCACCATCCTGGGGGGTGCCTTTGCGCTGGGCAACCTGACCGACCAGGTGGTCAACCTGGCCACGCTGCTGGCCGGCGACGCCAACGCCGACTCGGCCCTGCGCGACCATCACCAGAGCTACTACCAGGTGCCCATCAGCACCAACGACGGCCGGCGCACGGGGACCCGCGAGTTTGTGGTCGCTGTCCGTGATGCCCGCAACTTGGACGGCAGCAAGAAGTACCCGCTGGACGTGCGTCTCAACTGCCACGTTACCCGCGTTGTCTTTGATGATTCCACCCCCCCACGGGCCACGGGCGTGGAATTCCTCGACGGCGCCCACCTGTACCGAGCCAGCCCGCTGAGCGGCAAGTCCTCGAGCAAGGGCACGCCCGGGTCGGCTACGGCCTCGCGCGAGGTGATCATCTCGGGCGGCACCTACAACTCGCCGCAGATCCTGAAGTTGTCCGGGATTGGCCCGGCCGAGGAGCTCGCTGAGTTCGGCATCCCGCTGGTGGTGGACCTCCCCGGCGTCGGCACTAACCTGCAGGACCACTACGAGATCTCCGTCACGACCACCGCGCCCGCGGACTGGCCCGCTCTCAAGGGCTGCACATTCCAGTTCAACAACACACACGACGACTGCCTCGACCTGTGGGAGAACCCGGCCCTGGTCAGCGGCCGGGGCACCTACGCCTCCAACGGCCTGCCCGTGGTCATGCTGCTCAAGTCCAGCGCGGCCGCCGACTCGGCCCTGCACCCGGACGATTTCGACGCCTTTGTCTTCGGCGGGCCGGTCAACTTCATGGGCTACTACCCGAACTACTCGTACGACGCTACCTCCAGCCTCCGGCGCTGGACCTGGGCCGTCCTCAAAGCCCACCCGCGCAACACCGCGGGCACCGTCACCCTCCGCTCGGCCGACCCCCTCGACCCGCCCGCGGTCGTGTACAATTACTTTGGCACCGGCGCCCACAACACCGCTGGTGACGAGTACAAGAAGGACCTGCAGGCCATGTATGAGGCCATCCAGCTCGGCCGTGATGCCATCCGTCGGCAGCTCGTGCCCATGCACGAGGACCTGCCGGGCGAGGACATCCAGACGCAGGAGGAGATCGAGCAGTACATCCGGGATGGCGCGTGGGGGCATCATGCCAGCTGTACGTGCCCGATTGGGGCGGATGATGACCCGATGGCTGTGTTGGATAGCAAGTTCCGTGTCAGGGGCGTGCAAGGGTTGAGGGTAGTTGATGCGTCGGTGTTCCCGCGCATTCCGGGGACCTTTACCGCTGTGTCGACGTTTATGGTGGCTGAGAAGGCGGCTGATGAGATCCTCAAGGCGCTGGAGTAGGTGCGGTAGTCGGGATAGATGTATTATTATGTAAAATTAATCACTGGTACATATCTGCATGTAGCGATAATGTGTTTTAACTCATGGCGGCGTAAAATATGCCGTTGCTCTTTTTGATGGCTGGTAATTAAACGCTTATTTAATTTTTAAAAAAACTACTCTCTTCAAGGACCCTCGCTGGATTTCTTCATCCCATCCGGCGACGGCAGCCGCAGAAACTCCTCACTCGTATTATAACACTCAGCCGAGTACTCCCCCACCATGGGCTGCAACCTCAACTCGTTCGGATCCCCCCTCTCATGCGCCGACGTCCTGACCTCTGTCGTGCGCGCAAACGACCTCTTGACCGCAATCGATCCCGCTGTGCCCCCCTGGCCGTCCTGCTGCTTGTAACGCGATTGTCCCGGGATGGATGGACGGGGACCAAAACCGAGTTTGAAGCTGGCTTGCTTTAGGAGGGGTTGAAGCGTGGCTAACCCGCCGGCGCTGATGGCTAGGCACTGCTCGACGGTTGACCAGATGGCTACGGGGACTGTGTCGTACAGGAAATCGGGGCTGGAGAGGTACTGGAGGTAGGGGAGTCGGGCGACGACTGCGGCGCTTGCACTGAGGTAACGAGTCAGTGATTTCCTTGATACTTGCACTCCCAGGGGCTCAGGGGGTAAGTAAACAACGACGAAAAACACTTACATGCATCCCAACCCCATCAACAAATACAACGTCACCTTCACCCTCCTCCGCATATTCAGATGCGACAAGATCCACGCCGGCATCAGCGCAAAGGTAAAGTCCGTAACAATGTTAATGATGCTAAACAGAAACCCCAGCGCCAGCACTGCCTTATCCGGCACACAGTAGCCGTCTTGGCTGTACTTGTCCCACCAGAAGCTGACGGGCCAGCACTGGAAGATGCAGGCAAAGAAGAAGACGACGCAGGTGAGGATCGTGAGCACCGAGGCCGCCATGAGGATCCAGTGGTGCATTCGTTCGACGATCACCCGGCGGAAGAAGAGCGCCATCGACATCTTGGTGAGCATCATCGTGATGGCGTAGGTTGGGTAGCAGCAGTACCACCACTGTAGCACGTGGTTAGATGTCTTCTCTTAAAAGAGTAAGATAAAAAAAAAGTTGGAAAACGACAGGGACAGCGGAACTCACCTTCTTGGCTTCCGCATACGCCTCCTTACTGAGCTGGTCCACATGATACCCCGTCCCGTTCGACACCCCAGCGAGCGAAAAAGCGCAGTAAAAGGCAAAGAATATCTAACACCACCGGTCAGCGTCCGCTGCACAGAACACACAGAACTCGTCGTCCAGGGACATACAACGGCGGCCACCATGAGCCAGTCATCCGGTCCAAAGGCTTTGAGTAAACGGATTCTCACATAACACCGGAGCGCGGTAATCGTCACGGCGAGAACCAGCGCGGTGATGTTGACGGCTGTGAGCGAGGTAGCTAGGACCTCGGGGGAGGTCCCCATGATGGAGGGTGATGCGGGAGACTATCGATATTGGGAGTAGTTGTGGGCTGGTGGTGTTCTTGGGCGTTGTTGAAATTTGCCGACTCCGGCGGTGCATTGAAGGTTTTCAAAAATAAAATAATAATTAAAATAATAAATAAAAGGAATCGCCTGCGTGTGTTGGCGTCGATGTTAAAGCCGAGATACGCGTGTTACACTGTTTTCGTCGTACTCGTTTTACCGTTCATAAAGTCGTTTCTAAAAGGCCGGATGGCGTCGTGGTCGTCCCAAACGGCAACCGGTCATGCATGATGAATGCCTCCGGAGAGACAGAATCAAAAAGAGTCGAGGAACCCGTCATCCTCCTTGTCCTTATTTTAAAAAATTTAGCGACCCAAGTGTTGGTCCCAGCCGCTGCAGCATGCAGTGCAAATAACTCCCGCGTTGCTCACCGTCTTCCCACATCCCTGAAACGGCACGGCATCCATCCTTCAACTTGTGGTACCCTAAATTTACAGTATGCTGACCAAGAGGGCCTTGAGGGCTGGAGCACAGATCGAATGCCGTGCCCGAGGTGAAGATCCGCGCCCGACCCCTGGTTCCCACATGGATGTGCATCGCAGAGTAGTAGCGAAGTGGGAAGGCCGCGCCTTTTGTTTCCCCTTTCTCTCCCCTCATTTTTTTGAGCCTTGTGCAGAATCAGTTAGACCGGTGCAAATGCCGCACTGGCAGCACTGGAGCCTCGATCACGTTTGGTTGGCGTTCGCCATGTGCAAACGTGTCACCGTGCCTAACCGAGGTCAACAACATGGATCTCCTTGTGGTTTTACTGTTTTGCGTTGGGCTTGCGAACGAGGTGATCCGGCAACATCCGGCGCCTCGAATGATGTGATTTGATGATTAAGGGGGACGGGAATCTGGGGAAATCGGGCTAGGAAGAAATAACCCTAGTGTAGTGAACTACGGAGTTTTTGAAGGAGGTTGAGACAGTGTCACCCACATTCCGAAAGAGATTTCTTCTTGTCCGCGCAACCTTTCCGATGTTCGAACTCATCGGGGTCGAATTGGCGAATAATTTCTTTCGTTGCAAGTTGCCAACGCCGGCCGACCCCTGCCTGCCGGCCGCGCGACGCGGAGAGAGTTGCCTAATCGGGCATGGAAATGCTCTGGCCTCTGGATCGGCGTCGCGTTCCTTCGTGGGGTTTTCGTGGGGTCGTTTGCGGCTGGGACCGGGTGGTGAGCGGGCCGTGATGGTTGTTCCCTTGACCCGACGCTCTCAATCCTGAAACATATTAACGTTATAACTTTGCACAGAGATTGATGATGGTGGCGGCGTGACGCACGTGACACCCATGAACGTAACTGCTCACTTTGAGTTCTAAGATCACCTGACCTCCGATAGTTAATCCCCATTTTCCCATTGCTTCAACGAGGACGTGGAGAGGTCTGTGCAAACCCTAACCCTTGGGGCATCGATCAGATCTGTCGGTGCCATGATGTCACCCCGATGCGGCGAATCGGTGCGTCGCGATTGGCCGACACGGGGAATCGGTATAATATCGTCATAGCCGACGCGATTCAGGTTTGCGCCATCGCCATCACGTCAGGAGATATAGAATAAAGGTTACCAGATTCTGGTATTAAGCTGTGTGTAGTTTTGTGATCATATTGTACTCAGTATTGTGCTTGAAACTGTCTGAAAATAATTATATCTTAGTCACAGCAAGTGTTAGGGGACCGTCGCAGCTTCCATACACCATCATGGCCTCAACGTCGATTCCCAAGACAATGAAGGCGTGGCAATACTCCAAGACGGCAGGAGGCCTCGAGAAGAACCTCACCCTTCAAAACGCCGTCCCCGTCCCTAGACTCCCCACGAACCCCAGCACTGCCCAACTCCTCATCCAAGTGTTGTCGACGAGCATCAACCCCGTCGACTACAAGGCGCCTGAGACAGGATTCTTGTCCCGCATCGTCTTTGGTTCACCGGCAACTCCAGGCACCGATTTCTGCGGGCGTGTGGTGCGGACTGCAGGCCCGGCGGACGAGAGGGCCGGGTTTGACGTTGGGGATCTAGTCTTTGGTCGGACAGGCTTCCAGCAACACGGTACCACGAGCGAGTATACCACAACCCCAGCAAAAAATGTTGCGCGTCTGCCAGACGGGGTGAGCCCTGATGATGCTGCTGCCGTGGGCGTGGCGGGTTTTACGGCGTATCGTGAGTTTCCCTCGATTTTGCAGCTATTGGACACAGTAGAGTAGCTTGGACTAATACCACAATAGAGAGCATCGTGCCCCATGTCAAAGCGGGCGACAAGGTCTTCATCAACGGAGGCTCAGGGGGCACCGGCACCTTTGGCATCCAAATCGCTAAACTCCTCGGTTGTCACGTCACTGTGTCCTGCTCCCCCGGAAAGGCCGACCTTTGCCGCTCGCTCGGCGCCGACGAGCTCATCGACTACAACTCCAACGACGTCTCGGCGGCTCTCAAAGCAAAAGGCCAGGTGTTTACGCTGGTCGTCGACAATGTGGGGTCGCCTGCCTCGCTGTACAAGGCGGCCAACGATTTCCTGCAGCCCACGGGCCGGTTCGTGCAGGTTGGAGCGGGTCTGGACGCACACTCGGTCAAGACGATTACACCAAGGTTACTGCGGCCTGCGTTTCTCGGGGGTGGAAAACGCAAGTATGAGCTGTTTGTGATGCGCCCCAACCGCGAGGATCTGAAACAACTGGGGACGTGGATTGCAGATAAGAAGATTCGGGTCGTTATTGGGGAAACTTACGAATTCGGGGACGTGCCTAAGGCATTTGAGAAGTTGAAGACGGGTCGAACGATGGGGAAGTTGGTCATTCATGTGGGGAAGTAGGGTTAAGGTTTGGTCATACGGGTGTCAGGTATGGAACATAAAGTTCCCCGACTTTGAGTCCTGGGCAATTATAAAAAGTCTGGGATTGTACTGTGAAAGACACTGACATTTTCTAGATCATCTTCTCTAGGCTGCTTCAACCGGTATTGTTAGATGCACCAGATTTCATCTGAAGTCTGGCAAGTACAACCCACGCTAACGATACATCCGCTGGAAGCTTCTTTCTTCTCCTTTTCACCCCCCCGCCCTCTATAATCCCCCCATCTACAACCATGGTCGATCTCACCCCCCCTGCTGAGGACCAGAACAACAAAGTGGTTGTGGACCCTTCGCACGCGGCTGCCGACACCACCAGCCAGACCTCCCCGAACAACAGCATGGAGGATCCCCGCGCCGTCGTCGAAACGCACTTGTGGCGCGACGTGCGTCAATACCTGAAGCGCCAGGCTCGGCCCAACTCCCTCCTAGCCAATGAGCCCGCAATCATCGCGACCTGCCCTATCTGCCTGGTCGCGGAGCTCGACATCGCGGGCTTGCCAGCTCCCGGCACCACCTTGGTCCCTAACCCCCTTGCCACCGCCAGTGGAGACCGCTTCGCGCCCATGGCGGTATCCAGTCCAGCCGCGGTCTTGGTGTGCGGCCACATGTGCTGCCGGGAATGCATCCACACCTGGATCAGCACATGTGTCGTGGACAGGCACCGGCCGCTCGCCTGCCCCGTGTGCCGGGCGTCGCTGAAGTTTACGGACTGCGAACATTCTATCGCGCCGTACCACTTGGCGAGCCACGAGGAGTTCGCATCGTCTGGAGCGCAACCGGACGATGGGGAGCATCTCGGGCTTAGCTTGGCTCGGAGCGTCGAGCCCACCTTGACCGAGGGCGCCGAGGCCCCGCAAGGCTGCCGGCCCTGCCTAATGGAGATGCTGAGCCCGTGGCTGGCGGCGGTGGTCCAGGGCGTTAAAGATCTTCAGGACGTCGACGAGGCAGGGCGGGCCGCTTGTCTGGAGCGGCTGAGGAACCAAGAGGACATATACGCCTCGATGGTAAAGCGGATTGGGGCGTTTGCCTGGGGTGATCAGTGGACCCCCTGATCGGGAGAGGGAGAGGTTGTGGAGAAAGTTCAACATCAAGTATAAGGAGGTCATGGACGCGAAAGGTCCGCAATTCTACAAGAACCGCGCTGAACCGGCGAGGCTAGCCTACCGCGATGCCTATAAATATGCCAGAAAACAGCAGAACCACGAGAGGCTGGGCGGGACTTAATTTTACAAAAAAGGGGGCTTAGGGTTAGCGGGCCGACAAATCCACTGACAACCTGCAGAGTATGACGTTATTATATAACAATCCCACCTCACACACACACTCGATGGTAAAGCGGATTGGGAGGACGAGAGGTTGTGGACGAAACGGCGAACATGTAATTACTTGCTTGGGTGGTCGATTACTTGGCGATTGTTGGGCTGGATAGGTAATTCATTAGAAGTGGGGACGGGGCTCACGGGAGGATCAGTGAGTGCATGGTTGACACATGTATTTGTATTATTTGTATTCTCAGCTGGCGTGATATTCACTGGTCAAATGGAACGGAGAGGTCTGTTTTCATTTCCTTTTTCATGTTATTCTTGTTCTAGAAACAACGCAATTGATTGTGGTTGTAATTACCTAGGCTTGTAGGTCCGCTTGCCTCTTGGAATGCGCTCAGTTGTTCTGCTACATGTGCTGGCGCGCCTAACTGCTGGGTTGGTGCTGTCGTTTGTTCTTGTGACGTTTTGATGGCCATCCTACCTACCTAAGCAGATGGATTTTGACAGTTAATTACCCATTGTGTCGTACTGGGCCGGGGGAGACCTGACTGCCAACACAAGAAAATGGTCTCGTTAGATGGGCCATGTTGTCTATCTGAGGGCGCACAGGTTCGTTCGCGGAAATACAAGGAAAGAAAGAAGAACGAAATCAGTGTTAAAAGAAAGGGAAAGATAGGGTCTGGAATCTAGGGGATGGAGTGTTACAAGATTTTCATCAACTAATGCATGTCAGCTGGTACGTTAATGATGAACTGAGTGACTGTCTAGCTCAACTTCCTAGGTACTCATTATATGCATCATGTAAATAACGAAGACAACGACAATGACAGGAAAGCAGATAACCACAGTAGGGGCGAGGCATACAAACCCTGGCTATGAAAGCTTAGAGGTCCACCCCCAAATCTCACCAAAACAGCCCCTTCTTCTCCTTCCTCTCCTCCTTCTTCTTCTCCTTCTTTTCCTCCCTCTCTTCCTTCTTCTTCTCCCGCTGCTCCCTCTTCAACTCCTTCTTCCATTCCTTCATCCTCCTCCGATCCTCCTCCTTCCTCCTCTCCTTCACTCTCGCAACCGCCTCCTCCCAGGCCTCATCAACCCCCGGCTCATGCGTTGACACAGCGATAACAGACCCCCCCATAATATCCCGTCTCGCCTTCACCAGACACCACGATTCAATCTCCTCTTTGCACCCTGGGGCTTGGCAGAATAATTTGGCCTCTTGTTTGTATGTTGTTGGCGGTGTTGGTGTATCGGTCTCTAATCCCACCCACTTGTCCGTTCGGCCATAGTATGCGAGCATGCACTCCGGCCGGGGGCATGTCCCCCTATGTAGACATTTCAAGTGCCCGATGTAATCGGCCCCTTCATCGATGGCAATGAACCGGTCGCATATCGGGCATTGATGCTGGGAATAATAAGCTTCGGGGTGTCGTGGGGTTGAAGCAAGGGGGCGGTTAAGGCCGGAGCTCTTATCGTTGGAGTCGGAGGTGGTTGTGGTTGTGTATGTGGGGGGTGGCACGACTTTTGGCTTGCGGCTTACGTTCGGCTTCCCGTCTAGGTTTAAGTAGATGGGAAATAGGATTGGTAGACGTTTGGGGCCGCGCTCGTGGATGACGTCGTCGTCGGTGAAGATGGGGGGTGGGTTTGTTGACATGGCTGTGGTTGGCTTCGTTAGACCGTGGGTGTGAGGTGATGCGGTCGATAAAGAATGTTAATCGAGGAAAAGGTCTGGCGGACTGTTGTGGGAGATTTTAGAAATGCGTGTTGATGGTTATATAGGTACCTAGGTACCTAAAGGATATGCTTGAAATCGGGTCAGCATGGCTGTTCATGCTCCGGTTACGACCCCCGTGGATATATCCTTTGTTCTCTGCGTCAACCTTCTTAAATTCGGCTGGCATGTTTGCCTTAGAAGACGTCCTTTGTTGGCAGCGTTTTCAACCACGAACAACACACCATATGACACGCCGACCGACCGGCGTGTAACGGCTAGTAACCCAGGTCGCCTTTGGATCACGAGCCATCTTGGTCTTTTTTTGTTAGCTCTCCCACCCATTTGAGGCTTTGATGAACCGCTTAGGGCCAGGTGAGTTTCTCCCCTGGTGCTCATTTCCAGGCTGAAAAGTCTAGAATTAATACCCAAGGCAATTTCATTAGTCGATCCACATCAGTCTCGCTCCGCTGACACAATTCGACGTTTCCTACAGCCGGCACACACCCTTCGCGACTTGTTCTACACAGGGAGGTTTCATCACGGAACGATGTCGACACACCAAATACATAATACTCCCCCCACCGAGTATGAGCTCATCACCAAGCCCCCGCCCACCTATGCCGAAGCGATGAGGTATCCCTCCAATACTGGCGGCGGGGTCGAGATTGGCACTTCGGCCCGGGAGGTACCGCCATCTTCATCTACTCCCTATCCGGCGGGAGACAGAACGGGAGACAGCAGAGGAAATGGGGGAGCAAGGACAGCCGGAGGGGGGTCGAGTAGGAGGGAATTGGAAAGGCAGCGAAGGAAGGAGACGTGCTCTGGGAGCTGTTGTTCTTGCCTGAAGAATACGGCTATGGTCGTGGGTGGTATAGTTTGCGGTATTCTATGCGGCCTAATTTGCCTAATTGACGGGGTTCTATGTATCGGTACATGTGGCTGCGTGCGCTGCTCAGGTTTCGGAAATTAATCGATGGCTCGTTTGGTGGGCTTGGATCTTCTTGATGCTGATTTGAGATCGCGGGCTATGATCCTTACGGTAGTTGGAGGCTGGGTGGTCAAGTCGAGTCAAGTCCAATTCATAATATAGCTACCTAGACTGCCAGATAGTATAGAGACCTATATGATATATCTGAAATAATGTCTGCGTGGCTGTTGCTGTTCTAGTGGCAATCACCAGAGACAGCGGAGATAGCTCCTTTGTTCTCTGCGTACCTAAGGTACGTAATTAGGACTCCTTAAATTCGGCCGACATGTTTGCCTTTACTACAAGGAAAACGTCCTTTGTTAGCAGCGTTTCCAACCACCAACAACACACCATATGACACGCCGGCCGGCCAGCACGTAACAGCCAGCAACCCGGGCGGCGTCTGAATCAGTGGACAAGTCGACTTGTTCTTTGTCTGTTGGGCCCTCCCGCCCATTTGAGATTTTTGATAAATCCCCACGGCCAGGTGACTTTTCTCCCCAGGCGATCATCCCCAGGCCGAAAATCCCAGAATTAATTCATACGCAATTTCAGCAATCAATCTGCAATACTTAAGTCTGTCAGGTTTGGCAGAATTCGCCGTTTCTTACCCGGTATTACACATCTCTTACAACCTGTTTTACAGGGGGAAGGATTCATCAAAGAACGATGGCGACACACCAAATGCACACTCCCCCCACCGAGAATGAGCTCGTCACCAGGCCCCCGCCCACTCATACCGCAGGCATGAGTTACTCCCCACAGCCCGGAAGCGAGACCGGGATCGAGGCTTCCGCTTGGGAAGCACCGCCGTCTCCATCTACTCCCTATTCCGCGGGATATAGAAGAGAAAATAGGGAACCCAGTAGGAAGGAATTGGCAAAGCAGCAGTGGGAGGACATGGGCTGTATGTGTCGTGTTTTCTTCAAGTATACGGGTCTACTCTTAGGTGGCACAGTTTGCGGTATTTGGGACTGCGGGTCCTGGTGGTGTCGTGTTTTCTTCAAGTATACGGGTCTATTCTTGGCTGGCACGGTTCGCGGTATTTGGGACCGCGTGGCCTGTATCTGTTGTGGTTGTTTCAAGTGTATGGGTGTACTCTTGGGTGGCATAGCTGACTGTATTTGGGGGTACATGCGCTGTGTGTATGGATGTTGTCGAACTATCTGTACAGACGGGAGAGAGCCCTGCCCGTGTCTCGGATAGTTAATGGCCCGTTTGGTGGGTTTGGTTCTTGTTGGTGTTGATTTCATCGTGGGCTATGGTCCTTATGGTAGTTGGCGGCTAGAGCTTCGGGTGTAGGCATCGCAGGGAGCAGAGGAGAGGACGAGTCCAATACATGACATAGACTGCCTCATAGTATAGGTGCCTACATGACATGTTTGACATAATGCCTGCGTGGCTATTCCTGCTCCGGTGACAGCCACCAAAGCCGGCGGAGATAGCTCCCTCGTTCTCTGCGTAAAGCTCCTTAAATTGACCGACATGTTTGCCTTACAAGAAGACCTCGTTTGTTGGCAGCGTTTTGAACCACCAACACACCACATGACGCGCTGACCAGCGCGTAACGGGCCGCAGCCCGGGTTGCCTCTGAATCACGGGTCGTCTTGTTTGCTAGCCCTTCCGGCTTATTTAAGCTTTTTTGAGAAACCGCCCAGGGCCGTGTGAGTTTCTCCCCGAACTTTCATATCTGGGTTCAAAAAGTCAGAACTGAATAACCTCCTCAATCGACCTACTTCGGCCTGTCCTCTTTGGAAAGCCTCATTTCCTCCTACAGTCGGCTCACATCTGTCGGCGAACTTACACCCAAAGAAAAACTGATTTCTTCTCAAACAAACGACAAACCATAAACGATTCCCGCGATGTCGACGCGCCAAACTCATACCTCCCCAACGGGGCATGAGCTCGTCACTAGGCCTCCGTCTACACATGAAGAAACCATGTGCTACTCTTCGCATCCCAGCAACGAGAATGAGATCAGGACTTCCTTCCGGGAGGTATCTCCATCTCCCTCCACCCCCTTTCCGGCGGGAGACAGAAGAGAAAAAGGGAGAGGGAAGAAAGCTAAAGGTGGATCGAGGAAGAAGAAATTGGAAAGCCAGCGGGGGAGGGAGGTATGTTGCGATTGCTTGGGTTCTGTGGGTAGGGGCTTGCGGTACGTGGTTTGCTGTGTTACGTGTTGCATCGCTGACTGTTGCTGTAAATATACTGGCCACTAAGCTGTCTAGTCCGGATAGTGGTTCATGTTGTTCGTCTGGACTTTCTTAATGTTGATTTGATCGCTGATTGCGCTTGTGGCTGGGGGTTCGACGGCATGTATCGCAGCAGGGAGAACAGGGGAAGGGAGGGGCGGCCAAGTCCACTTCTCAATAACATGGACTGCTTCGCAATGTATTTACATCTTGATCATTCCCTTCCTCGCCAATAACCCTCTCCCGTCAGTCATAAGAATGCACATCTACAACCCAAAGAACGTCATATCATCACTCCCCCGAATAGGCACCGTGTGGCCGACGCCCTGAGCATAGATGCCGATGAGGTTGTCGCCCCAGGTGTAGGTGGTGTACTGGGACTGCGGGGTGTTTCCGGCGGTCTCGTCGGGCTTGGTGTAGTCGTAACCGAAGACGCTGGCCCACTGCTTGATGGTTTCGTTGTAGTTGTTGGGGTACAGCGTGGTGTCGGCAGAGCCGTGGTAGATTTGCATCTTAGGGCGGGGGCCGTCGTAGCCGGGGTCCATGTTGAGGGCGATCTGGGGGAGTTAGTTTTAGTTTCTTTATTTCTTTTTTAGTTTTCTTGTTTTTGTGAAAAGGGAACATACCGAACCCCAGAGCTCGGCTGAGCCGGTAGATTGTCCGGTGGCGCAGGAGTTGTTCCACGTGTCGGCGCCGCCGGCCTGGTCGTAGAAGCAGCCGGCTGGGACACCCGAGTAGACGATGCCAGCGGCAAACAGCTCGGGGTACGTGGCCGCCATGACGTTCTGATTTCTACTTGTCAGTACCTCTTCTTAAACTCTCAGAACTCCTTTGCTCACCGTCATCATGGCACCCGACGAAGAGCCGGTGACAAACACCTTGCTGGCGTCGGCACCGTACTGCTCGAGGGTGTAAGACACCATGTTGGCAATCGAGTTGCTGTTGCCGCCTCCGTTGTGAGTCAATGTCTCCTTGGACGACACATCCCAGCAGGTACCGCTGTAGGGCGACTCCGGGTAAATGACGATGAAGCCCTTCTGGTCGGCGAGCTGGGCGTAGGGCGAGCCGCTGTAGTAGGCCTGGGCCGTGCCGGTGCAGTAGTGGATGGCCACGATGATGGGGGGGTTCTCGGCCAGCTGCGAGGGCACGTAGATGTACATCTTGGCTCCTGACGGGTTGTCGCCGAAGCTGTTGACCTGCGTCAGGGCGGCCGCCGCGCGCTTCAATGGCGCCGAGGGTTGCAGGAGGTCATCGAGGACGGGGTGGGCCAGGACGCTGGTGCTCAGGAGGCCGAGCGCGGCCGAGATCTGAGTGAGGAACTTCATCGTGAGATGGTGATCGTATCGTGAGGAGGTTGAGAGAAGCTCGGATGAGGATGAACCAGGTTCGACTGGAAAGAAACGGGTTGGAAGCCGTGGATAGATATACTACTTGGCAGACAACCTGGAACTCCAATCCCGAAGGGATGCGCCCCTCCGGCACCCCAGGCTTCTCGACGTAACCCCCCGCGACGATCATATCGAGATTGTATCGTTCCTTTCCTCCGCTACCACGTTGTTGGTCGCGGCTATCCTGGCTCTTGGCCCTGGACGGGAATCAACATGCCAAGTCCAATTAGGCGAAGCCGGATAGTCGTCATGCTTCAATTACCCGGTGACTGCCTTTTTTGCAACTTGATAGTTACTCGATCGTGACTCGAGGTTCGAAATGGTATTTGACTGATGGTAATTACCAAGATGATGCTAAAAAGAAGTCGTTTTCCATCAAGCTTTCTTTGCGTCCTCGAATTGTTTCCTTGAGATGCTTCCTTGAAACTTTGCGCAGGTGGAAACTCTAGAAACCAGATCTGCCATGGAGTCCCAGACTTACAGAGTTTTGAGAGCAAAACATCTTCCCTTTGTGCGAGAAAGCTGGGCCAATGACGTAGCACTGCGTGTTTCGGCAGAGCAGAAAAATCTCCGAAGCATGAGCGCGGAAGGAACGCTTCCATTGTCGTTTCAGCCGGATTGGGATGATGGACCCGCACTTGGGTTCCAGGCTCCCAATTCCTCAAGCCGGATTACAGTGTGCATTTTATGTTACGCTGCTGAGAAAATGTCTTGAAACACTCGGCCTGGGGTAAATCGGGTTGGAAACTTGAAAAGAGTAAATCAAGCATGTGCGGCTGAAGGGAGCTGACCAGCGACGTACGACTTAATGAACAAACGAGCTCCGATAGAAAGGAAGATTCCATTTCCGGCGGGGAAAATCCACGAACCCAGAACCGTTGTCCCTTACCCGGTCTGCCGGTCCAGCATGTTATTCAGGGGCGATCCCCGATAGGCGCACCAAACAAATACCGGCAACGGTTCCGTTTCGTCATGGCCGTGCTCGGAAAGTGAAACAAGGGCTCTTCAAACCATTGTTGATCTACTGCCCTGCTGAGTTGACTTTTGCCTCATCGTGCATACACAGTCGAAAAACCAGGACCAATATTAGTATAGATCTACGGAAGAAAGAGACCCTGCCAAGATAGCCGTGAAAGCTTCTCTGCCTCTCTGCCGCGATCCGTTGCCGTTTTGTTCCCAACCTTAACCCCGTTACTCCCTTCCTTCTACCCGGGTACCACCACGATCGATAGTATTACCATTCTGATCACCGTCCCCCTTCCCGTTCCTATCACTGCCCCGGTTCCCAACATCACCACTCCTGCTACTTTGAGTCCCGACAACTCCCACCGGTTGATCCAACAATCACTCCCAACGCGCCTTTTCTACCACATCACCGCCCTGTCGTAGCCGTGCCCGCCAGCCTTCGACCCAGCGCCATGCTAGTCTTGCCTCGCCAACTGCTTCGGTGTATGCCGGTTTGGATTTGGACTTTGGATGGAGTGTGAGGGTGGTTCTGCGGAGGGTATGCTGAGGGATGTTGGAGTGGGTGGGTACGGCTGATTCTTGTTGTGGGTGAGTCTCGCTAGGGAGGTCATTGGCAACATCATTGAATACCCCTTCGCTGTCATCGCCGTCACTATTCTCCTCATCATAATCATCCACCGAAACCTCCGTCCGAATAGACAGCACCCGCAGCCGATCAAAGTTTTCCCTTAACACTACCGGCACGTCAACCTTGACTTCCCCCTCCTCTTCAGCATCATCCCGAACCACCCTTCCCGAATGCCGCGATGATGCCGCTACCGACGACGACAACAACTCCGGCCCTTCCCCCTTCCCCCGGCCACGACTAACCCCCCTCGCCTGCGGGCCCGGGCCCGGAACCAGTCAATTCCCAGGCATTGTACTACCATCCGCGGCCGCAGAAAACCGTCGATGTCGATACCGCGGTGGTTCCCATTCCGGACCTGTCTCATCGTTGCCATCGTAGAAATGACTCGGCGTTCCGCGGGTGGTAGAGCCTGTGTAGCCGGATGTGTCTAGGGCGCCGGGGTAGGAGACGCGGTCACGGCTGCTGCTGCTGGGTTTGGGTCCTACTGGTTCGGGGTCGGAAGGGTCTTGGTGTTGATGGTGGGAGTGTGGCTCGAAGATGTTGCGCATGCGGCGGAAGAGGCTGCCTGTGTTGCTGGGGTGGCTGCTGTCACCGGTATCCTCGTGGCTAGATTGGGTGTCTTTGGTGCTGTCTTCGTGGGAGACGGGGTGTTGGTCGAGAGTGAGATCGGGGGAGGCCCGTCCCTGCCAGGGGGCCATGAGCGTCAGGGGGGTTGTGGTACCTCCGCCGTCATCGACTATCTCCTCTTCTTCTTCTTCTTCCTCCTCCTCCTCCTCCTCCTCCTCCTCCTCCTCCTCCTCCTCGTGATCATCATCACCACTGAAACGAGGAGGATGAGAAGGAAGTGTCGGGCTATCCACATTCGGCTGATCAACCCGACGAGCCAACAAAGCCTCATTCTCCAACTTATGCCTGTTCACTTCCCTGCCAATGTCCATGCCCATGCTCATACCCGTCGATCGACCGCGCCACGGCGAAGACGGCAGGGAAGAGAACGTCGTAACCTGGGTATGATGTGACTGTGGCGTCCAATTGTCTGCTGCGGTCGTGGCTGACCAGATCGTGTCGGCTGTGTTACGTGATGATGCGGTGTCGGGCATGGGATAATCGGACGAGGTTGGGTCTTTGTGGTTTGGGGGTGTTTGTGGTCGTTCGGCGTGGTGGTTGCTGGATGGGAGGCCGGTGTTTCGGATGAGGGGGGTGGATTCGGGGGAGGGTTCGTGGGTATGGTCGTCTTCTGTGTGGGTAGTGGGGGCTTCCTCTGCTGGTTCGGGTCGTGATTCCCGAAGTTGAGTTCCAGGTCGAGACTCATACTCAGACTCTTGCTGAGACTCTGGTTCAGAGTCGTCATCTTCAAAGTAGCTGGTGGCTGCCCCTATTTCGCCTTCCTGGTCGATCTGGCCAGGCTGTTCTGGCCCTTCAGCTTCCTCCGGCAGGTCAGGGGTAGCCGGACCCTGAACGACAACCTGCGGAATAACCTGTTCCACGCCAGCACTGTTGACATGCACCTCGGCTTCCTCCCCTGGGACCGTCTGTTCTGTTTCTGTGTGTGCTATCGCCTGTTGTCTCACATCGCCGTGCTCGAGAACCTTCTCCAACTCGAGGGAATCCTCGCCGTGGTCGCTGTCGTCAAATAAATGGTCTTCGCCGTGGACTGTGGTGCTGTGCTGATGCTCGGACTCGTAGTCTTGGGCGCTTTCTTCATAGCTCGGTGGTTCTTGGCTCTCTGGAAGGACTTGCTCTGGGTTTCGTTCTGCTACCATCAGGTGCTCGGTTTCTTGGCTAGGAATCTTCCGGGGCTCGGTGGCATCCTGCAGAGGGAAGATTTCACCAGGATCCCGGGTCCTGTGGAGAGGCACTGGGGGAGGTGAGTCCAAGGTGCTTTCATCTTCATCCTGGATGGTCGCCGGAGCTGGGACCTCGCCAATTTCCTTTTCGTCGACCCCTGGAGTTATCAGGCCTCCGGCGCTGGTTGTTCTTTCAATATTACCAGGCCCTTGTGTTATGCCTCCTTTCCCTTTGACGTCTGCCCCATGGTTTATAGTCCCGGGAATTGTTTCCACTTCATGTTCTGGGTGGATGGTCTTGTCGTCTGAGACTTCCTGTGCTGGAAGGTCTTCCGCGTCTGGCTGGCCCGTATTCTCGGGAGCTTGGGTGGTCGAATCGTCGGAGATGGGGTTTTCCGATGACGGGTGTTGACTCTCGAAGAAGGCATCTTGGGCTGAATTTTGTGATAGGTCGTTGTTTGGTTCCTGCCCAAGCTCTGGCCCGGTCGTCGACTCCCAAGATCTTGAATGTTCCATCGGTTGCGTATCGGGTTGAGAGGCAGCCGATGCTTCGTTCTCCTGGCTAGACACCCTCCTCCTCCTCAGTGTAGTAGGCAGCTCAGGAAGCGCCGTATCCAGGTGTTCCTCAATCAACCGATTTAGTTCCTACTCCCAGTCAGCACGATCAAGCACCTCCCAGCATAGCATATCCAACAAGCACAGCGAGAAAGAAACAGAAACAACTAAGAGAGACAAAAGAAAAAAAAAAAACTCACCCTCCTCCTCCCCCTCAAAACCCCCAACCGTCTCCTCCCCTCCTCAAACTCCCTCCTAACCTCCTCCTCCACCCGCTCCATCTCCCGTTCCATCTCCCCCTCCACCTCCCTCCTCCTCTCCTCCAACCCCCCCGCACGCACCTCATCCTCTTCTCTCTCCTCCCCCGCCAACTTCTCATCCTCTTCCCTCCTTCTCCTCATTATTTCTTCATCTTCTTTCCTCCGCTGCTCCGCTACCTCCCGTCGGCGGGCTTCGCGCTGGGTGTGGAGGGTTTTGGATTCGGTGGAGAAGGTGGAGGTGAGAGTGGTGAGGGTGTTGGTGTGTTTTTGCTCGAGGGCGTTGAGTGCTGCGGTGGAGGCGGCGGGGTCGAGGGAGGAGAGGGTGCGGTGGATTTCGGTGAGGGTTTGATGCATTTCGGAGGTGAGGCGGGAGACGTCGTGGGGGGCCATTTTGTACTTTTGTAAGGGAAGAGGTTATTAGGTGGGAGGGTTGATTGGATTGGGAGAGGGTTTGGAGATATTAAGGGGGGTGAGGCATTAAGAGTGTGTTAGTTATGGTAATTCGAGAACTATACGCTGGATAGATAGAAGATTGGGATTGGGGGGGATTAGGTTGGCGGTTGGCGTGAAGCTATTCTACCACGTCGGCAGTTTCGTCAAGGACCGTTGACAACCAACTGACGTCGAGATTGCGCCCGTCGAGCAACCCGCACCTCCATACAGCTAGCCGATGGCGACCACCAACTCTGGGATATCCTAGCTCTCAAAGATACCTCGCGGAAGATTCCTGCGTGAAAAGGGACACCCATCCAGCCGGTGGCAAAGTACTGACTCTGACGACTGGGTTTCACGCCGGAGCAGCGGGCCGTGACTTCAGACGGACAAACCCCACTGGAGGATGCTTTGTGACTTGGAGCGTTTTGAAAAGAGAAAGTAAGAAAAACGAAGTGTTCTAGGCTTTACGGGATTAGCAGGTTATAGAGAGAGAGAGAGGGAAGAAGGGACAGTTTCTGGTAGTGTATGTAAATTAGCGACCGTGAACTGCCACGGCCACGTGTGAGGTCTGTATATACTGATGCTGGTTCTGGTGCTCGACCCGCCAGCATGTTGTCCATCGTGGTAAACGACGACAGCTGCGTCTTCCAAAACAAACGCTATTTATGTGACAAAAAAGAAAAGAAAGTGACACCTAAGCAACAACTGTGCTCCCTCGGGATCATCACCCCTGAGACGGCACCACCACGAGGCTCAGAACCTAAGCCCCCAAAACACAACAAAAACGCTCACGCTCCAACACCCCCCTCAAATCCGAGCCAACCCCTCAAATCCTAGCCATCCCCCCCTTCTGCACGGTCTTCACCCTCCTCCGATGCGCCTCCCTAAAATTATACCTCGCAAACGTGCCCATCCCATAAACAGCGACCCCCACCACCAACCACGTCCCCGTGACAATAAGCCCAATCGGGAAAATCATCAGCTGCACGCCAGGCAGCACAAAGGCTACGGTCCCGTTCAGCAGGGCGGCGACTTCGGCGTCGACGGCGAGTTGGGCGGCGCCAAAGGTGCTGGTGTCGACGTCGTTGGAGAACTCGCCGGTGACGAAGGAGGCTTCGTTGGAGGAGACGTTGGTGGTTACTTGTTGGCCGGCGTTGTTGGTTGCTTTGAGCGTCACGATGGGCATGACGAGGGCTTGGAGTTTGCCTCTGAAGTAACTATTAGCATCATCGCCGTGGCAAAAGTTGAGGTCGGGTTCACTTACTTGTCAGGCCCATTTGACATGCGGTCCTGATCGACCTGACCGACAAACAGGTAGGATTTGATGAGCGGCAGGTCTCCGCCGCCGGTATTGTTGGTGTTGGTCGTCGTGGTATCGGCGGCTTGCCTCAATTTTAGGCGGGTTGGAGGTACCGGCTGGCCGTTGACTTCGGAAACAGAAGCGCCGTTGTAGCTGAGCTCGACTTCGATCTTGTCCGGTGGTATCCCCTGGAACTCTCCTCTTGGGGAGCTGATCTGGAATAACCTCAGGTCGGCCTCGAACGTGCCCGTCTGGTTGTTGAGCAGCGGAAGGTTGTAGCAGACGCAGGTGCCGGATGGGTTGGTGGCCTCTTGGATGCCCTTCAAAGCGTCCCGGCAGGCCGAGTTCGCTGCTGTGTTCCAGGCCTCCATGTCTATACTCCCATCGGCGGTCAGTGGTGTGTTGGTGCCACCGGGTGTTTGCCTCGCTTCCACAAAGCCCCGGGCTCGAAGGTTCGCTTTGGCGATATCCTCTAACCTCCGTTCCATTCCCCGATTACTTCGCGACATGCCTTCGGCGATGAGGGCCCCAATACCACCGGCCTGTGCCCCAACCGCCATGAGTGAGGCAACGAGTGTCCGTTGCCACAACATCTTGGGCTTGTATGTGTGGTTGTGTTTGTGATAAAGGTCCCCCTCTTACTCCCTGATTACACGCACCGCCGCGATGTCCCGACGATGTCGATTCTCTCTCTTGAAACTCCGGTCGATATTGGAATCGAATCGGGACAAAAAGTGACACCGCTGCCTGGTCCCGCCCGGCAGGCGGTCGGTCCGTTCGAAAGAAGTTGCTGAAAATGAGCGTGGTGGAAGAAGAAAAGAAAATGGGACCCGCCCGATGAAGGGAAAGGTTTGTCGTGGTGTTGTGATCCCTCCCAGTCGACGATGAGGGGGTGCAAACGCCACTCGACGATGGTGTGGGCGAACAAAAGCGGAAAGCACGGGAAGGGAAAGAAGGGAACAGGACTCCAAAGAAGGCGGCCGAGGGGCGAAACCCAGCGATTAAACAGAGTGTACGTTGAAACAGCCCACCCACAAAATGGCTGAGAACAGTTGTTGAAGGAACAGAATCTGCAAGGGAGATCAGGCGGTCGGACCTTCACAGAATGGCCTGACTCGAGTAGGATGTGAGGACAGGGATAGGGATGGCGAAGAGGAAAAAAGAGAAAAAGAGCATGACGCGGGATCCTTGACATCAAGGTAGGAGGAGGATGTGGGAGTTCTTTTGGTGAAAGGGACTGCAAAAGCAAGACATGGCCAGACCTCCAAATGCCCCATGACATGTCTGGGCAGACACGAGGGGGTGGTTTTGGGATGTCTGCATCTTCAAAACTCGACCAATGGAAGAGGTCAAGAGGGCCAAGACTGGCCAAAAACAGCGGCCGTTCTCGAAAGTGGCCGGGGGGAAAGAAGCCGCAGAAGCCGCAGCGCGATGGGGTCGCGACACGAGAGGCGCCCAGGAGCGTTACGTCCTGTTTTGGATGGAGAAAGACAGCGCAAAGCGACTGAGCAAGTCGTACGATGTTGTCTTTGTTTCGCGCAGGCTTGGAGACTGCAGTGTCTGATCGCCTTTCAGATGCGCGAGCGGTGTCAGATCGACGCGATGGAACAGCCCGAGCAGCCCTGACCAGGGTCTGCGGCACAAGTGGCCCCGGCCTATCCCGGCGATTGGCTGGCGGCGGCCGGGGCAGGTCTGGGGTGGGCAAGCGAGAATGGCTTGAATGGCTGGAATGCGGGAGCATTGGACGACGAGGACTGATTCATCAGACGCCGAGAGGCGAATGGGGAGGAGAAAAGAGAACCACGAACAATCCGAAATCGCGTCAAGAATCCAAAACCCAGGATGGACATCGACGACAACGTCTGTAACCTAACATAAAGAGTCTCATGAAAAAAAAGAAGAGACATCGAGGGGTAGAATTTTCTGCCACAGAGTGAAACCCGCTGTCTCCTGTCTCCGCCAAGAGCAGCCCCACGCCAAGCAACCGCCCTTAAAGTTGGGCGCTTCATGCCATCTGGCAGCCGAGACACCTGCCAGTCGCCCGATGATGATTTCCTCTTTCCCACCACAAGCGGAACAATAATTTGGTAAAAATAAAAATAACACAGGCGCCAAAAACCCTCCCACGACCCAATCGATCAACGTTGCCCACCTCTCCCATGCTCATGATCGGCTCCGTTGGGATCTTTCCCGTCGGGAGCCGCCGCTAACAGTGTTGGCGGCGCTTAACGCCGTGACACCAGACCCACTGCCGAAGCTCCAACCACTCACATCGCAGAAGAGCCACCTCACAGCATGCAGGTCCACGCATCCGAAGATCGTTCCATGCGCTTTCCCACCTTGCCTTTTGCGCGGGTGGTCGTTCGTCATCAGATGCGACGATGCACTTCCGCGCGTTCCATCAATAGTGTAATCAAAACCTTGGCATCTTGATTTCACACCTTAGGCGGCCAGCAGCCAGGCCCAGGCCCACTTCATGATTGTCTGCGGCACAGTCTCATCGGGCGGCTGCGGGCACGGCGGCCTGGGAGAGAGGCCACATCCCCAGATCGCGCTGCCATGCGGGTTGTGGATTTCGAGAAGGGATCACGCATGTTGGGTCGTTTTGCCGGGCTGGCTGATGGGTAACGAGTTTTTTCGGCTTGTTTTGCAGATATGAGACGTGAGTTGAACTATATAGGTTCGTTTGGTATCTTCCGTGTTGAATAAAGTCAAGGAAATATGTCAAGCGATGGCTGACTCTGGGTTTGGCGCACCAGATATGTAATCACAACAAATACGAAATCGCAATAAGACGCATGGAAAAAGTCGGATCACAGCGATCCTCCCCCTTTCAATGCACCAGCCTTCTCTAGCGCTTCCATCCTCTCCAACCCTGCCGGTTTTCCCGCGGCAAAATGCATGTGGCTAACGTTGGAGTGCTCGTCGATGAACGGGTTCGGATCATCAACCTGGTCAAGGTTCCCCAGCGTGTGGTTCACGCCTCGGTGGGATGCTTCATCGGCCTGGGTATCTCTGCATTAGCAAACAGTCCCTCGAAAGTCGGCACGGTACGTTAGCCAGATGGGAAGGTGACAGCTTACCCGAATATACAGAATCAAATCCCGCATCGTCCTCCTCCCCTCCGGCATCTTCCAATACTTCACCGCAATCTCCGGAATCCGAAACCCCCCATCCGTCCACTGCGGCAACCGCCCCCTATCCATCTGCTCCAAACACTTAGTATACGTCGACACCGCCTCATCCTCCAAATACCCAACCATCCGATGACAAAAGCTCGGCGAGATCAGGTACCCGACAAACATGGCGTTGTAAAAGATGCCCTGCGTCGCGAACACCAGGAACCGCATCAATCTGCCGGGACGGTATAATTCGGTGAAGGTGATGAGGTGCATCCGTTCGTTGTAGGACTCTTCGAGGAGCGTTTTGATCCAGCCTTGGTCGAGCTTGAAGCGGCGGATGGAGTGGAGATGGCGGAGACCGCCGGCCACTGCGCCGGGGACGCCGGCGACGGTTTCGAGGAAGACGAAGCGGACCAGCTGAGGGGAGTTAATAGTCAGTAACAGGTAAAGTCAAGCTGGGTGGTTGAGACGCTGGTATTGCTGGGAGTTACTCACCCACTGTGACTCGGTCATGGCGCGGTAGTCACTTGTCTCGCTGCTTTTGGTACCTGGGGCAGGCTCGGGTGGCATGCCTGTGACAAAGTCCATCCCCCATCTGTTACCCGTTTAATAATTAGAGACCCTCCTCAAGATGACAAGCTACAGGCGTCAAGCTAAAGGAGCCAGGACAGCGAAAAGAACCAAACATACCGACAAAACTTAACCACCCCCAACGCCAACTGGTCACTCCACGTCCTCGGCTCGCGATGACTCGGCACCACCTCCAACACCACCTTATCATCCCATCCCTTGTGTGGCCAAGTCAGCGGGAGCGAACGAGCCGGTTCTTGCTGGGGACCATCACCGATGAGAGGGACGGCCGACGCGGCCTCTTGCGTGGGTGGGATGGGCACGGCGGATGTGGAAGAGAGGCGGATTTGATGATGGTGAGTCGTCCTGGATCGTGGTTTAACAACAGCGGTGAATCTTATTAGGGCAGCGGCGGGGTGTGATGATGGTGGGTTACGAGATCCGGGAGAGGGACGGTGTTGGAGCGTGGAGAGCTTGGGGAGGGCTCGGAGTCGGTTGGCCATTGTGTTTGTCTGTGGTCTCAACGGTTTCAAGGTTTGGTTGATTATTGTCTAGGGAACGGAGTTGAGGTGTCTTGACGAGACGGGACAACCGCCCCAGTGGTATGTACCTAGCTACTTGATATATCCCCTCCTGACCGGAACAGCCAAGCAAGTACCCATCATGTTGCTGGTTGCGTCACCGGCTAACATGGCACAAACACAACTCAACCGGCTGGGCCCCTGGACCGAAAGCAATACCCCCTCAAGAGGTCAGTCATGCCTGACGGCCGATGTTGACTTACACATGAATTTTGAAAGATGAGAGGGGGAAGGCACGAAAATGATTCGGGATGGGAGCCATGGCTTGGAGCACGGCCGGTGTCGCTCGTTTATTGAATAACACGTGGGAATTGAACCAATACTCGGCCAGCGATTGCGGACGGGTCTCTTGAGGGGCATTCTACACAAAGCAGGGAGAATAGCGCTAGAGTCACTCGTTCTCAATGCCGTCATCGAGGTAACCTCCTTGGTTGTTGGTGGGGGTGGGGGTGGATAATATGGGTGTTAGTCGGACCATCAATGATGAGTCTAGGGAAGGTTAGTGCACAGCCGCCACGACCGAGGGGTTGAATCACCAACGTGGCATTGTGCCTGAAAATCTGCTGTGAGATCTCGTTGGAGATCTTAGTGTAGAATAGAGACGGATAGTGGGGTAGGGTTCACGGGCTGAGATGACGACTTGGCATGTTGTTGTGTTTTGGCATGTGAAGCTTCCGAATTCGGCTGTCATTCGGGTCATCGGGAATCACCCAGGTTAACAATGGTTCGGAAGGGCCCGGGTGCGCATCCATGTGATTGGGAACATGCGAGAATAGGAGAAAGATTAAAACAGAGTCGAAACTGACATCGGATTGAGGGAGTCCTGCGGGGAGGCCATCTTTTCATCACGAAGGGGGCTGCTGTTGTCGAGTTTCAAGAGCGCAGAGGAATTCAAATGGAGAATATGGTGGCGAATTAAGTGGGGGAATCAGATGGAGAACTCCCCTTAATTATGTCACGCCTTTTCAACAGCCCAAGTAATACCAATGCCAATATTAAAACCAAGTAACTCCCCATTTCTGGCCTACTCGTCGATCATGAAGCATTCCACACCCCGACATCATCACTGGGAGCCTAAACGAACTGCACAACCCTCAGTTGATGGCATTGATCAAATTCCATTCATTATCATCGAAATCATTCTGTATATCCTGTTCATTTCCCAACCGTTTACCCAAAAATCAACCCAAGGTACACACAAAAAAGGCACTGGCAATCATCATTCATATCCCGTGCTCGCTTCCGACGCAATGCATAGCCCGCCGCTCCCAACCCATACCGGAAATGCGTATTATGACAGAAATAGGAAACATTGAACCCCAAACAAAGTATGTCGAATGAAAAAGAGAATCTGTACAGTTAAACCGAAAGAAAGCATATTTTTGGGGCACACCACGAAACCATCTGGATTGCGGCGTCCGGGAGAAGAAAAGGAAATAGGCGAGGGGATACCACACCAAGAAGGGAAAAAGTCGGACGCTGAGGACTGGGACTGTAAGAGAACACGCGCTATGGTTTCATCTCCGAGAATCACTATATCGGAAAGAATCGCGCTTATTCTTCATTCCCGTCCAAATCCGCCGGCACATGGCTTTGAGCAAGGAAATGCCTGCCCAGCCGCGACGGGCTGCTCCCCCGACTCTGTCCATGCATGCTCATGGTCCTCGCACGGCGCGAGCCAGGGCGCGGTGGGATCCGCGACCGGGCGCGCTGTTCGTCTAGTGCAGGGCGCGCCTGCTCCTTGGAGATGACCAGCCCTTGGGTAATGGACATGAGCTCGCCGGCCTCGACGGCACACATGCTGGGCCAGACAACAAGGAGGATTTCATCGGGATCAACCTCGTCGTCCCTGATGTCGTCATCGGGAAGCCCGGCGTGGTAGGAGGAAGAGGAGGCGGCGTCGTGGGGCGTATGACTGCTGCTGGCGGCATCAGGGGCGCTGGTCCCTTCGGTGGATGAGTTGCTGGCTTCGATGGTCTCGAGACGGTCTTCGGTGAGCGCAGTCTCGGGGCGGATGTTGTGGAGCCCGGCTTCGTGCTCGGCGGCTTCAGCGAATTCGGGAAGCTCGAGGACCTGCCAGTCGAAATCGTCGTAGGGCGGGCCGAAGTAGGGCTCGATCTTCATATGGGCGAGTTGGATGCGCATCCACTGGTCGCAAGCAAGCTTGCAGGCGGCCTCAAGCCCGGTGCAAAACGCCTCGAATTGCAAAGCTGTCAGGAGATGCTGCACTAGCCACGAGATCTCGCGCACAACCATCTTCACCCGGCGCGCGCCCGACTCGACCTGGCGTTCTGGCATCATCGACAGAAGTGTAGCGCGCATGTGTGCCTCGCGTGTTGGGTCCTCATCTTCCAGTGCCCGGAGGAATTTGACTAGGTTTTCGTCGTCGTCGTCGAGGAGGTACACCGGACGGAAGAGATGCTTGTGCATGGCGCGAGAGAGCACAGCCAGCACGGCACTGATCCGCATGCCCTTGGCAGCTGGCGTGTTGGACTGCGGGAGTGGGATCTGGAGCTGTGTGGCGTGCTTGAGGTAGGGCGAGTTGCGAAGGTTGGACCAGCATGATGGGTCAGCCAGGGTCTGTTCGTCGATATCGGGCCGGAATGTGCCTTCAACAAGAGTCACGATGGTGGTCCAGATTTTGTCAAGAACAGTGACGCTGGTAACGGTGAGTTAGTATCCGTGAAACAAAACTGGGAAAATGGAAAGACCTACTAAGTGTCGTCGTTGTCAGTGTTCATGACGATGCGGTATTGCTCGAGGTCAGCGAGCTTCCCGGCTGTGAGCTGCAGGTTGTTCGTTGTGTTCTCGAGTTGAGCCTGGAGGTCACGGCCGTGTAACTCTGCCTGTTCCGCACGCTCACCCTCGGCCGTAAGCTTGCCATGGAGATCCTCGATTTCGGCGTTCTTGTCCTCGATTGTCTGTTGCAGCGAGGCGATTTGCTCCTCTGCTGCCCGCAGCGACTCCCGCAGGCTCTCGATCTCGGCGTCTCTTTGAGCGACAGTTTCCTTGAGCGAGGAGATTTCTTGCCGCGCCGCCTCGAGCTCCTCCTCAAGGCTCTTCTTCTCGCCCTCTAGAGTGGCGACTTTCTCCTTGAGGGACGTAATTTCCGCCTCGTTGTCGGCCTTCACCTGTTCGAGATCCGCCTTGGCCTTCTCAAGATCGGTCACATTCCCTTTGAGACTCTCGATTTCGGTCTCGTTGTTGGCTTTGATCTCCTCCAGGCCTGTCTTGGCTGTGGTGAGAGTTGCGATCTCCGCAGCGGCAGCCTCTTCGCCCAGGCGTTTCGCCTCCTCCACGGCCGCTTTGATAGCCTCAAGCTCACCATATTCCCTTGCTTTCTTCTCCTCGAGGTCCAAGAACGTTTTTGCCGTCTTCTCTTCGAAATCGGCGAATTCCCTTGCCTTCTTCTTTTCGAATTCCGCATACGCCTGGGCCGTGGCGTCCTGGAGGTCAGAGTACCGTTGGGCAGCCACCGCAGCCGCCTCTGCTGCCTCCTTAATCCGGGCCTCAGTCGCTTTGTGGGCATCCAGGAGATCGCCCTCTAACCTTGCCCGGGTGGCACTGAGCTGCAAGTTCTCCTGCAACTTTTCCTGCAACACGGCCTCGAGGCCCTTCTTCTCGGTCTCCAGCTCGGTTCTCTGGTCCTCGAGCTCATTCCGGAACTTGCGGTACTCCTCTAGTACGACCTGGTGCGAGCTGGAGAGCTTGTTATTTTGCTCCTTGACATAGAGGAACTCGCTGAAGACGTCGGCAACCAGCTTGTAGTTGGGGTCGGAGGTCAGATCCCGGATGGCGCGGACGAGCCCGTCCACCGCTTGGGTGGGGTCAGCGTCGATGTGGGAGTTCATCTTCGGTTTTGGGCGGCAACCAGGGTTGAGAACGGTGTGTGTTGGGGTAGAGGGTTCAAGAATCCGTGAGTTCTCACGGTATTCGGGTTGGTTGTGTTCTTCGCGGGAGCTTGGAGATGATGATGCGACGGAGGGGGAAAAAGAGAAGGAAATAATTCGAGTTGAGTGTGTGAGAGGAGGGGCCAATAGTATGCCTTTATTCACCGCGGTGAGCAATGGTTCGGCAGCGGCGTCGGCGCGAGCTCTGGGGAAAAGAGAAGTCTGGTTGGAGGGAATGAAGACAATCGAATCGGACGAGAGGTCGACTATATTATACCACCGAGGAGACGAATGACCGAGACCCAACGACGACGGCTTGGTCCGCTTCACCCCTGCTCACTGCGTGGTCTGCATGTCGGTCTGTCGGGTCTCTCCAGATCCATGCCCATTTGTGACTTCATCTCGCTCGAGGCGGGCGCTCATGCAGGCAAAGGGGGTGACGATGGGGAGGCTGAAGCAAATTGGAGGGATTGGGGACCGCCTGGGACGTTTGGGTGGCTGGCATTGAGTCACCACGCGAGCAATCGCCAAACTACGGATCGCCGGACTGTCCGCCCAGCCAGCCAGCAACGCCCACCGCCCTCAAAAATTTTGTCAAATTGTGCGTGTCAATCGGGCTCGGAGGGGCTGCTGAGGGACAAGAGAAAGAGGAAAGGAGCGCAGACGGGAGCCTGCAGGATGGATGGTGCGGCCATGCGGCCGTGGGCTGTCGGTTCCACTTTCCCGTCGTGCTGGCTGGCCCATCACAGCATGCCAGATGTGGCAGCAGCGACGGAGCCCAACCGCCAACCACACTGGTGTTGAACGGGAAACCGTCACCCAGCCGCGCGTGAACGCTCCTTCCGGCGTCCAATTGTTCGCCTTGTCGTTCTTGCCGTTCATGTTTACACGGTTTGACAGGTTTATTTCTTGCTCGTCTCGTCTCATGCGAGCGCACATTCAGGAAAGCCGCTTTGCCAGTCCATCGCAGTTTGCCTCGAAAAAGGCCCAGGATACTTGGTCGTTGTTGATGGGGCTCCATCGAGGCTTTTGACGTGGCAGCATCAGCGACCAGCGCTGGGCTCCAGGGGGTGACTTGGCGGTGATTGGCCCTGCCCCGCATCTTCCGACCCCACTGAACCCCCAGGATCTCGCTGCGGCAGGTGTTCATGGTTTCGGGTGGTTGTCTTCCAGCTTTCCTCACGGTTGTCATCACACAGCAGGGCGTCGCTGGCGATGATTAGGTTGGGAAAACTGAACACCACATGGCAAGGGAGGAATGAAGTGTCTCCCAATCACTTTTCCAGCAAGTTTTCCAACCCTTTCGATCTGCATTGAGGGTTTGCGGGACCCTCCATTCCGACCGCTGCAATGGATCCCGGAACTCACCCTCGTCCCGGCGCCGGTGAACCGGATCTGTCCGGCCCCGGGAATCGGCACCGCCCAACCGTGTGACGGCCCGGGTAAGTATTGCCAAGAGTTGGGCTCGGCCCCAACGCCCAAAAGACAGGCCACCAAGACAGTGGAAGACGTAAATGCAAATCTGTGGCAGCTGGTCGTCTTGCTAATTGATGCGGTGTCTTGGTGCGAGAAACGATGGCTGGGACGAGTCGTTGCTGAGATGCCGCAGCCGAGTCGACCTGAGAGCTGAACCCGGTTGAGCGGATCCGAACCGGGACGGGGCCCGTTCCCGAAACTGGTGGTTCGGTATCGCCTCGGCGCCACGTCGGCATCGGAGGTTGACAGCCTTCCAGACAGCCCATGCTTGGCTGACTTTTGGATCTGTTTCGGAATGCCGACCTCCCTTGACGGGGCTGAAGCTGTTCGGGCCTTGCCCCATACCCACACCGCTTCGGCGTGAGCCGAGTCGCTTCCGTACGCTCTCCATTTCAAGTATAACTAGGGGGCCGTTTCTGATTCCCGGCCTTTCACCGACTGACAAGAACAGGCGGTGTCTTATCGCGCCGACCGCGTTCTGGAGTGTCCGGGCCGTATTTCTTTCTTATTATAACACTCCGGACTTTCCCCACCGCTTTTCGCATCACCGGAAGCCAGTTCCATGTCTTGGCATCGTGACGTAGATCCAGCCGGTAGTTAGTTATGGCGGTTCGCCCTAGCAACGTATCCCAAATTTAGGAGGTGATATTGTTGATTTGTACCATTCTAACAACCCTGCCTTTCTCGTTTGACATTGCATCCGAGGATGGATTGGACAACGGGAGCAATGCCCAGTCTTCTTAACGATACGTAAAACCAAACCATCTTTAGTTCGATGCCTTGGTCGTTGTGAATACTAACTAGGTAATCTAACTATGTATCTGCAAATAACCCCACAGGAGCAGGACTGCGGAATCACGCAATGCCTCTTCTTGACAGGCGAGCCATCATGCCGGGTTAGCGAGGTATGTGGGGGGCCTACGTCTTGCCAATGTACCGGACAGTGTCATAGTCATACCATTTTGTAGGCCTGTCTTTCAGAAGGCTCTTACTCTGCACTACTTCCGGTGGACCTGGGTCCGAGTGTAGGTAGTTAAAACTCGAGATCTGTCGCAATGCGGGAAGTATGTAATTACGGGAACTAATCGCTACGTTAGGCTCATAACTGTCGCAAAAGACAAAGGTCTCTTTATAGAATGATAAGCCATGATTATTACCGAAATATTTCCCCCTTTACTTTATTCCCTATTACGATCACTCCTCCACCCTCGCAAAACTCTCCTTCAGCCATTCCGCCATAATCCCCATAACCTTCCCCCTCTTCACCCTCGCATCCGCCGCAAACTCCTCATCACCCGTCACCACCTGCTCAATCTCCTCCTGATCAAACCCATGAACCGTATCCGGCACCAGCAACCACCTTACTCTCGACCCATCCTCCTCCTTTACCTCCTCCCACGCATACTTCTCATCCTCTTCACCCACCAACACCCCTTCCCCTTTCTTCCCGGGCCCGCCCACCACCTCCATCCTTCCAACCTTCTCCTCCCTTCCCGGCACCCTCCTCCCCGCCCACCGACACGCCATCCGCCACGCCTCAGCCGCCAGCATATCCAATTCACACGCCACCAGAAAAACATCTTTCGGCAGCATCTCCCGATCGGCATAATACGGACTCAACAGCGGGTCATCACACCTTTGCCCCGGCGTCACATACGCCCAATCAAACAGCGGCATCAGCGACGTGAGCATATCCCCTCCCAGCGGTCGACTCCGATAGTGCCCCGGTAGCGAAGGTTTATACTGCCTCCCGAGCGCCTTAACAGTGTTAGGAACGGTATAATCCACCACAGGATAACACGGCACCACAGCGCGTATGCGCCCCTGCATAGCCGGCAATTGCGCCACGGAAAGCGCCAAGTTAGCACCCGCCGACCAGCCGACGAGGGCGACGCGGGCGGGGTCGATGGGGAGGGATGCGTCGGAGAGGAGGGCGTGGATGAGGAAGGCGAGGTCGTGGGTTGCGGTGGGGAAGGGGTGAAGGGGCGCTTTGCGGTAGTCGAGGGCTATGGTGAGGAGGGAGTGGGTGGTGGAGAGGGTGCGGTTGTAGGTTTCGTTGGTGGTGGAGGTGCCGAGGATGAAACCGCCGCCGTGGATTGTGAGGATGGTGGGGAGGCGGGTGGTTGTTGAATGAGAGGCGTGAGGCGGAGGCGTGTACGAGGGGGGGTAGAAGATGCTGGGTGGTTATGGGTTAATTAGTACAGTAATTATGTTGGGAAGGATGGAGGAATTGAGAGGGGGATTATAGAGAGAGATAGAGGGAGAGACTCACCGAACGGAGAGTGACGGGCGCGCAGGATACCGCTTGACCAGGTCGGCGGGCTTGATGGCCGGCGGAACAAATAGGGCCTTGAGGTTGTTGTAGTACTGTGAGAGGTTCAGGAGCCGGGTCCAGAGGAACCACAAGACGGCATATTGTATGCGTTTGGACAGCGGCAGGAGCGGCATCTCTTCCCGGACTGCGTCGTTGGGGTCGAGCTCGCCGGGCGGCGCGGCAGCGGCCACGGCGTCGAGGGAGAGCATGTTGATGGCTGGTGCTGGTTGGAGGCGAGGTTGTCGTTGAGAACTGGAGTCTTCTGAAGATTGGGACGTCGTCTAAGGTGTCCCATACTTAAATATTGCCTGTCTGGCATTTCTAGTTGTCTGCCAATTTCCTAATCAAGGCAATACTCGACATGGAGGTCTTTGAACACTGCTACATGATGGGACATGATTCAGAGTGGGCAGTGACCCTGCAGCGTGGTGGGGGTATCGCAGGTCGGGGACGCCGTCCCAGGGGCATCGCTGGGATTTTAGAGTGTTGAATTGTTGGAGTTAAAATTGTACCCCAGGGGCTTGAGTTTATGGGATGGTCGAAAGCAGATCCTGGCATCTTGCAGTGGAATTGCGGCGATAGTTTCCAAGACTTTAGTTCAGGTTCAGTGTATTTGGGCAGACCTTACTGATGATCATCATGGATTAGAAAAAAATCATCATGGATTAGAAAAAAAGAGTTGAAAAAAGAACTTCAAAAACACAAGGAAATAACCTCAACGCGATGAAACCCAAATTGGTTTAATGCGGCGGGCTCTTCTACATGGTGTTGGGGCTATGTTGACAGGGAGCTGTGTTAGGTGAGATGAATCATAATGAGTGAGCAGAATGCAGGACCGAAAAGCTTCTCATTCTTACTGCCCGCTTCGGGTGCAACTGGGCGACCCCCCCTCCTCCAATCCTTCCGGAGGAGCTTTGATATCGGGCGGGTAATAAACTCCCTTTGCCTATGCGGCATCTGTAACCTTGTGAACATGTCAAATGCCAGCTACAACTTACACGAAGACGGGCTGTTGGTGTGACTTCAAGGACTAATTAAAGTATTCCCATGATCAGTCGCGAAGAGGGGACACTTAGATTAGAGGAATGAACTTTATTTATTTTGGGCATGGCACCCCACACAAGTCTTGAGACCTAGCCGTGGACAATCTGTGTGCGGGGGGTTTCTCTGTCTTGACCGGGAGCTCCGTCGACCATCCGTCGCCAGTAACTGTGGGCCGGTACCTCGCGGAACGGGGTCAATATTACCGAGCTACACCGGAAGTTATAATCATGTCTTCCAGCCCAGAACTCCCAAGTTCCCTTGTTGATTCTAATCACCAGTTGTCGGTTCTCCCGCCCAGAATCCAGGTCGCCAGCCCGGGCTGAATCAACCCTGTTTCCTCAAACCGTGTTATGCCTCAAACTGCGTTCGTTCTGGCGTGTATTAAAGGCGCCGCGACGTGGTCAGTGTCGGATGCACGTCTTTCCGCTTGAGGTAATTAGCGGTAAACTGCGTCATGCAACTCTCTTTTCGCTGAGGGCGAAACGGCATGGCATGGGTGTTGGTTCTGCCTATCCCTTGATTCGTGAAAGAAGGGAGGATCGATGTGGTCGGCCCTCTGGATGGCGTCCAAAGAGGTCTTCGGCAACGGCTTGGCGGCGTTGGCTCGGCCAATGCTTCTCCACCGACCACAGTTCAACATCGCCGGAGCCTCAAAGGCGTTCAAATATTAATCGTTTTCTCATCGTTCTCCAGGGACAGGCAGATCACATCATCTGAAAAAAATCCAACCTCTCCTGCTCTTCCAACTCCGCCTTCTTTCTCCGCGCCGCCTCCTCCGCTTTTAGATCACCCTCCTCCACTGCCTTGGCGATCTCTTCGTCAGGAAGTGGTCTTTGCGTGCTAGGGAACTCGGCCCATTTTGTGTCGACGGGTGTGGAGTAGGCTGAGTAGGCTGGGTTGACGGTTGGGCGTACTGGGACGCCGCGTTGTGTTGGGTCGAGAGGGGTGGTTTGGACTTTGATGGGTGGTTTGGTGATGTCTTTTGATGATGTTGTTGGTGTGCGGGATGGCTTTTCTATTGTGATGGGGGCGGAAGCAGGTTTGGATTTGCTCTTCCAGAATTTGAGAGATTTTAGGTGGCCTGGCATCTTGATTGAGGTGGATGGTGTGTTTGTGAGTTGATGGAGGTAGTGAGATCAGAGGTGTGGATGTTGTGGTTTGATGATGTACTATCGTGGGTTGATGTGGTTGTGAACAACAGACACCGTTGACAGTTGGGCGATGCAGGTGCAGGGCCAACGCCTTTTATTATCCGTACATCGTCGGGCTTCCAAAAAACGGGGCGCAGTCTTTTGATTTGTTTGTTTCTTGATCTTTTACATTATTGCCTAGAGGCTTGAGCCCAGACAGCGCCATCGTGGAATCCTTCGTCAGCTCAGCCGCTTCTGGTGAGAATCGTCCAAATATGGTCACATGCTGGGGGGGCTTGAGACGTTTGGCGAACATTGGGAGATTTTGATGGGACTCCGAGTTCGTCAAAGGCGGTTAGCGTCCCCCGAGAGCAGGCAGTGGCAGGGCTAAAATGCGGGGAGAATGCCTCGCTTGGCGGCACTGGCCCCACTGGGGTCCATTAATTCCGAAATTATTTCCTTCAAACGCTCGGACTTCGAAACCACAAAAGTTTTGTGGAAACAGCGGCTGTTGTTTCTTCTTCTGATTAACGTTATGATAAATTCTCTGGCGGTTGGGCGTTGCACTCGTGTGACGCATCGACACTCAGAGCACCACGCAGCTTGTGTGTTGCAGTGTTAGCGGCTAAGTTGTTAGGCTCTCGCTGAATCAAAGTTTGTCCAATATTAGAAGTCAGCTGGAGGTTTCATTCGATGCCACGTTCAATGTCTTGGCCGTGTGCGAAGCGGAGTTTTCGCTCCAGCAAACACCGCAGCAGCCAAGGCCAAGCACCTCGTCAGCGTCGAAGCGAGAGGGTGTCATACAGAGGATTTGCTTGGCTTCTTGAAAAGATCGGTAATTTTTATTGGCGAATTCGCGACCTCGCCCTGTGAAGGGTCGGCACGGAAATACAGCTCTGCCGAGATGCTCTCAGGGCTGCATCCAACGTTGAAACCTCCGTAGGAGGTACGGATGTGTAAAGTTCTGGAATAAGACATGCGCCGTTTCTGAATTGCCAACATCTCGAACGAATACACCTGTTCCTCTTTGCATCTGGACACGACCGGTTGCGGTCCAAAACGGATTGCATGAGACAGCCCCTCCGAGGCGCCATCCCCATGTAAGTATCGGAGATGCTGACTTATTCGCGCGATCAAATTTGTTGCTTCTTAAGCTCCCTTCGGCCCGGCACGATGATTTCAGACAACCCTCGGCCCGGGCTGTCAGCAAAGGCTCCTTCGAGCTAATCCGCAATTTGAAAAGGGCGTCTATGCTGACCGCAGAGACAGCACACAGCAAGCCGAAAGCTCGACAACGGCCCGGTCTGATGCCGCTGTTGACCGGCTCCGGGCCGAGCACGCCCTTCGGGAATCGTTTACCGGGTTCCGTTCGGTGGAAAGTGGACATCATAAATCACATCAATCCCAGCAACCCGCCACCAAAGACCGAGGAGGCCAATAAAAACTCGGGCTACTTCGGACGGGTTCCCCTTTCTTGTTCTCGACCAAGTCGCTCGCCGTTTCAACCCGCTCCGTCGTGTTGGCAATCCCGAGGGTTGGCTCCCGAGCCTCCGAGCCAGAGCGGATGATAACGCGGCCGGTTACGTCAGGCAGTCCCGAAGGAGCGGTGCTAGCCCGACCAAGCCGAAAACAGCAGGTCGAGAGGCATTGCCCCACCCAACCAGCGGACTTGTTGATATAGAAATCCCAACCACTGATTGCGTTTGCAATGGTTTCCGCAAAACAACCCCTCATTCAGTTTTTGTCGATTTTTGACTCATCGACAACATGAAGTCTGAGGGAGCGTTCGTGCTGCCGCTCGATGAGGGCTCTCACAAGAGAAGCCCGAAGCGATCATGGAGGAGATTCCATTTCCACATGATTCCCATCCTCGCGCTGCTCGTCTTCTGGGTGACGTTTTCGAGGACGGATCTCAATGGGTTTCTCAACCACCTCCCGGGCGGGCTCCAGAGAGGCCTACACCATCATGTGGATTTCAAAGCCGGATGTGCACAGCCGGAGCCCCTGACCCCCAGCAAGGACGAGGCCCTCGATAAGGCCTACGAACACCTCACCAGCAGCGACTTCCGCACCGCTGCGGTCAAGCATCTCTCGGGCGCCGTGCAGGTCAAGACGGAGTCGTTTGACGACCTGGGCGAGGTTGGCGAGGATGCGCGCTGGGAGGTGTTTTACAACTTCCACAAGTACCTGGCCGAGACGTTCCCCCGCCTGCACAAAGAGCTGCAGGTCGAGAAGGTCAACACGCATGGTCTGCTGTTCACATGGCAGGGGAGCGATGCGTCGCTGAAGCCGACGCTGCTGATGGCGCACCAGGACACAGTGCCTGTGCCGCCCGAGACAATCGAGGCGTGGACACACCCGCCGTGGAGCGGACACTACGACGGCACGCACATCTGGGGCCGCGGATCCAACGACTGCAAGAACCAGCTCATTGCTCTGCTGGAGACGCTGGACACCCTCCTTGACGCCGGCTTCCAGCCCAAGCGCACCATCCTGCTCTCTTTTGGCTTCGACGAGGAGATCTCAGGCTTCCACGGCGCTGCCAAGTTGTCCACATTCATCGAAGAGCGGTACGGCAAAGACGGCATCGCGGTGATCGTCGATGAAGGCAGTGCATTCGAAGAGACCTGGGGCACGCTCTTCGCCAAACCCGGGACGGCCGAAAAGGGGTACACCGACGTGCACATCACGGTGCGCAAGCCCGGCGGCCACTCCTCAGTCCCGACAGACCACACCGGCATCGGCATCCTCAGCGAGCTCATCACAGAGATCGAATCCGAGCAGTACCCGACCCGCCTAGCCCACGCCAACCCGTACTACACCCAACTCCAATGCGGCGCCGCCTACTCCCCAGAGTTCCCAGACAAGCTCAAACACCTCCTCACCCACCGCCAGCAGCAGCTGCAAGACTTGGGGCACACCTGCTCAAATCCCCGACGCGACAACCTCGCTCTGGAAGCCGCCAGGCTCGGCGGGCCACCGATCAAATACCTCATGCAGACCTCCCAAGCCGTGGACGTCATCAACGGCGGGATCAAAGTTAACGCGCTGCCGGAACGCGTGACAGTCGTGATCAACCACCGCATCAACATTGGCGAAACCACACAAATCGTCAAAGACCGCCTCACCACCCTCGCTGCGGGCATCGCAGACAAATACGACCTGACCCTACACGCCTTCGACGGCAAGACCCACGAACCCTCCTCCATCATCCTCGAACAGCCGGAGGGCCTCCATCTCGAAGTCGCGCCTATCACCCCGTCCGATACCAACACGGAGACTCCCTACTCCATCCTAGCAGGTACCACGCGCGCGGTGTACGGTAAGGACGTGGTGGTGACCCCGGGGATCATGACGGGGAACACAGACACGCGGCATTATTGGGGGTTGACGAGGCATATTTTCCGGTTTTCGCCGGCGCATGACCCGGAGAATGATGAGGCGTTGGATCATATTCATACGGTGGATGAGCGGGTCAGTGTGACGGCGCATGTGAATATGGTGAGGTGGTTTGTGGCGTTTGTGAGGAATTTGGACGAGGCGGGGATTTAGGTTGGGGTTTTTTTGGTGGATGACAGTGACGGGATTGGATATAAGGGTTTGAGGGTGGGTATAACGTGGGTAAGGGATGGGAATATACGATGGGAGAATGGGTATTGTGTCTGGTTGGGTGTGACCTGTTCTCGTCGTTATATTCGATGTTGTTTTCTCTTTTCTCTTTCCTTATCCCCGCCCTCGTTCTTACTTGTGGTCATGTCACGTATCCCAGATCAGAACAAATTGACAAGATTCAACAGATTTCACCCAGCACAGGCGCAGGTGGGCAATTGCCAGTTGCCAGTCAGCAGCCGGCAGCGGGCAGCTAGGTGGGAAGGAAGGTGCGTAGGGGAGAGGGTATATATGGAAGGTCCAACGACCATATTTACAACTAGGAGCACCAAGGTGGTCATTGGCCTAACGGTCACCAGCGGCGGTCCTCGGGAGGGCTGGCCCGGGCTGGGGCTCAATCTGGAAACTTCTTCGGAGGTCAAGGGTTCGAGTCTTATAGCACGGGCAAGGCAGGCGTCGTGAACCTGCTGGCTGTCGGCGTGGACCCTTCTATTACGGGAAGGCAAACACAAAACCGGAACCTCCACTACCGGGTGGAACGGGTTGCGTCGTAAACTCCCCTTTTTTTCTTTTTTTTCTTTTTTTCTTCTTTTTTTCCTTCTCTTTTTTCTCTTTTTTCTTTTTTTTTTGGATCAGCCCGGTAGAGTGAGTGCAAGATGACGCAAGTCAATCGGCGAGTTCCCGTGGTCTACTTGAAGGTTAATCATTTAGCATGCACCGTTCTGATTCCCCGCGCACCTTCCTCACCAGGTTTAATTCTCCTCTCTTTTTTCTCTCTCTATTATTTTTCCAACGTGAACCGGCGAGTATTGCGAAACGAAACGAAACCCCAAAAAACTTCACCACGCGGCCAAGCAGTCAAGCTCAGAAAGCAGAAAACCCGCTTGCTCAGCGTAGCGTGGCGCAGCACCGGACGTCGCACGCGTTCCAAGTCTTACACCTCCTTCGGGACGAAGTTTCGGGGGCCAGCATCGCACGGCATGCAAGTCGCTCACTGGCGCTACCAATCACCACGCACCACAGGTGCATTTTACCCCCCTTTCTTACCTGTCTGTCGCGGACAACATAAGTGGAGGGTTCCCGGTGGCTGGCCGCTTGTCTCTGCGGTCTCTTGCATTTTTGTTTCCCGGATTAGACGGCGGTGCTGTCGCTGCAGCGTATCACAGTGGTTTGTTTTAGAAGGGGTCCAAAGGGGATGGTCGGTTCACAAATAGAAACGGGGCGGATGGGAAGTGCTTGTTTCGGGCATCGGAACTCGTCGGGAGCCTGAATTTGTTTGGGTGTTTGTTGGGCTGTGTGTGGTTTGCAGGCCGCTTATATCAACATCGGCGTCCTGGAGTTTCGGGGTTTTAATTCCTTTCCATTTGGTCCCTTTTAACCTTTCGCCCGCTTGGTCCTTTTTGGACACTTGAACCTAATTACTTACATCTGATTACCTACATTTAATCACACAACATCCACACACACACACACACACATACACACACACACATCGATCCCACAATGCCGGTGGTATCCAAAACAACAAACCCACGCTCCGGGGTAATACCCCCCCGTGGAGACCCCCCCGACTTCACCAGCCCAATCCCCTTCCCCAACTGGCACCGGCCCGGCAATACCAACGACGACAACGACAACGATGACAATGACCCCTTCTCCACCCACCGCACCTCCCTCGACGACCTCGACAACCTCGACAAATTGAACCCTACCGACAACCGTGCCCTATCCACGGGTGCAATCGCCGCTATCGTGGTCGGTGTGGTCGTGTTGTTCCTGTTGATCATCGGCTTGGCCGCGTTCCTGTATACCCGCAAGCGCAGAGCGCGGGAAGAGGAACACCATCGGACTGCGCTACATGTGGCTGCTAAGGAGGAGGATATGGTGCCTTTGACGCCGATTGTGCAACCACCGACGCCACAGCTGCAGCATGCATCCACGCTGGCTGCTGTCCCGGTACCTGCATCGCAGCAACAACAACAACAACAACAACCAAGAGCAGCTGGCGTTACGCTGGCAGACCCTCCACCGCCGTATGTCTACCACGACAGCCCGTCCTCTAGCACAGAAACCGGTGGCAGTAGCGACCACAGCCACAGCGAGGAACATCACGACGCGGTAGTATCCCGCAACGCAAGCCAGAGCCTGCTGCGTCGGAGTTTCAGCCGGCGATTAAGCCGGAGTGTGAGCGGGAGCATTGTCAGTCACAGTGTGATTACCAGTCGGGCAGGGATGATGAGTCCAAGAAGTGTGAGTCCGTTGTCGTCGAGGATGGGGGGCAATGAGCATGAGGAGCATCCAGGACAGAGATGGGGGCACCCGGGTCGAGGGGATGGGAGTGAGGATGAGGAGGAGGATGGGGCGCATGCTACTATTACGGATGGGTTGGTTAGGGATGGGAGGGGGAGGGTGTGAGTGATGATGGATCGGTGGAGTTCATGAAGAAGAGGGAGGTTGAACAGTGAAAAGGGGTTGGCTAACAAGGATACACATCACATACCTGGGGAAGTAAGCCAAGATAGATACTACGATCTGATACGAAGTTCACGGCATTTCACATTTCACCCCCTTTCTCTTCCCTCCCTCTTATACATTAATTAAGGCACCTCATAATCAATCCGTTCCCCATACCTCCGTTCCCCCCACTCCCCCAGCCCCTTCTCCAACCCCTCAAAAAACGCCTCATCAAACTTCCTCCCCGTATCCGGCCCCGCCAACCTCCCCGTCCGCCAAGTCACCCAATCCTCCAACCCTACCCCCTTTTTACTCCTATCCTTCTCCCTGATTAACCCAACCGCTACATCCACCACTCTCCCCTTTTCCCCATCCCCCTGATACACCCTCTCCTCGAGACCATCGACCGAGAAAAACACCGTCGCGCCGCAGGTGTTGCAGAATCCTCGGCGGACGTTGGGAGAGGAGGCATACGCCTGTAGCGTGCCGAAGCCGGTAAAGGTTGATGGGATGGTTGGGCGCAGGGAGGATAGGGGGGCGAAGGTCCAGGCTACGGCGTGGGCGCCGGTGGTGAGACGGCAGTCGGCGCAGAGGCAGATGCAGGCTGCGCGGTTGAGCCGAGCCTCTCCTGTAGTGCCGTTACTGTCTTTCCCATCTTTCTCATCTTTCCCATCTTTCCCATATGTCCCATCTTTCCCATCTTTACCCTGGTGATGCCCAGCCTCGGCCTCAACCTCAGTCCCAGAGGTGGTAACCACCCTCTGCCTAGGCTGCAAAAACCGTCTAAACAACTCATGTCCCTCCTCTCCCCCCTTCTCCGGCCGCGGCATCACAAACCTGACCCCCGCACAATGACACTGCACCACCACCTCGTCCTCCCCGACCTCCCCCCTTGGATCCGGATCCGCCGGTCCGACCTCCGCCAACGGAAAATACTTCTCTGCCTCCTCTTGCGACGGATTCCACACGTGCATCTTCCTCCCCGCTATCTCAGGCACCCACGTCGCCATCCCGGGATCGGCGTCGTCAGATACCTTGGGAGCGAAAACATGCGAGCGGATCTGGAAATTGTCCGGGTCATGCGTAGGTTCGAAGATAGACGTAGCGACGCGCCATTCCGGCAATCCCGTCTCCGGATCCAGGTCATGGTCCCGATCCCCAATATGACATCCACAAGTCTTGCAGAAGAAGCGGGTGGCGGCCGCAAGGGGGGAGTGGATGTATCCCGTGGCGGCGGATTCGAGGGAGGAGGGGGGGAGGAAGGAGGGTTGGATGCCTTTGGGCAGGGGCGCGTGGAAGCAGGAGAGCGTGCCGTGGGTGTAGCGGCAGATGGAGCAGTTGCAGAGGTGGACGGGGAGGGGGAGGGCGGAGGTTGGGAGGGTGATGGTGAAGTGGATGGTGCGGCAGTGGCAGCGGGCGGTGAGGGTTTTGGTGGAGGTGGGGAGTTGGTGGGGGAGGTGCAGGTCGTGGAGGTCTTCCATTGTTACTGGGTACTGGTGTGTGGACGACGGAGAATGGAGTTGTTGTGTTGGTGGGAAGTGAAGATACCAGAATGTGACAAGGAGAGTGAAGTGAAGTTGTGAAATGAAGCTCTGACTTTATAATACCCCAGGGTAACATGCGTCATGCAAGTCACACACACGGCAGCTAGGCAGCGACCCCGCACACATCGAAAGGGCGTACACAAAAAAGTAAAGAGACTAAACTGGCCAGGGATATCATTGTGGGCCGGGTCCTTTACAGCGATCGTTGGATGAGAGAGAATATCTATGTGTACAAATACCGTAATACGGCCGTAAAACCCGCCGAGCTAATATAACTCAACACTCAACCCACCAACATCTTACACCCACACATACATCTGATTAGTGATTACTTCCTCCCCCCCCGCCCACTCCAAAACCCCTTATCCACCTTATCATCCCCCGCCGCCTCCGCCATCCCATGCTTCTTCTCAAACTCCTCATTGTGCCTATCCACCTCCGCCTGCTGCTCCGCGCTCAGCTTCGCCTTCTCCCCCGGCACGCTCGCATTGCTGATCTTGGGCTGCGCCGGCGGGTCGCGCGAGCTGTTCAGCGGCTTGCCCCCGCCTGTGCGGCCTAGCGCGTTGCCGTTGGAGAGGCCGTCGGGGATTACGCCTTCTGTTGGGCTGGTGGATGAAGAGGAAGGCGACGAAGACGACGCTTGTGAGGCTGCGTCTTTGCTGCGGGATCCGCCGCTGGTTGCGCTGGCTTTTTCGGCGGATTTGGGGGCCGATGTGCTGCCGTTGCTGTAGGGGCGTCGTAGACTAAAGGATGAAGAAGATGCTGTCGCGGCTCGGAATGCTGGCGATGGTGCGGCTGCGCGCCGAGATGCGAAAGCTAGTCGGTTCATGTTGACTGTTTGTTGAATCTCAGTATTAAAACCTGAAGATCGGTCCTGATTTCTGTGCGTTGTTATGGGGAGTCGAAATTCAAGTTTCAAAGGTATTGGGTCGACGTAGTCGCGGCTCGGAGTATTCTTTTGACTTTTACTTGTTGTTATGGGAAAGAAACGAAAGTCAAGCTCCCTTTTGTTGAGCTCAAGCTCTCAATCGCTGGTGCTGGGGTCATGGTGAACCTGTTTCGTCCATGACATCATCGCCACCCGGGGACCACTGTTGCTCCTTCCCGCAACACACCCAAGTCCATCCACAGTGCTCCTGCTTAATTGGGCTAAATTCACGTGCCGGGCTTGTCTGTTTTAATGGCGAGCCTTGGATCCAGGGCCGGGGTTATTGTTTTCTCTTAAGTTGCTTGGGATTGACAGAAGTCCCCAAGGACTGTAAGCTGGGTAATTAGACCCTCCTTCCAGAGACTAATTACTCAACACCGTAGGGAGGGACTTTAGCAAGATGACCACCCAGTGGGTAGGTGTACTTGATAGGTCTCTGTAACTCATCAAACCACTCGGTTCTGCAGTTGAGTCTCCGGAACCTATTGAACCCAATCTTGTTCTCGTAGATGAGTCTCCGAAGCTCACCGAACAACATCCTACAACAGCAGTCAATTCTCTGAGCCTCATCGGGCGGCAACTTGCTGCTGCATCCCAGCGAACTAGAGTCGAGGCTGACAGTCCACTTGGTTTGTTGAGTTTTCATGTTATAAGGTAATTACGCCTTACCCTTGATGAGCGCAGGATGAATGGACCTTCGCGCGGATAGCATGTTTAAAGAGCCCTACTAGCTATCCTGGGCAAAATGTTAGGATGCGCCGATCGAACCACCGGGATTACAGTTGGATCTAGGGGTGTGTCACAGTATAAAAGGGGTTTCACTTCCTGCAGCGATGGATATTTGCCGTTCCCAAGGTATTCAGGTGAACACCAAAGGTCAACATAAAGTTGTGATTTAAATATTCATAACCATACTCCCGGATGTATTAAGAAAGGGTAGGAGACCAAGGAAACACACACACGAACCATGAAACAGATCTAAACAATAACATACTCCCTCAACACCTCCTCGACCTCCCTCTCCTCCCTCTTCGCATCCACCCACCCCTCAACCCCCGCTGCAGTCCCCTCCGCCCTCCCATCCGCCGCCCAAACCTCCATCACCGCATTCTTCACCGCCGCGTCCACATTCTTAAGATTCAACAACCTCGTCACCCGGTCCGCCACCTTATCTCCCGACTCCACCACCGCATCCCAAATCGGGTCCTTGTCATCGTACGACATCTCGCACCGGTGCAGGACTTCGAACGCGCGCGCCTGGATGTCGACCACATCGAGTTGCAGGTCGGCCCCAAGGGTGAGCTCGAACCCGGTGGGATCCCAGCGGTGCACGTTGCCGAGCGAGATGGTGGTGCTGCGTTTGTGGAGATGGCTGAGAATATCCGACCCTGACTCGGGCCCGGCACCTTGCCCGCTTAGTCCGGCGGCCAGGCCACCGTATGCGGGAGGGCTGTTGAAGGGGTTGGCATCTGGTTGAGACTCCTCGCCTTCGATGGATCGCACGACGCGGAACCCGGGGACGAGCGACTGAATATCGGTGTTGGTGTGTCCCAGCAGCGTGACATTCCACTGCCGCCACTTGCCCGTGCCGTTCCACTCCGGCCCGATGCTGAGTTTGCCCTCGGCCTGGTTCCACGTAATTGGCGTGCGGACGTATGCGCTCAGGGGGACATTGGTGGCCAGGTCTACTCCTCCTTCGTCCTCGTTGGTGTGCTCATGGGTCGACTTTTCCGGTTCTTCCACCAGCTCAAAGTGCGCATCCTTGCCGACAACGAGCACAATCGTAATTTCAGTCGGCCGTGGCGACCCGTTCACCAGCTTGGGCGAGGTATCCAGGGGTAAGATGGTTCCCTCCTTCGCTAACAAGGGGATATGCGTCAGCTCCCGGTGCAAATGCATGTACCGGTCTCCATCGTACACCAGATGCGGGTGGAACACATCAATGTACCTCCCCTTGGGCAACCACGCGCGGACCCCACCGAGCAGCGACGCCGTGCTGTCGGGCGAGGTGATGGGCGCCACGAGAAGGTTGGGCCCGAAATAGTATTGCGTGGGAACCGTGTAGGCCTCGTCGTCCTTGGGGTGGTTCCAGTACAGTGGCTGGATGAGCGGCTCGCTCTCGTGCACGGCCCGGATGTTCATGGTGTAGAGGAACGGGATGAGACGGTGACGGAGAATGAGGAATGCCCGGATGATCTCGAAGGCGTCCTTCTCGAAGTTCCACGGTTCCTTCGAGTTCCAGATGTTCTTGGTGGAATGCAGCCGCATAATGGGTGAGAACACGCCGAGCTGAACCCAGCGAACGGTCAGCTGGTTGGAGCGGACACCTGCCCAGTGTCCGCCGATATCATGGCTCCACCATCCATACCCAATGTTCGACGCTGTGGCCGTGAACTCGGGCTGAAACTCAAGCCCTTCCCAGGTAATCTGTGTGTCGCCCGAGAAACCGATCGGGTAACGATGCGAGCCAGCGCCGGCGTACCGGGAGAAGGTCAGGGGCCGGTCGATGGTCTTGACGTTGCGCCGGCTTGTGAGGTAGTGGTAGTGGTTAAGTACCCAAAGGGGATCCACGCCCGGAATCTTGGTCTTATTGCCCTGCTGCCAGTCGATCCACCAAAAGTCGACGCCCTGTTTCTCGATAGTGAGCTTGAGCACATCAAAGTAAGCGTCTAGGAACTTTTTGTCAGTGCAGTCGAACTCGATCCGCGCGCCGTTGGAGGTATCAAAATCCAAGGCTTTGGCGACGGCCTCGTACAGATCCTCATACGACGCAATGCCGTCAGCCGGGTGATCGTTTAGCGTGACCCTCAGATTGCGCTTGTGCAATTCCTTGAGAAACCCCTCAGGATCGGGGAATAGATCCCGTCGCCAGCTGTAGCCCGTCCATCCTGCCTTATGCCTGTCGAGTGTTAGCTTCTATCATAATTACTTCGCGACAAAAAGGAGGAAAGAGAAGAGAAAAACCCACCAATCCATATCAACAACCCCCACATTCAACGGAATCCCCTCACTCTTAAACCGATCCATCAACTCCAAATACTCCCCCGCCGAATACTCATGATACCTCGACCACCAATTCCCCAGCGTCCACCTCGGCAACACAGGCTGCTTCCCCGAGATGCGATAAAAATCCCGAATCGCCGCCTTATGGTCCCCATCATACGCAAACACATACCCATCCACCCTTCCCTTCTCCCGCACCGCAATCCACCCCTTTTTATCCCATAGCATACTCTCACTATCATCCAGCACCGCATACCCCTTCTTCCTCGACAACACCCCAGGCTCCAAATCCACCCTCCCATACGCCCCATCCAGCGTCCTCGCCGTCCCGCCCAAATCCCCGTAACTCTTCCCATCATACCGCCACACATCCCCCCGGTCCCCAAGCACCTTCACCGACAACCCATCCGCCGAAAACTTCTTCTTGTCATACGACAACTGGAAATAGTCCGTCGTGATCCGCAGACTGTCCACGGTATCGTGCGTGAGGAAATTGGCCACGCCCACGTCGGGAAAACGCCGGAAGATGACGGAGGTGGAGGCGCGGTCTTCGAACCCGCCGTCGGGGGACCATTCGTAGCGGAGTAGGCGGTCAGTTAGGACGGTGAAGCGGTAGTGGGAGGCTGAGGACCCTTTCCCGCTGGAGCCGGTCACGATGGCTTTGGGGTCGGCGAGGGGTCGGCTGTGGAAGGTGTAGCGGTCGGCCATGGCTTCTTTCTTCCCTCTGATAGGTAGTTTGGTTTGTTCAATTATTGGGGGAATGGCTGAGTGAGCCCGCAACAGAATTCCAGCTTGAAATGTGAAATGAACGTCAATAGCTGAGTCGAGAATTGAGTTGAGAGTTGAGATGAAGTTGAGATGAAGCTTGCTGTCCCATCAGTTGGAGTCGGGAGTCCGAAGGGGTTTGTTTCCCCAATTTACAGCGACCACTCAGGCGCTCCCCTCTCTGTTGCAGCATGCATCCCCTCTGTTTCACCCCGCTGTGACGTTCCGGTTGGTCAGGTGCGCCCTCCCAATCCCTGTCCGATACAATGCGGGGGAGGAACGACTCCCTGAATGGGCACGAGAGCAGAGGGGAGGGTTGACCAATCACAGTGTGCTACCCTAGCGAGTTCTCCCATTTCGATGTTGGATGTTGGAGAAAGATGGGGATGGGGAGAATATCGTGTGGGTGGGAAGATACTCTCATTTTGTCCTCGTGTTGTGGTTTTTGTTGACATGTCTCAGTGATAAATTGAGCGTGACACGTTGGTGTAGCCATGATGTCTTAAAATTGTTGATTAATTAGATTGATCTCGAAACTGAAATGTTTATCCAAAAAATGCTCTAGTTGATCGAGTTGAGGAAGCGTAGAGTTGAAAGCCTGGCGAAGGTTAAGGACGGATGTCGAAATGCCTGACCTTGCTCCATAACGCGCAGAACTACCCGCCGGTCACCGACGGAATTGTGTCCAGCACGGTCCGAAAATCGGGAACCCAACACCTGCCCGTGGACCGCAGCCAATGTAGAGCACTAGAATCTAGATCGCCGATGGCCAAGTCTGCCTCCCTCGGTAAACTGCGAGAGCTACCCTCCTCGACTAGACAGGCAGGTCGCACAGGATCGACATGGTCACGACGGCCCCTCTACCGATGTTCCATTTTCTAGCCCGGTAGCAAGATGTCCGCATCCAGCGCGCACCTGATCATGAATAGCGAAACCGATACCATCCGCTCACCACATACCCGTATTCACATCGGTATCAATCGGCCCATCCCACACCTCACTCAACTCCGACGCCGTGTGCCGTACCCGCTTCCGCGCCTGCACCAGCATCTGCGCCTGCACATTCGAGAACCGTTGATGCCACAGCGCAATATCCTCCGGCTTCTGCAACAAGCCCGGGAAATCAATCATCGCCAGCATGATATCCGCCACCGCCGAGCTGTTCGGCCCACGCACCCGCTCCAGCGTGTAGTACGTCTGCAGGAAATAATTGCTCGCCTCGTCCATGCGCTGGGTGACGTACCGCAGGAAGCCCATGAGGAACAGGTAGGTTGGCACGACGCGCTGGGAGCGAGAGTCTTGTGCTGCGGCCGTGGGTAGGGCGGCGCCGACGCGGTCGAGGATCTCGGAGGCTTCGGCGAAGCGCTGGCGGGCGATGTAGGAGCTGGCTGTGCCGAGGAGGAGGCGGTATTGTGCTGGGGTGAGCAGTTTGTCGGGGGATTTGGAGACTTGTTCTTTTGCTTGCTCTGTGACGCGTTCGAGTTCGGCCGCTTCGTCTTTGCCCCTGAGGCGGAGTACGAGGAGATATTCGCGGGTGGCGGCCATGGTGTTTTCGTCTTCGCGTCCTTGGGCTTGGAGGGCTTCGAGTTGGTCAAGGCGGATCTTGGCCGTTCCTTGTAATACGCGGAGGTATTCTGATTTCGGAAGGGATTTGATTCGTGCCCAGGCCATGGCCATTGGATGTTTCTCTCCGAGAATGATGACACAAAGCCGCGCGACGAAGTGCACCACCGCTCGCCCCAGCTCTTCGCGGGAATGGGATAGGTAGTAGCAGCACTTCATCAGAGCTGGGAAGATGGAAAAGTCTTGGTCTTTGATGAACTGTGGCAGGTCGTCCAGGAGGTAGTTGATCAACTGGACGGCCTCGGCATTTCGGCCGGGCCAGTCAGAAACATTGCGCACCTTGTCATACCAGGTGTTCAGTCGAGCATTGGCTTCGACGCCGCCGGGTCCAAAGTAGCGGTTGTGCTCGGAGAAGAGGCGCCAATGTCCTTGTTCAAAGGACCCTTCCGTGTAGACGCGGAAGAAGCGGAGAATTTCTTCGTGAACGTGAAGTTCTCGGGCGGCGTTGAGGTTTGGGAGTACTGCCAGGTTAGTGGATGCCGGGAGCAGCTTTGGAGATTCTGGTGGCGGTGTTGTGCAAGTGATATCTTTGGCTAGCTTGCTGTGTCCATCGAGGGGTTGAGTGCCGTGTTTTGCCCAAAAGTCGGGGGTACGGGCGAGGTACCGTTCGATATCCTCCCTGTGGACGGAAGGGGGTTAATCATAACTGCCGGAACGAAGACGGCTTCTTGAGTACTAATAATCGTATCGTAGATCACACCTACCAGTCAACGGGCCGGCCCCGAATGAAAAAGTTGGAAGCTTTGCCCTGTGCGTCACGTTGCTTCTTAAGCTTAAGCATGTAGGCCACCTCGGCAGCCTTATTGTTCTTGTCAATGCCCCATTTCCTAATCCGAGTTCTGTACATCTTCACTCTGTGGGCCGACATCGTTAGCCTTGAATATTACCTTCCCCCTTCGGGTCTGGCCGTGCCCGAGTCGGGAAAGCCACCACAAGGACACTCTGCGGAGTTGGACTCACGTCGCAAAGAACGCGTGATTCTGGGCCATGTACTCCATGACCTCCTGTAAGGAACGCTTCTCATGCAGGTAAAGGCGACTGATGGTCTCGCGCTGGGCGTCCCAATCCTCTGCGCTGGCGTATTGCTCCTGCATGCTGCGCTTGGCAGATTTGGACGGGGCCATTTTGGCGAAACCCGAGGGCGGGGTACCGTCGGTGGTCGACGACCGGGGAGATGGGAGACCGGTTTCCACTATGTCATCCATTGTTCCCTGGTGGTGCGGGAAAAAGATGCTGGGATAGGATTCTCAGGAACGGTGTTGTTAGTGTTAGAGATCCGTCGAGGCTCGGCTCTGATGTCTTCTGAAGTGGTCACGTCGGGAGACGGAGTGATTCGAGTCCGGTACCTGAGAGTGCTCAAGTCTACAAGTCCTTTTTGGTGTCCAAGATTCGGACGAAGGCGGAGTTTATGATCGGGGTGTGGGAAGGCTGAGAGGCCGACTGACCGGTTGCTGACTGGCTGGGCGCAGCCGTTTCCAGCCCACAGTGCTCGGCGTGGGGAACTTGTTATGGGATCCCTGGATTTTAGTGGGGTTACCAAATGTCCTTGCATGAAAGTCTATTCCATAATCGTTCTAGCCCCGATTTGTTCGGGGCCGTTTGTTGATCCGCGGCTGACGGTGCTGAAGCGAGCTGTCAACGACATCATCCTCCTCACGCGACTCATACATAAATAGTTACATGGTACGAATACCTTGTGAGATGCAAGTGCAGAATGAAGAAGCCGGGGAAAGTACTGCGAGGCGGTGGGAACCGTTCGCCCGTGGTCATCTTGTCAGATATCACGACCGGCCCACAGTAAGCTACGACGTACGAATAAAAACTCGACAGCTCAAGATCGGAGGCTGACCCTTTGGACAGGGCTATGAACAAAGGGTTTAAACCGGGTGAGATGAGGTTAACCCCACACCTACCACAAGGAAGGAAAGATGACAAGGAAGAAAAGGTAGCTGGGGAGGAGGAGGGGAGGGGCAACCTAGGTAGAATGAAAGATAACAGGAAAGAAAATGTAAGGTAACTAGCAGGGAAGAAGAAAATGGAGAAGGGGACGGAGGATTGGGGAAGGAAAGTCAAAGAAAGCAAGGGTAGAAGGAAGGATGAAAATAAAAAATTAAATAGGGTAAATAAAATAAAATCAAGACAAAGGAGATCAGCTGACAGGACTTTGCGATGGATCGGATTAAGATCAGATTTACCCAATTCGAGGAAAAGTTCCCAACGGCGGACATGTAGGCGACCCATCGGGACATGCAAGTGATGACGGACTCGGCACGCATGATTCTCGGTAAATAAATCCATTGCGTGTCAATTTATCCCCGAGGAGCGACTTTATTTCCAGAAAATAGAATGGAAGTTGCGGCCGTGGACGGTAGCACCTGCAGGTTCAAAGGCGCAAGGCCCCACCCACTAGATGCGAGTGCACGGCCCCGACTGCCGGCCGGGATGAGCTGCTCGCGTCATCAACGGACCATTGGTTCAACGCTGCACGCACTTCAATGGAATGCCCTGTCCACCACGTCGCGTTTGAGCAACCGTCTTTACATAGTTGATGACACGGAACCCATCCTCGGCGGCCTCCCAGGATGCAGCTGAACAAAGAGCGCCAACGCAAGATCCGGAATATGCTGCACAAGTCCCTTCCACAAGAAAACAGTCGAGAGCTCGCCCTGTAAGTGGATCTGCCCCGGCTCTATCGGTTGGGCCGTCCCCGACACGGTGGATTCCACACTTTCTCGACTGCAACCCACACTCACCCATCCTTAACACAGCCTCGAACGCAATCAACAGCTCTCTCCGCTCCTCCGCCTCCCACCCGAGCTCCGCAACCGAATCTTCGAGCTGATCCTCGACGTCGGCCAAATCAACGTCTGCTACAAACGCTGGGAGCATCGATCACGAACCACCAAAACCGGCCAGCGCTCTCACGAGACCGTCAACGGCGGGTTCTACTGCCGCATCCTCGACAAACACCAGAACCCCTGGCGTCACCCGCGAGATGGCGTGCGCCCTTCGCCTTCCTCCATACCCACAACCGCGTCGTCGCTGCCAAGTCCACGGCCACGGCGGGGTATGACGCTGCTCTCGCCCGTCTGTCGACAGTTGTACCACGAAACGGCGCTGCTGCCCTTTCGGCTGAACGCCTGGTCGTTTGACTCGTCGCATACTATGGACCGGTACATTCTGAAGGAGAAACGACTGCCGTTGGCGCAGCGCCGCGCGATACGATTGTTGTATGCGCAGACGGTGCTGACGTCGCCGGTGGAAAAGTATTTTGGGGGGTTGGAGGTGATTGTGCTTGGGACTGGGCTGACGATGATCAGGAGGGTGGAAGAGGAGGGAGACCCGGAGCGGGGGTATAGGAAGGTTGTGGCGTGGGATCTTTCGCATACAAAGTGGAAGTGAGGGCCTGGGCACGACTAAGAATTGCTCTGCGACGAAAACTAGGAGCTTCGTTGAGCTCAGAAGCGGAGTTGGTGGGTCTCGAAATCGGGGACTGGACATACATACATACGGCTTCAATCAGCAACGACCGCACAGTCGACATGATTTGAACTCGAATCCCAGTCCAATTCTTTCCGGAATGCCTTCTTACGGTCAAACGAGATATAAAACGCCATTTTCCTGCCATCCGTGCCCGCACAGTCCACAAGACTCGACAATTAGCCCTTAGTCATCACAACCCCCACCATGGACATACACGCCGCATTAAGCAATGGCGTTGTAAGTCACCTTGAACAGCTTCTTATAACCAGCGTTGACCTGGGCAACAACGATATCGCAGTTGGCCGTCCACCGGAGCGAGTACTGCGTGAACCACTCCTTCACTGTCGCCAGGGGCACCTGGGTCTTTCCCTGACGTGACAGATACCGGCGCAGATAATTCACCGCATCGGGCACATCATACGGCCGAGCGGCTTGGATGCCGCCTCCGGCGACCCGGTCGACCTTGCAGCAGAAGGCGTACTGCCACGGCGCGGCCAACACGGTCAGGCCGGGTTCCTGGAAGATGATTTCGTTCTGGGCATACGACTGCTCCGTCAGGGTATCCCGCTGGTCGCGCGGGATGAACAGGATAGTGCGGTTGTTGAACCACTCCGCATCGAGCTTCGGGTTCGCCTTGGCGGCGGCGGCTGCCCCCTCGACGATGAGCTTGAAGGCGGCGGGCGTCAGGCGGTTGTTGAAGAAGTCAACATCATGGGTGGACGTGCGGCTCTGCAGGTAGATGGTGTTCACCGCGCCGCCGACCGCAATGACGGTGACGTTGCCCTTCTTCTTGGTGATATAGGCGGCGACGGCCTTCAGAGACGCGAGCAGGGCGCCGCGGTCCAACTCCTCAAGGGGCTCATCCTGGCCTGGCGTCTTCTTGGGCGCGAGCTCAAGCAGCGACTTGGCGTTCTTCTTTTGTTGGAGACGAGACCACGATTGACCCATGGTGCGGCGCATAAGGGTGTACTAATAAAATACTAATATAAAATTGAAATTAAAGGTTGGTGGTTGAGCTTACGGAAGGTTGGAAGCTGGTTTCGAGATGCTACTATATTACTACCTACAGACCGAGAGGAACTACGAGGGTTTTATATCCATCGCTGCACCATTGTCCTTCTACTACTCCCACGGAGCGTACTCACAAGACTCAACATCCGTCTCCGCTCGGTCTGTTGGAGCGGCCGAGGGGGCTTTCACGGCGTCCTCCTTCCTTGACCTAGCTCGGGCGGTTTCAGGCTATGGAAATATAGCGGCCTTGAGCTTGATTCCAACCAGTTTTTGGTGACCAACACCGTGGAATGTGGCCAGTAGTGGGTGCCTTCACGACGGGGGCACAGTTGTGCGATGGGGTACGACTAGGGCCTAGAGGGTTTCTAGTCTCGTCCGATTCCTCTGAAGGCCGGCATTGGGGGCGACATGGGATTTGTGGTTGAAACGGGGGTCGTTGTCGGTGGGTATTGGTAAAAACTCGATGGATGTGTACCGGTATCGTCCTGCGCCCTTTGGGGGCTGCGGAGTGCGAACTGCGCCGCCGCGCGCGCGGTGCTCTACGCTGAAACGGTGTTCGTAAGTTGTGAGGTATGTATTCGTTGATGTTCGGGGGAGGATTTCCAACTTCAGACGTCGAATCTTAGGTAATTCGCTGCGCCATGACTTAACACTAGCAATCTGACACCACAGCGCCCGCGCCCCACTTTACCTCGATCTCTACCTATTATCAAGGGGGGTCTTCGGTCTTCCCCGTACGTCCCAAGTGTTTGACTTTGTGCCGCTCGACGAGGCTGCGAAAACACTCAAACGCAACTTCCATCTCTTTCGTTCCCCAACCGCCAATTCACGGCCTGTCTACGGCCTGTCTGTCTGTCTCTCTGTCCATCTATCGTCTCCAACTAAACCGTCGTCACCTACTTCCCATCATCGCCATGCCCAACATTACACGTTCCATCCGGGACCGCCTCCCCAAAAAAAAGCAACCACCCCCACCAACTGCACAACAATCACCACCACCACCACCACCCCTCTCCCAAACAGCCCCAACTGTCTCCTGGCTCCTCGCCCACCGCGCCGAACGCACCACCCAACCCGCCCTCACCAAAGGCCAAACCCCCCTCGCCTCCCTCTACCGCATGTACGAATATCTCACCATCAACCACATCAAAGCCCTCCGCTCCGAAATCGAGCGTTTCTTCAACCACCCCTCCTGGGCCGTCTCCGCCATCCCGGACCCGGCCGACCCCGACCCCCAGCGCTACGCCATCCTCGCTGGGATCCCGTCGTTGTTGGTGACTGCGTTTAATCGGTTGATTGAGAGGGGGTTGCCGAGGGGCAGTCCGTCGATTATTACGGGGGTGGAGATGGAGGAGGAGTTGAGGCGACGGCCGGTGGTGTTGGAGACGGAACCGGCTTGGGTGGGGAGGGTGCCAGCTTTGAAGGAGATGTTGGTTCTGCCGGGGCCTGGGGGGGAGGTGGCGGAGGGAGAGGAGAGGTATGGACGGTTGTTGAAGTTGGGAGTTGTTGTGGGGACGCCGCATGTTTTGTTTATATAAGGGTTTTGGTTTCTGGGTCTTTTCTTTTTCCCCCATGTTATGGTCTTATGAGAGCGATTCATGGTGTAGAGGGTTTAAGGCGCATCTGAGGACACCGCTTTGTAAGAGCGGAAATTGAGGTCCTAAGATCATCATCGGTCGGGCTAAACAGATCCCAGAAGCCCAAAAGGGGACATGTTCTCTCTTTACATATATTGTAGATCCCGTTCCCCACCCTTCATTTTGAACAGTGGAAAGCCGGTTGTCATTCTCACCCAGATACTATTTACTCCTAGCATTGATAAGGACCCAGTTGCCATCTCACGGAACTCGGTTTAGTCATGACAAACAAACTTCTTTAATTACTCGTTGGCCGAATGACACAAACCAACAGCTACAATTCTATCACGATGCACGAACCAAAGGGAGGAAGCAGAGTGGTTGATTCCGAATTCGGTAGTTACTAGATAATAATTAATAATTATCAATGATTCAGCCATTGATTCTGCGACAAAGACAGGGAGGAGAAACCGAGAAACCAAGGTACCTAGGGAAAGTTGGTGCTGGAACATACGGAGTACTTCGTACCGTACGTTATTTCCACTGCTTAGCGCTGACCATACGCGTATATTGAGACAAACGATATTCCATTGAGAGTCACATCCTCCGTTTCAAATGAATAATTAAGATAACTATTGCTTGATTGTTGACGGTAATTGCCTTTCTTTCATTATTGCCGGCTCTTCTGTGCCCAATGTTTAAACCCCGGTCCCTGTAAGTTAGCGGTTGTTGGGCGGCCTGTAACAGCCGCAGTCTGGCTCCTTCGGCCCCCAAGACGGCCCACAAGCGGGCGCTCCATCGCCGTTGCCTTGAACAACACCGAAAGTATCAGACACGTTCCTGAATTCTGTCCTCAATTTTGGATCCTGCGTGCCTTCAATTTTCAAACGACAGTTGATTCTCGCCCCGGAAATGAAACAACCCCGCTCAATCATTTTGCACGTATTGCCCGCTAAGACGAGCGCTATTGATCACTCTGTCCGTTAATCTGCGAAGCAAAGTTTAATCAATAATCATTTAATGTAATCCGAAACAAAACCTCAACCACAAGGGTTCAGTGTCTTTCAAACACCACACCATGCGCTTCTTCTCCCAACCCCAAACAGGCCTCGACGCCCTCCTCCACCGCCCGCGACCCAGCGCCTGGGACCAATTCCTCGCCCAGCCCTGCCTCTTCCTCGCGCGAAAACTCTACGTCTTCCACCACCCCCCAACCATTTACCCACAATCACACCCAACCCAACGCGTCGTCGTGGTCTGCATCTCCGACACCCACAACTCCCAACCCAAACTCCCTTCCGGCGACGTCCTCATCCACGCCGGCGACCTCACCCAATCCGGCACCTTCGCCGAACTCCAAACCACCCTCGCCTGGTTGCGCTCTCAACCCCATCCGATCAAAATCGTCGTCGCTGGTAACCATGACTTACTCCTCGATCCCAGCTGTGACAGCACCACCGCCCGGCACGTCACTACCGGGGGTTCTACCGCAGCAGAACAGCGCGCCGGCCTAGACTGGGGCGACCTGATATATCTTGAAAACCGCACCGTCACCGTCACCTGCCTCAACGGCCGACAGCTGCGTGTGCATGGCAGTCCGCTGACGCCGAAACACGGTAACTGGGCGTTTCAGTACCCGCGCGGAGCTGACAATGTGTGGAGGACGGAGGGCCAAGAGACGGACGACAACAACGACAAGAACGACAACGACGACAACGAGTCCCCGTATGCATCGTCGGGGGTAATCCCGAAGTACGTCGATGTGTTAGTCACACATGGCCCGCCAAAGGGGCATTTGGATTTGACGCAGGGCCTGGGGTGTGAGGGGTTGTTGGGAGCGTTGTGGCGGGCGCGGCCGCAGTTGCATGTGTTTGGGCATGTGCATGAGGGGGCTGGAGTGGAAAGTTTGAGGTATGATGAGGTGCAGAGGGCGTATGAGAAGACGGTAGTGGAAGGGGGTGGGGTGTGGAATTTGGTTGGGGTTTTGGTGCCCGCTGTTTGGGGGTGGTTGTGGTCGTCGACGCCGGTGGGATTCAAGAAAAGCGTGCGGACTCTGTTGGTGAATGCCGCGGTGGTTGGGGGGTTGAGGGATCAGGAGCGGCGGAAGCCTGTTATCGTGGTGATATAATTAGAAGGAGGGACGGTCAATAAGACAGAGAGAAAGTCCGGGGACATTGGGACGAGGTTCACGGAAATCCACCAGACGCTTCTGATTATCAGACACTCGTATTCATTAATATCGAACATCACTTGACACGCGTGTCAAATATCACCGAGCCCCGGCCGGCCAATTCCAGTTCCGGCAAAACGTCTCACGCCAATCTGGCCCGAATTCAGACTCCCAGATCCCAAACGTCGCCTCCGCAACCTCCTCGCTCGCATCTTTCCACTCCTCTGCCCGCGTCTCGTCCTCGTGTCTAGCCACCGTGGTGATATCGAAGCGGTGGCCAGCCCACACACCCCTGGTCATGATGTTGTCCGGGTTTTTCATAGAGACAGAGTTTGATGTTGACCAGCCGACGCGTGACATGACAATTTGGCCAAAACCCAACACATCGATGTGAGGGCCGTGGATGTATTCTGGTTTCAGGGCAATGGCTTCGGCGCGGACAAACTCTTTCGTCGTCAGGTTCCGAAGGATCCATGGCTGGTCTTCGGGGAAGTAGGTCGCCTGTTTGACGAAAATCTCGGGACGGGCCAGCGAGAACCCAATTTCCCTCGGTTTGTCGTACCCCTCTATCCTGTCGTTGCACTCGTAATAGATTTCTCTTGACTGGGATACCAGGTCGTGCTCCCCTTGCATCTTGGAGATCCCAGGAAAGCTGGTGTGATACAGGGTGAACGGGACCTTGAAAAAGGTGACATCGCCGACATCCTCTTCGCCTTCAAACCAATGGTCTCCGTCGAACGGTATAATGGTTTTCCGTTCACGAAATTCCTCTACCTCCTCCGCTGAGAACAGACCAGGGGGGTAGGAGCCCGGTTTGACGTCTTCTCCCACGCACACAATGTTCTGTCCCGCCCACGTCCCGAAGAAGGACGTGTAATAGTCGTGAACAAATTCCCGCCCGATCGCCCAGAAGTACCGGTTCGTAAGGCCCAGGCAGATGAGATCTGGAATGGGCTTGATGTGAGAGAAGACCAACCGATGGAGTTCCGTGGGAAGTCCGCAAAATGTGGCAGTGGCACGGGTGGTGACAATCTCCGGCGTGAGGTCGTGCTCATGGTCGTGGTTGTCGTCCTCGGCTTTTGCCCGCTTGTGTTGTTGTGGTGAGATGGCTGCCAGTTGTTCATCGTCATCAACTTTGCGCTTTGAGTCGCCGGCGGCCTTGTGGCGGGTGATATTAGTACCAAGACTCTCGCTTAGATGCTGTTGACTAGGTGCAGATGGCTCAGATGGGGCCTGTGGGGGGGTTTCGGAGATGGAATTGGGAGGTCGAATGGGGATAGCGAGGAGAGGGACGAGTTGCTCGGGTGAGCGATCGAAAAGCATCTCGCCCAGTTTGTAGCCGTAATCGAATGATAGCTTTGCCCGCGGGGCTACCATTCTGAAAGCTTGCCCCATCGCGAAGGCTTCCTACGTTGGAAGCCTGGATCTCGTGGCGGAAAAAAAGGAAGTTAGTAGGTAATGTAATGGGTTCACAGAGCCGGTCGGACGACGGGTGAAGAGAAAGGTTCGAAGAAGTCGTTCGTGGTGGCCAGGCAAACACCCCGATTTGGCATTGGGTGGAGTCGGTGCCTGATTTTGCCCTTGTTGCCCGTGAAATACTTGATACACGTAATTACCGAGCAAAACCACGGCTCGTGGTGCACTTCCAGCAGGTCAATACCCCTCAGGTTCTGAGTATTACTGTCTCCGTGTGGTATGTACGCGGTCGTTGTACAACACGCTTGATAATCACGCGACCCCGAGCCCATCAAGATACCACAGACGTTTTGATAAGCACCCACACGCATGAAAGTAAACAACGAACGCGAGACCCAACCCTGTCTTGTTTCTAGGAGAGCGTAGGGCAGCGAGCGGTCCAGACAAGGGTAAGACCTGGGGGCCCATGTTGCGATGACGTCGTCTCGATATGATATAAACACTTACGTGCATTTGTTAAGCCGGAGCATGTGGATGCCCTCGACCTTCCCGGTACTCAAATTATCGTCACGAGGAAGGTAAGAGAGTTCTTTACCTGTTTGTCGAATCGAATCGCCCGTTTGAAACAAGGACCCTAATTCTCTCTCATACTTTTCGTTGTCGACAACCTTGCGTTCAATGGCAGCGGCGGACCCTTGGCAGCAATCTTCGGACAGAACTTCCTCCACCTTGTAAGAAAAGGGACAATACCTAGGAGAAACATGATCTGCTACGAGATCGAAAGTGGCATCCACCGATGTCAGGCAGTGCCAGAACCACACGGCTCCAGACTCCCAACTCTCGTTCCTGATACGCGCCAGCACTGGCTTACTACCCTCGGCCATCACGCCCTCCCCGTCCTCTAAAACCTCCATGAACGCCTGGCGGACCTGGTCGAACTGGGCAAGATCGTCCCCACAAGCTCGTCGATGCCGCGTCCCGTGAGCCAGTAAGGTACGGAAATCATATCTGCGGGTAGCGAACAGATCCACTCCAGATCAATCAGGCAGGTGATGTTCCAGTCGTCGTCGACCAAGATGTTGCTTGCGTGGACGTCGGTCATTTGAACATGAAAGGGCCCGGCCCGGCGCTCCGGGGAAATGTAAAAATGCGAGACCGTCCTCAGCAACGCCCTAGCGGCCATCTGGCCACGACAGTCGGCGGCGTCGAAGACGGCGTCCCGGTGGGCGAGGAAGCTGCCGTCGTGCAGGGCGAGCATATCCGCTATGAACGGTTCAGTACGGCCTTACATTTCGTCGCGGGGTATTGTCCTCGGAGCGCCGCCGTTCTCTAGGATGGGGACGCAACAGGGCAGCGGTCGGTTCGTCAGCGTCACCGTGCTGTCGGCGTTGAACCGAAACGAACCTATCCGAGGCTGCGGGACGCGGGCCAAGGAGAGGATCAGTCGTGCCAGGCCTCGGAATGACGTCTGTTGCTTGGTCTTGTCGGTTCGGCCTTCCCGCTAGGTGTCGGAAAGCATACGCCCCGTATCCGGGCCAATGTACTTGAGCAGCATATATACCACACAGCATGGCGTTGTTGTTGTTATTATTGTTTGATTTCTTATCTGCCCAGGTCCATTTCGCTTATAAATACTGTTGAACTTCCCTAGCGTACATCCAGAAACCTTGGGCGACAGGATGTTCGCCCTTGTTTGACCTGCACGGAGATCCATGCCTCTAGCCTTTGACCCTGCCTCCAATTGTACCTAGACCTTCGGACTCGATACTGGTGTTCTGATATTTTTCTAGTTCTGCTGTTCCCCGTCCTTCTATAGCTTCTTGTTCTTGACTGATCGTAGCGGCCGGTCCGCTTGCCAGTTTATGCCTTGCTTGCTCGTATTCCGCGGCCTTCACAGTTCCGAGAATCTTAACAAGTTGATCCTATTTGTTCGGACACAGCCGCATTGTCGACTAATTTGTACTAAAAACCAAGCTTCTTAATCTCTTGTGATTGCTCAAACGTTGCGGTGCCGGGATCATCACCGGAGCACAGTATCGGCCCGCCGATCACGGAAATGTAAATACCCCTGAATGCGTCAACAACAGGGGTTAACACGACACTGGAGTTTGATGCCAGGAAATATTCGCTAAATGTATTGTGGCAAACAAGGGTTGTAGATTTATTGTGCTCGTTGATAGTTGTTTGCTTTAGGACATGACCACATCACCGAAAGGCCTTTGTGTCGGATGTCGCTCGACTGACGCGACTGTGCTCAAACATGACTCTGTGGGATGATTGTTAGCCCTTCTTCGGAGTTGTAAATACACTTGATGGATGTGACTTCTCTGTTGTTGCTTTCCTCATCTGAATAGCATTCGCGAATGTGGTTTGACGACGGTGTCGATCAGGATAGCTCCACGACGGTCTCTCCCTGTTGCTGGAGGATAACTAGGAGTGGTTATACTCCCTAAACAATAAAGCAGCTTGCTTCTTGGTCTATTTAAGGCGATGGAAAGCGCCCCTAGCTGAGGGAGGGCCGGTGTATGCGCAACCCCAACGGCAGAGCGAGCCCTGGGGGGAGCTTGCTTGCTTGCCAGATTGACTGTAGCGCTCTCAGAATCCATTTACAGACAACAAAGAGAGCAAAGCTTGCTACTGGGAACTAAATAAATAGTCATGATAAGGTCGAAGCGAGAGTACAGCAACACTGAGCCACCAACTCATTATATAGGGCTCCCCTAACCGTAGAACCGTAGAGCACAGCTCTCCACCGCAGGAAGCACGATGATAGGTAGACGCGGTGGTCAAGACGACCCCCCACCCACTTGTTCAACCAGCCTGCCAGGCACGGCCATACTACCCTCTACTCGTTCGAAAATTTTCACTCCCTTCTTGCCGTCCATCTTCTGAAATCAACACCGCCTTTCTATCTAGCTGTGGGGCTTGCCGCGCGGAACTGGCAGATGCGCAGCCCTGGAGGGACTATACATTCTTTCGTCCTCGTCCATTTTCTCTCTCGCACTTTTCTTTTTTCTTTCGGCAAATTGCACATCGCTACCATCGATCACCATGCATAACGTATAAACTTACTCTCAGAACCAAACAAAAAACATTAAACACAAAATGGCGTAAGTCCTTCTTTAATTACTTTGGTCACCTTTCATCCCTCTACTTTCTTTCCCGTTCACTGACGCGTACTGTCTGCCCATCGGCTGGAGCAATCGCTGCGGTTCCTTTTCCTGCCGCGGAACATCTTCCCATCTCGCCCTATTTAGAAAAGCTAACCAGTTCATCCCCATCGCAACAGGCACCGCGAGGCGCTCGACTACGCTAGCCGTAAGTTAATCAATCATCATTCCCATACCCTCCCCTCTGCTCCCCCCAAATCTTCCATCGTCGCACTCTCCCCAACCCCCAAATCCCTCTAATCATTTGCGATCCCATCACAGAGAGAACCTGGTTAGTGCCGTTTGACATTCAGGTTAGCTACCTGGTCAACCGCCATGTCCGCGCAGGCGGCGTTGGATGGGGTCCTCTGTACGCAGAGGCTTGGTGGAAAGCGTTCTGGGCCGAGCGAGGCAGTGCGGAGGAGCAATGGTATAATGCCATTGTCTCGGAATTGGTGATGCGTGGTTCGTTTTGATTTTCTTTGTTTTTTTATTCCTGTTGCTTTCTTTGCGGTTTCCTTCTTCCTTCCTTGCGCTCCTAACCCAGGCATTTCTCTTTGTTTCGCCTTCCTTGCTCTGGAATTTCTTGATTCTTTCAAGTTCTTGCGGGAGTGTGCTAACTGACTTTTCTGTTTTCCAAGACTTTTGTAGAGTCACTGTCGCGTGCGCCCGCGCCGGGGTTATTCCTGCCCTGACTGGCCGGCTTGTTTGGTACTGGTATGTTTATTCATCACCTCCGTTGTCATTAACCTCATTCTCTCGGTCCTCCCTTATCACTCAATTACTTCACCTTTTGTTACCTCGTGCTAATTCTTTCGAATCAACAGTACAAAGAAACAAGAATAATCGTCAAAGAATAACTTGGCAACCTCCGGGTCAGCAGACTCCAGCAAAGATCATGACCGATGCATGGGACTGTCCGGTCGTCGCGCAAGAAGTTTGCAGCTTCTTGCCGGCTGGACAGTCTCGTGGCCGTCAGCCCTGTTGGGTTCAATCCGCGTCGGTCAACGACGATCCTGGGCCCTGGCGGGGCTGCATGGTCTTGACTGGTGTCTGCTGCCCCGGAGGTTGTCAAGTTATTATCTTGATTTTCGGCCGTCCAGTCCGGTGGTGAGTCAGACCAGCAACGCGCCTTATCCCGGGCTGGTGTGGCCGACAATGGACTGGTTCGGCTTCGCGGCTACCTTCAATCCTATGCAGCAGCGTTGGGTGGTGTGGTGGGCAGCTGAGATGGCGATTAACCAAATGCAAGGTTATTTGCTGGTGTGGTGGGTTGTTGAGATGGCCATCAACCAGATGCAGGGCTACCCGATCTGGTGGTGTGCTGGGAAGCTAAGATGTATGATTTCTGTGGCAGGTTTGGGGCAGGCCTCGTGGTTTGGAAGTTGCCAGGACTTGTGTTAGTACCGGGTATTGGATATATGTTAGTGATGGATGAGGGAAGGATGTATATAACAGTCATTTGTGGGATATTTTTGGGTGGTCAATTTAGGGGAACAGAGAAGAAAATCATTAAAACTACACATGTGGTCCTGATATATGATGTGAAGGCGTAATGTTTACGTAGTTGTGTGGGCATGGCTGCTTGTTCTGATCTTGGTGGGAGCTGAGTCTGGGTTGTTGGTGATTATACAACTTGTGCTTGGTGTTGAGAACTAGTGCCCTGGCGGTGTGACGGCGTTGAGCTCGGCGAAGGGGGTTCGTGTTTTATAATCTAAATTTCATCTTCTTTTTGTTTTTAACTATATTTTACTGTTACCCCAGGGATCCTTCTTCTTACTCGTTTTCCTTTGGGTTATTAAAGGTTATATTCTTGAGTTCTAGACGGTGGATCGAGGTTCAAGTCTGTAGATCCTCACTCATAGCTAATTATGGCATGGAAGGACGAAGACATCGACACTTGGATGGACTTGGGTTGTCAACCATTGCATGCGGGAGTTCCTTCGGAGTTGAGCTCCGTCTTAGGCTTGTGAACGTTGCCATATGCGATCCTAAAAACACCCGAGCGTCACCACTTACATGTTTCTTGTTTCGTTTCAAAAAAATCATTTTATCCTCCGTATTCAGGAACAGAATAAACAAGGCATCTGAAACAAAAAATCAAAACCTGCCTGGGCTGTGCTCACCGACACATTCGGACGACGAGCAACGCCTTACTGCGGGGCCATCACAGGAAGTTGCCTGCGCTGCGGCCAATGGTGTCGATTGGGGTGTGGTTGACTGGTTGTTTTGGGCCAAGTCACCCGGCCAAGGCGAGCTGGGGACAATTTCCCATGCACACCTCAGCGACGCAGCTGACCTGGAACAAGCGGGGTGGGTGTGCCTTTTTATTTCAGGTGTGTTGAAAATTGTTAAATATGTCGTCGGTCTAACGTTGCTGTGCTGTCAGATATTCCAAACTGTCAAACATATTCTGCTCGTCATAATTACTAGCATCCAACTTCCCACGCTCCTTTCGGCATAAATACCTAGAGTCGCCAACATTTTACATTCACCGTTCATTTTCAATATTACTATTTTACCGCTGTTTGCAACTTTTCTGGCCCGATTACGATCTTGATACCCCCGAGTTTTGGACGGAAAGAAACCAAAAAACCAACAAAAAATTGATGCGTCATGTGCCAACAAATGTACCCCCGCATCCGATACAGCTGTTTCCACGAAGTCGAACAGCTGCCCTACATTGTCGCGTGCAAAGCACGAGGAGAGTGCGACACACCGAGGAATAATTTCCAATTAGGCATGACGGCAAAGAGAGGGAGGTGCCCGGACTGTGTGGAACGATACGGGCCTGGGAGACAGAGACGTCGGTTACTGCCGCCTACTTGGTCGATGAATATCATGCAAGTTAGGTCGGAGTGAAGGTTGGGGCGTTGGGTTTACATCAAGGGGGCTTTCGGGTTGATTGTGGTGTGGCAGCGTGGCTTGGGTTGCCAAGAGGATCATAACGGGTTACGAACGCGACGAACATGACGGACGTGACGAACAGACGACGCCAATGATGATGACTTTTTGATTCGATTCTGGTTTGGAGGAGTTTTTTTTTCATTCGTAGGGTATAGGGAATTAGGGAACAAGTACATTTCGAGAGTTCGAGGAGAGCTTCAAGATTATTAATCGCTTGTGTGCTTGTGGTGTTCTCCAATTGTTCCGTCTGACGGCCTGACGCACTTGAAAGCGTCATCCATTTCTTGGCTTCGCTGCGTTTCCCTTTTCGGACTTCCGTCGAACATACGAATGTGGCTGCCGTCTCCAAAACACACTCTCCTGATTACTCAACTGTCCTTTTTCACTCCTGTCCGCCAACGCATTCCTGCTGAACTTAGAAAATATCGAACCTTGGCTCAACACCACAATTCCAAGCGAGGACGCCTCGAACGACGGCAACAAGGAGGAAGTCGTCAGTCTCGCGCTTGGCGTGTGTCAATGTTCATCACTGGAGGGCAGAGCGAGGAGGGGCAAAGGGATCAACATGTCGAGATGCTCAACGGGGATATAAACCGCGCCTTGTCGCGCACAATGACAACATGATCGACTCGACTCTTCACCACAACTCCTCACATTATCATCCATCTTGACCACAAAGTACAAACCATCAACCAAACCAACACTTAACCACTTATCACTCCCAACACCGCTCAAAATGCACATCACCGTCGTCCCCGCCTCCCCCAAAACAGGCCTCGCCACCATCCGCGCCCTCCTCGCCGACCCCCGCCAACCGACCATCCGTGGCTACTACCGCAACCTGTCCAAGGTCCCCGCCGAGCTGGCTGCGCAGCACCCGCGCTTCGAAGCTGTCCGGGGCGACGTCGAGGATTTGGAGACTCTCGACTTTGCCGGGTCGGACGCTGTCTTCAACATCACGCCGCCGTTGTATCAGGAAGGGAGGGACATTGTTGCGCATGCGCGGGTGGTGTCGGAGAATGTGAAGACGGCGGTACGCAAGGCGGGGGTGCGGAAGGTGGTGTTGTTGTCGAGTGTTGGGGCTCAGTATGGGAGTGGGACGGTGAGTATTCGATATTTATCTACTTGAGAGACGACTGCTGGGATAAGGCTGACATGGGCTTCAGGGTGAGATCCTCAGCAACCACGCGGCCGAAGTCGCCCTGGCCGACGCTGCGCCCGAGGTTGCCTTTGTGCGATGCACCTACTTCATGGAGAACTGGGCGACTGCTCTCGAGACGCTGCCGGCGGGCTTCTTCTTCTCTACTCTGACTCCGCTCGACTTCCCGCTGCCTATGGTATGTTCTCCTGGAATTCTATTCTTCGCATCCTCAGTTGGGATTAGAGATCAAGCTAGCGCGGGGATTAAACTAATCCACTACCAACCATAGGTCGCAATCAAAGACATCGGCCTCACCTGCGCCGACGAACTCCTCACCCCCCCTTCCTCCTCCCCCAGCCCAATCATCTACGAGCTCCGTGGCCCGCGTGAGTACACCACTGTCGACGTGCAACAGGCCATCGCCCAGGCCACAGGCAAAGAGATCGAGGTCCGCCCCGTGGAAAAGGACGGCCTGGATGCGTTCTACGCCGCGGTGTTTCCGCCCAGCGTAGCCAAGTTGTTTGCTGAGATGAACCGGAGCTTTTTGGAGGGTGGGATTCTGGCCCTGGATCCGGAGCCGACCAAGGGGGAGACGAAGTATGGGAAGACGGAGTTGGGGGAGGTGATTCGGGGGCTGGTGGGCGTGGATGAGTTGGATTAGGGATTGAAGGAGGACAAAAGTGAATCTGAGAAATGAACGGGTTGATTCTTTACGAATTAACTAATTACTTGACTTCAAGTTCTGCTAAACACCATGAGAAGGGTAAGGAGGGACGATGAATTTTGTCTTAAGCTTGGGCCTAGAGTATTACGATGCGGGTTCGTTCCTGGCGGTACCTAGATAATTATGCAGTGGTTCTGCATAAACTGCACAAACTGGAACTTGCCTGTCCTTTCCCGTTTGTATTAATTACTTAGTGTAGGAACTATAAGCTCACCTTACCCAATCATCCCAGGCACCTTCCCGTGGCTCTCCAGGCGAGCAACCGAAAGACAGCCCGTAAGCCTGGCCACGAGGCCTCCGTCACGCCTTCCTAGATAATTTTACGCGTTCCAGGTTTCTTGTTTTGCAGGTGGGCTGGGTTGCAAACATGCTGCACGAAACTCATTGGCCGACGAAGCTGGCTGTTGACCAAACGCCCTTTCCTGTCCGCATTCTATCCATCGTCAAATCCACAACCAAGCGCGAACCCATAGTAACTGCTGTCCCAGGACCGGGACCAGCGAGGCGGACCATCAACCGAAGTTCAAAACAAGGCAACAACGACTGATCTTTATTCCATCGATTCTTTTGGTGGTTGTTGACCAAAGTAGCAAACCAGACGCCGCATAATTACGATCTTGCGAGGCACTCAATGCCACGCATGAGTCGCTCACGGGTTGCCTGGCTGCTTTCGAAGGTGCGTCAGAAAAAAACGCGACTCTCTCAGTTCTAGTGATCAAATTATGAGCCATCAGGGCCGGGCTCACACAGACGAAAATGGCAGCATGTTAATCCAGGTTTGAGGCAATACTCCGTTTACCCAAAAGCGAGGGGATCTCACGACGCCTTTAAGGAGGCGCTTGAATCACCGCTGCGCCATGATCGTCCCTCCCTGGAACTACGCCCATCAAAATACGCCCGGGAAACATGGCTCTCGGGATTCAATAAACAGCTGGCTGCCCTCCAAAAATTGCAGGGAATGTATCCCAACCAGGCGCCTGAGTGTGTTTTACGGCTACCCCGGGCATATCCGCCATGCGTAAAGCCGCTCGCCGAACTCAAGAAGACAGTGATTGATGACCTACGACTAGATACTCACCATCGAGGGACCTACCTGGTCGTGCGGTCATTGACGCCCCAAAATTCGATGACGGGAATTTCAGCAATCGTAGAAGATGAAATGGGCGACGTGCTGATGGTCCAGCTCTGGCGGCAACATAGGGACGACCGAGACCCCCTCGTCGACAAGGGTACTGTCATGCTCTTAAAGGAACCGTATCTAAAGGGCACGGCGGACGGCAAGTACCTGCTCCGTGTAGATCACGTATCGGACGTCGTTTTTGTCCTCGACCACGACGAACGGATGCCCGCCGTGTGGAGAACAAAGGTTGGTCACGGCGACACCGCCCAGACTTGGAGGGTGCACGGCGACAAGCATCGCGACGCATCCCGATATCGGTCCGCCATCAAGTGGTAAGTTAACCTCATGAATTGAAAGTTGTAAGGGGATCGAGATCTAACCGCCACCGTTCCCTAGTACAGCTACACCCGGTCGTTAGCCTGTTCCCCGACTTTGGAAGAAGAATGCATTGCTAGGATTGGCCGGTCCCAGGCGTTCCACGAGTCCGAACAATACGAAGCCGCGCTCTCCGATGCGGAGATCGCGGTGAATACTGGGACAGCGTTCCGCCATCTGGCTGAGAAAGCGCGGTTTCGCCAGGCCGAGGTACTCTACGCGCTCCAGAGATACCAAGCGTGCTACGACGTACTGGCGGCGTTATGCCGCGATTCCCCTTACCATACGACTGCTAAAGCCTTGCTACACCGCGCCATAGCCAGAGTTACTGAACAGACGTATGGCACCTACCCCTTCCTAGATATGCAGGCCGAGGCAAGGAAACGCCAGACACCGGAACTGGGCCATGCAACCTATATCGGCCCCGTCCGGATCCAAGACGCAGGCTCTCGCGGCCGTGGCGTCTTTACCACAAAGCCAGTCAAATTGGGAGAGCTACTCTTTTGTGAGAAGGCATTTGCCACCTCTTGGGGTGATGAAGGCCTTGGTAAACGCACAAAAATAAAAATGGAAGTGGACACGGACCCAGCGGGTTTCAACTTCCACGGCAAGACGGTGGCAGAATGCAATGCGATCATCCGGAAGATGCAGGCAAGCCCGTCCTGCATTCCGAAAGTCGTCGATTTGTATCATGGCCTCTACCCGTCTCGTCTTAGTAATGGACTTGTCGACGGCCAGCCGGTCATCGACAGGTGTGTTTGCTTCCTTTGTGCACCACAGTTCCCACCGTCTCAAGTATTGGGCTGACTAAGGTAACCTAGTTTCCAGATCCGTCACATCGTGCGCTTCAACTCCTTCGCCGTGCCTCGCTCCAGTCACAATCATGTTTTTAGAACTGAGTCCAAACCCGAGTTTCAAACCGACGCTAGCGGAGTATGGACTTTTGCCTCACACGTAAATCACTCTTGCGCATACAACGCTCACCGCGCGTTTATCGGGGACTTTATCATTTTCCGCGCCGCACAAGACCTACCTGCCGGCACAGAAATCACCACATGGTACGTCCTGCCGTCGCAGATTAGCGAAGTCAGCCAGCAGAGCCCGTTTGAGACCTGGGGTTTTGAGTGTGGCTGTGCAATGTGCACCGAGGCGAAGGAGATAGGCAGTGATGTGCGCACGAAGCGAAACGCGTTGCTCACGGAGTTGTCTTCGATGATCCAGGGTCAGATGGACGAGGTAGTACGGACCACGGTTTCGTGGGACCGGGTACTGAGGCGGGTGGAGAGCGGCGTGCGCGAGCTGGAACAAACGTTTGCGCAGTCGGCGGTAGAAGTGCCGCGGAGATGGTTGGCCAACTTGCTGTTCGATTTCGTACGGATGGGGTTGAACAGACCCATACACCCTAAGGTCATGACAACACATCGTGCGGTGCAGCTTCTCCTGTGGTGTTTGCGATCTCTTGGCTTCGTGATCGAGGGAGGGGAGCGCGGAACACTTCGCGTTAAACGGTGGGGCCTGCTGTCGGTTGACGGGGCTGATGCGATGTCTTGTTGGCTTTCTCTCCGAAGAGCGTACCAAGAGACCGCACCGGAGCTCGTGACGCCGGCAGAGGAGTATGCTCGCATGGCGTACCTGATTCATATGGGAGAGGACGAGACATTTTCGACGACGATAGAAGGCACGAAGACTTCTAGCGCGGGTCCCTCCCGGCCACCACTTTCAAAAACCAAGTCTCGACCCTCTCGTCCTCCCAAACCAGCGGCTCCGTCGCGTTGGAAGAGGACCATGTGTACTTACACGCCGGCAGATCATGATACTACTCAGCTGTACAGCTCGCGACGCGATTGATGTGAACATCGGTCAGATTGCATGTACCTATCTTGGGTTAATAGTGACCGCAATTGAGGAGCACAACGGCCGCAGTTAGATGGTGTTGGCTAGGTCGTGAGGGTTTGGACGTTGGATCTGAGGATTTCTAGGATTGGGCCATGTATTGGTCGAAAGAATACCTCTATGTTAGTCGTTCGGTGAGGAGCGGTTTAGGCCGATGTTTGGGAGTAATACTGAGACCTCTTCACGTTGGGATCTTTTGTCGGTTGTTTACACGTACTTCCATGTAGGCTTGCAGCTGGCGAGTAGCTAATACAATCTTGCTAATATTATTTTATCTTGAGTCTCCTGCCGTGTGTTTCTTTTCGTGTGATTACCGAAGCAAGAGGTTTCATGAGTCAATCGGGTTACCCCCGTGCATCCGTCACATCCATCCCATTTCTTCAGGAGCTCAACACACAAAATAGCCGAAAACGACAGGATAGCTCAGGCATGGTAGACACGATACTCGATCGTAAACTCCTGTTGACTGGAAACTATAATATCACCATACGAGTCCCATTTCCCTTTTATCTATCCCTGCTCACCTACTGTCTACCATTGTTTCCCATCCCAACCCTACTGACTTTCCTCCGGCCACACATCATACCCAAACGTATCCTTCATATTCACAAACCGCACATGTCTCCCCTTCGCCACCGCCTGCACCGCCTCAAAGTCCTCATCCGACAACTCCGGCACCTGGAAATTACTCTCAATCCGACTCGGCGTCGAGCTCTTCGGCAACACCACATACCCCCTGCGCAATCCCCACGCCAACAGCACCTGTGCTAGATTGTGCCCGCTGCGCTCTGCGACTTGCTTGAGGGTCGCGTTCTCCCGGACGGTTTCCCCTGTTGAGGGTACTTGGTTTTGGCTGCCGAGAGGGGAGTAAGCTGCGGGAAGGATGTTGTGGGCGAAGCAGAACTGGACGAGCTCTTCGTTGGGGAGGAAGGGGTGGATTTCGATTTGGTTGACGGCCGGGGGGATGCGGGCGAAGGAGAGGAGTTGTTCCAGGCCTGGGATCGTCCAGTTGGAGACGCCGATGGCGCGGGCTTTGCCGGTGTCGATGGCGTGTTCCATCGCGCGCCAGGTTGGCTCCGGGTTGGTGGTGAGCGGGTGGTTGATGATGTATTTCCCGTCGGGGCCGAGTTGGACGGAGTGGGAGGGGTCGTTGGGGACCTTTTCCGCTGCGATGGGCCAGTGGACTAGGAAGAGGTCGATGTAGTCTGTTTTGAGCTTGGTGAGGGAGTTGGCGAGGGACCATGCTACATCTTCGGGCGCGTGTAGGTGGTTCCAGACTTTGGTGCAGAGGAAGATGTCTTTGCGGGTGAGGGAAGGGGTGCGGGCGAGGAAGTCGGACAGGGCGTCGCCAACTTCGTCTTCGTTTTGGTAGAACCAGGCGCAGTCGAGGTGGCGGTAGCCGACGTCGAGGGCTTTGGTTACGGCGGCGTAGGTCTCGCCTTTGGCACCTTCGTTGGCGAAGGTGCCGAAGCCGATGGCGGGGATGGTCACGCCGTTGTTGAGGGTGTAGGTTTTGGAGGCCATGGTGTCTGCTATTCTCTTTTTCTTTTCTTTTGGTTCTTCTCTTTTCCTCTTCTGTTTTTGAACAATATGATGGAGATGATGAGATGGTTTCAGTATCAGTATCTAGGACACAAAGCTTGGTGTTGTCGACGGTGTATTAGACAGGGAGTAGCTGAGGTGAGCTCTGTCTGCTCAGTGCTAGCACTCGACTACGTCAGATATCGGATGTGGATGAGTTGTGGATATGGAAGCCCCTGAGTCCACTTTCACTTTCAGTGTTTGGCTGATGGAGACAAGAGCAGATAATTAACCACAGCTGTCCCGTTTTATTTTCACCGATGTTTTCTACTTGGATCAGTTTACCGCGGGTATGACAAACATTTTTTGCCTTGGTCCTGTTTTTAGAAGATCTGAATTTTCCTCTTTTTGGCCTCATTTTTGGATTTTCGGCACTCCCGTCTTGCCGTCCAGCCGTGCAAGTACACTAATAGTAAACGACTGGGTCGCACGTTCTGTGCTACTGCGAGATGTACCGGATCCGTACAAGCGAACGGACCACTAAGACAACGGAGTGCCTGAACATCCCCGATCCACAATATGACGTCGTCCTCCGGAACCGACCTCTTCTTTTGTCACTGATCTGGCGCCATCACCGGGAATTTGCGGGCTTTTTTTGTCGGAACGTCAATAGACGGCAAGACGGTCAGTTTTACCTTGGTGGGTTGGTGGGGGTCAGCTTCAGTGGGCTGAGTGGATTGAGCTGCCACGCTCCCTGCATGAAGTGCGGCCAAAGAAACCCATAGGAAAAGAGAAAAAAACCCAAAAAAAAAAAAAAAAAAAAGCCTCGCACAGGGTTGCTACTGGGTTGTTCGCAGGTTGATACCGGATTCTGCTTGGTCGATACGGAGTTATACTGGGTCCGGACGGGTATCAGTCCCGGTTTTCTGGAGCTTTTCGGTCCACATCCCGGTCCACATGCCGGAGCTTATTCGAGCTCGGATCGCCAGGGACCCGAGTCATGCCCTGGCACATCTCCCGAGTCCCTCCGTGCATTCCGCCGCCTTGGCCCGCAACGCCCGGTGCTAGTGGTGTGCTGGTGGTGTGCTGGTGTTACGGCGGCTTGCTTGGCTTGCTTGGCTGGTAAGTTGTGCCGGTGAGTGCCGGGACCCATCTTTTTTCCGATTTTTTATTTTTATTTTTATATTTTTTTCTTTTACGTTCTTTCGCTCGCACCTGTAACAAGCTTTCCCTGGAACGTCGCACGCGCGATCTCGCCCCTGGTTGGCCACCGGAGAAAATCAACGGGGTCTCCTGGCTCCGCTGATGCCCCTCCACTCTCCCGAGAGGGCTGGGTGTGTGAGTGTGTGTCGAGTTGTGTGAGATGTCGGAGTCGTGGGGGCCTGTGACGCCATCGACGAGTCTGGAATCTCGGATTCCTGACAATGACGTCCTCTGCCTGCAGTAGCATCACGACGAGCTGTCAGGAGAGCGACAGTTGATGTTCGATAACCCGAGTAGGACATGTCAATCGTGATTCTAGGGATTATTATGCCATTAATGATAAAGAAAGACAAACATCAGGGAAATAGCAAAACCTGACATGTGAACTTACCTCGTACGGCTCGCCGGCACACATGCGTCTCCATTCCCTCGAGGACCCCTGTGGAAATTTCTCAACCGCCACCCCATACTGGCGTCATACTGGGGCCCAGGGGTGGATATCTTGGGCCATTATCTGACACCGCCCTTGGGCTGATAGGCGAAAACGAAAGCAGGAGGACCTCAGTCATGCGAAACGACTGGAGCTGAGCGGCCTCCGAGCGACGCGGGTTGGGACGCGGGAGGGAACATGGACAGGACGGCTTCACCGATGGATTCGTTGTGTGTGTTCCAAGCGTGTTGTTCCGAGGGTTTGAGGAGGGCGAGGTGGATTGGGAAGTTCCATGCTTGAGGCGAGGGGGAAGCCTGGGGATTTTGTTGGTGTGGCATATAAGAAAGGCTTCGTCTCAAGATGTGGTTGCGAGTCGTTCTTGCTTGCTTATCTCACTCATCTTGATACCCAATACCCTCTATGCTCAGATTCCTCGAGTTTCCCAACGTTCTCTCCTTTCTTCATCTTGTTGGATCGCTTTAGACCAGACTTTAGACTTCGACACATCTTCACCATGTCCCAGCCCGGCTTCAAGGAGGTCGACTTCGGCTCGTCCCCCAAGAAACACACAATGCACACGCCCCCAGACTCACCGGAGAAGACCACCCACCCCAAGGACTTCCCCATCCTCCCCAAGAACAAAGATGGTCCTAGCCCATCAACCACCGCCAGCCAGGCCTCCTCGGCCAAACAAAGCCAATCCCAATCCCCAAGCAGCAGCCGCCGCAACCCCAGCATGACGCTAAACCTCGAGCACAACCTCGCCATCCCGAGCTCCCCAAGCCATGCCACTTCCGGCTCCGGCTCGCACAACACCATCGAGGTGCCCGCGCTGCGGTCCCCGGAAGCCGAGGTCTCGCAGTTCATGCACCACCTCTCATCCTTGCCGTCGACCAAGGAACGTCGCGTGTCCCGCAACTCGTTCGGCGCCGCCCTGCCCATCCCCAAGAGCAAGCGGCAGAGCCGTCTCAGCAGCGTGACCTACCCCGCCGAGGAGGTGCAGGGAGCGCTGGAGGCCGCGGCTAAGAAGAAGGGTTCCACAGGGTCAGGAAGTAAAGCAGTCGGGGGGACGGGCCTGACGCAGCGGGATATCCTCGCGTCGCAGGTGCAGGATGTGCTGGCGGATAAAGTCAAGGCGGCCAAGAACATGGCGTTTGTGTTTGACATTGACGGCGTGCTGGTTCACGGCGACCGGTTGATCCCGCAGGGCCAGCAAACTCTGAACATGCTCAACGGAGATAACCAACTGGGGATCAAGATCCCGCACATCTTCTTGACCAACGGCTCCGGCAAGCCGGAACTCGCTCGCACCGAGCAGCTCACCCGCATCTTGGGCAACCACATCGACACGGATCAGTTCATCCAGAGCCACACGCCCATGCGCGCCCTGGCGGAGTACTACAAGACCGTGCTAGTTGTGGGTGGTGAGGGTTACCGCTGTCGTGACGTCGCCGAGCAGTACGGCTTCGAAGACATCATCGTGCCAAACGACATCGTGGCATGGGACCCGTCGATCGCACCTTACCGGGTGTTCACCGACGAGGAGCGCGCATCCTCGCGCCCGCGGGATTTCACCAAGACCCAGATCGACGCAATCCTCGTGTTCTCAGACTCGCGCGACTACGCGACGGACATGCAAATCATCGTGGACCTGCTGCGGTCCGAGAACGGGCGGTTCGGCACCATCGCTGCTGATCCGGTGTCCCAGCGCATCCCGATCTACTTCTCCCAGGGTGATCTGCTGTGCCCGACAGAGCACCCCATCCCGCGTATGAGCCAGGGAGCGTTCCGCATCGGCTTGGAGGCCATGTACAAAGCGCTGACGGGGGTGGAGTTGGAGCGTGTGGTGTACGGCAAGCCGGAGCTGGCGACGTATAAGTATGCGGACGAGGTGATTGCGTCGTGGATGGAGGAGCTGCACGGGGAGGAGCGGGTGCCGCAGAATGTGTACATGATCGGTGACAACCCGGCGTCTGATATTGTGGGCGGGAATATGTACGGGTGGAACACGTGCCTGGTGCGGACGGGCGTGTTTCAGGGCGGGGAGAATGATGAGGAGAACCCGGCGAACTTTGGCGTGTTTAAGAATGTGTGGGAGGCGGTCACCACGGCGTGCAAGAAGGAGTTGGGTGAGGACTTTGTGTTTAAGTGGGATGAGAAGGTTGTCAACCCGGTATTACGGGACAGTGCGGGGTCTGCGATTGAGGTGTAGTATTGGGATCTCTGTTTTTCTTATATTGTAGGTTTCTCATGTTGCATTCCAGGTTACTCGTTGGCTGCTTATTCCTTTGCTGTTCCTTTTTTTGTCAGTGTTGCCGTCAAGTAGGAGCTTGATGTACCTACAGTTCATGTATAAACGGGAGAAGACATAGATGCTTCGAATACCATGGATGGACGAGGTAAATTTGGCTGTCTGTTTGAAACAGCGTTGCGTAGTGATTTGCCGCTATTTCGATTATGGTAACTTGAAAGGTGCGTCAAGTTGAAGAACTGAAGACCTAGTCGCCATACAATTAGCCAGACAGTAACAGCGTTCCGGCCCACGGCAACCTCTCATTGCAATCCCTCTTTCCGCGGCGGCCTTAGCTCCTTCCCCGGGCCTTTATAACCCGCCCTTGGGCTATTCCTTCCAAAAGCTCCCCCATTCGGCAAATGCTTGACCTTGCGGATGGCGCATTTGGGGGAGCGCGGGCAGCCACCAAGCTTGCCCGTTATACCGCGGCCCGGGTTCAACTCCCGGGCCGGTCACAAGTAAAACCCTCCCGTGGGTTTTCGTAGCCGTCCACTCCACCTTCCTTCGAGAAAGGGGATGTGGGCGGTGAGCTTTTTGTGTTTTCCTTTTATTTTCATTTAAACGGCTTATCAGTAATACCCGGAATCCTAGGCCATCGCCCGTTTTGTATCGTCTCCGGAGTTGTTTTAACGGACGTTCGATGGGACAAATAATCGGCCCACAGCTTTACGTTCACATCAACACTTGGAATCTCAACGTCACTGATGGATGGCTTAATGTTCAGAAGCCCGTGGGGGTACCGACTGCGATTTAGGGGCCACATGGCCGCAATTCCTTGGCTTCGAGGTCGCAAATGGCCACAGTTTGCCTCAGTAATTGCAGCATCACGGCCATACCCGATTCGGCGCATTTCTGCAGTTGGCCCGAGTTCATGCACCATGCATGGTCAGGTGATGTAAATTCGACCTCCCCTCTTCTCCCTAGCCAGCAAGTAAAACATCACGCACCAGGCAGAAAATATTATCCAACACAAAGTGACATGCTAACAACTTGACCCAGGTCTTGGCTCCGACTCTTTTGTCCCTTTCTTTACCCCTTGCCAACCCCATCATCATGTCCTCCTTAACTACAAATCCGGCCAACGCAGACGAGGATGTGAGAACCAACCTGGACCCGACGCCACTACTATTCAACGACGTGTATTTTGATCGCCAATCCGAATCCACCTTCTCCCCGTCCCCGTCTACCTGGGCGCCATTCTCCCGCCTTCCAACGGAACTGCGTCTACACATCTGGAAGCTTTCCCTCCAACAGCATCGCATGATCGAAGTCGATCTCCTAACCATCGCCCGCAACAACATCCCCCGGTACACCAACCGCAACCATCTCGGCAGAATCATCAGCGACAAGAACTACACCCGCCGGCTGCGAGGCCGTGAGTCCTACGCATTGTCGCTCACCCCACTCCTTCGCGTCAGTCATGAGGCGAGGGCCGCCGCGCTCAACTTCTACCACATCCACTTGCCGTTAAGTACGGGGCAGGTTCTGTACCTCAACTCAGAATATGACGTCGTATATGCCCGACCCCGATATAAGAAACATCCCGTGGGGGGTGATTACATGCGAGACGACACATTTCTCCTCGCCGACTTTCTGCATGACGTCCGAGCGTATGATCACAAAGACCATGGGTAATTCCCTTCCACTCTTGTTTTTGTCTCCCACCCCAGGCTTTGTTCTCTCTGTCCGATACTATCTCCTCCGTAAAATTCTAACCGCTCAATGTCTACCTAGAATCACCCGCCTCGCCCTAGGCAACGAAATCCTTCACCAATTCCTCGACTACTTCAAAGGGAAGACCTGGCTAACCCCCGACAAGCTCCACCACCCCACCGCAGCGGCTTCCTTCGCTGCCATCCTCCGCCACAAGCTCCACACTTTGTTCTACATCGTCGACTTCCGGTATTCCGCACGCGGCATGGGCCCAAACCCCTTCAGCAGCGGATGGCGCACTCACTTTGCCCAGAGTTTCCCCCTCCGCCGACGGGGCCATGTTGCGGGGGGGTTTCAATGGTTTCCGGCAGACCCTCGGCCCGGCGTGGCATTGGATCTTCGCCAGGTGCCGCTGTGCGAGGATCCGCGGACCATGTTGCAAGGCTGGCGGGACCTGGAGCGGGTTTTCTTTTTGTTTGATTCTGGCGTGCCCACGGAAAATCAGCAGCAAACCGCCGCTGCCAGTCGAGAAAGTGATGACGATGGCGGTCACGGTGGGTGTCGCGTTTATATCTGCCCCACCCAGAAATGGCCAACCGTCCCCAACACTTGGCCACCGGTGGTACCACCAACGATAGATCTGGACGGGGATTACAAAATACAAGAGCGGGCAGCCGAACGCGAGGCCGTGTGGTCAAGGGACGAGCTGAGGCAGCACTTCCGAGACGAGGTTACGCAGTGGGAGAAGCAGCGGGCGAATTATCCGTACTCCCTCCAAGATAGCCCCCCGGGTTCCATGTATTCTGCCGACTCGCCAGAAGAGATGGAAGTGTTTCTGGAAATGGAGAAACTCCCCTGTACGGCCATTGGTATGTGGCTAATGGAAGCGGAAGCCTTCCCGCCACCTACCGATCGGAGATTCCATACGTTTAACCTGTCGAGTATCCGGCCAGGTTTGCTTTTGTTTCAGGTGTGACGGGATCTCGCGGGGTTTATATAGTTAACGGGAGATGCAGTAGCCAGGCGTGCAAAGTAATGACCAGCTCGGGGCTTGGTTAAGCGTCGTATTTAAGGAGACACCGACGAGAGAAACGTCAGTTGTCGGGTTGTGAGTGTCCACAGGTTGGGCTAACTGACTGCACAAGGCGGGGGAATAAGTAGAAGTGCGTTGGGAGGAGGAAGATAACCAAGACATGATAATAAATATGACGAAACACAATGATCTTATCTCACGGCCAACTAATGCCGCTTTCCTTGTGACAATAAAGGACTTCTAGGACCTAGGATCTGTACAATTGTCGTCTTGGTGTCGGTTCTGCTTTGTCTGCATGATTAATCGAGTTCAGGTCATCTTTCTTGCCTGGTAATTATCGGTTTATCAGTTACTTTACCTGTTGCGGAACTTGCTCTTCTTCGGTTGGCAGAAGTTCTGCTTGCAGGAGCGCCGGGGCGCTTTGTTTCTTGGCCATCTTGAATCTTGAACAAGAAAAGAGAAAAAAGCAGGAGGTTGAGGTGGTCGAGTGAATGCGTCTTGTATGCGACATCTCTTCGTTATCGCGGGATTTGTTTTTGATGCTGGTGTTTTATTGGGCGTGAGGGGAATTTTTGGTGGTGGCAGTTGTGGGCCAGGCCTGTAGTTATCCCATTTCAGGTGTTATTACAACCGCCGCAGAGACAGGAGACAGATATTGTTCTAAAGGTAGATTTTTTTTACCGGGCTGGCAATGCGGTGCTGGAAAAGCACAGCAAGTGTCTAGGTCGACCAAAGTTAGCGGACAGGTCGTCACAGAAAATTGTGCTTCCGGATTGTCGATGATGAGTAAACTCGTTCTACAATATCTTGAAAATACCGAGGGGCAATCTCCATCTCCCCATCATCTAGACCTGTCTCTGGAGCTGAAGCACCTGCGCCTGCAGCATGGCAATTCGCTGCTTCAGCTCCCGCTCCTGCTCCAACGCCTGCTTAGATCGCCCCCTCTCCTGCTCCAACTCCTGCTTAGATCGCTCCCTCTCCTGCTCCAACTCCTGCTTAAATCGCTCCCTCTCCTGCTCCAACTCCTGCTTAGATCGCTCCCGCTCCTGTTCACGCTCCCGTTTAGCACTTTGGATTATGGTATATATGTTGTCCTCCTCTTCCTCACCATTACGCGGCTCGTATCTTCCTTGGTAAATGGCGCGGGCCTTGAGGAAGATTTTCCGGAGTTGTTCATACGTAAGGCGGACCTGAGGATTGCTGTGAGGTGTCAGTTTTTGTAAAAAATGAAAATAAAAGAAATAAATAAACTAAAAAGAGTTAGGAAACAAACCGTTGTATACCTGCAGCAGTCTCGGCGGCCGAAGGGCGACAGAAGGAAACAGGCAAGTTGGTAGGACCGATAAAGTCAGATAGGTACAGACCAACCTCGCCCTCAGGCTGCTCGACGAGCTTTTCGTCGTAGATGGTGTCGAAATAGCGAACCCAAGTGCCAGCAGCGGTGCCGTCCGCGACGCACAAGGCGACCTTAGCCCGGTTTTCCTTTCGATACTGTACATCGAGGACAATGGCGGCCTGGATGTCTCCCTCACCGCACTTAATATACTGGCACACCTTTCTCTCCACGTGTTTGCGAGGCTCGCTCTACGAGACCTCGCCCACCAGCGAAGGAAGCTTGTTCTTGACGGAGCTGAAGGCAAATTCGCCTTGCTTGAGGATCTTCGCTTTCTTTTCGATACTAGCTGTGCCGAAGTTGAGGATCTCGCCTACAATGCGCTGGCGAAGCGCGTCGTCGGGAATCGTTGCCACAAAGCGCGCAAGACTGAGTTCAGCGTAGTTACTCGTGCCCACTAGCATCTGGAAATGGAGGCTTGTTTCTGTCATGATATCGATGTAAGCGATGCCGGACTGGTAGTCGTACTCAAACCGCCGGATCTTGATCTGGTCGAGCTTGACTAGCTTCTTATCGATACGCCCGCATAAGTCCCCCGGAGCGTCGGCCGGCCAGTGCAGGCTGAGGATTGACTCGGTGCGGTCGCGCCGGGCATCGACGATGTGCTGGACGATCTCGTCGATCGAGTAGCCGTCAACTGAAATAATGTTAATGCAAGACTCGGACTCGGACTCGGACTCAGACGCGAGCGAAGCCATGGTAACGGGAGAAGAAGCGCACGCAGCCATCATCTGGGATGACTGGTTGCTGGTGATGGAATGTTGGGAATGGTGTGATGGAGGAGAGATTGGAAGCAGTGGAAAACTCACTGATTGCTTGCTCGCTGCCTTTTTGTAGTTCTCTAACAAGCAAGTGCGAACCAAAGTTTCTCACACGGTGCAACAGTGAGTTTTGGTGATGAGAGGTGCGAGGCAGAGTTTCTCACACGGTGCGGGGGAGGTGCACAAAGATAAAACCTGCTGCTCTAGGCGCAGTACGCAACAGGCAGAGATACGCCGTCCCAGAATCCCGACGAGGCACGGCGTGTGCCGGGCATTCCAACTTGGTCATGGACCTCTGTCCATTGCCTCCGTTTCAACAAGGATCCAGCGAGCCAGAAACAGAACATGTCAGGGTGGCACGGCGCACACTACATCTTTGTCGACACGCACGACACCACCATCAACCCGCAACTCAAGATCCTCAGGGTTTCGTAGGGTCAGAGTGAGAATGCAAATATTGGCGCCGACATTGATGACCCGATGCGTCTGCACTCGGACATATCTCGTGGAAGGGTGCTGTAATGACTTACTGAGCAGCATAATACTTTTTTACTTTTGTTACGGCACTAAGCTCCTTTATCGGGACTGAATCTCTCTTACTACTTTCCCTAAGGCTTAGATCTGGGCTTTGGATTAAGTAACTTGTGAATTTTTTCTTTACCACCATAGCCCGCCGCCCACCCAATGTATAGGAAAGCTCATCTCTTTTGGTTTCACCACCGACCTACTTTGGCGTAACAGTTAATGTGCCCGTTCCAGCCCGACTGTCGAGAGGGCATTTTCATGACAGACAGGGCAACGAGCTATAGTGCGGCGGAAACCGACTGGGCTGGAGTCAAAGGCCTTTTTATATCCGTAACTTTCCCTACTGCACTTCACTAACTTCAATCAAACGTCTAGACGGCAGTAGAATCCTATTTAGCGACCAACACCATCACTGATGTGGCTGCACCTTGTACAATATGGTTTCAAAATCAAGCAATGCACCGGAAGCTCCAGATAGGCACTTTAGTCGAGACACCAAAATTGGGCCACACGGCTGCACAGGCTAAGCTCACCCATAGCTCACCCTAGCTCAGGAGCGGCTCGAGATCACGCACAATCATGGAAATTGCTAAGGGCAACTTTAGGGTACAAGAATATGCTGTTACCTTGAAAGGGATGGGGTTGTGGGGGTTCGGGAGGATATCTAATTAATGATCGCCACGTGCAGCAAATCCCTCTCACAACGCAACGTCCCAGAGAGCCATGATCAGAAGTAAATTGGTCCCAACATACTAATCCAGCGACCAGCCAGCTTCCAGCTATGCGTTGCTAACAAGGCTAGGTAACATCTACATCTGCGTCTGCGTCCACAGTGACACCGGGATGGGGACTGAAGGTATCGGTAACCCAGTTGCGAAAAACGGTATCGACCCAACCACCAAGCGTTTCGAGCACAGCAACCAGCCGATAAATGTCTAAGGAATTACTGCTCGAACCAATCTCGGTAGGGCCGCAAATCTCAATCCTGTCCAAACGGTCGACGGCAAAGTAGAGTGACCAGTGGTGTTGGTAAACGAAGATGAGGGGTAGTGTGGGAAGCGGGGGGCCTTGCTTGCCACCGCCCACGCCGAGCATCTCCATACGCTTGTGCCACGCCGCCGTCCAGATCCCCAGTTGCAGGCGGGTCATTTCGGTATCGGCCGAGCCCACCGTGACCGCGATCGAAATCGCCGTCGGAGACCGCGCGAGAGGCGGATAACCCGTCTGGTTCACATGCAGCTGGTCCTGGGCCTGCGCGCCGGCAGTGGGCTCGGCCAGCATGTACGCCTTGAGCAGCCGCTCCTCGATGGCCGCGTCGACTTCCGGGCTGATGCGAGGCGCAATCACATAGTCCACCTCTTCGCGCCCGGATAAATCCCACAGGTCACCAGTGACAAAAGTCGGGCGGAAGCAAGATAGGATTCTGGCCGATGTCGCGTTCTCGTAGGTAACAGACCCAGACCGCCCCTGTCTCGACAGGGCGAGCTTCAGCAGCGGCCCGTGGAGCTCTGCGTTCCACGCCGCCTCGCAGCGCTCGAGGCGACGGCACTCTCTTGCAATGCGCCCGAGGTCCCGGATCTTGTCGAGCTCGGAAAGCGCGTATCGGGTCCGGAGCGAGGCCTCTGGCCTGTCCGTAAACAACAGACGCGAAAGACGTAACCAGCCAAAAGACCGGGGTCCTTCGTCGTCGTCCTTTTTCTGCTTCTCTTCCCTCGTTTCTTCCTCGTTCCGGTAAGCAAAATCCGGGGGTGGGAGACACCCCGAAAGGGCTTCAATCTCCGAGCGTATCTCGGCGGGATAGATGCCCTTGCTGTATCTCGAGACCTCCAAAATGTCACATTCCAGTTGTCGCACATCCTCAGGGAGCTGCTGGGCGCCTTCTCGGCCGCCCAAAAGGGGGAGGTGCAGGACGGGCTTATCGAGGTGCTGGAGCCGGTGTATGAGGCTAGCAGGTTGGTGGGATTCTTCGCGGTCAGGAGACGGACTCCTCCCGCTCTCCGAGGACAGAAACGGGGGATTGTCCTCCACGACTTGTGGCAGATCTGGCATGCCCGAAAGCCAGACATCGATGGCAGGGCCGCGTGGCAGCGATGGTTCTGCCATTCTTTTTTGTGTTGATGAGATTTGTGTTGGGCGTTCACGCGGTGTGTCGCGGCAGCCTCTGAGCCTTGACGGGGAAGTGACACGGAATCACATGGGTACAGAGGCAGCATTGGTTGAAAACAGGGGAGCCAGGCCCAGGCGCCTCAGCCCTATTCCTCAACTTCACCGCTCTCCCTAAATAGCGGGCGATAGCAATAAAAGATTCGAAGGTCTCTCTAGCTGGTCTCGGATCGCAACGGTTCATTGGACAAATGGGACAAGGAAGTAATTACTTGCTAAGTACCTAGGTACGCCGGCCCCCAGCAATGCTCCCAATATCTCTATTGAGGTCTGGCCAGTCTACCAAGGGATGATAATTAGAGATCAAGGGACATTCCTTTTTTGGAATTCCACTTAGTTAGTGAGTTCAATGGCAGATAGTTATCATCATATCAGTTCCCGGCTCAACATAATGCCTAGCTTTTGGTAGGACAACACACTATCCCACTAAACGCTGGTTTTAACATCTTAAGTCAAGGCCGTTCATACGCTTGATTCCGAGGATTATTGGTGTTGCAATATTAGTTACAGTGAAGCACAGGTATTGGCGCAGCTTCTCCTGTGATTCTCCCCTTTCTGATAAAAAAAAAAAATGACAGGGCGTGGCGTTGAAAAATCTCGAGGCTAGACTCGAGCTCAAATTCCTACCCAGCCGTCGATCGCCGTTCCATGCTCACGGAAAATATCATCCTCGATTGGAGACGGCCGTCCGTAACATACGTGTTAGTAGACATGTACCTAATTAACGTGCGTAGTACATACTGCGGGGTCTGGAGTTCCGTTGCTCCGCCCAGCCCTCGGCGCACTCCCGGAATCCACTCAACAAGTTTGTCAATCCCGAAACTTGCACTACATCCGTGAGGGTGAGGACATAGAACAACAGGCATACACTAATTATCACCGAAAACACCAACCCGCCCGACCCTTCAACCGTACCACGCAACCTCGAACCCAAATCATCACAACCCCGCCCTCATCCCCCCTAGAACCCACCACGGGCAACAACCATGACAACCCCCACCCCAACAAAATACAAACTCATCTTCTTCGTCCCCCCCTCCGCCCTCGAAGCCTGCAAAACAGCCATCTTCGCCGCCGGCGCCGGCCGGTATCCCGGTTCCGGCAACTACACCGAAGTGTGCTTCACATCATTCGGTACGGGCCAGTTCCGGCCCGGCGCGACGGCCAATCCGCATATTGGTACGCCAGGCACGCTGGAGGAGGTGCAGGAGGCGAGGGTGGAGATTTTATGCGTTGGGGAGGAGGTGGTGAGGGGGGCTGTTGGGGGTTTGAAGAGGTTTGTTTTCTTTCTTCTTTTCTTGCCATGAATGTTGCTTGTTAGGTTAACTTCTGGCGGTTTTCCGATTTGATGTTTTGGTTGAAGAGCTAACGGTGACAATAGGGCTCATCCGTACGAGGAACCGGCATACGAGGTGTACAAGTTGGAGGATTTCTAAATTGGACGATATGCCTGCTGATCAGATCTGAAATGGATGTAGATGTCTAAATTCATAATTCATACCAACATCACTTGCATGACCGAGACTAGCCCAGTCATCCACTGCTCACGCAAAAGCAAGCTTAAGTTGCGCATTATACGCCTTCTTATCCTCCATCTTCCTCTTCACCAACCCATCCGGATCCTCACAATAAAACTGCGAAATCACCTTCTCCGCCGCCCTCGGCAACGACCCGGGCCGGCAAAGATGACTCTCCAACAAAACATACATCGCGTTAACCGACGTCACACAATGCCAGAACCACGTTCCCTTGGACTCCCACGACTTCTGCATAATCTGCGGCACGCTGAGATCATGGCCCTGCCCTGGCCCCTTCTCCCACAGTCCATTTTCCACTTCCTGCTCCCGCAGCGCATCCATGAACTCCTCCCGCACTTTGCTGAACTCCTCGTACGCCTCGTCCTCGATCTCGTCGATGCCGCGGCTGGTGAGCCAGTAGGGGACATCGAGCGCCTCGGGCGGTAAGGCGCACATCCATTCCAGGTCGATGAGGCAAGTGACGTTCCAGTCGTCGTCGACGAAGATGTTGCTGGCGTGGAGGTCGGTGAGCTGGAGGAGAAACGGGCCCTGGCGGTGCTCGCGGGAGATGTACCGATGGGAGAAGGCGCGGAGGAGGGTCTTGACGGTCATTTGGGCGCGGCAGTCGGGTTCGCTCTCGGCGGCGTTGGGGTCGTGCAGGAAGCGCTGGTCGTGGAAGGTGATGGCGTCGGAGACGAAGGGTTCGGTGCAGGTGTAGGTGTGGCTGGGTTCGATGGTCCGCGGGGCGCCGTCGTTTTCGAGGATGGCGGTGGAACAAAAGAAGGGCCGGTTGGTTAGGCTGATGGTGCCGTCGTGGTGGAACTGGAAGGATCCGATCCGCGGTTGCGGGATGCGGGCGAGGGATAGCATGATGCTGGCCATTCCGCTGAATAGGTTCCGTCTCATACCGGGGGATTTGCGGTGCTTTTCCCACGTGGTCGCTAGGGTTCGTCCTATGCTGGGGGTGATGTACTCCATCACCATGTACGCAGCAGGGGCTGTATGCTGGGTTGTGGTGGGGGTGTACTGAGACAGGAGAGGATATCCCAGTAGCCCGTAGACACAGCGCCAGAAGCCGTGGACAAGCCGCCGCAGGAACGACTTCTGATGAACATGAGTGTACTAGTTGAATCGATAGTTTAGCATAATCACAAGTGAACGATAATCATACCGATCGACATGTCGGCCCTCCAAATCTCCCCCTTCCTCCGGTACCAATGAGATCCATCAAAACTGAGCCCAAGCTTACATGGCGTTCATTCGAAAACCCGAACCCATACAAATGCGGGATCCGGACATCCGGACACTTCTCCTGCATCCAAACATACGCACCAGCCTCGCAGCTGGTCTTCTCGTCCACGGTCCCGGGGTACTGGGGCTCAGCGAGCTTGTGCGGCATCCCACAGCGAAACATCACCTTCCTCGACTCCCCCCAGGGCTCGGCGACCTCGAGCAACACACAAATGTTGAACGCACCGCGGATCCATTGTCGTCGGTCCAGCACCGTGCAGGCGTCCTGTTTACGTAGGCCCAGATGAAGCCTGGTGAGGGCCTCGACCGACTCCCGGTCCTGCCATAGCTGCTCCGTCAGCGCTTTTACCGCGGGCACATGCGGGATGCGGCGGAGGACGTTAAATTCTTCCTGGACGGCCGCTTCGAAGGTGGTGAGGGGCGCTCGACCCGGGATCTCGACGACTGCCGGCATGCGGTCCAGGGGGGCGGAAAAAAAGACACAAAAAACAAGGGGAGGATCATATGCTGGTCGGCGTGTTTCTTGACAACATCACGAAATTGTCAAAATTTAGCGGCTCTTTTTCCTTGCAAAAAGATTTTGTTGGAATGGCCGGCTTCGCTGGTTTGAGGCCCAAAGGGGAGTGCATTTGCGCCATGCAGGCCTGCAGCGGCCAGCAGGGCGATTACGGGCGATTATGGGTTCTAGGCGTGTGTTGTCCGTGCGCGTAAGCCAACCACAGCAGAGGCTGAGGGGCGTGCCGGGTGATACTTTCCTTCTGTGGCTAAAAAGTAACCAAAATCCGCTTCTCACCGCTACAACTATTGGCTCTGTGGTTTTGTCCACGCCAGGCCCGCATTTGGTTGCATCATGTCGAAGCCCAAAGGTGTTGGGTTTGGAGTATATTCGGAATCCAGAAGTTTCTCAGAATGATTCAGTGGCTTGAATCTCCAGTTCTGGTTTGATTCTCGAACTGTTCCGAACATGGAGTCGAAATATCAAACCCGGTCTCGCTGTGGCCAAAAAAAAAAGCGGCACACTTAACCAGATAATTAGCTCAAGTCCAATCCATCAACATTCGATCAAATCTTGGGTAAATTTTGATCGATTTACTCCTTTTTGTCTTTTTTCACTTCCTAGATTTATTCTTTTTGGGTTTCCACTTTTTTTTAGTTCATTCTATTTGGTTTTTTTCACTTTGTACCAAAAGTAAGTTATCCAGGGACTTGGCCTGCCGCTGTTTTTGGCCATCGCGAGCCGGTTGAATTAATAACTAATGGTGAGCCAGCGGTGAATACTCCCTCCTGTCTAACAAAATCCAAATGGCCAATTGCTCTTAGGGATTAAGCCCCCTTATATTTCATCACCATATTCTGCCATCTGTTTCCGGAACCGCCCCTCGTCCCACATGACCCACGCGATTTGCCGCATTTCCCTTCCCAAACGATCACCATAGCCATTGTAATAGACGCCCTCGCACACCCAAGTCCATCCCAGCGGGGGCGAAGGCTTGGATTCGAATGAGTCCGGTTCCAGATCCCCAACGAACGGTAGCGGTTCGCGGGCTTCCGCCCTCAAGTCTCGCTCGGAGGGCTGCTCAATCCGTCGTTGTTCCTGTGTGTACTCGGTCAAGACGCCAAGGAGAAGTTCTCTTGCCCCATTAATGCTTTGCGGCACCGTAGCGAGCAGATGTTCGTAACCCCCTACTTTGAACAAAGCAGTGTACAAAAGTTTGAACACGCACATTGTTGTCGTTTCTAGCCCACCACTCATTTTCGTTGCTTTGAAAGGGTTGTGGAATTAGTATCGTTAAGGGGAGAGAGAGAGAAGAGAAAGGGGGGGGAGGGGCTAACAAGTAGCTGTGAAATAGAATGGTAAATCCAGGGCCTGTGGACGTCCCTGGTTTTCTAACGCAGGGGACTCCGGGCTTACACCAGAGTAGACTTCTTCTAAGCTATCAAGCTCTTGCCTAACCCAGCAATCAACAGAGACGATCTGCTCAACCTCCCAGGGCTCAAACAGGAATAAGAAGAGGCTAATGATGTCGAAATCCTCCAAGGCTATCGGGGAAGGATCATAGCGATTGTATCCGTAGAACAAGTTGTAGCCTGTCGAGAAGCGATACATGGCACGCATGATGCGCCCTCGCTCCGTGATACTCGGTGGCTTAGCGGTTGCCTCAAGGGTCGAGAAATGGTTCAACGACCAAGTCATGAAGCGTTCCAATAGGGGTTCCATCACAGTGAAATGCAATCTCGACACCTCCCTAACCTCACTCTCCGTAAGCTCATTAGGAGGGCCGCCCCATGCAGTGGCGAGGAACTTGGTAATTTCATCCTTGTTGCGCTCCTGTGCGAACACTCCCGGACTGGATCGATAGGCGGCCGAGGCATCAGCGATGGTTACGCCCAAAGCTTTCTGCAGGCACGCGCGAAGTAATGGTGTCTGGTGCAAGCGGTATGACTGGTAAAAGACCGGAGATGTGTGAGCCAAGGTGAGAAGACTTGGGTAATCGAGTTCCTCAAGAATAATACGGCGTATTTCGGCAGGAAGGCCCTCCAAGGCGGAATTGGTCGCTTGCATTGGTTCGGGTGAGGCATTCGCACTAGACATGGGGTCGTTCTTTTGATGCGTGGCTTCTGACGATCCTGTTGTGGGTTCAATCGAGTGCCCTGAAGCTATTGATGGGCCTGGTTCAGGGACAGCCGATACCTTGGATGTCATGTTGAGGATGTTCTCATGGACATCAGCAACATGGCAACACGTTGGCGAAATTCGTCGAATGCGTCGCGTCGTGGGATGTACTATGTAGGTTGTGGAATAATGCACTAGCGCGTCTCAATTTCCTCGAAGGTTGTAACCTAATAGGTACTGTACAATCGACCTTGAAATCGGCTGGGGGCTGAAAGCGTGAAAACAGAACGTTGGGGTGTGTGCACTAGAAAGTTTGTTATTTACTCCATGGCCGTTCTAGTCTCAACGTCGGGTCCAACGTACTTCGCAAAGATAAGGTGATTAGTCCCTCTCATTGCGCCCCGTTACAAACTTTGCTTGGTCGGGACCGGCCCGACTGGCACGGTGCCCAAATGCCGACACCGAGACACCGAGACACCGAGACACCGGCACACCGGGTCCCGTCATCACCCCCCAGGCCGAACCTGGAAGATTCGAGCGCCGATCGCAGGACCTGAACTGCCTGATCTGGCCCGGGCCGGTGCGCACCATGACTACCCAGAAGCTTATCTCGACGACAGTGTTCCAGTATCATCTGTGTTTTTGTTATAAAAGGGAGGTGAAGCAATTCTGGCTTCCAAAAGGTTCAGTGGTATGAGATGATTTTGTTTTTTGGAATGTTCCTTCCGGGGGAGAAAACAGCGGGGTCCCGCTGTGCGGGCCCCACCTTCCGCCCGCGAGGACTTCTGCGCTTCGAGAAGAAGGGGCAAAGCACTCTTCCACGTCCAAGTTTTTGTGGAGGAAGGCGCACTGGTGGGCTTCGGCATGTGGTGAAATCCAACCTGACCTCCGAGCATGTTTGTCCCCGTCGTGTAACAACCATGTCTCGGTCTGCGCCCATTTTGAGAATGCAGCCGGAAATGAGGTCGGAAGGTTCTCCAGCGCACCAATTCCTGTCGCTCTCCGGCGTATCGTGGGGGCCTTTCATCCTTCATCTCGTCTGACGTTTCAGGGAACCATCATCCGAACTCAACTTAGTGGGTGTCCTCTGTCAGCACTCAGCAGCCATCCCGAGATTTATTGGCTCTTTGCGTCATCTGCACCCGTCCTAGGCTCAAACGGTTCTCACTCCACACTAATCTGCCGCTATCGAGCCGGGCCATCTCACCCATTCGCCCACAAATCCGACGCCATCGTGACTCTGCCAACCGTTTGCTCCGAGAAAACTGGTGTTTGTCACTCACACATCTGCGAACATAGTGGGCAGGGCGTGGGTCACAGGGTCTTGGATTGTACATAAACGACAAGATCCTCAGGCGCCGAGTTCAAGCCATGTAAGACCACGGGGCAATCTTCCCGCGGAGGGTTGAAGGCAGGGGTGTGTGATTTTCTCAATACCTGCACCTTCGTACCGGGCTCACCAGGGAGCGGTAAGGTTCCAGGCAATACGGATAGATCCCCTGTGGCCCGGATTCCAGGGCGTGGTTCACAAGAAGAACTGCAAATAAGGCACTCCCGTCGCCTCTCCCAGCCAAGGCGGCACATGCATGGGAAACAGGGTTTGTGGGAGGATGCACCACCCACCACAGCAGGTACCGTTAGCGGCATTCCAAGCGAGTCCGGCTCTGAAACCGGCCCCCGCCCCGATGCCTCTCGCTTCTCTCGGAGAGCTGGCGGCAGGTGGTCACACCTCAGCAGTTTAGGTATGTATTTGTAGCCCCATCTCGCCCAACCAGAACGGCGCAGCCGTCACCGTCGGGCGATAGTTATCGCATGCCGTGAACCACAAACAACACAAGGAGAGCAAACGATTTCCCTCGACGTTGGGGGCCGGGAAGAACTTGGAGAGCACTATCCCCTCTTTCGACAACCCGTGAGCGACCCGTAAGATAAAAGCCGATCGCTGAGCTCCGTACCATCTCATGTACACAAGCTTACCTCGCATTAGATCTGTGGGGGAATAGACACAGCGTGGAGCTGAACGCAGGCTGCGTTGCACAGCGCCAACTGCAGCAGGGAATAGGAACGACACCTGCACTAAAGCTTGGCCACACAATGCCGACCTCAACCCCACCAACGCCAACACCAGAACTGAAGAAAAAGCCCAGTTTCCGGGATCGATTAAGAGCATGGCAGAAATCACCGCCGCGGACGCTGGAAATCGTCACAGAGGAAGCCAAGCCGCGGTTTGTGTATGAACCGACCCATGCTGCCGCCGACTTTTCGCGGCTAGCCGTATCACCACAGAATCCATCCCGGCACCGGTCTGCGACGACACAGACTTGGCCGAGGAGCAAGCCGAGCGGGTCCCAAAAGGTGCCAATACAGGCCGACGACAAAGGCGAGAGTGAGCCGACCGCACGAGCTTCCCAATCGGGGACAAATAGTCGCTCACATACGTTAACCGAAGGCCGTTCCCGAGGCGCGACGATCGAGACAACTATTCCAACAAGCAATCCGTCAATACCACAATCAGCGGTGGCTCCCAGCCGAGTCCCAGAGTTGAGAGAGTCGCCATCGACGCAACAGCCGCAGTCGGACTATGAGTTGTTCATAGCACGGGCGGAAGCGGAAGAACGGGAGCGACGCAAGCTGGCCTTCCACGGGATCCCGCAACGGGGCCGGGGATACACGGCGGCAAATGCGGAGCGGCTCGGGTTGTACCCGCAGCGTCCGGTGCCCGTACCGATCACAGCTTCTTCGCCGGTCCGGGAAACGCCTGGAAGAGTCAGCCAACAGCCGGATCAAACCCGTTCCAATAGAACCACCCGCATACGAGGCACGGAAGAAAAACCGCCGGGCCATGACAAGCACCAAGACGGTCGTGGTGGTTACGGCCGACAATCTAGCCGGATGCCGGGCCATATCACGGCCGGAACCGGTAGCGCTGCAGTCGATGTGTCGAACACAGAAATACCGACTGCGCGACCGGTCGTGACGTCGGGTCTCGGGGATGCTCGGAAAGGCCGGGAGCTCCCACAGCGTACATTGCGCCGACAAGCCAGTCTGACGAAGCGAATCACGCAGTACATTCGGCCGGCGAAAACGGCAGCAGAGCGTGCGCGTGAGACGCTGGTCGAGTGACCAGGCAAATGTGGGAATGGGGACAGGAGGATCGGTGGTAATAGTGGGCGCTATGAGATGAGCTATGCCGGTAATGGCAACAATAACGGGTCGATGATGGTTGTTTGAACAATGGCTTTGGGCAACGAAACAGGGTGCAAGACGGAATCGGAGATAAAGGCTTGGGTCGGAAGGGCAGACACTTGACTGTTGTATCCGTATCGGGGAGATGCGGAAACTCTGTGCTTCGGCGGGATGGTTTGTGGCTTTCGCTGGCGATGCTGAGTCGACGGCAACGGAAATACCCTTGTCAAGCCCATTGCGCCTGTCAAGCCCTGTTGGTTTCTTGTTGTTCATCGCAAGACGTCAGCCAGCCAGCCATGCTTGTCCCAAGCCAGTCCGAAGCAGGGCGGAATCATCAATGGAGAAGAGGTATCGCAGGGTGGGAGCTGCGAGGTGAAACCAGATTTGTCATGCGCCAACTGCGATGGTCGGAGTTAGGAAGTGGCCCGCGCTCTCTTCCCATTGTCGTCCATGGGAAAGACGTGATGATCACTCCCAGAAGTCCAAGGGAAAATGCAGGAATGTGAAATTTGGGGCAAAGTAGCGAGCGACCAGACCTCAGAGAGATCAGTGCGCCCTCTATCACGACGGCCGCGCAGGATGTCGCCGGCGAATGCGAGACAGAAACAGCAGAAGCGGCCGGATGTTGTTCCGCTGAGCGCCATGAATGGAGCGGAAGGGCCCTAAACGGGCACTTGGCAGTGGTTGTCTCGCCCGCCCCGAGCGTTCGGCGTCGCACTTTCCGCAGATGTCCTATCTTGTCGTCTTCGTTGTCGTTTCCTCTAATTATTCGCCTTTCTTCCCATTCTCACGTCTTCTTTTATTTTCTATTTGTTTTCCCCCTCTCTCTTGCTGCTGCATTCTTCCAAAGTGGAACACGCCCCCCCCGACGGATTCAGGCAATCGGATGAATACTACGTCCCATCTGCGATCTCGAATTGCCGTATTGGGCGCGGCACAGCACCAAAACAGCGCCGAACAGGCTTAAAAGTTGGGCCTACGAATAAGGTAGTTAGCTGCCGCGCGCCCGCAGTTGCAGCCGCAGTGTGACCCGCCAGACCAAGAACTAGAACACTCCTTCAACAACGTGGAGCTTACGCTCACGCTCAACGAACCGAAAGACCTGTAGAGTCGGCGCAGGGCGTCAGCTCACGCAACTCGCATCGCACAACCCCTCCACAGCAGACACTGCGCGTCAGACTCGCCGCGGGGTGGAGCACCGTGTGCATGATGGCATCATCGACGTCACTGCCGTCGACAGGAGATGCGCCGCAGGATATCAGTCCAAGTCCTGCTGCGACTCCGGCAGCATCGGGTTCAGCATCAACCTCGACGTCCGTCTCAACGCCAACATCAACATTAATACCACCCCCGTCTGCGTCTGCCCCGTCTACTCCCTTCGCCCCACCGCCTTCCTCCCGGCGCCTCTTCAGTGCGCTCCCAAACGAGCTCGTCGTCTTCGTGATCAACGGCCTCGACCGAGTCCAAGACCTCGCGGCGCTCGCGCTCACCAACCGCCACCTGTATAGTCTTGCGAACGTGCATCTGTACAAGCGCGCGGCCCAATGCGATGATGCACGCCCGCTGGCTTGGGCCGCCAACCGCGGCATCCTGTCGACCCTGCGCATGGCCCTCGCGGCCGGTGCGGACCCGAATGCTGAGCTGGTCGAATTTATCTCGACGGGGGAGTGGGAGGCTGTGACGGCCACGGCCCGGGCAGATGCGACGGCGGGCCGGGAGAAGACGCCGTGGGCGATGTGGGAAGTGAACAACCGGCCGGTGGTTCCCAGTGAAGGGGGTGAGGGGGACGGGCAGGCGACAAGAAGAGTTGAAGACAGCAGCAATGAGTGGAATGCCCAAGGCCAAGTCACTGCTGCTTCCGGTACCCACAACGGTGGGGTGCATGGTCACAACCAGGGCGAGAGAGGGAGCACGCCGTCGAGTACGGCCACGACGATTGCACCATCGCCCCAACCCGCCAGCACATCCGACCAGGACTCGGTCGTCTCCTCCGAGGAAGATCTATCGGAGCGAGAGGATGCCACGCCAGCAACAGAACGCTCGCCCACGCCCACGCCGTGCATGCTGGCACGCCGGTACCGTGCCATCCACCTGGCCGCCCGCTCTGGTCACGACGACGTGCTTGAGCTGCTACTCCGCCACGGCGCGCTCGTTGATGCGCCCTCGGAACGATTCTGCGCCTGCACACAGCAATACGGCCTGCTCAACATGCTCGAGAGCCCGGACCCGGATGCGCAAAACCCGCTCTGGACCCCGCTCCACGCGGCCATCTGCCACCGGCACACCTCTACCGCGAAACTGCTCCTCGCCCACAAAGCGAGCCCCATGATGGAACCCCTCCCCTCCCTAGAAATCCCCGGGTTCGTGGCCGCGTACGCAACCAGCCCCGAACCCATACACTTCGGCGCGTCGGCCCTGCACCACGCAGCCGCGTTCGGCCTAACGGAGCTTGTCACGTATCTGCACACCACCGCCCGCATCCTCCCCGACATCGACATCCTCCAAGACAAAAACTATCTCACCCCCTTCTACTACGCCGTCGCCAACCGCCGCTGGTCCTCCACCGTCCCGCAGCTCCTCCAACTCGGCGCCAACATCCACTGCGAAATCAGAATGTACATCCCCTACACCGCCATCACCCCGCTCGGCGAAGCCTGTCGCCTAGGCCACTTCCCCATCGCCGACCGGCTCCTCGCCCTCGGCGCCGACCCTTCCAGGGGTTTCATCGCGCTCACCTCGGGCGGCTGCCTCACCCCGCTGCACATGTGCTGTATGCGCTCGGCGCAGGCCGTCGGGGAACCGCGCGAAAACGGGGATGACGACGAGGAGCGCGGGAAAGCGCGGATGGCGACGATGGAGAAATTGGTGAAAGGGGGCGCGAAGACGGATGCGATGGATTGTTTTGGGGACACGCCGTTGTCGGCGGCGGAGAAGGCGCAGAATGTGTTTGCGCTGGAGGCGTTGGAGCGGTTGAGTTTAGAGGATAAGGAGGTGGAGCATACACCAGAGGGCAAGGAAGGGAAGGTTGGGGGGTTGTTAAGCTGATGTCAGTATTTAAAGGTATGGTTATATATCGTGTAGTTCTGGGGTGGTCATGCGTGGTATGGTTCGTTCTGTACCTGGCGAGGTGATGGATCGGTATGTATTGTGGATATGGTGAAGGGAAGCGGGTGATAGCGGAGAGTCTGGCTGGATATACCCCCTTTCCTGTCGTTTCGTTGGATCTCGGATTTCTCGGATTTTGGATGGTCTCAGTGTTGAGGCGTGCATAGACCAGTTGGGTGTAGGTGTCCATAGGTCACGTCACGCTGCTCATTTCTATACATGGTAATCGGTCAATGTGGTCTTGTAGCCCCAGGTGCCCGTGTTCGAGTGTTGTGTTTAAGCTGGTGTGTGCCGGGTTGATTTGCTTGCTGTCACAGGTTGAAAGGCTCTTCACTTGCTACAGCAATCCGCAGTTCCATGACAGTGATCAGGTCAAGTATGGTTTGTAACATGCCCGGTTTCTCCGTCACGTTGGCTCTGTAGCAGTATTTACGTTATTAAGCCAGTATTGCTGGTTTCGCTTAGTTGTGACGTGTTCCGGGTCTAATTAACTACTGTTGGTTTGGGTTCTTTTAGAGATGGTTCGAGATAGTTATCTAGAATTGGGGTCGCAAAAAACAGATGGTCATTGCCGCAGCAAATGGGTACTCTTTGATACTGTGACCACTGGGAAGATGTGGATATTTTGGCATGTTGATGTTGTGAATCCACAACCTCTCGGCTTGACACAGAACGACCATCATTGTTCTGACAATGAACCGCTTTCTTTACCGTCATGCATGTCTTCAACGATGCAATCTTCCGTACGGATCAGTCATCCCCAACGTTCGACGGTGGAGAGTAGAGAGTCGAGTTCAGCAAGATATTTTACGAGCTTCACTGTGTCGCAACTCGGGTATCAAAACACTACTCTCTCTACATCTACCAGATGCCAAACGTCAGACTACCACCTCCTCCCCCGTCCCCTCCCACCCCGACCCCCGCCCATCTGCTGCTCATACCCACCATACTGTCCCTGCCCCCCATACCCCCCTCCAAACCCCTGGCCCTGACCTCCCTGTCCGCCCTGTCCGCCGCCAGCGCCGCCCCCACCGCCTCCATACATCTGCATCATACTATTCATATCCATCTGACTCGGATCCATCCCACTCGCCATCATCTGCTGCATCATCGCCTGCATCTCCGGCGGCATCCCCTCCATCCCTGGCATTTGACCTACTACTCCCGCACCACCGCCGGGTACACCACCTCCCGCACCAACACCAACACCCCCAGGTCCCTGGCCGGCTCCAGCGGCTCCGGGTCCGCCGCCGGCACCGGCTCCAGGCATCCCCGGCATCCCCCCCATCATCATCATACTCGTCATCTCCTCCATCATCTTCTTATTACTCTGCGCAATCGCCTCCGGGTTATACTCGGCCCGTAACGCCTCCTGTTTCTGCGCGTACAGCGCCCACGTGAACTCGTCGAAGCCGTAGTTGAAATAGTCTGATAAGTCAGTGCCGGGACGACGCCAGGGCCGGTCTTGGTCCCCCGAGGGGGGAAGGTCGGTGTCGATGTTGACTTGGGTTAGCGGCTTGTTGGTGGGTTTGTGTAGGGGGATGGCGTGGATGTCGATTTTGGAGGTGGAAGCGGGGGGGTGTTGTATGTTTTGGTGTTGCTGGGGGGGTTGGTGTTGGCGGGAGGGTTTGGGCGCTGGGGTGGTGGTGTCGGAGCCGGCGGTGCGTTGGGGAATGTTTTTGATTTCGCTGTAGCGGGATTGTCTGGGGGGGTTAGTGAGATGGAAAGAGAGGGCAAAGATGCAATGGGACTCACGGTGGAGGAGCGGGCTGGGAGTCTTTGCGCTCTGTGACAATGTCGATGTCCTGGATTTGTTAGTTCTTCCGGTTTCTCTTATTTCCCGGAGCGGCGGTAAAGAGTAAGAACATACGGAATCCTCGTCCTCGTCCATGGCACCGCCCTCGTCCTCTTCCTCCCCCGACTCTAGCTCGTCGTTGGGCTCTTTTTTAACGGTCGACGCCTCGGCCGGAGTGGCCGTTGCCGGAGCTTGGGGCTCTTCCGGCGCGTAGAAATCGTCCTCGTCGTCGATATCCATAATGATGGATTGACGAATGTAAATTCAAATTGGCGTGAAGTGAATGTCAATTTTGCCTTGGATTGTGGTTGTTGCGTTGTTGACTTTGGTTGATTTCTGTTGCAAGGGCAGAAGAGCAGAAGCTCAATTGAGGTCGAGGTTGCAGCGATGAATGCACGGGCACGCCTGAGCTGTCCTAATTCGGCAGGCGGTCAGAGCTCTGCAACGCGACCAGAGCTTCACTGCAGACGACGCGGTGGGGCGCTAAAACTTTAGCGCGACCAGACAAAACATAGCGCAGCCTCGCAGCAACAGCAAGAGCGACCCGACAACAAGTAGCACATTTTGCAGCGGCCGAACGAAAACAGCCCATCTCGTGGCCCCCAATTAATTCCGCATTCCAACTCCGATCCGTCTCCTACTTCACGTGTTGCTACACAACGACACAAACATGTCTTTCGGACGCTCGGCCAGTGGTCCGGGCGGCCTGAGCATCAACACCGGCTCGGCCAACCTCTTGTGAGTTCATGCGAAATGCGAAAACCCGACTAAGGAGGTTCACAAACGGAACCGACAAACAAACTGACACCCAAACAGCGGATCAACCACCAGTCAGCCCGCAGCCGCCGGTGGCCTCTTCGGAGCTGCTACATCCCAACCGGCCGCCTCCCAGCCCCAGCAACAGCCCTCGCTTTTCGGCTCGACAGCTACCCAGACACCTGCTTCGCAACCTCAAGCCGCCGGCGGATTGTTCGGACAACCAGCGGCCGCCGCGACATCTCAGCCCCAGCAACAAGCGACGACAGGAGGCTTGTTCGGAACACCTGCGGCGGCTACCTCACAACCCGCGCCGGCCGGAAGCTTGTTTGGGGGTGCAGCTGCCGCGACATCACAACCGGCACAAGCGGGTGGGTTGTTTGGAGGCGCGGCGACACAGCAGCAACAACCGCAGCAGCAGCAGCAGCAGCAACAACAACAGCCGGCTGCAGGCGGACTCTTTGGGGGGCTAGGCGGAAGCACCGGCGGCATGTTTGGGGCAAAGCCAGCAGCAGCCAGCACGGCGGGAGGTGGTTTATTGTAAGTGCCACGGGTTGAGTTCCTTACTACTTTGAACTGATCCCAACTAACTCGTTCCAGCGGCCAATCCCAACCACAAGCAGCCGGCCTCACCCTCGGCCAGTCCACGCAGCCCCAAGTCGTCCCCGGCGTGCGCATCGACCTCTCCAACATCAAATCCACGACCCGCTTCAACGACCTGCAAGAGACCCTCCAGAAAGAAATCGCCCAGCTCGATGACGCAATCCAAAAGTGCATCAAAGACAAAGAAGCCGTCGACGCCTTCCTCCCGTCCCATGGCGAACAGCTCTCCGCCATCCCCACCGACGTCGGTTTCGTCACGCGCAAGTCAGAAGGCGCCCACGCCGCGCTGTCGGGCGACATCCGCGCCATCCACCAGCTGCGCGGGCTCGTCAAGGAAGACGCCGACCACGCGCGGCTCTCGTTCAAGGCGATTGACAACCTCAAGCTGCCGACGCAGTACCACCAGGCGGGGTTGTGGTCCACGTCCACCCGCGGCGTGTCGTCCTCTGGTGGGGTGCGCCCGGGCGCGACGGGTGGCGCATCCGGGTCGGGCGCAGGCGGACCCTCCGGCACGGCCGCGGCCGACGCGCAGAGTAACACGGATCTGATCAGTTTCTTCACGCAGACGGCAGACGAGATGGGGGAGATGATGAAGACGTTTGAGCGCAACCTCGGGGAGATCGAAGTGCACTTGCACGGTGTGCAGGGGAGTATGCTGGAGCAGATGCAGCGGGCGGCTGCGCAGTCGCGGACGGTGAACCAGGGGGGTAGTGCTGGTGGCCAGGATGGTGAGGGTAACAGTGGGAAAGGAGGGGCGGAGGCGAGAGTGGCCGAGTTGGCGGCTGTGTTGAGGGACTTTGAGGAGAGTATTCTCAAGGTGGCCGGGGTCGTGGGGGGTGTGAAGGAGGGGGTTACGGAGCTGCAGTTGAAGGACTTTATGGGGCATGGAAGCTAGGCTGTTGCGTGGAACGTAATGTCTATTTGTGTATGATTTCAGCGGCGTTGTTAGAGGCGTGAGATACGGTCAATACCAGCACTCTGTTCTGACCTCTGTTTACAACTCTTTGGGAATCCCAAGTTTGTCAATTGGTATCAATTCACCACGCCTGCTTTTCCCTCGAAAATCGAGATGATGTGAAAGAATCAACCTATCCTGACCACGCAAACCAGAAACAAACAATACAAACAATACGCCTCCCATGCAACATCCCCTTATCCCAAGGTTAAAGACCCCAAGAATCACAAATAATCCCCATCATCCCCCCCCTCATCATACTCCTCATCGTCCTGGTTCCCATCAAAATACGCCTCCGCATTATAATCATCCCCACTCTCATACTCATCCTCGTAGTTACTATCCCCGTCGTCCAATCCTTCTTCTCCCCCAGCCCCACCTTCACCATCTTCTGCATTGTTCCCGCCGGCAGCGCCAGTTCCGGCACCAGCCCCATTCCTCCCCTTAACCCAGTCATCATCATCGTCTTCTCCAGATAGGTAGGCGTCTTCGCCGTGTTGGTGGCGTTGTTCGAGGGTGGTTATTAGTTCGAGGGCTTTGTTGAGGCCGTTTTTGCCCTTATGGCCGTCACCACCACTTCCCGTTGTAGAGTCAAGACCGCTGCCCGTACCACCCAGAAACAGCTCCTCAGCAGTCTTATAAGAAGTAATGCTCGACAACCCCAACGTCTTCGGTCCCACCCTCCGTCTCTTAGCTGCCTGCCCCCCACCTCCCATTCCACCCCCAGCTCCACCCCCGGAATCATCCTCCCCGTCCAAGGTAGAATGGAGTTCAGCAGGAAAAAACTCCTTCGCAAACGACCGAGCCCCCAAATCCGGCAGCGTCCTCGGCACCTGACGAAACCGGTGGGAGTACATGGGCACCGAAGTGAACGGGTCGATGGTGGCTTTGGTGGTTTGGCCGTAGCGCTTGTTGAGTTGGTCTTGGCCGTAGGTGCGGGAGGAGCCCGCGCTACCTGAGGGGTTGGTAGTGGATGGGGAAGAAGAGGAGGGGGTGGAGGTGGTGGCGCGGCTGCGGGCTTGGGTGTAGAGGGGGCTGTCTTGGCATTGTTCGCGGAAGAGGAGGAAGTAGGAGATTTGTTTGTCTTCTTTTTTTGTGAGGAGGGGGGCGCGGGGGACGGCGTAGGGCTGGGAGTTGTCTCGGTGTTAGTTTTACCTGTTCTGGTGTGAAACAATAACAGGGTGGTGGAAATAGAAGCCAGAAATAGAAAGCGAAGCAAATAGAAGGGAAGAGAGCCAAAAGGACATACAGGAAACTGCTCAGAAGGCTTGCCGTCGAGCACAATGTCCGAGTCCATCGCCCAGGGCACACTATTCTGGGCCACAGCCCGGCGTCCGTTTGTTGGCGGTCCTCGTCCACCACGGCCGCGGCCGCCTCGCCCGCCTCGTCCAGACATTGTTGCGGCGGGTCCGGGTCAGGCGGTATCACCTCATTGAACTTAAGGGGTATGTATGTGTGTGGTGTGGAACTGTGTGGTGTGAAACTGCAGTTGGGAGTCGTCGGTTGGCAGTACGATGTAGTTAGGTGGCGGGGTGTGTCGAAAGCTGTGATGAGTCGAAATTTTGGATTCGGTTCGAGATTCGCGCTGCTGCGTCTAAAGTGCCGCCAAAAATTTAGCGGGGCCTGAGCTTGGCCTCAGCCTTGCATTGTGCGGCAGGCATTGTGCGGCAGGCATTGTGCTGCAGGGGCCATCACGTCTGAATTAAGCCAATGTGGGGCCTATTCACCCCACCAACAATAGTGCTGGGCTATGATTGCCCCTCGCTGTGCCTTTTTGGCTTTCAACAACTTGTCACGACTGACGACTGTTTGCTGCCTTGAGCTTGACTTAAGCCTTGTGTGTATGGCGATTTGCATTTAAGCCGGCTGTGAACCTGTGGGTTGTGTAGAGGTTTCCATCTCTTTTTGCATCCTCTTTTCACAGCTTCTTTTCACAGCTTCTTTTCACAGCAAGTTTCCTTTCATAACCGAACAAAATGGAGAACACTTCCATCACTGGCCTCGATGAGCTCGAGAAACACCTTGACGACCTGCTTCAGGACCCCGCGCTCGTCGTCAACGCAAAGCTGTTCGACGATGTTGAGTTGCAGCTCACAGGTATGTGTAACTAATCACCTAGAGCAATTATGTGTCTATTGTTTCCATGATTTAACACGATTTCTTGTAATTTGTTGTTTAATTTTATGACTTCTTATTATGCTTTCATCTAATTATTTGTGATTTAGAAACCAACATCCTTCCCCTTCTCCCGCGCTTTCTCCCCCGCCTCACCACCCTCCTCAAACAATACACCCAGGACCCCACTGCCATCGTCAACCTGACCATCAGGTTCCTCGGCCCCGTCCCTTTCGAGCATGTCTTCGCCATGGCCAAGCCCGACGACCTGATCCAGGCCCTGGACTCCCCCGCGCCCGCCGCCAACCTGCTCGGCATGACCGTCCTCCACAAGGCCGCCGCCGACCCCGACCACCTCCCGCTGCTCTCCGCCTATCCAGAGCTTGTCGCTGCCTTCCTCCGCCGCTGGCTTGCCGCGCCCCAGGTCGAAGTCGGCCAGAAAGGCGCCAAAGTCCTCGGCGATCTCCTCGACATCGACTCTCCCCTGCCTCCCCCGGCCCCTACCACCCGGCCGGTCGATCTCTCCCACACCGACCTCACCCTGCGCAAGGCTCCCGGACACGGTGCCCTCTGGTCTCTTCTCTTCCAAGACAAAGAAACCTACACCCTCCTGCTGGACCTCATCTCCGGCCGCCACCCTGAAACGGCCCCCAACTCCAGCCCCACCAACACCAACACCAACAGCGCCAACAACGTGCACCAACTGTCCCTCGCCCAAGGCCGCATTCTTCGCCTGCTCCCCCGTCTCGCCGCCATCGACCTGCATGCCATCAGCCACTCCCAATTCACCCCGCCAACCCCTGTCTACGCCAACCAAACCAACGGCCACACCAACGGTCTCACCAACGGTGACACCCCTCGCATCGCCAACACCAACACCAACACCGACCCCAACACCACCGACCCAACTGAAGACCAAACTCCCCACTATCCCCCTCTCTCCCCTCCCCCTCCAAACACCGGCCTCCTCCAATACGCCGCCCTCCACCTCATCCAAAAATCAGACACCCTCATGCACCTAAGTCTAATCGATTTCTTCGAGACGCTCCTCGCTCTCACCCGCATCTCCCCGGCCTCAGAGGGAAAACTCGAGACCCTGCGGGCCCTAGTGGCTGAGGCGGTGGTGGGGGATAATGAGTTGAGGAATGCGTTAGTGAGCTTGCCGGAGCGGACGGTGGAGGAGGAGGAGGGGGATTTGAGGGGGTGGTTGGGGGAGGTGGGGGTTTTCCAGGCGGGGGAGATGGATGTTGTTATGCGGTAGGGGGGTCTGGGTGAGTGTAGCTTTGAGGCGTGGTGTCTTTACTTTTGTTATGTTGTAGACTGTAGCATGCGTGATTGAGAGGTTATGCGAGATTGAGGATTGTGAATTTAAAACTACGATGTGAAGCCTGTGATGCAAACCCTTGGATGAACTCTGTTAAGTAACAGGTATTAACGAGTATGAGGAGTGAAAAGAGTGTGGCATATGTTTCACAGCCTGGTTGAGTAATTCAGTGTGGGGTTCTGAGTTACAAGTCTGCCTATAATCATTGGTAAGTGGTTACAATGTATGGTGCTGGTTTATGACTGATCCAAGTCAAAGTACCACAATCCTACGGCATACCCACCAGAACAAACACTCCATACTCTCTCACCCACCTACCCATCAAGCTACCTACTTGTCAAGCTCCTACTTGCACGTGAGGCCGGGATCTCACCGGGCCAATCCATCCAGATACTAACTGACCTCCAAACACGTAGATAAGTAGGCTGTTGAGCCGCTCCGTGCCTGAAATCTGCTGACGGCCAGGATAGTACGTCGTGGGACTACGTTAATTGCTACGTTACTTTGGTATCGCGGTAGGGTAGGACAAAAACCAACTAATTGTTTCGTCTCACGGCTTTTTCTTTTATACTAACCACCCAGTCTCTGGGATAACGTCCGGACAACAACAACTCTCTGTTGGATGAGTCTCTGGGAAATGTTTATGAGGGCAGAGACGAGTTAACTAGCGCGAGGAACGTAAACATGCATTCCCCAGCAATACACAGCTCAAGGGGTTAGGGTGAAGTAAGGTGGCCAAACGACAGGAAAGGGGGAGGAAAAAAAAGGAAATTACATATAAAACAAGCTTAGACATCCAAAAGATGAAAATTGAGAGCTTAACTACCTTGTGGATTCCTCGATCCTGCAACTAACACAAGTAGACTTGTATATGCAGGTGTGAAAATGGAAATAAAAATGTAAAGAATGCCATCAGATCACAACGTTAGTCAATAATGGAGAAGAAAACTTTCTGATTAGACACTTGCCAGAGCACCAAGAATGACAACGTTTTTGACTTATTCATGGCCTTGATCCCACCGTCCGTGGTTAAAATGGTCAAACCATCACGCCGCCAACATAGAGACCTCCACCCAACTCGAGGCAGAGCCCCTGGAACTTATGTATATATCCCAACAATATACACCCATTTCCCTACTTCACGCCTTGTAACACACGTTTCACGCTTCAAATATCACATCATAATTCCAGTAAGAACACACTACACTTTGCACTCCACTTCAAACTACGGATCGCACTACACAATGACTCAACACAAGGACTCAACACAAGGACTCAACAGCAGCCAGTACTAGTAATCAGCATGGTAAACTGCGAGTAAACAGTAACAGGAACCAGCACAGTAAACAGTAACGTTACCAGGCAACAGCACAGTAAAGAGCACAGGAATAGTAATCATCACCATAAAAGTAATACATTAGCCACCCACTCACTCACTACTCACTCAACTCACGAATGACCCCTTCCATATATCTAAGCACACGCCCCCTAAAAAATTCTATTATCGCAGAAATCACATTTTCCACCGCGTCGGCTCTTGGTCTCTTGGTCTCTGCCCTCACCCTGGCTAGCTTCACCTCATCCACTCCTCACCCATTGACTACTCATTCACTCCTCATCCACCCAGTAAGTACTCACGCATTCACTACTCACTCACTACTCACTCACTACTCACTCACTACTCACCCACTACCCATTCACTCACTCACCCCCTTCCCCCCTGCGACTCCCAGAAACACCCTCTCCCTTCATCTGATCCTGCAATCTCACACCCTCCCCATAACCTGCCTCGACGGGTCATCACTCAAACTATCCATACTCGGCGACGCCCTAATAACCCCTTGCACCCCGAGCCCCCCATTCCCCGCGCCAACGCCATTCCCATGACTTCCATTCCCATTTGCGCCGCTCCCACTCCCACTCCCTATAGCCGGCGTCCCCCTCACACTCGCGGCCGCCGACCCAGCAACCGAAGCATCAGAGTTAGACGACACCAACCCCTCAATCCCCAACCCGACCTCCCCCACCCGTCTCAAAACAAGCAACAACGCCCCCCTCAACTCCTGTCCCAAATCCTTCCCCAACAGCTCCACAACCAGCGGATAAAAGCTCCCAATATGCGCGGCAAACCCCTCCCTAGGAAACGCCGCATACCCCTCCAACACATCCACCACCACCGGCCGCCACGCCACAATATTCCTGTGCTGGCTCTCTTCGTCAAGCACGATATACCCGCGTATGATATCCCGACAGAGCGGGACGAGCGCGCTTTCGACGTCGGATTTGCTGCCTTGGCGTTCGGGGGCGGTATCGCCGAACATGCGGAATAAGATGGAGACGTAAGTAGCGGCGCTGCCGGATTCTTGTTTGAGGAGGTTGGGGGGTTGTTTCATGAACCCTTCTCGCCAGAGACGCATGCGCAGGTCTTTGTCGGCGTTGAAGCGCTTGGCGAAGAGGAAGGATTTTTTGAGGAGGGCCATGAGGCGGAGGAGGTCGGGAGAGGGGATCTGGGCGTAGACGGCGTCGTTGCTGAAGAGCTCGTTGACTGTTTCGATCATGAGGAGTTGGAGTACGCAGCGGGAGATGATGCGGTTGAAGAAGCGGCGCCGGGCGGCGGTTACGACGACGGGTTGTTGCTGGAGGGGGTTGGCGGGTTTGAATTCTTCGAGTTGGGGTTGGGCTGAGCCGGCTGCTGGGGGTATCGCGGGGGAAGCAGAGGCGGCTAGCGCGGACGGGTTGGCAGAGGCCGGCGCGGCGAGGTTATCGGCATCGCCGTTGATGGATTCTGGGGCAGCGACGGAAAACCCGTCCTCGTCCGTGCCGTCGATCTTGAGAGACTTTTCGTCAACAGGCCCCGTCTCCGACGTCGGGCTCAGCGCAACGCCAAACTCGAGGCCGCTTGGCGGCGGAGACAGCGAGGCGGTCGAGTTGATGGTGGTCGCGGAGAACAGCTGGTACGCCGTGGTGCGCTCAAACAGCTCACAGAACGCGCCGACAATCTTGGCCCAGTGCTCGGGCGTGAACTTGGTCACGTTCTGCAGGATCAGCTGCTGCAGACAGTTACTGCCGATGCGCGCGATCGTGTCGTTCTCCTGGCAGATACAGAGCGCTAGCAGTTCCAAAAACCTGTCCAGCATGTACTCAAGCGCGTCAAAGTAGTGCGTGAACAGCGTGATCATGTTGCGCAGGGCCTGGATCATGGTGGTCGACAGCCACACCGATAACTCCTCGTGGTTGAGCGCGTTTGTCATCTCAGGCCGCGACCGCAGCACCATGAAGATGGGGTACAGCTGCTGGCGCCACAGGATATCCCAGAACTCAGACGGGAAATCGCCGCCGTACCGCAGCAGTGTCTCGAAGAAGTAGTTGAGCGCGTTAGACCGCACCTCGAGGTCTTCGCCCGTCATCAGCACGTCGTGGAACGCAAACAGCACGGGGAACCAGAACCCTTCCTCCGTCGACGTGCGGCTCTGGCGCGCTGCAGGTGCGGGTGACTTGAAGTTGGGGTCCGCCGCCGTCTCGGCTTTTTCAGACGATTTCTGCGACTTCTTCGACAGCGGACACTCGGGTGTCTTGAGCATTGTCGGGATGATCGACTTGAGCAGCTCCATCGCCTGCAGGCTCTTCTTCTGGAACTTCATGTTCTTGGAGAACTCGGTCAAACACACAATTAAGTCCGTAAACGCCCCCTGGGAGATGACCACCCCAAACCGCGTCCGGTACACCTGCGTCACGTTCTCAAACGCCAGGCTCACAATGCTCTCGTGCGGCTCCTTCGCCGCCACCGTGAACACGCCAAACATGGTCCGCCAGCCCGACCGAATGTTCTGGCCCCGCGCCTGGATCATCTGGATCAAACACCGCAGGATCATGTCCTTGACCGTCACGTTGCTCGAGTTCGACATGACGTGCTCAAACGGCTTGAGGAAGTCCTTCTGGAACTTGAACCCGGCCAGCTCCTCAATCTCCATAAACCGCATCGACAGCTGCCGCAGCGAGTCCAGCGCGAAGAAGACGATCGCCGTGTTGGCGTGGCACCCGACCCGGTTGAAGTGCTCTCCGAGTACGTCCCAGATGCTGCTCCACTCGAACCGCACACGCGTCATGTTGTAGTAGCTGATCTCGACAATCTTCTGCAGGCTGTACGTCCGCGGCGAGTCGTTGGACCCAGACACCCGGATCTCGTCCCAGCTCACTTCCGTGAGGGCCCGCGCAAAGTGGATAATCGCGTCCCTCGAGAGATGGGCCGTGTTGGTGAAGATGCGGTCCACGCTCTTGATCACATCGTCCGATCGGCTCTCGAGCGCGATCTCAAGCGACACCCCCTGGGGCCCCGTGTGCGCCCGCGGCCGCGTTTTCCGCGTGGACGACGACGTCGACTTGCGGGAATCCGCCGTTTCCGTCCGCTGGGGAGGAGGGACAAACCGCGCCCGGGACACGTCAGGCACCGCGCTCTCGTCGACACCACCCGAGATCAGCTGCAGGCGATCTAGTTGGCTGATGCACAACAGCACATCCTTCCACGACTCCTTCAGGTGGTTGCCTTCCGTCTGCGCCAGGTCCAGGAGCATCTTCAGCGCCTCGACGTTCTTAGCCTGCATCTCGCGGGGGTTGTTGAGGTTGGCCGTGTTCTTGAAGAACGAGATGAACGCTTCGCGCGGGGTCGCCAGCTCGAACAAGCACGCAATCTGCGTCGCCAGCTTCATGCCCTCCAGGCACACCTTGTTGACCTCTAGGTTGTGCGTCTTCTGCGTCAGACTAGACAGTGCCGAGAAGAACGACATCCACGTCGCGTCGAACATGGGCCCGACATGCTTGAACGACGTGGCCGAGATAAACTTGACCCCGGCCTTGGTCGCGCTCTTGCGCTGGCTGCGGTACAGGTCGCGGAACAGCTGCTCCGATCGTAGCGAGATCTCCTCCGACTGCTGCACGTACGCTTCCCGCTGCAGGTCACGCCCAACGTTGGAGAATGCCTGGCCCAGCCCAGCGGCTAGCCCGGTAGCCTGCGCTTGCAGCAACCCCGAAGCCGCCGCAGCTTCCCGCTCGCTCTTGAGCACAATCTCATTCCCCTGAATATCCTCGTAGATGCCAATGAGGTACTCGTCCGGAAGATCCGCGTTGTCGTTGATGCCGCGGTTGTTCTTGATGAAGTCCTCCTTGGACATCCGCTTGACCACCTTACTGCTGTGCAGATCCGTGTTGAGCAGGATCACCGAGTACGCGAGCACGTACGGCGTGTCGGCGTTGGCAAACGCGTTCGGGTTGCCCGTCACGTAGCGGTGCGCGAACTTGAGCATGAATCGATCAATCTTCTGCGCCTCGCCGGGCAGACGGAAGGATTGCAAAAACTCCCGCAAAGCATCGACGAACCGCTTCTTGCTGAAATCCATCATGTCCACAAACGCGTGCATAATGTCCACGTTCTTCTGGTCGCCTTCGCCAAGGTACTCGCCAATCTGCGCCTTGTCCAGGCGATCCTCGCGAAGCAAAAACCGCGCGATATCCTCGGAAGTCTCGCTCGTGATGAAGCCCTCCTTGAGGAGCAGCTTAACGCCGTGCTTCGGCTTGAAGTTGAACACCTTGATGGCGTTCGTCATCGCCGTCTTCCTGGCCTTTTCCTTTTCCAACTGGTCCGGATCGTCATCAATAACTGGAGTCGAGGGCGGTAGCGGCGTTTCCATGCGGGATGCTGTCTCACTGTTGGCCGAGGGATCGATCGAGTATCGCAAATCGTCGCTCGAGGGTCGTGTGTGCACATCGCCGACCGTCCCGTTAGCCTCCGGTCGCCCGGGCTGAGACCAGTGGACCAGTGACCGTAACGTTTCCACCAAGGAGTCGATGGCAGCCCGCTTCATGAAATACTCCTTCGGAATCTCCGTATCGATCTCGTGATTCGTAGCTATCAAGGCAACCGACAGCGCTGGCGGCAGCACGTTCTTGATCTGCCACTCACTGCCGGGCCCCGATTTCGAGTGCACGTCCTCGTACTGCTGTTCTTGCGTTGGGTTGATGGGCACCACCGCCGTCGCGAACCTCGAAAGGTCTTCCACAATCCGCTGGAAGATGTTGTCGACGTTACGGTCACAGTCATAGTTGAGATACAACTCCACCAAGGCTCTTGGGTCTTCGCATAACCTCTTCAGGATGCCCACAAAAGTAAGCTTTTGCGAGAGCGGCGCATTCCGTCGCGCGAGTAGCGCTAGGTAAATCTCGTTCAAGAATACCTCAATTTCATTCTGCCCGAGAAGTCAGCAGGACGCTCCGAGGCACCCAACAAACATGGCAACCAACCTTGAACGACGACCTCATGTACTTGAGCATTAACCAAAAGATCTCGCAGCACACGTCAAACACCCGGTCCACCGAGCTGGCACCATTACGAGTGATACTAAGACAGAGGTAGTACTTGATGGCCTGCAAAAAGTCCGTCGGCTCGTTGTTCTTGGTGTTCCGGATCGTGCACAGCGGGGACGTAAACACGGCGATGTTGTTATTCAGCAGAGTCTGAACGAGGTGAAGGGAGATCAGTTTGGAGCGCATTGCTTGCCCTCGGGTATCGTAGAGCTGGTCTGGCGGCAAGACTTTGGTCGAGAGGTTGCAAAACGAGCGGAAAACGAGGTAAGCGTCCCGAATGTAGGCCTCATCCTCGGCATCGAGCGATTCCGGTGTCTCCTCCTGGGAGCTCTCCGCTATGCTCTGTTCGGACACAGACCGGGCCGCCTTCTTCACAGGCTTGACCTGGCTAACCATCGTGGGGCCATCCCCCATGTGGGAGTCATCGAAGCTCTTTCGGTGCTCCAGATCCTTTAGTGTCAGCTTCCCCTGTGCTTCATCGGCCGATTCGGGCGCCGCAGCGTTGGAAGCGGTATCCGCAGGCCCGTCACTACCGTTACTCTTGACCTGCCCGTCGTCCGACTCGCCCTGGTCCTCGAATCGGTCAACGGCGAGGCTGCTCCGGCTCACTTTGAGCTTGTCCAGGTTGGCCCGCGTCTCCTTCATGTGCAGCCTCGTCTTGACCCGCTCGAACACCGTCCCCACCATTTGTGTCAGCGTCCCCTGCGCGACCTGCTGATTTGCCGTGCTCCGCGAGAGGAGGAAGATGTTGTAGACCTGTCGTACCGCCTTCAGCAGCCCCGCACCGTGTACGATGATCTTGTCGTTGAGCACCGCAGCAAGCAGCGATTTGACGATCTGGAGCTGGACCTCGACCAGCGTGGCCTCGCCCTGGAAGCAGTCGCAGATCGTGTCAATGGCCCGCTCGATGAGGGGGGCTCGCTCGGCGCCATCCTGTTCGGCCGAGGACGAGGGCGCAGAAAAATAGGAGTAGGAAATCAGCTTCCCGATGCAGTCGAGGGCGGTCGTGGCAAGGGGTGTGGTCCCGGTTTTGGCAGCGAGCTGCAGAGGGGCGAAGACGACTTCGGGGTCGGGGAGCTGTTGGTCGTTCTCCTTAATCGCCGCGAGGGCCTTCTCCGCCAGCTCGGCCAGCTGCTTGTTTCGCCCTGCATGGGCGGCAATGGTGTCCAGCGAGGACACCACAAATTTGAGGGAGCTCATGGCGTACCGGCGTTCCTCGAGGGGCAGTAGGCCATCCGCGGGAGCCCGTTACCGCATGGAAACCGCAGGCCGAGGGAAAGCAGCGTAATCGGATGCAAAATGCGAATTATGACGCGGACGTGGTTCGGATGCGTTGGGTTGCGCAGCTCGAGCTTCGGCGGGCGGATGCGTCTTGCGTCTAGTGGTCGGCCCAAATTAGGTAAATTGGAGGTCTGGGCTTCGAGGTTCGAGGGGCTGTCGTTGCTGCAGCTCTCGGAATTTAGATGCACATGCAAATAGGGGCGCCTAGCGTACCCAAAAACTTTGCTGCTTGTTGCTTCGCGGCCCGCTGCTTTCTGCTATCGCAAGGAATCCGACACGGCTTCAAAACGAGGCGTTGCGAGCAATTCCGCCTTGGTCTTTGTTTCGTCGCAAACAAGGAAGGTGGTTTGTGGAAGATGACAGCAAACCTCCATCGCGATCGCTCCTCGCTGTGGAACCCGGTCCCCTAACTGACGCGGCGTCGCCAGCTGGTCAGCACTGCGCTCGGCGCGCGGACTTCCAGCTTTGTCAAAACGGCTCGCGGGCTCAGGTCCCTGGCATTTCGGGGCCTTGGCGCAAGACCCACTTAGTCGTGGGCTGCAGCCACACCCCCACGGCGGTTTTCAGAATGTGCAGGTGGCTGAGCTCATGACCAAAAGGACCGTCTTAGGCTGCTATGAGATTAACTGCTAAATTTTACGCTTAATATTAACATCGAGATGAGGCAGCCATTCTGAGAAGCCCAAATTGAAACGATTGAACTCTGATCCTTCCCGTTAGCAAGCGAAAAAACCGTTCCGTTGCCCGACGATAAGTTTTCGGAGCCCGATTTGATGTGGCTGGTGGATGGCCAGTGCCCTGCGTTAGCGTATGGATTTGGCGATTTGACACTCGTCAAATGTGGGCCATCCTATCCCGGCCCGCCCAGATTTTGATGAACGGAAGCTAAGCTTCCCAACGAGTTGAAGCCCACGTCAAAAAAAAACCGGCCCCCCAACCTGCATCACCACCACCATCATCATCCTCCGATCCCCGGCTTCCGCCTTCCTTTCTTCTCCCCCCAAATCTTCCCATCCTTCTTTTCCCAATTGGCCTTGCGCTGCTGCGAAGGCACATTCGACGGACCGCTGCTTTTTGCGAGCCCGGTCATTTAACTCCATTTCCGACTCGTCCCGCGTTCCCCCAACGCTTTTTTTTTCTACCGTCTCTTCACACATCCACAACCTCCAAAATGCTTGTCCCAGCGATCCGGAGGCAAGTCCTCCAAAACGCCCGCTTTGCGCGCGCCGCCCTCCCCAGCCTCACAAGATGGTATGCCTCGTACCCCCCGCACACAGTCGTCAAGATGCCAGCGCTGTCTCCGACAATGACCGCTGGCAATATTGGCGCGTGGCAGAAGAAGCCCGGTGACACCATCGCACCCGGCGAGGTGCTCGTCGAGATCGAGACCGACAAGGCCCAGATGGACTTTGAGTTCCAAGAAGAGGGTGTCCTGGCCAAGGTTCTGAAAGAGACCGGCGAGAAGGACGTTGCTGTTGGCAATGTAAGTTGCGCGGATTTCTCCACCCCACGGAGCGGCCCCCCACCATGATGATAGAGTCCGCATTGCCGCCCAACAACTACTAACCCGGGGCTCTTATCATAGCCAATTGCTATCCTGGTGGAGGAAGGGACCGATGTTGGCGCCTTCGCCGGCTTCACCCTCGCCGATGCTGGCGGCGAGTCCGCTCCTGCGGCTGCCAAGGAGGAGACGCCCAAGTCCGACGCTGCCCCCACCCCGGCCCCGACGTCCGCCCCCGAGCCCGAGGAGACCGGATTTGGCGGCAAGCTCGAGCCCGCTCTCAACCGTGAGCCTAACATTTCGGCCGCGGCCAAGAGGATTGCTATCGAGAAGGGCGTTTCGCTATCCGGCCTGAAGGGAACCGGCTCGGGCGGCAAGATTACAGAGGAGGATGTCAAGAAGGCTTCGTCCTCGCCCGCTGCTGGCGCTGCTGCGCCTGCCGGTGCTCTCTACGAGGACATCCCCATCAGCGGTATGCGCAAGACCATCGCCTCCCGCCTCAAGGAGTCCGTGTCCGAGAACCCCCACTACTTCGTCACCTCCAGCCTGTCCGTCACCAAGCTGCTCAAACTCCGCCAGGCCCTGAACAGCACCTCGGAAGGCAAGTATAAGCTCTCGGTGAATGACTTCCTGATCAAGGCCATTGCCGTCGCCTCCAAGAAGGTCCCGGCCGTCAACAGCTCGTGGCGTGACGGTTTCATCCGCCAGTTCAACACCGTCGACGTCTCCGTCGCTGTGTCGACCCCCAGCGGCCTGATCACCCCCATCGTCAAGGGTGTCGAGGGCAAGGGCCTCGAGGGTATCTCGTCCGCCGTCAAGGAGCTCGCCAAGAAGGCCCGTGACAACAAGCTCAAGCCGGAGGAGTACCAGGGCGGCACCATCAGCATCTCCAACATGGGCATGAACCCGGCCGTCGAGCGCTTCACCGCTGTCATCAACCCCCCGCAGGCGGCCATCCTCGCCGTCGGCAGCACCAAGAAGGTCGCTATCCCGGCCGAGTCCGAGGACGGCACCACCGGCATCGAATGGGACGACCAGATCGTCGTCACCGGCAGCTTCGACCACAAGGTCGTCGACGGCGCGGTCGGCGCCGAGTGGATGCGCGAGTTCAAGAAGGCCATCGAGAACCCTCTCGAACTCCTTCTCTGAAACAAGAAACAAAATCTCTTCTCTCCAACAGTCACGAGCGTGTATGTGTGAATATGGCAACAGGCGTAGCGTAGGAGCGGGCGCGGCAAAGCAATATTGGTAGTTTGGGTTAGGTCCCCTATCGGACCTTATAGAGTGGGTGGACATGGGAAACATCCGGCGCAGTCAGGTAGGGGGGTAGGCAGGTAGGGGAGGTTACTTGTGGGCGAAAGAAGGAGGTTTTCCATCAAGGCCGGTACGCCGAACGAAAAAAAAAAGGGTCGGCATCGTCATATTTTGGCCCGGCGGCAGACTGCTGGGATGGACGGCTTCCGGACAAGGGAATTGGGGTTGGGGAAGGGCAGGGCCGACGCTCCACCAGGGCTCTGGCATCATCTCAAATGTGCCGGGTGATGTGGCATCTTTGCGCGTCTCTTTGTCATTTGTACATTGACCTCATATTTAATCGCGTTCAGGGTTGTTTAAATCGAGCATGGAGTTTTTTGGCCAGGTCTCGGTACGCTCATACCCTGAATATCTCTGTGCGTACCATGCGTACGGATAGATAATGGGGAGATGGAATCAACCTTCTCTTGAATGAGGTCAGTGTTAGATATTTTCTGCTTCCCACGTGAGGTTATCATCAATCCCGTCGGCTCCCGTTGCGTGTGTGGAAAAACATAATATCATGTCGTTCTATAACGCAAAATTGTGGGGATATTAAAACCTCGTCACAATCAACTCCCTCAACATTTGACTAATGCTCGATGTTAGTCATGTACACAAACATAACCTGAGTAATCAAGATGGTGTCAGGATCTTATTCTCAGGAAACATCTCGTCGAAAGCAAAGCTGAAAAATAATGGCGACGGAACTTATAATAATTACAAAATGAACCAGCCATAGTGATTGTTTCCTAAATCAAGAAAACGAGCACCCACCACAAATACACTACACTAACGTTAACTAATTCCAAATCTCAAAAACACCCCTTCATCTGTTTGCCGTCCCGGCAAAAACACACTAGCACACCTTGTAATGCACTCCTTACCGGCAAGAGACAGTCCAATTTCCACTCCTGTAACCGGCCGGCCGTTCCGTGACATCGATTCGGACCCTGGCTGCATGAATAGGATCACCAGGCTGGCTGCAAGCCCGAACATGTCCGAAAAGCAACAGCGAAGGACAAACGAATAAAGTTGCCGGACCCAAGACTTGTGACGAGCCCGTCGGACAGGATCCGACGGAACCAGCGAGTCAGATGGGGCGTAATTTTCTGCCGCCCCGTGCTGCGCCGCTGTGGCAGACCTTATTTTATCCATTTTCTTTAACCCCCCGAAGGAAGGATGACAATCAGTGTCGTAAACACCGGGCCCGAATGCCCCGTTTCTTCCCGCATGGGGAAAGCAGGGCGGAAGCGGAAGCGACCCAACGGTGATAAGCTGGGCGGCTTGGGTGTACACTACAGGGTGTAGTAAGAGACACCCCCTGAAAAAATAGAACATTTGGAACCTCGCCTTCCTTTTGCTTGGGAATGTAACAATGCCAAGCAAAGCATCAGACAAATGCCCCGACAGCGCTTGGTGAGAGTCTTGCAACTCGCACTCAAGCCACACCGAAATGATGAATAACCCTTGTTTCTCACACGTCACTCAAACTAGCCCCTGTACTATGTACGAAGTCATGTACACTTGCGGTCCCTCAGCTGCGCGATCCTCGCTCTCAAGTCTGACGGATCACTCCGCAAAGTCCGCTCGTCCGTTCGTCCCTGGCGAACCGGATGCCCTGGAGCGGTTTGTTGGAGCGGTTTGTTGGACCGAACAAGAGATGAAGCCGGACTTGGGTGGGGAAGTTGGCCCAGTTGGTTGTCTGCTGTGGAACACCGCGGCGGCAGCATGCACGACGGCTGGTGGGAAATATTTGTCTTTGGGGCTCTTTTTTTCCCTTTATCTCCGAAATTCCCGGCAGACACAGGCCCGGGGCCTTTTGGCCAATGTCCGGTCCCGTGGTGTTCGCTCGATCCATCAATGCCACAAAGCCGACAGGTTCGTTTGCTTCTCCGGGGGAATACTAACCGGATTTGACATACGAGCGTGTCAAGGAGAAGCGGGGTTCTTTTTCCCTGCTCCTTCAACCTTGGGCCCATGACCACATCGTCAGCAGCGGCCCCAAGTCCAAAAGTTTGCCTTTGTCTTGCCTTGCAGGCGCGCTGCACATTTTGTTGTGCCACTTCATTGGCTTTAGCTGATGTCTAGCGGTTCGGACCTTCCCCCGAACCCGATGCAGGCGGGTTGCACAAATCCGGGACAAGATCGGGTGATCGAGTCTCAGCGCCCAGACCGCCGAGACGCCACCAAGCCGGGCGTTGTTTGTACTTTGCTTTTTCACCCTCCGAGCAAGTGCCGTTGCATGAGATCGGTGACTGCACTTCGCAAAATATGGTAATAACTTTCCCATCTTGTCGAGGCTCCTGTTCTCCCGTCTGCTGACGGCTGGGAAGCATTGTTGAATTTGTTGTCAAGTCACCCAGCCAAGGTCGATCCGGAGTAATCGGGAGTTCGGACGAACACGGTTAAAAATCTTGGTAACGACCTCATGCTTGGGTCCGGTCAGGCAAGCATTGCGAGATATGTCCAAGTTCGGGCGGCTGGAGCCATCCGCAAGCTGAATGGGGTACGGCTGCCTGTGTTTAGCGAAATGCAAGATTGGTTGGCAAATGATGAGAGATTGGGTGAGATTGGGAATCTTCAAACGCGACGCCAGGTCCCTGTCTCTCCATCGTCGTTTGTGTCGACAACCCGTGACCTCTGTGAAAACCCAGCCGGTCGGCGGCGGAGATAATGGGCCCACTAGTGTCAACCCACCAACCTTGTCGCCGAACCCCCGCAGTGAGCCGACACCGTTGAGTTCTTTTTGGGGGTATCCGTCGACGCACAGGCTCTGAGGGACCTAGCGGGACCTTCCGAGAGGGATCGAAGGAGGGGGGGGATTACTATGCAGTCCACTGTTTGGCCGCCGATGAGGGAAAGCCAGGCTGCAAGTCAGCGGCGGTAACTCATCGCAGCTTCGCGGACTGACCTTTCGCCCGCTGACGGGTCCAAACCGGACGAGAGACCCCACGCCGTTGCGGCATGAGCAGCGCCTGGCGCCGGAGGGGTACGGGATCCCTTGTGCTGTTGGACCTTGCTGTTGGACCTTGGTGCAACGGGTACCGGAACGGAATGAGACCGTTAAGGAGAGGATTCCAAGTTGTCGACGAGTCAAATTCCGCACTTTCACATTTGTGGCCTGTTGCCCATAATTCGTTTCTGGGTAAAATGGCCGCCCACGAGTGAATTTGACCTGCCACGTTCCCCGCGGAAGGGTCGACCAATACCCGTAATTTTTGTGCCCGACGTTAGCCCGGAAAAGGCAAGTGTCGGTGATTAGCCTTCCCAGCCCCCGCATTCCGTCCGAGATGCCGATCTGAGGGAAGCCAATCGCCTCGTGGGCAGGTGCAAGCGCACGACGTTGGGGGCGAGCGAAAAGCCGCGGAGTCGAAGGGAGCGCAGAAAAGTGGATTCCTGCAGGGCACATCCCTCGCATTTCACGTTGCGCTCAGCCGGCCGGTCCCTTCGGTTGCTGCTGTCGCTCACTGCTTCCCTTCCGCTCGGGACGGCCAGAGGCAAGCGAGACTGGGGCCGAAGAGCACTGACGCGATCGCCCGAGAATCACGCACCTTCCATCTTCCAATCCAGCGTTCTATTCCTGAGCCCTTGGTATCTTCCAACACGCTCCTTCCTCACGAAGCCGTACGCCGGTTCGCACCCTCCTTTCTGCATGTTCGTGGGGACGGCCGTTCCTTCGCCCCGCACAGCTCGGTACGTCGGGACGTTATAGGTAAGCTGCCTTGGCTCCCGTCTTCCAGGGAGGTAGGTACCTGCAAGTCGCGGATTTTGGACATTGCGCCCACTCACAGACTTCGAGGCCTCCTTCCTGGCCTGCCCGTTTCTCTCGCGGGATCGAACACCAAAAATCAACGACTAACCCTTTTCCCCAGGGCTCGCTCGTGCCCGCCAGCCCGCGCTCGTTGTAGGCTTCTGTTGGACCACCGAGAGCCTCCATCTTGGAGGTCCGGCTTGCGCGCGTGCGCGCGTGGACGGACGGATTATGGACGTGGATATGGCGACCGACTCTGCGCAACCCGCGCCCGCGCCATCAGCACCACCAGCACCGACGGCTCCAACTGGTACGGTTCCAACGGTGCCTTCTACAGCCGCCTCGGCTGGGAGCCCTGGAACTCTCAAGCTCGGCGAGCCTCGGCGGCGCAACCGGCCAGCGCTCTCGTGTATCCAGTGCAGAACGCGCAAAATTCGCTGCGATCGCAACGAACCATGTGCAAGCTGCATGAAGTCCAAGATCGTCAATTGCACCTATGAAGAGGCGCGCCGGCCTAAGCCGCGGCTCTGGCGGCTCTCGCCGGCCCCGGCAGGCGGCCCCCACCCCGAACTGTCCCCGACATCTGCCGACGAGCGTTCGGGCGCTAGGTCTACGTTTGCCTTCCGGGACTTGGCGGTACCTATGCCATCCTCGGTCCCGAATGCCTCATGCGGTAGTTCAACCACTGCACCACTCGGCAAGAGCCCCGAGTCCATCTCCGCTGCCAGCCCACGCTCCATACCACCAGCGCATCACCATGGGCCAGATTCCGGGTCTGTCACAACGGGCCCGCTCGGGAATACAGCGGCTCTCGCCGAGCGTGTGCGTCAGCTCGAACAGCAGCTGGCTGACGCATTGAAACGACCAGATCAAGGCTCGCCGTCGTCCCGCTCAGCCCATACCGCCACATCCCTGGACCATGGACTTCCATCCCGGCCCTCTCGCCCTGACTCGTTAATGAACGGGGAAAAGCTTGTACGTACCATTCCTCTAGTTCTCCGATGGCAAGGTAATACAAATGAGGGGGGTGGCCAGAGGACGAATCGATCCTGCTACCCCTCTTTGTCTGCTCTGTTGCACTTTTGTCCATGGCGCCCCAAACCTTAAGCCGTACAGTGTCTCGAGCGGGGCATTCGACGAGCTGTCTGGCTCACTGGCTGACTGACCGACAGTTCCCTCTTCTGTTCAACGTCGCGGACCGCATTGAATCCGACAAGAGCTCAGATGCCTACTTTCTGCTGCAGAAGTGCAAGGGTCTAGGCAACGCCGTCTTGACGACGAGGAGTGCGAGATCTGTTCGACCGCAGCTTGGCAACGAGATTCCTGACGAGAAGACCGCTCGTTTGTTAGTGGATGCATATTTCAGAACATTCGAAAGTGTTTACCGCATTATCCACCGACCAACGTTCTGGGAAGGTTATCGGAGGTACTGGGAGAATCCCAGCGAGGCTGACACAACTTTTGTCGTCCTGATGCAGCTTTGTATGGCTATTGGGACATGCTTTCAGGACGAGGTGGTCGGTTTACGCCGGCTGGCTACCCAATGGATACACGAAGCCCAGGTCTGGCTCGTTTCGCCCATTGAAAAGTGTCTGGTCAGCTTCGCCGGTGTCCAGGTCATGTGTATGCTGCACATCGCCAGAGAGACCTGTGGGGTTGAAAGTGACATGGTTTGGATAAGCGCTGGTTCACTATTCCGGACAGCCATGTTCCTCGGCCTTCACCGCGATCCCGATAACTTGCCCAACATGTCCGTGTACGGTGCGGAACTGCGACGGCGCGTATGGGCAACTGTCCTAGAGATTGTGCTACAGTCCAGCCTGGATTCAGGGGCACCCCCTCTCATGAATTTGACCGACTTTGACACCCGCCCACCCTCAAACTACGATGACGATCAACTCACCGAAAACGCAAAGTTCCCTTCAATCCCTCGCCCTCCAAACGCATTCACCCATAGCACGGTTCAAATCGCCCTTATGCGCTCGTTTCCGATACGGCTAGCGGTTGCCCAACACGTCAATCACTTCACCTCGCCCGGCACGTTCGAGGAGACGTTGAAATGGAACACTGAGCTGACCAACGCCTGCCGCGCTCTATCCGCCACGTTCCAACCATTCTACGACCCCGCGGGGATTCTTCCCAAACGCTTGTCACTGTTTCAACTGCGCCTCGCAGAACACATGGTACATCGTTTCTTTCTCGCGCTCAACTATCCCTGGCTTTGGTCGGCACACAACAACCCCACCTACTACTTTGCACGCAAGATGTGCGTCGAGACGTCATTGAAACTGTATCGGGCCATATCAACCGGCTCTCCAGCAGGCGACTCTGGGACCGCCAGCCAATTCGACGACTTCACACGACTTGCCACTTGCGCGTACGGCGCGTTCCGATCTGTTCCTACGCTCGCTGTCCTGACCATCTGTCTTGAGCTCTTGTGGCAAGTCCAAGAAGATAGGTCATTCAGGCAGACGATGAACATGGACCATTCGCTTGAGCGGCCAGCAGCCCCTAGCAACGACTCAGATGTCAACAACTCCGTAGGCATGGGCATTGGGAGTGGCGCCGCCCCGCGACAGGAACTACTGGAGGCTGTCAAATATTCGATTGGGTGGAACGAGCGACGCATTCGATGCGGAGAGACTAATGTCAAGGGGTATCTTCTCTTCTCTGCTCTACTCTGCCAGGCGCAAGCCCTGCAGCGCGGTGCATCGGATGTGGAAGCAGAGCGGTTAGTGCTGGCCACCGTTGGCGACGAACTGAACCGTAGTTTTCTTCTACTACAAGACGCGGCGAGTTTCGACCCGGCGTTTACGGCAAGCGGCGGGGAATCAACGCGCGAGATGAATTCCGGTTGGGGTGTCGGCTCAGGACCGGATGACATAGTAAGACAGACTTTCTTTCTGCTTCTCCAATACATTCTAACTTGCGCTAGATACGAGCACGTGGATTCAACTCCATATTCAACATTCATGATGCCGACTTCTTCCTCGGCAGTTAAGGTCAGGGGCGGGCGAGCCAATGATTATTGCAACTTTTCCGCATAACGTTATACCCACACCCATGCATCACATCCCATAAAATTTACAGATACCCCCAAACCGGACGCCTCGGGGCGCCTAGTGTAGTATTTAGAAGAGCAGGATAACTGGTGGGCTCACCAGTTGAAGGTGGCCCTCAATTTTGGAGACATATCCCTGAACCTGGTGTTCACCGTTGGAAATGCCGTGGACTATCATTGTAGACGGCTGGTGGGCGGACCAGCCACGTAGTAACGGCGCACCAGGCCTGTGACCGTAAATGCAATTCAGCAAACAAAGAGATGACATCCTAAGATGTCGAAAGTTCGATCGACTTGGTCATGTTCGACCCTCCCAATTTTCTCGAGTACCGTCCGCAGAATATCGTTGACTGGATGTCATCTGGGTCCGTATCATTCCCGATATGTCCTAGAGTACCCATGTCGGCGGCACGAGAGCTGGTTGAAAGGGCTTTTATGTTATGAAAGCCGTCGACGTCCATTCTTAAGAGTCTAATGGGCCGTCAGAGGTTCAAGTAGTTCACCCATGGATAGTTAACCCTGTGCGCGGTTACAGTGCAACCACGATTTGCATTAAGAATGTAATCATGTACAAACATACCCGACTTCTCGCGGGTTTTGGTTGTTCATTCTCGTTTTACCTCACTATATTCTAGCTGGGTGTACAGAGCGCTGGTCATAATCACAGTTTATTTTGTATGAGTAATTACAAGTAACAATAAAGTGCGTCCCGATAGGTGAAAAGACATGTTATGATGATTGATTAGCACGCTCACAGATTCCCCTTCTTCAAATCAAGTGTTAAAAATCGTCGGTTGAACCGGCGTCGTCCTCCGACCGTTATGAGAAGAAATGATACCGCCGTGCCTCCGTGAATGTATTGACTCCCAGGCATGCAACCGGGACTGTTTGCCCCTATTGCTGGCTTCCGTCTTAGAAATCGAAGTGTCTGATGCGGCTGTTTTTGATGGCCGGCGTAGACTTGAACTCTGCCCATGTTCCGGTTCTTGTTGGGGAAGTGGGATATATCGTATGGTAACCACCGTTATTATTTTTTTACTTTTGTGCTGGGGTTGTTCCTCCGGTGGCAAACCCCCTTCTGAATCCGGATCCGGGCTCGTGGGCGTGACGGTTTGAGAAAGCTGACTAGACGGCCCGCGATGCGACTCAAACGTACACCCGGGGTAATCCATACTCCTAGCTGATAATCGGCTGAGACGCTCATCAAATATTGCTAGTGCATGTGTTGGCGTGGGCGCGGGTGTGATGGATTTGGAGTTGGCCTGGTGGGGTGCCCGTGATGGGGCGGCTGGTGTTGTGGGGGATGGGATGGCGGGGTGAGCGTCGATTGCGGGTGGGAGGAGCCATTGGGTTAGTAGGAGGAGTTGTAGGAACATGGTGTATGGTGTATTGTTTTAAGAGGAGGAGGGGGTCATTCTGACCGGCGTGGAGTGAGGATGTGGAGTGAGGGGAAGTTGACGGTTGACGTTGACGTTGATGTTTGGCGGGGTAGGTGCTGAACCGAGCAGGCGGGTGATAAATACTACGCCAATTGAAGCATTTGTAGATCCGATGGGACTCTGTGACACAACAACGCGAGGCAAGGCGAGGTGATCGGCGAGGGCTGAGTTTTATTGGACACCAAGGTGGTGAAAACTCCTACAGATGTAGATAATTCCATAATCACCTTACAAGCAGCCTTGACATTTGTGAGGGGGCAGCTATTTTAAATCTATGGCAGATTTATGTAATCAGGTTGAGAAAAACAAAATAACATATGATCCCCCAAAACCGATTCACGAAGATTCACATTTCGAGCAGTAAGTGGTCAACCCAATTGCCGTTGTCAGGGCGAAGTCCGGATAATTGGACTAAACCACATATCATAGTCGGTGACAACCGTCCGGGAAATCGTTTATTAAAGTCTTTGTGCAACCCGTATCTCCTACCTTCGATCCACGGCACAACTTCGTCTAAAATCTCTCTTGGGGTTCATAACTTCCGGTTCGGAAGCCGGGGACCGGGAAATCGCATCTCTTGGCCAGCCACTCCCGAGAATGCGCCTTCTATTTTTGGGTCGTTGTCATACCCATAATTACCCTCGGGGCAACCACGGGCAAGACCTCCCGTCCATGCCCCTCCCGCTTGCCGAAAGAAAAAAAAATTCCACCGGCTGTTTCCCACCTCGATTCTGACGCCTGCGCCTTCTAGGACATGTAAGGGACGTCCGATTGTGCCGAATTCATCCCTATTTTCTCGCTTGACTTGAAAGACCTCGTCCTGATACTTTTGGGAGGCGGGACGGACACCCCATGCTCCGCGAATGCCCCTGAAAACGGCCGGAATGGACGACGCACGGAAGCCGTTGGCACCAATTCTTTCGGCATGAGCCTGAGCCAAATCCGGGCTCGGAACGGCCGCCATGGAATTTAGCCACCCAATGGCTGAGCTACCCTTCTTGGCTGACTTGCCGGTTTTGCGACGCTTTCCTCAACACCGAACGCCTGGCTGAAGTCCGATGCTACGTTGTCCCCTTTACTGTCCCACCAAGGTTAGGGGGAATGCAAACGAAAAGCATTCATCTTCTTCTGCGTCCGCTAGTTTGTTTGTCTCCCACATGCCATGTCCCACGGAATGCATCGCCGTGGCGGGGGGGCCAATAAATTTACGTTTCGGAGCCAAACGCGCCATTACCCTTAACCCGGTTTCCGGGTCGGAAGCCTAGCTCGCTAATCTGGACACCTTTTTATAACCGCGCGCCGAAGGGTTTGACTCGACGACATTGAGAAAGCGGTGTTTCTGCGTTCCGCCGTTTGCATTCGAACCCCCGCAGTATTTAGACTCTTCACGCTGAACGGAAAACAAAACCGCTCACCATCTCGGCACACATCGATCACCCCTTCAACCTCGGCGCGGCGTTGAATCTAATCGCCATGGAGATCCTGTCGATTTTACTCTTTCTCTCGGGTTTGGCACCTGTTTGTGCCTCTCCGGTCGCCCCGTTAGACCCTCAGTTGGAGGCAAGGGGATTTATCACTGGCCGGGAGCCTCTGGACATTGGAGCACCGGATGATGCTGGGTCGCCAAACCCGGATCCCGATGCGGGATGCACGACGACGCTGACGGAAACTTTGGAATGCTCGTGGGACGGGACCACCACGGAGTACCCGTCGACAACCACGCTGTTCCGATCGATCGACTGCAACGGGTGTGACAATGTGTCCGTCTCCCGGGAAATCCATTACTGCCCAAACCAAAGCATCATTGCCACGCTGTACCCGGTGAGCCCCAGCACCACCTGGAGCACTGTCTGCCAGACGTCTGCCTCAGTCGGCGTACGAAGCACAGCACACGCCCCAGCCGCAACGAGCACCGTTGTCCCAGAGCATCACGCAGCACTACCCGTCGTCCCCACGCCCACCCCAGCACCGCTGGCAAGGAAGCGCTCGCAACACTGAGGGGCACAAGGTGACACGCCCCCTTAATGGGCCCATGGCCCATCGCGTTGGAGATAAGACAGCCTGAAGGTTAGGCTCGACGAGCCTTGATTCTCTGGTTGGCAATTACCTCAGAAGGTGGTTATGGTGGCTGTCTGCTATGGTTGGCGTGGCGCTGGCGGGGAAGCGGTTCGGGGATGTTGCAGGGAGCAACGACGCTACCCGGAGAGGATCGTGAGCGGTGGGTGTGAGGGTCCAGTGCGTGGGATGAGTAATATGGAGGCTTTCAGCTGTATGATCAAGGAAGCTTGTCTGACGTGTTATAGAAGGGCTTTTTCTCTTTTCCTTTTTTTTTCTTTTCTTTCTTACCTTGAAACATCGCGCCTCTTCAGGTGCACTGGAATGAGATTGGGCAGAAGAGGGTTCTGGAGCTAGTGTCCGGAGGTAAACGCGGGTATGAGTCGAAAAACATGGGAGACACGTGAGGGAGGGTTGCCCGGCTTTTTGGGTCTTGCTCGCAAAAGTTCACTGTTGTAAATTCCCTTGCAGGAGAATACGATAGCTCGGTTTTGAATTCTGCCTTTGCTTTTTTTCCCTTCTTTTATCCTCGATCCTTGGCAACAACTTGTTGGAGGGCAGAGTGGTTGTGTGGTGTGGTGATCTCAGCCCCACTCAACATCGCTCCACCCACGAGTTGATCATGTGGGTCTGTTTTGGGCACTTCTTTCCCCTTTTGGGCCGCTCCCCCGGTGCCCACTAGCCCCACTTTGACATCAGGACGACCAATTCTTGGACTCGAATTTCGACCCGAAGAGTCCCAACTGACGACCTGACCCGCAGTGGAAGCCTTCATTCAACATTGTCGGAGACACCGCCGGCCCGATCTCCCCAAAGCAAGCGGGTGTCTGAATGCAGCCGGGAGAGGGTCTGTCTAACAAGGAGGCAATGCGATAATGGACAATAACGGTAAAACCTTCAATGGCCTCTCACGGCCCCCTCCCACCTCTCTAGCACGCGGCCCCCCCAAGAAAAAGGTACGCCGGGAGCCTCCCAGCCATCCCAAGAGCTGGAAACTACGCGATGATGCGGAGTGGGCGTCGCCGCACTCGCCTCGGTCCGGCTCAACATCATTGATGCCGTCGCCTTCTGCGCCTACGGCCCGGGGCCAGGCGGATTATTTCCGGCCAGGACATGACGTCGTTAAGGACAACGACGACGTGGACGACACACTTGAGAGTAAGCCACCGCAGCAGCTCGGCAATTACACGATTCGGCCCAATCCGGCCGCGTCCGCGGCACCATCGGGACCGGAACTCAAGATACGGGGTCGGTTGACCGTTCCCCAGCATCCGCATCATGGTTATCAGACTCATCAGAGTCATCAGGATCATGACTCCCTTCCTCGTCACCCCCAGCATAAAACGGAGGCGGACGACGATGCGCCACCGGCGTTCAAGGATCACAGGAGGATGTTCCTCAACGCCATCGAAGGGATCTATTCTCATCTGGATGACATCGAACCGGCGTTTGTGGATTTCAACCTCCACTACAAACACCCGGCCGTCCGTGCGGCTGGGCGGATTCGGGGGCAGTTGAACCGGCTGCACGAATCGTACCAATTTCTCGACAAGGAGCTCGGGGAGGCAGGCCGCGAGCTGGCACAGTTTGCGGCTCGGGATGATGACTTCCGGAGGGACCTGGAGGAGGCTGGAGCGATCAATTTCAAGCTCAAATGTGCCAAGAATGATCTTGCGGAGGAGGTTGAGAAGCTCAGGTCTGCTGCGGGGAAGCCGGATACGAAGCTGGATGAGTTGAAGCGGGAGATGGAGGATCTCCGTGGGACCCACGATAGGCTCTTGGAGTCGCATCGGAGTCTTCATGAGAAGATTGCGAAGGAAGGGGCTGAGAAGTTGTTGTTGGAGGGTGACTTGCAGAAGCGCAATGGGGACCTGGAGGAGGCGACGAAAGAGAACAGCAGGTTGCAGGCGGCGGTTGAGGAGAGGGACGAGGACATACGGGAGCTTAAAGCGAGCGGGGTCGAGCTGGAGACGCTGGCTGAGCAGAGACAGAGGCAGATTGCGGAGGCAAAGGAAGAGCACGTGAAATTACAAGATCTCATTCGCGAAAAGGAGGCCCGGATCTCTCTTCTCACGACACGACCCATCACACCGGTATCACCTTTGGCTGCTTGGAAAGGGGGGCAAGGGGGCCAGTTTCCTCTTCCGAGCGGATCGGCCTTTCCGATGCCACGATTAGAAGCAACACAAGCATCTCCTGCTGGCCGAGAGACCTCTCCGGTCCCGTACATCAAGCAAGAAGCGTCCGAGTCGGCCTCAATGCCTGCGGTAGCCCCTCCGCAGGTGACAGCAGCTCCGAGTGAGGAACCGACGGACTGGGCTCGAGGAGTGCGTTGCTTGACGAATGGGGCGGCGGTTGTATTGGGGCGAGTGTTCAATATTGGGCCTCGCAACGTTGAGGACAACATGGTGTTGACTCACTTTCTCGTCAGCCTTGGGGGCGGCTTAACGGACATTCACGTGGAGGAACCGGTCGAGTCGAGCACCTGGACGCTTGACGAACCATGGATGGTATCACGGGGGGGTTTAGCCTTGTATGATCTACGACCTACCATTGAAGGGCAACTTGCACAGCTGTGCCTGCTTTTCCCCTTTCCATCGGCCACCAGCGCTGTGCGCTCTGATCTCAACACAGACGCCGACATTTTTTACCGTATTTGCTCGCTTTTCAGACGCCTTAGTTCTCCGCATCCAGACACACCACCGTCACTAAGGGCAAAGCGGGCGTTTGTCGAGGCACTATTTATATATGCCCGCGCCCTGGAGTTGCATATTTCGACTGCGACCGGGCTAGCAGCACCCACATTTACGCCGACACCTCGTACCGTTTTGTTGGGCATAATGCTGTGTGAGTTGTGCCGGAAATGGACTGACTCCTTTCCCCAAGCCTTTCCGCCTGGACATGCCGGCCCTGGTCTTGACGTGGCTGCCCTCCTGGGACAGGGGCTGTTGGGACAGAGCGAAGTTGGCGTGGATGGCCTCAGGCGTCAGAGTATTGCCAGTCAGCCTTTTGGGCTGCCGCAACAACAGCAAATCGGCTGTCTCGGGAGTCTGGCTGCCCTGTTGCGTCTGCCCCTGGTCGGTGATATCCGGGATACCAAGACACTGCGTGAGAGACTTGCCGAGGAATGTGGTGACGGGTTCTGCCTGTTCTCCGCTGGCACCGTTCGCGGCACTCCTATGCCCACCTCCTTGTCTCCCGAGAGTGTATCAAACGCACGAGATTCTCCATCCCCCAAGGAGCTCGGCCTCCTCCACTGCGGCAGCAGCCAAAACAGCAACGACCCCTTTTTCCTCATGATCGACTTTGACGCGCGCACACTCCGCGCGGTGGACTGTCGGCTAGCAGGAATGCGGCCGAACCGGGCAGAACCGAGGAAACTCGATTTGATCGTGGCCAGGGAGGGTTCTGCGGGCGGTACTGGCAGCGGACAGCAGGAAGAGGAGGAGTTGTTCCGGCTGGAGGCGGCGCCTAAGCATGTTGCGGCGTTTTGGGTGCGGTATGCTATGGGGGATGATTGATGGGAGGGGTTGGGTTGGCGTTGGCGTTGTGTGTTGGTACTTCTTCTCGCTTATCGACTGGCTTGGCAGTGCTTGTTGCTTGTACACTGCTTGTTGGGTGGTTATTGCTTATCCGTGGAGAACGCGGCCTTTTAGTTGGCGTCTGGGGCATGGTGACGATATATGGGAGATTGCTGGCCACAGTCTGGGGAGTTATATATCGGGTGTTTGTGGGTGGTTGGTGTTGAGCGAGCATTCTGTAATACACATGGCCTTTTGGCGATGTAATTACGCCGTGTCCTTCGCGCTTTGTCTGGGTTCCACGTTGCTTGTTGTCGTGGGTGAAGTAGTAAGTGGGAGGAGCTACCAGTGGAGTTGTGTCTGTCACACCTGCCTTAGCGATGCTTTCTTATCGGTATTGGGGGCGTTCCCCTGTTGATCGTTCCTCCTTTCTAACCCCCCAACCCCCACCCCCCTTTTCCTTTGCCCGAAGCGTTGATGTTTACCTCTCTCCAGCCGAGTCATCACTCAAGGCGAGCTGACTCGCCTACCTAGATTGGATACTACTGCGCTTCTTTAACCTGACACCCTTTGTTTTTGTATTCTATATTTCCTCGACACTCAACAGTAGATAGACCGACGGACAGACGCCTAATAATTGGGAGGGTGATATTCTTGAGTGGTTTGCGAACAAGATGGGGGCGAATAATACTACTGCGACGAAGGGTAGTGGGGGGGATTTTGGGGGGAGGATTGAGAAGTTGGAGGTGGTTGGAGATGAGGCCGCTAGCAGGGAGGGGGGTCCTAACAAGGGCGATGATGGTGTAGGGGCTGGTAATGGGGGGGTTGATCATGGGGAGGTTGGCGGGGGAGTTGACAATAGGGAGGCCGAAAACACGGAGGCCGAGAACACGGGGTCTGACAACGCGAGACTGGGAAATGAGGAGGGTCACAGTAATGACGTTGAGAAGAAGGAGATGGACAGCAAGGTTGACAACGAAGTCGAGACCAGCAAGACGAACATCAACGGGGATAGCGTCGATAAGGTACACATTGGTAACGAGGCCGGCATCAACACCGAGGTCGAGACCAACACCGAGATCGAGACCAACAAAGCGAACATCAACCTCGTCGATGAGACACAGAAGGGAGACCACGCCGAGAAAAGAGCGGACACGGACCAAGTCGACGCGGAAACGGAGGCAAACATAGAGGAAGACATCAGTAACGCAGCAGCAGCTTTGCTCGGTTTGTACGCATCTGAGCCCTGGGCAGAGGCGGTCTCCAGGCCGGTAAAGGCTGACACGGGCCAGGCTGCGGCTGTCAGCAAGGCGGACGTCAAAATGAGCATGGCAACACCCCGTACCATGCCAGATAATGATGTGGCCACATTACTGACAGAGCAGACGCTCAACTGGGACGCATTTGGAGCGGCCGAAGCCACGGCAGCCAACCTCAACGAACAACTACGTATAAGCAACAAACACGAGTCTGGATCGGGGGTTGAGCCGGACAGGCCCATGATGCCGTTGAGCAACCCGAACTGGCCAGAGATTATGGAAAAGGTCGACGGGGTCACGGTGTTCAAGCAGCCGCCGCGCATGCCGGTGTACGACGACCCCGGGCTCTGCAAGTGGCTTCTCAGCAACATCGCGGCCTCGGTACCTTTGGAGATCAAGCGGTCGTCTCTCATCACACCCAACACCTGCATACACCAAGAGAGCGACGGACCGACCAGGAGCGAACACTACCACACCAAGGAGTTCCGGCACACGGGGGACGACTGCACCGTGGGCACGCACTCGGGCCTGTTTCTATCGGACGCAGATGAGGGGTTTGGGGGGCTGCGGGCCGGGGAGGAGATCTACAACGCGGCGCCGGTGATGTGGGCGGTTTCGTCCCATACGCACCCGTCCATCTGCAACTTTTGCTTTGGGGACCAAGACGAGGAGCGGGCGATGGGTGGGCAACCACGGACGCGGGGACCGGTCTTGCTCTGCGCGAAGTGCAAGGTCGCGCGGTTCTGTTCCCGGGTATCTCTCTTTCTCTCCTCAACTCTCTCCTCCACTCTCTCCTCCACTCTCGCCTTTCTATCTGTCGAGATACTAACGCGAAATAGGACTGCCAAAAAAAAGCCTGGGAGGACTGGCACAAGGACGAGTGTGGTCTGCTCCGGGAGCGACCCGGGATGGGTCTCGTGGAGCTTCTGGTGTGCCGACTGCTCTTTTGGCAGCAACGCAAAATCCTGCGTGTGGGCGAGTCGACGTGTCTGCAACGCATGGGGGGTAACTTTGAGAAGTGGCTGGCGGAGCCCGGCGCGGCCAAGCGACTGGAGACCTCGGCGTTGGAGATCTGGAAGGCCGTGGGGGAAGAGGGGCCGCTTTCGCTGCCGTGGCGGCTTCTACGGGTTGTATGTTTCTCTTTTTCTTTCTTTTTCATTTTTCACGTCTTTGTGCGTTTTTGAGACCGCTGCTTTACCCGTGGCTGACGTTTCAGTTACCTTGCAACATTCTCCCACTGAGGAAGCCGAGCAAGAACACGATGGTGGGGCTCGTGCTGGAGCTGGTCGGCGCGCAGATCAACCACTCGTGCGATCCCAACGCCTTCATGATCTTCGAGGGCGGCGAGATTCGGGTCCGGTCGCTGCGGGACATCGCGCCGGGCGAGGAGATCACGGTGTGCTATAGCGACCCTATAGGCAACACCATGGAGAGGCTGAATCGGCTGCTGTTGCATCATGCCTTTTCCTGTCGTTGTATGTTCCTTTCCCCCACACCTACAGAAACCAAGGCTGTGATGTACTGAGATAAGTTCAGGCTCCCGCTGCTCGCTCGACCTGCACGCCCAACGGACAATCTGCAACACCCCCGACTGTGTGAGCCGCTTCTACCAAGCCCAGGTCGACATGTTCGTCGCCCTGCGGCAATACCTGAAAGCGTCCCACTACTCGGCCGACAGCGGCTGGGTTCGGCACGATGTGGCTGCCCTTGAGGTCCGCATCGATGTCATCCGCGCGTCCGTCGCCGTCTCCCCCGCCGGCCACCCCTGGCCCGACGATCTGGAGCCGATGCCGGAGATGCACCAGAAACTGGCCATGTTGTACCTTGAACAAGGCAATCCCCTATCCGCCCTGCGCTGCGCCCTGAGGGGCTGTATGTTGCGCTTCCATCGCCACGGCCCCGAGTGGATCAACTCTATGCGCGATGTCATGATGCCCGTGTTGTTAACAGTCGGAGCGATGCCGGCTGATGCACCGGCATTCCAGCGCGATCCCAGCTGGGACCTGACGCCGACGGACATCCAGACAGTCACGTACGGGTATATACATGAGGTAGCCCGGGAAGCGCAGACCGCGTTTGGAATGGACTCGGAGTATGCGGGGAGCTTGGTGCGGCTCATGATCGCCCTGTTCTCGGTGGAACGAAATCGCATTCGCATTCAGGGAGGTGATCCCAAGGGGTTACAGAATGACACAAAACAGAAGGGGAAACGGAAGAGGCGCAGGGCGGGGGATAATGCGGCGAAGGATTCATTATCATCATCGTCGGCGGGACGTACTGGGTTGAGGATTTGGACGAGGAGTTTTGTGGAGGAGGAGTATGAGCCAGCTCAGAGGAAGCTGTTAGCCTGGGCTGGGGTGCCGCTGGATTATGGGGTGAAAATGACGGTTTCTGGGAATGAGCAGGGAGAGGAGACGGGTTTGGCGGAAACTTTGGGTTAAGACGTTTGGGGGAGGGGTGTAGAAGGTAGAGGTTTAGAGGAGGATCACCGGCGGGGGCATCCTGAGAGAAAGTTAAAGGGGGGGTCAAAGGGGAAGGGTTACAAGGAACAGGGCGAGGACGTGCTGGATGGCGAGGGGGTTTACTAGAGGCAGGGTTAAGGGTTACTTTTAGGGTATGGTGTCTGGAACTGTGGGCGTGAGCGTGAGGGCGCTCATTGAAGGTTTATTTGGTACGCCTCGAGGGACAGACGGGTGTCACAGTCAGGGGTGAATTCAGGCATAGAAAGTAGAAATAATTGGGCAACAAGCGTTTGTTTTATATTTCTTCTGCTTGGTTCGAACTGTCAATAAGAGTCACAGTTCGTAAAATTGCTTTGAGCGCTCCCCCCTTTTGTCCTCGATAGTCTCGAAATGCGATTTCGACGACACTTATTGTGGCATTAGTTGCACTTCATGCGTTCGGACACTTAACCACTGACGGCCCGAAACGGCCCGAAACGGCCCGAAACGGTCTATATCAGACCGATCTGGTGAGCAATCATTTGGTATGAATACAGAGGGTAACATATCATTTTTTGACTATCCTGCAGGTGATCGGCCCAGGTTGTGTTTGGGCGTTTCCATCCACTTTTTAGGGGCATACTCAGCCGTCAGACTAGCTAGGAATCCATAAGCTACCGTATTGTAGTCTTCTTGACTTGGTCGGGGGCTGTAGGGACATATTGAGTCGGAAAGGTTTTGGTGAAGCTAAAGAAGTCACAACGAGTAATTACACGAGCTGTTACCTCGATGGAACGATCTGGCCCGTGATCTGGTTGTTTACGAGGAGCCCCCAGGACGAGTGCTTCTATAGTCAGGATCTAAGTCTCAAGGTAAAGACTCTATAACCTCCCTGCGCTTTACAATTTGTGTCTCAGCCAGTTCACCAACCCGTGATCACTCTTGGGGCATGTCGTGTCACCTGACAACTCGGTCGCCTCTTCCCATCACAGCTTGTATGCATGCATATAAATTACCCCGCCCATTACCCCACTACAAAAAAGAATGAAGAGGGAATTCCATCACAACGGTAGCTACAAACCAAGACTCGGATTAAAGAGCGCCAGAAAGTCACCAACTACAGCAATAATGCCAGTCAGCGTAGAAACGCAAGACCACGCTTTGAAGTGGGCTTCTCAATGGGTAATTCCCCTTCCCTGAATTCTAGGTATTTATCTATTTGGGTTGTGTTCTGTGACTTACCAAAGGCAGGCTGGAGTGCCAACGGATGATCTCGAAGTCAGCACTGAACTGGACGGGGAGATAGTGGCTATATATATAGAGGCGGACGAAGACGGTCTGTTGGATGGGGCCGAAAAAAGCTGGCTGTTTCTGCCTCATGAGGAACAAGAGCCAACGGCAGGTGGACCGGATGCTGTGATCAAGTATATTCGGAGGAAGACTTCAGAGGAAGCCGAGTGAATCCAAGGTCGTGTGAGGGATCACCAGGGGCTGGGGTCTACTTATCTACTGTGGGAGAGCAACACGAGGGTCGGACGTCTTGATAGCGTGTTTTTCGGGTACGGAAACAATCACTTGATAGTTGATACACTACATAATCCCCGGCGCCCACTTTGCCGCCGGACAATCCTTATCCACCACCCTCTCTACAACCTCTTCCTCCTCACCATCTCCCTTCTCATCGCCCTCACCATCACTATCCTCACCCTCACTATCCTCATCACCCTCCTGCGCCATAATCAACGCCCACAGCACATCCCCCGACTCGCTGCCACCACGAAAATCCGCCTCGTGCACGACAAACCCGTCCTCCTCGAGGGCCCGACGTGCGGTGGTCTCAGTCATGAGCATGGCCCAAATCTCGAGAAAAGCCAGGGGAATTTCGACCTGGTGCGTGATGAGGTAGTGTCGGGCTGTGATGCCGGAGCACCGGGGGGAGAATGTGTATTTGGGTTTTTCGTCTGTGGGCTTCTCCTCCGTGGGCGTGTCTGGGCCAGAATCAGAAACAGGCACAGGAACCAACAACCGTTCCCTCAACAGCCGATCACCAACCAACAGCCACGGCAAATTCTCCAACAACCACGCCCGCACGCGCCGCACAAAGAACAGCGCGGCATGGTGCAGCATGTCTTTGTCCTTCCCCTTGTCTGTGGTAGACGTGGGACCTGAGGACGGGGACACCCTATCCGCCCAGTCAAGCAACCCCTCCATGCAATCGACAGCGTCGTTCACCACCACCCACTCCAGTAACACATGCAGGCCGTCACCCGATGGGTCCCAGAGGATTTTCCCATTCGGCGACTCAATCGTCTTTCTCAAACTTGGCCAGGCCCAGCGCCTCTTCGAGACCCGCGCGGTCGTCCGACTGGATCAACTCCCGCAGCGGGTTCTCGCTATCGAGAAACGACAGGATGCGAATCTTGTGACGCCGTTCGTGGTCGACAGGTGGCCGGGAGGTGAGCTTCGTGGGGGTTGTGGGAGACATGTTGAAAACTGACTAAGGTGAGGCTGTATCAGGGAGACGTGTATGTCGTATGACAGTATGACAAGCAAAGCGAAGCAAGCGAAAGGGATAATTTGACGGAGAGGCGATCAGATTTAACACAAGTAGGACCATTACCCAATTGATGAAAACAGCATCCATTATTGCAAATTATCTATTTGCCGAGAAACACCCAGTGGAACCTTTGTCACCAACAAAGCATTGAAGCAAACACACCCGCATTGTCCACCGGAATCGTCAACTCAGATAGCACAAACACAACAGACAGCAAACACGACCAGTCCCGAGAAAAGACTTTACTGCCCCCGGACGAGAGCAGCACCCAGCGCGGCCGGCTGCTCCAGGATGACCGACGGCCCGGCCACCACCGACTGCTTGGTCGGCGCCCCAGGCTCATTGGCCACCAGCGCAACCATCACGCCCCGCCCCTCAAACGCCTTCGGGATCGTGACCGAGATCGGCTGCTCCGGAAACTTGCTGGTGTCGAGCGGGACACTGATGTTGCGCATCCCGTGGAAGAACACGGCGTAGTACTTCTCATCAGGGTCAAACTCTGGCTGGTTGTCCTTGTCGGTAAAGGCCAGCTTGATCGTGGAACCCGGCGTGAGGCTCTTGGTATCCGGGGCCGCCGACAGCGCCGGGAGCAGCTGTCGAGGGTACGGGTACTCCGGGTTCTCGGGAGGGCAGCTGCCCGGGACGACGAGATTGTGTGTGCTGTAGAGGATCTGGTTGGCGTAGGGGAACGTCGTCTCTGTGGGGCCGCCGAACGGGCTCTCCTTCCAGAGCTGTGTCAGTGCCCAAACTTCGTGTCGAGCTTCAGTCTGAGACACGGCCGCGATGGCCCCATGGCTCCAGTCCAGCTTGGCGTCCTGAACGAGCCCCGTGAGGAAGGCCATGCTGGAGATCTCGAGGACGGTCATGAAAGCGAGGTACGAGAGCGGATCGGTTAGCGGGAAGTTGTATCGGCAGCGGCCCGGCTTGAGCGAAGTTGGAGAGATGGCGTTTTGGAAGATGCGCAGGTGGCCGGCTTCGTTGTTGCGGATCTCCTTGAGGCGTTGGCGTGTGTCTTTGGGCATGCCCGCCTTGACAAAGTCCTCGTCCGAGAACCGCTCGATGCCTTGCTGGTAGAACTCAAAGATAATCCACTCCGCTGCGAGCAGGTTTTGCCACACCACGTCGTCTTCTCCCGGCGGGCCATCCTCCGTCGGGAAGATCGGGTCCGTGACGTTGCCCGGAAACGGCCGATCGTCGCCCCAGTAGCTGCTGTAGAGGTCTGACTCGCCTGGGATCGGGCCGTAGTTGGGGTCCGCCAGCCGCTGCGCTTCGCCCGAGTAGTGCCGCGGGACGCCCAGGGACGTTGTGTCTTCGGCAGCCGCGGCATCGGTGAATCGGGGGAGGCCGAACCACCGCCCCTGCGACAGGGCAGAAAGTAGAATCGCTTGGTAAGAGAACTTCATGATTCAGTAGGTGGGCGGATAACACTGATGAATGGTCGATGGTGTGGGAGAATAAAGCAGGACGACGACGGAATCGGGGCTTTAACTCAGGTCGACTTCGGGGTGTGCTCCCAACCCTAATTTGGAAGGAACGGATGAAGTCCGAGGTCTAGAACACGTATCTTGACTGCCAAAGAAGGGAATGCGAGGGCTACTGCCAGAAGCGGTGCATCTTGTTGCCAAAGTGAACCTGAAACCCACCATCTTGCCGAACGTCAATGGGGTATGGCTCCATATCAATCTGCGTTGTACTGCGAATTAGATGACAGAAGGAAACGGAAGAAAGGCCTCACAACAATGTATAAACATTGAATGCACGCCAAAATCTGACTCTGAAGTACTGCCTGACGCTCTGACAATGCCCAACTTTGGGAAGTCGCCGTGGGCCCGAGTTCGAGCCCCCCGCATCGTCAACTCTGGCAAGTGCAACCAACACATGGTCTGACACTGTTCTTCCCAAGTCCATGTGTTGAGCTGTGGACTGTTCCTTCCTCTCTCAATTACAACCCACACCCCGCAATCTATCACGAATCAACCGTTTTCGGCCGAGGTGTCAACAATCATGTTCGAAACCGACTTAGTGCCTCATGCATCTGAAATGAAACGCTGAGATCGCCGCTCTGTTCCGCTCCCACTCCTCAAATATCTTATGGAATCGCATTCGACATGTTCTTCGTCATCATCGCGGCACTCGTGCTGCCCATCTTCCTCATTTACCGCCACTTTTCTCCCCGAGACGACAAGAAACAGCGCTATGCCGAAGAAGCCAGACGACGGGGCTGTGCCCCAGCGCCGGTCATGCGCAAGAAGGGCTTCCTCGGCTTCGGACATCTGCTGGACGGTCTCAAGGCCAGCCGGCAGGAGAGAGGACCACAGCATGTAATCGAGGCCATCGACGGCGAGATGGGCCCCGACGTCCACACCGTGATTGTCCCCATCTCCGACTACGAACTCATCGTGTCCCGCGACCCCGCCAACATCCAAGCCGTGCTCGCCACAAACGCCGCCGACTAGGACGTCAGCGAGCACCGCACGGCCAGCTGGAAGCCCATGTTCGGCCTCGGCATCTTCACATCCCGCGGCGAGCAGTGGAAGCAGTCACGCGCCCTCGTCAGGCCGCAGTTTGCCACCGACCAGATCAACGACCTCGAGCTGTACGAGCGCCATGTTCAGCAGCTGTTTGCCGCCATCGACAAGCACCAAAACCGGGAGCACAATGAGGGCTTCACACACCCGTTCGACCTGCAACCCCTGTTCTACAACATGGCGCTCGACGTCATGACCGAAATGCTTTACGGCCACTCGGTGCACTCCCAGGACCCTTCGGAGCGCGTCGAGCTGCCGTCTCTCCCCGGATACGACCCGCCCGACCGTGAACGCATTGGATACCACATGGATGGGGGTAAGGCTTGGATCGAGATCCGCGGCGCGTTTTGGAAATATCGCTGGCTCCTGCCGCCTTGGTGGTTCAACGAACACTGTGCTGCCATTCACAAGTATGCCGAGTGGTTCGTGCAATTGCGGTTGCAACAGGGAGAGAAGTACATGGACGGACTGCGACACCAGAGCGGCCGGCCCAACAGCGACCGCTTCGTTCTGCTGAACGAGCTCGCCCACGTGACGCAGGACCCAGTAGAACTCCGCAGCCAGACCCTCAACGTTCTTACCGCGGGCCGGGATACCACGGCGGCCCTGCTGGGATGGATTTTCTACTTTTTGTCGCGCCATCGTGACGTCTGGGTGAGATTGCGCTGCGAGATCATTCTCATCTATGGCCCGTACCAGGAAGATGACCCGGGCGTCACCTTTCGGCAACTTCGTGACGGCCTACATTACCTGACAGCGGTGATCAACGAGACTCTCCGTATGGCGCCCGTGGTGCCCCTCAACGATCGTATCTCGCTGCGCGACACCGTGCTGCCCCGCGGTGGAGGGCCAAATCGAGATAAGCCTGTGTTTGTGCCGGAGGGGACCCAGATCTTGATTCCAACGTATGCCCTGGGGCAGCGGCCAGACATCTGGGGCCCGGATGCCGATCAATACAGGCCGGAGAGGTGGCTGGAGAATGGCGGGCGCAAGTTTGGGTTTGAGTATGTGCCGTTTGGTGGCGGAGCCCGGCAGTGTCTCGGACGTAAGTAAAAATGCCCTTTCTAAGAGTTTAAATGGCGGGTGTTAACAACCGGTGCAGAACAACTGGCGCGCATCAAAGCATCGTACGTGGTCATCCGCATGCTGCAGCGGTATGATGCCATCTTGAGCGCAGAGTACCCGCCGGACGCCCCGATACGGTTCCACCACACGATTGAGAACCGGAGTGGTAGTGGCGTGCAAGTGAGGGTGCACGATTCTACCTGGGATGATAGTTCTTGAGGTTTGAAAGCAAGGAAATAGCGGAGAAGGAGTAAGGTCAGCGATGGGGTGGTTTGCTTTGAACATAGCGGATATTGGTTGCAGACAGAAAAGAAGTACCATCAACCCCAAGTTCCCATTAGCGCGGGGATACTGTGTCAATCTTATGTTGACAGCTCCATGTGCAACTGCAGGTCCTGACCATGGGCCATGTCATGTCGGATGCAGAGTTCTACGGTGTTCCCTCTGAATCACAGGCCATCCCCTGTCAGGCTCCCAGTCTATTGAATTCTTGGGCGGAGCCCAATCTAACGAGAAATTTGAGCCAGCTTATACAACTTGCTTAGTTGGCTCTGAAATAACTAGTTAATCTGGAGATACCGGACCTGGAAGAGAACATGGAAGTTAATCGAGGCTTGTCCAGCGTGTGTCGCTCCACAGCAGTTCCACGAACTCAGCCTGGTTGCTTGTCTCCACGCGGCACTTCTAAACGAACACTTATATCAGAGTCAATTCATCGGTTGTTTCGTAGTGTGATGTTATTCCTCCTCACCATGTCCTCATGTTCCTCGCTGGAAATACAAGGAAAAAGTGCAGCATCGTCCGATGTGGCAGCTGGCACGCCAGAAACAAAGTCCCACGCCAGACGGGTGGCATATATGTACAACTGCTACAGTACTCGCAATGGTGCTGCCCCGTATTTCATCTGGGCTAGGAGGTGGGCGGGTAGGCATCCATGGCTTCAGTGAGAGAAATCTGGATCAACAACAAGCAAGGCATTGGTGGCAAAGAATTGTAGATTCAGATGCCCTCTCTCACCGAAGCTGGTTGAAGAAGAACAGACAAACTATTGTATCAATTATCCACCAGAGACCCCCCGGCCGTACGAGGAAAGGTAAGTTGCCACGTGACAGAATTCCTCCATTCCAACGGTACCCATGCCCATTCTCCCCGTGAAGAGTGCGCGAATGTCCACTTGCTCCTTTACGCGGGAAACCATCCCCCCCGGGGGCCCCCGTTCGTGAGTCTGGATAATTAGACGTTAGCGGGCTGGTTCGTGTATTCGTGGACTGTGGTGGTTAATTTACTTTGATCTCCTCGGGGGACTGCGATTTCCAACTGTTGTAGTTGTTGTTGTCGAATTTGAACCGGGCATGTGAGACGGCCCAGTTGGGCTTCTCGGATTCATGGCCGTTGATTATGTGGTCTGAGATCGGCAGTTTCTCGGTCTTGTTCATGAAGCGTAGCATCGACACTCTTTGAAGGTCCGAGCCTCCTTCCACATCGGTCCCATGTCGACCTCCCATTTCGGGTGATCCTTGATCATGTTGCGTTCGATCACCCGTCTGGGATCGGGAGACTGCCCGGTGTTGCCGTTAGTAATTGAATATGGCTGTGAAAAGCTCTGTTGAAAGGGGGGTTGATGTCATCAATCTCGTACATATTTAAGTCTGGTAAACACCGTAAGCATGTCTGAGCCCCAAGAGGCGTGTGGAAGGCTCTGTGAGATGCGGCGGGTGGGTGGGAAGCTCTGTGAAATGCAAAGAGGTGGATGTGTTGAAATCTCTGGGAGACACGGTGGGTGAGGCCACCGTTAAAGACTTGGTGACTCGGTGGGTGTGTAGAAGACTCGGAAGGTGCGTACAGCCAGAAACAGGAGGGACGTTTGTCGACCGCCGCGCCAAATAGAGAAGGAACACTGGCGACAACCCACATATTCAAGTCACAAACATCATACCGAGAACCTCATCAGGAAGCTATGATCCAATCAGGCTGCCGAGTCGCAAATGAAAGTGCCGATTTTTGTTGATTCTTGCCGAGTCTGGGGACGCCCCGTTGAGGGACAATTACCTAATATTTATTTGGGCTGGGTCTGATAAATAAGACCGGGTGGGGCCGGCCGGATCCGTCCGAACTCCGCTCCGGGCCCGGGCCCGGGCCCGGGAGTGGAGCCCAGACCTGCACAAGCCCCTATGTGCACACAAAGGACGGAGGGACATCAGGATATAAGAAACCCTCCCTAAGGGGCTGCCTTATGTATTTCTCTTCTCTTCACGCTTTCTCAACAAGATAATAAAACGGCTATCTACATTCCGCCATAGGGCCAGTTCCTCACATTTACTCTTGTTATCCTAAGTGTTCATGATAAACAGCTTGCTGCCTTAGAGCTGTTAGCAGTTAATTCATCGAGTGTCTGGGGATACTGGGATAATTTGTCAGGTTCTAGAAGTTAATGCTGGGTATCATCTCCCTGGTCTTGAATCTAGTTAGTCTGTAGAATTCCAGATTTACCGAGCGAACAGGAGGAAAGCAGGTAAACAGCCACTGGCAAATGGTAAACCGTAAAGGGAACGTTGGGGATGTTATCCGGGCCGTTACCATTCTAGGAACAGCCTAAAAGCTCGTTGCGCCGTATTAACATGAAAACCGACACTGGAGTAGATGTCGACCTTATCGTCAAGGAACTTGATCCAGAACTTGGAGGACATGAAGGACACGTCGGCGGTGGCGTTCGATTCGCGCGTCCTCTCGTCGGCACCACCGTGGTCTTGATGGGTAGCCTTGACTTCGGTGTTGACCTCGGGGTGGTGATGTTCGTTATGATGTTTCCTTTCCTGACGAAGTTCTTGGAGTCAGGTGGGGATCAAGGAGCTCGTTTGGGCATCAAGCCTTTGGGCAGGCTCTGTCAATGTCGATCGGGCGGGTGTCGCGAATCGCCGATGTCAGGTGGACAGGGGTGCTTAAGAGCCGCAAGTGGGGCCGTGGTGGCCTCCACTCGCTGTGGCCAAAAAAAGCGGCACACTAAAACAGATAGCTCAAGTCCAATCCATTAACATTCGATAAACTCTTGATAAATTTTGATCGATTTACTCTTTTTCGTTTTTTTTCACTTACTGGATTTATTCATTTTTTGTCTTCTTTCATTTTCTTTGGTTTATTCTTTTTGGTTTTTTCACTTTTGTAGCAAAATAAGTTCTCCATGGACTTGGTCTGCCGCTTTTTTGGCCATAGCGAGCTACACTACCGCCTTGACCGCGAATCGGAACGAGGCTTGGGCGTGGAGGGCCGTGACGAGCCGTGCGGGATGGACGCCCTCTGTGCACAAGCGTGGACGACGCATGCCACCTGTTGCAGATCCCTTCCAACCTTGACGGTTGACACTTAAGTGGCAAGAGTGGACGACCCAAAGGACGAGGATGGGGTCGAAGTAGATGTGGGCACGAAATACTGGCTTTGAGGTTGTCACCCAGCCCTGTCGAAAAGTTGCTAATGTTCTTGACCCTCTGGATGTGATCGTCCGGCATTTGGGTGAGCATGATGTCGCCCTACAGGCCAACCCCCGGTCAGGGATTTGGCCGAGGGATCCTGGAAACGTCCACTTCTCCTCGAGGCTCGGAGATCTCGGCGAGCTTGACATGCACTCATGCAGCCGCATTGCAGCGCGTTATTCCTTTTTTTCCTTTGAGAGAGGCATTCACAGCTGCAGCGGCTACCGGTCGGCTCAGCCATCTCGTCAAGTTGAGAATGGATTTGCTCGCGGGGGTCGGAAGCTCCCCACAATCGGGCATCGAGCGACACATCGGGCTGGCGATAGATAAAGAAGTTTGCAAGCTCTTGCTCCAATAGTTAACATCCAGGAAAGGTGTCGAGCCAATGATCATGTGCGCTTCGAGATACCCAACTTGGGTGGGGGGGCTGTAGCCCATCATGTCTTCGCCTACAGGTTACAGTATCTACCGTATATGGTGCCAACAAGTCGCAATCAGCTGCGCAGTGTGTTTACACTTCAAGCGTTTGCACTTCAAATACCTTCCCCCAGCGGTCGCTACGGACCTTTGCTTCCCACCCTACCTTGATAATACCTCAAGAAGCCTTGATTTACCATCCAAAGCCGACTTCATTCAGAATGGCGCCCAGACTTGCGTTCCTCCTCCTTTTTTCCTGCCTTACTACCGTCGGCCGGCCATTACCACTAGAACTCGGCAACCCAGAGCCCGTCTACGCATACGTCCCCAATCCTGCGGGACGTGGCACTATCGGCCTTGTTTATACGTGTCTCCTAACACTGGCTCTTTGCCTCTGGACAGCTATGCACCCTGACGTTGCGTTTTGTAGAGGTTCCTGGATATACGGACCGACTTACAAGGTGACTTGGATGGTATGCGCCATCATCTTGCCCGAATTCGTCGTGTGCTCCGCGGCATCCCAATTCCTCCAAGCGAGGGCTCTGCACAAGGAGTGGGAGGCGTACTGGGGGAAACGACGTGATCCCAAACGGCAGAGGTGGTTGGGGCTCGAGGGTGCGTTTCTGGTCGTTATGGGTGGGTACAAAATCACCTGTCCAGTGACTCGCTCCCAGGAGACCCCAGCCATGGACAGAGGTTCTGCGCCAAATTTACAGTCCGCCGACGCCATATCCCGTGTCGGTGTTGATTGCACCTGCCCGAACGCTATGGACGGCGGACAGCCCGTTCGTCGAATCCTCAGGCCAGCGGGCCTCAGCCAGTTGCTTGCGCTGGAGGACGGCGCGTTCTTTTCGAAGCTCGTCAAGTCAGGAGTCCTTAATGAAACGCATTTCGACCGCCGTCACGTCTCCGACAAGGGCAAGGCCAACTATGCCGCCAAGCTGCTGACCGCGGTGCAGATCCTGTGGATCGTGGTGCAGTGGATAGCGCGAAAAGTTGACGGGCTGGCAATTACGCTGCTGGAGGTGCATGTGTTGATCGGTAGGCTCTTTGCTTGTTATTCACAGCTCGGTGCTCTCTCTAACGGCGGTTCAGGAATTCCATACACCTTGATCGCATACTTCTTCTGGTGGTCTAAGCCACTCGATGTCAGCATGCCGATTGTCCTACCAATCTGCCACCACCTGCCTCCTGACAGCGACACCTTTGGCCAGTGGCGTCTTTCGGCGTCGCAGTCTTGTGCCGAGCTCGATGGACGAGACAGCGGTCCGTCACGGCACCACCAGCCGATGCGGCCCCGCCGGGCCAGCCCATCCCTGCTGAGTGTCATTACCCGCGCCGGCTACGACTTCGCATGGAATTTCGATCAGCGAGCCGAGTTGCTGTCAGCTCTCATGGCGGTGATAAATGGGTGCCTACATGCCACCGCGTGGGTGTCTCACTTTCCCACTACAGTTGAGCGAGACCTCTGGCGGGCGGCTTGCCTTGGTGTCACTCTCGGGCCAGTGGCGATCTACGTCATAGTCCGGGAAACAGATCTAGAGTGTCGGGGACTGCAGTTCTTGCACCGTCTGGCGACTCGGGACGTCAAGAGTCTCAAGACAGCTAAGAATCTCATCAACGAGGCCGTCGTCGAGATGTGGGCACTGATCGTTCGCCCTTCAAGCGTCGAGACAAGTGCTGGAAACAGAGACAGTGTGAGAGGAATGCCCGCGGCCTGGCCAACCTGGTGTCGACATCTCGTCGCTCTTGCCTTGATGATTTGTGGTGCGATTTATACGGCATCCATGTGGTACTTCATCGTGGAAGCGTTCATTAGCCTACGCGGCATCCCGGCGTCAGCGTACAGGACGGTAGATTGGACGAACTACTGGCCTCATTTCTAGCCATGGCCAAATTGGAAGGAGACATCCTACGCGCAAGAAAATGCAACAAGGGGTTCGGGCGGGGGAGCGGGATGAAGCTGCAGTGGCTGCTGCACACCCGAAGATTGAGATGCAAGGTGGCAAGGTAACAGGCGGCAGAGCGGCAAGGCTGGGATCCAGAGCATATAGGTTGGAAGGACCCCAAAGGGCACGGTGAAACAGCACACATACGCGGAGAGCATTAGCGCCGCCCAAAACCCGCCCGTTACACTAGTACCAGTATTAACAAACAAAGAGTTAGCCGAGGCAGAATGGTCAGGACTCAAATGTGGGGAGAACATGGTTACATGTTAGGTGTAAGTGGATGGTCCGGGTTCTCTGCGGCGCCGCCGAAGTATGCTGTCGTCTCTGATGATTTTCCATGAGTAAAGGTTGCGGCCGAGAAGGTGGTGGGCGCGCTTGGTAAGCGGACCATTCAGGATAGTGGTAAGGTCTTGGCAACTTGAACCGGGACGGGGCCAATATTCTGAGATAGGTGTGCAGAAGGTGGACATATCTACGAGGTGCGGTGGGTGTGTTGAAATCTTGCGAGGTGCGGGGGATGCGTTCAAGTCTCCGTAGGTGCGTTGGGGGCTCGTTCGGAAAGCGCGTACAGCCAAGGGGGGGAAACGTTTAATTATCAGCCACCCCGCCAAAAACAGAAGGAACATTCCCAACAATGTACATACCTAGTGTATCTCAGAAACTCATCAGGAAGCTACCACTATTCAAATAACTCGAATTGAGGTGCTGCGGTGCTCGCTTGCTGTGGGTTCAGACCTTCGTGGTTCCAGGTTGTGCTTCTCCGTGTTTGTCTTTTTTTTCCTTTGGCGAGGAAAACAATGATTATTAACGGTACAGAGGAGAGAAATTAAAGGCTGCGAGTTTCCCATGACCTTCATCCCTGGGAAACGTTCCAGTAATGTACCTAGTATTAATTGTGTCACAGTTAACACAGTACAAAAGGGATCTAGGGACAGAACAGCAGTTAAAAAATGAAAAGCGAACGGTTGGCCCCCAATGCCGCCAGGGAGCCTCTGACCAAACACCACTCTGAAACGGCCGCCCAGCGGGTGTACGGCACCAGAGCAAACACCAGGGTGTGCGCTGCGGGATCCCGGCTGAGAACAAAGAACGCGACAAATGCGATTTCAAGAAACGCAAGGCACGATGGTATGTTTGTCTTGCCAAGGGCGATCGGGCCGATCGGCTTCGCGTCCGTTTCTCGTGATGTCCGTTCTTTTCGGTTTTTGTGTTTTCCTTCCGAAGTTTTATTTTTTCTTTTCGATCTTGAGCTTTTGATCCACCAGCGGCGGCATCGTCAAGTTGGCCGTGCACGATGCGATTTCTCTCGCCATTCACAACATGCCTCGTCCAGGCACTGCTCGCTAGTCAAGCCCAAGCAATCGCCATCGTGACACCGCCACCGCCACTCCCGACTCGGGATCCCGAAAGCCAACACCAACACCAACACCACGACGCCCGTGCCCTCGTCGAGACCAGCACCTGCGGCTATTCTAACGGTGACCCGGCACACCCGCTGACTGCACCGGCCGGGTACAACTGCCGCGTCGACACGGCCCGGGGCGTTTGGGGATTCTGCCCGGCCACGGTGGGCGCTGACGTGCAAAAGTGCGATTTGCCGGTGTACTGTTTTGATCAACTGGGGTGTGAGACGGGATGTGGCGATCCGAAGGTGACGGGGTCGGGGAAGGTTTTGGCGTGGTAAGTCTTTTCTTCCCGGCGATTATTACCTGTGGAGGACGGCCACTGATGTAGACTTATAATTACAGCAACCAAGGGGCAAATCGCTTTTGCTCCGTTGCAGCGCTAATCGTTGGGACGTCAAGCCAGACATTTTTCACTTTTGGCTGTGCTATATCGCAGATGGCGGATGAATACTATGTCACGCCCACGGCGCCGCTGACCACGACTAGCGAGACGCCGCAAGTATCTACAGCTAAGCCATCGGTGATACGTTCGTCACAGTCGCCAGGGAGGAACCCGGATGCGACACCGGGGTCACCAACACCCTTACCGTCGAATCCGAGTCCGAGTTCGACTGGTTCACCCAGACCAAGCACCGCGACCTCATCACGACAAAGCCCTTCCAATCCTCTAACAAACCCCAGCAAAACAACTGCAGCCATCTCAACATCATACCCCAATTCCTCAACTCAATCCAACAACCCCTTCACTACAACCGCCCCCAGCGACACCCCCAATCCTCAAACCACGCCCAACATTGACAACACTGACAACACCCCCGAGAACAGCCCCAACATCCCCGCCCTAGTAGGCGGTACCCTAGGTGGCCTAGCCCTCATCCTCAGCTCAGTAATAGCCTACCTCTGTCTCCGACAACGGCGTTTATTCGCTTTCCACAGTAAGCCCCCAAACCCAGACGGGGCAGGTGGACCAGGTCAAACAAAGAACCCAACAGCCGCAATGCTAGAGACGGTGGAGCTGAGACGGGAGTTGGAAGATACGGGGATTGGAGCTGGGAGGAGGGAGGTGGGTGAGTTACCGGGGAATTACGAGAGGGCTGTGGAGTTGGGGCCGGGGAGGACGAAGAGCGAGTTACCCGCTGAGAGGTACAGTCGGGGGATGGAAATGGAGGTTGGAAGGGGGGTTGAGAGGGAGACTAGGAGGGAGATTGGGAGGTGGAGTTGGGAAGATGGAGGGGGCAGATGTAATAAGGGTAGGGGCAGTAAGGGGACTGAAGGGACGGATGGGCTTAGGTGGGTTGGGAGGTATTTGAGTTAATTCATTGGGTGGGTGAGCATTTAGGGGGTTGTAAGTGCCTGTCGGTTGATATTTTCCTTTTTTCTTAATTCCTAGTTTGTTCCCTTTTTGACGGTCTCTTTCGTGGACAGGTATTAATTCTTGACTTGGGTTTATTTCACAATTTTCCCCCATCCTATTTTGCTATGATTATCGGGCTTCTTAGCGCGTCACTGCGCGTGCGTTAGGTTTCATTAGCAGGCATCTTACATCACCAGCCGACAGCTGATTTAGGTTCTGATAATCACCTCATGTCATCCGAGCGTGAGAGATGCAGATATGATGCATGAGATGCATGACATGTAATTACAGACTACAGTACACCCACATATCCGCCTGACGTATGTACATACATGAGATAAATGGCAAGGAAAAAACCTTACGGGCCGTCAAATTATTATAAAGAGCCTGAACAAGACCCTCCTTGGGCACTCTCAATCACTCATCAAGCGATCAACGTACCTGACCCATCACATCCTCATCACACAACACCAGTGAAAACAACAGACTCGACGCAATGCAGGACCACCGTGACGCACCCGACCAAGCCACCGCAGCCGACGCGCCCGACCCCGCCGCGATGGCCAACCCCGTCGCGTCTCCGTCCACCGAGCCGCCAGTGGAGGACTACCTCACCGACATCGACACCCGGTGCGGTCTCTTCGACCACTTCCGCGCGCGATGCGGGCACGCCGACAAGTGCCCCAGTGCCGCGGTGTTCGCCGTGTTCATGGTCGCCCCCGTGGAGGAACTGCGCACTTTCCTGCAGGACCGGTTCAATGGTTCGCGGCCTGGCTCTGAGATGTCTCTCCTCTTGGAAATTATTCCGGAGGCGATCAAAGCTTGTACGTGTCAACGATTTTTACAAATCCTCCTTTTTGCTGGTTATTATTATTTACCCTGCTGGCCGTTCTCTCGTTATTAATTACCTAACAAAAATAGACGTTACCGACGCCCCCCCCGTCGAGGAGAAAGCTCTCGACAGGCAGAAATGCGTGTTCTCCGAAACGCCCACCAACGCCCACCTGACCAGCCTCCTCCCGCCCTCCAACATATTCCATCGGATGAGGTACCACATGCTCAACGAAGTCCTAGAAAACTTCTGGGGCCCCAACAAGGCCGCCGCCTGGCGCAGGATGTTCCATGATAGAGACACCCACCCCGCGGCCAACGGAATCCCCATGAGCCGCCTATACGACTACCTCTTCCGCCAGGCTTACTTCGCCCTCAAACCCCTCCGCGAAACCCCCGAGGGCGTGGTGGTGCAGTGGCATTGGCTCACGCGAAGCCGCCTGTTGCCCGACATCCCGTGTTACGACACGTACCGAACCTTTCGACAGGCGCAGCTGATGGAGCGGCGGAGCGAGTGTGGCCCGGGTAGCGGGAAAGCCTGGCAGATCCGCAACGGCCAGACGTTCCTCCTCCGCGCGGGGGACTCGGACAACAGACCGAGCTGGGCGCTGCTGGAGATGCAGTGGGATTTTCAGCGGGTGGTGGCGATTTGCGGGGCGGGTGATCAGCATGAGGGGTTTGGGGAGTACAGTGCCAGGACGAGATTATACGTTCCAGGTGCTAGGAGGAGGAATGGGATGCTTTGGATACGGTGGTTGGGAGACAGGGGCATTGAGTTATCAGAGCTCGACTGATTAGGTACCTTGAAGACCTGAATAATAGGCCAAACTTGCAATGGAAGTTGCGAGACGGAAAGATCAAAGGGGACTGGATGAGAAGCAGGAGGAAACTTGCGGAACGGGAACGGAGAGAAAAGGAAAGCTGGAAAGGGAAGTGTCGAGAACTTGAGAAGGTGTCCGTTGTGGTGGTGACACAGCCACATAATACGCCACAATAGTGGCGCACGGGCTCAAAGTGTAATTGCCATATCATTAATACTTCGTAATTACTCTGTGATCGTATTTCGCAATAATTACATCGTTTTCCGTTATGCATTTCTCTTCTAATTAACTTGCACTCTGATGCATACATCACAGTTTCTCTCATTCTCTGTTCATTCGTTTCTCCAAGTGTGAGGAAAGGAAAACCAATAAAATGACTCAAACGTATCAGTTACCGTTCGTTACGCAATTTGCCCGCTAACTCGCGAACAATGCGCCTGGTGCGGCTCTGAAAGCTGTCAAATGATTACCGAATTGGCAAAACTCACAGACTGAGGCCCAAATTACGATTAATTACGGGCGGCCTATGCAACCAGAGCCAATTCTCCCGATCTCATCCACACGGACAGACGTGTTGTCTCTCAGTCAGCCAGGTCACCTTGTCTTAGTGTTAATTGATACCTCAGGACTCAAGGTTTTAATTCTCCAGCTCAGTCCGTCCAACGTAGCGCCGGGCCGCCCAACGCGGTCACACCCCCCAAGTTCCCCAACAAACACAAACACACCAACACACCACACAGAACACAGCACAACACAGTACAACAGGACACAGCAAAATTTGGCAGCGCTGGCCAGAGCAGAAAAGCGGCCATGCGATCGCGCCTCCAGGCGCTAGAGAGGTTTCCGCCTTGCAGGAAGAATCGGCCGAGGACGTACAACAGCTGTTAAGTCAGATCCGTTTGGCCGGCGGCGTTATGGATGTAATATCGCCATTCGTTCCGTCCCACGGCTCTCCTGGGACCGCAGATGCTTTCGACGGTACCGACTCCGAGCCCCCGACCGCTCTGTCCATCTCGACCGCCCAGACTAGCTGCTGTACTCCGGACATCGGAGCCTCCCATGACAGCTGCGGGGTCCGTCGGACGGCGGATCCCTCCGCGTGCGGCTCCCCATCGGTGCCGGATCACACCCTGGAGGAGTTGACCCCCGCACTTTCGTTCAATTGTGGAAACTTGTTTGCAGGTTGAAAAGCGCATGCCCTTTTACCTATACCCTCCAAGAGCCACCACCAACAATACCATCACGGTTTTGGCTGTTTCCTACCACACTCCGGCCAGGAATCTATTTCACCGACGGGTGAACCCGAACTCTATAAAGGCCCGGAAGATTGCGAGCATGTGATCACGGATTGCTGGCGCTGCGAGAAGCGCTGGCAGATGGCGTTTTCTGGGCTCATCTCCCATTGGCAAGGGCGTCGGGCGCACGCTGGTCGGGCAAGCCCGACCCAAAGCAAGGCTGAGTGGTGAGACAAAACCCAACTTTTCTTCCAACTTGCAAATCCTGCTCCTCTCACCGTCGTTGATCCACCACCACCCGACAGAAACCAGCAATGCGTCTCCTCCACACCACCAAGCTCCACCTCGTCGAGTTCCAGGGACAAGGCATCCTGCCCTCCACCATCCCGCCCTACGCCATCCTATCTCACACCTAGGCTGAGGAGGAGGTCTCATTCCAGGATGTCCAGAAAGGGCTGGCCCAATCACGGCGGGGTTACGAGAAGGTGGTCGGCGCCTGCGCGCTAGCTGTACAAGACGGGTTCAAATACCTTTATATGTCGCTGTCCGACGCGTTCGGTTTATAGTGATTCTAACGGCGTCACCAGTGGATCGACACTTGCTGCATCGACAAGTCGAGCTCGGCCGAGCTCTCGAAAGCCATCAACTCCATGAGCGATGTAGACGCCGACGAAAATCCCTACTCCGAGGTAAGCAGCTTCTACAAAGCGCGTTGGTTCACCCGCAGATGGACGCTGCAAGAGCTCATGGTGCCGGGCGTAGTCTACTTCTACGGCGCGGGCTGGAAGCAGATCGGCTCGCAGGAGACGTTCCTCGACCTCATCGTCGACATCACCCGGATCAGCGCAAGGTACTTTACAACCGGCGACCTCACCTAGTTCTCGGCCGCACAAACGATGTCCTGGGCCGCCAACCACGAAACCACCCGTCTCAAAGACGAAGCGTACAGCCTACTGGGCCTGTTTGACATCACCATGCTGCTGCTCTACGGCGAAGGCGAACGCGCCTTCCAGCGGCTACAGGAGGGAATCCTCCGCCAGTCCGAAGACGACTCCCTCTTCGCGCACCGCGACTCTGACATACTCGCCAGGTCGCCTGAGTCGTTCTGCAACTGCGCGGACGTCACCCGCCTCGACGACGCCTGGCCGTACCACCAAAACCCCGCCCTCCTCCTCAACCGCAACCTATCGCGTTCCGACAGCATCTTCGCAGCTTGGGCTACGTGGCATATGTTCAGCCACCCGTGGGAGCTAGCGACAATGCCGCGGCTTTCATCGCCGCCAAGGCGGGCGATGGCCTCGAGAGACCATCCGCGGTATGATGGAGCCAGACCGCTCAGACCGCTGGACCATCCACACAGTCGCCACCGCACTGGGGGTGCGGCAGGCAAGACCAAGAAGGCAGCTAGCTGACATTTTGCTTGGGGGCATCTTGAACTCGTGGGTGGAGATTCGTTCATTGTTGAATAGTTCAGTCGGCTCTTGTTTGAAGCTCTTCGCCATGGAGTAACGGCGTTGTCAAACGAATTTCGCACCAAGTTTTGGAGAGCGGCTTGGATGTTCCGGCGAAGGGGCTCGGGGGCTGGCTGATGGCGCTCTGATTGCGTGCCGGAGCACAGCCAGGGGCTTCTATTCCCTCCCAAGCCAACTGGAGCCAAGTTTGTGGACCCACTCACGTGGTCGAAATTCGACTACCTGGGTGGGTCTGCCAACATCCAACGTGCTTCCTGATTTGGCTTACTGGTAGCAAAGTGGGGCAAGGTGCCAGACTAACATGCCATTTTCCCCGGAGCAGGTGTATAAAATCCCTCAGCTCACCACTGGCACGCCCTGTTCACAACCACTGTAATCCAACCGACTGCTCACGGCCTTCAACATCTCAGTCAGGTTTTGCTCATTTTTGCTGGCCGCGATGTGGAAACTACCGATAAACTTCATTACCCTGCACTGTGAGATATTCTACTGGCCCTGCTACCAGTTTATTCAGTCAGCGTATGGGCGATTCAAACGAACGACTGACAAACGTACAGATGCGTGGATCATCATCACCGGTCTCCTCGCCCTGGTTGTTATCTACCCTTACGGCAACGTCTCCGCCATAGACGCCTGGTTCTTTGGCGCCAGCGGATCCACTGAATCTGGTCTCAACACGTTCGTCAAACATTTGTGACATGTCACTTACACTCTGTAGGTAGCTAACGCATACGCAGTGTCGACGTGAAAGACCTGAAAATTTACCAGCAGCTGTACATCTATGTTATACCCATCATCACCAACCTCGGATTTATCAACATCGTGGTAGTCGCCGTTCGCCTGCGCTGGTTTGAGAAACGCTTCAAAGTGGTTGGTGAGTCGGCCCCTTCCAGTGTTCCTGACGATGTCAGAACCTGAAATCTGCTGGCAGCAAGATCATGCCCGAAGCCGAATCACACACGAGACATCGAGGCTCAAATCACAGCCATTGTAGCGGAGAGGTCCGACAACCGGAATGCCGAGACCGAGCCGTGAGTCTTGCAAGGAAGCACTAGCGGGGCTAGGCAATGACTGAGTTGGCATTCCTCTCTTCTTCTCCAGGGCCGAACTGAATGCAGCCACCGATAAGGCGGATGAGCCCGTTGAATTTATCTCGGGACCCCGCATCACGTTTGACCAAAATGTAAAGAAGCCGCGCAGCGATTCGACCTTGTATATCCCGCCGCCGAGGGAGCGCGACGATGGTAATGCAGGCCGTTAGAAGCGTACATCGAGGCTTGACTAACACCTCCCAGGCCATCCTTTCGTAGATAAGAACAACATTGCCAGCGGCGACGAAGATGACGGTAACAAAGACGACTCCATCAAGAGCCCCGTAGGCGCTTGCTGACAGAATCGTGCCAGACGACGATGCCATCAAGCCAGCAGGGCCTAGCGGTCTAACGCGAAGACACGTATACCGACACGATGACGAGCACAGCATATCTCGCAGCAAGTCCGTTGACCAGGTCGCTGCCTCCCTGTTCGTCATCGGAAACACCAGGATCGCGTCTCCGAGGCAATCTACTTCGAGCTCGCGCTGGGCCGATCTGCCCTACCTTTCCAAGCAGGTTACGCTCGGAAGGAACTCCAACTTCTACGGCCTTAGTTCCCAAGATCGGGAGCGGCTCGGCGGCGTCGAGTATCGAGCCTTGAAACTACTGTTGAAGATCGTTTCTGGTACCACGTCGACATAAACCCCCAGATTTATTAAAAGAATACTGATGTACCGTGCAGGCTATTTCGTTGGGCTTCACCTCTTTGGGGTGCTTTGCTTGCTGCCATGGATCCATCGCTCAGCAGCGAAATACACTGACTGGCTCGAAGAGTGCGCGCAGGACAAGACCTGGTGGTAAGCTACCGTTCAATTTGAAGTATAGAGCTTCAATACTTACTTATCGAAGGGCCTTCTACTCAGCTCAGACCATGGTAAACAACCTCGGCTTCACCCTGACCCCCGACTCGATGGTCACCTTCAGGGACGCCACTTGGCCCATGCTGGCTACAACCTTCCTCGCATACGCAGGCGAGACCTTCTACCCGGTTTTTATGCGCCTCATCATCTCGACCATGTCCAAACTCACACCGAAGCAGTCGTCCATGAAGGAGACACTCCAGTTTCTCTTGGACCACCCGCGACGGTGTTGCATGCTCCTTTTCCCCAGCAGGCCGACCTGGATCCTCTGCGGCATCCTTGTTGTCATGAACTTCGTCGACGTGCTCTTGATTATCGCCCTCGACCTCGACAACCCTGCGGTCAACGACTTGCCGATGGGTCCACGCATACTTTCGGCGCTGTTCCAGGCGGCTTCGTCTAGGCACACCGGCACGTCGACGTTCAACCTCGCTCAGGTCAACCCCGCCGTGCAGTTTAGCCTGCTAGTGATGATGTACATTGCCGTCTTCCCGATCGCCATCAGCATCCGGGCGTCGAATACGTACGAAGAGAGGTCGCTTGGCGTGTATGAGCAAGAGCTGACGCCGGATGAGTCGAACGGCAAGTCGTATGTTCTGATGCATATCCGGAACCAGCTTAGCTTCGACCTGTGGTATATCTTCCTCGGCACCTTCTTTATTTGCATCGCCGAGTCCGCCAAGATCGCTGACATCAATGAGCCTGTGAGTGATTATCCCAAACAGTCCGATGGTTGGAGCGTGAAACGGTGAAACTGATCCACATACAATTAGGCTTTCTCCGTCTTCTCGGTCTTGTTCGAAGTCGTCTCGGCATAGTACGTATCCCCTCATTCCCTTTGGCCCCTACCAGCAACAGAGCACTAACTTGGTCACAGCACCAACGTCGGCCTCTCCCTCGGCCATCCCGCAGTAATGACATCTCTCTCGGGGCAGTTCACAACCATCAGCAAAGTCGTTGTCTGCGCGATGATGATCCGGGGACGCCATCGCGGACTGCCCTATGCTATCGACCGGGCCGTGTTACTGCCGGGTGAGCGTGAGCACCAGGGTTCGCGGGGGCGCTAGTGCAGGAAGTTGCTACGAGGAGGACGGGCCCCTCTAGCCCATCGCTCGGACGAGAAACTAAATTGCAGCAGGTGGCAAGCGCCTAGGTGAAAAGCAGAGCACACGGACATGACTGGCCTTGATAACTGCGGAGCAGCCGGTCTACAAAAAGGGGCTGACCCATCTCAACGAGTGGTAGAAGGTGCAGCAGGGCATCGATATGTCGAAGATGGACGAGTGCTACGAACTCCTCACATTTGTAACTTGCCATCACGAGCTAGAAAGTAGCCGGATTTCTGCTTCTTGTTGGGAGCGCCGGGAGGGCCAGCCTGCCCAGTTGACGGCACCTGGCTCACAGATGTGTCTCAGCCGAAATACCATGTTGAATTGACAGTCTAGTTACCCGAGTTCTCCTCCAGTTGACTACATCGCTTCTCTTTCCAGACCGAGGTATCCGGAGACCAGAGACCTCTTCCACCTTTTGTTGACATTGCGTAGCCCCTAGCCAGTTTGCCTCCCAGTGGTCAGAGGCCATCACCGCCATCTCCTTTCTCTCCAGGTAGCCTTCCACGGCTGCTTTTACCCTCGCCGCCTCTCTTTCACTAGTCGCAGTAACCACCCCGACGACATCACCAACCCCCATCTCAGCGTCAACAACCGCCCCAATGACGACACCAACCATCAGCTCAGTTGTGACAACTACCACCCGCACACCACCAGCAGTCATCGACAGGGGCTTCCCGCCCCTTCGAAGTCAATCACTTCCGTTAGCCGCAACCGCAACCTCGGAACTCTCATGCACACTCAGATACTCGCCGAAGACCCTCTCCTCAATATCCATGTCCTTCCACAGCCTGCCTGTCGTCTTGCGCGCCCGCCTTCTTGTGACGGATCGTCTCTCAACCACAATCTGAAAGGGTTCACTGAAGGTATGACGCAAGGGTTGTGATCCGGTGAAGCCAAAAGGTTCACAACGAGATGGTGATCTGGTTTCAATGTTCACTGGTCTTGAGCAATTGTAGCGAACAAGTTGTATTGCTTACTGGAGAACTCCCAGAGTCCTCCAGAACGAATGACTATATACTACCGGGCTCACTGTTGCTCGCCCGCTACCGTGATCTACCTTGATCCCCGTGGGTAGATGTCTACCCACGTCTACCGAGGTCACTCGTGTTCGCCGTTTACCCAAGGCTACCCCAGGTTGCCTTGCGCAGCCGCTTTCTGCCCTGCCTTCTCCTCATTGGCCATGCCACCCGGGTGTGCCCCACCGTGTTCCTGCTATATGTTTGGTTCGTGACAACTATAAAGGCTGGAAACATCTCGGCCGAGGGCTCGGGAGAATGAACTGCGAAACCAGTATCGCTATATAAGGTGGGCGACGGTATATAGCTAAGGGACGCCGAAGAGGGTAAGGACAAGGTATCTATCTTGGCGAAATGGATATCTGAGCACGGGCGACATTGGCTGGCGAGCTATAGGATAAAGGGGGCCAGGGGGGAACGGGGGGAGCGACGGAAATGAGGAGGCAGGGACCGAGCGAAGGCGATGTGGGAGGGAGAGAAAGTCAAGAGGATAAGAAAGGGACGTTGGAGAGGAGGGGCTCTATTTATGCGGCACGCGCAGCAGGGCCGTGCGAGGACGCGAATCTGACGGAGCGCCATACCCGATCGGGAAGGCCGCCGTTTCCGGATGCAGCGACAGCATGTTCGACATTAAAATATCAAAAAGAAACAGCACGCGTGTCGTGTTAAACTTGGTGAGAATATTGTATCACAGAGAGAATAACTCTTAACAAAATCAGCCTAGCTGTCAGACAGTGTACATGTACCTCAAGTTTTACACTTCTCTTTCCAACAGCTGACAATCTTGGTGCCTTGCGTTGTCGCCTTGCCGAAGCGCCGTCTCACAACGGGTTGCGCTCAGTTGACCTAATTAGATGTTGTCGTGACCTGACATGATGGTGGTCGGTGTGGTCGGGCTGGCCGGTTGTTCACGGGGTATGGTAGCGGTTTGAGTAGCACGGTATGATGTATAAAGGGGCGTTTGGGGATCTGTTCGTTTCGATGGGTTCGTTTCGTCCCAGTTGAGCCTTTCTTGCTGGCAAGAGGTTTGAGTTCTGCGTTACCGCACGACACACTCAGTTGCAAGCGTATCACGACAACACATCGCCCACCAACCCATCAAAATCCATTTATCAACACTCATTTATCAACACTCATTTCTCAACACCCGACCCACCACTAATACTCGCAATTCCCCCACAACCCGCCTACCTACAAACCGAACCCAACCTAACCACCCAGCAACCAACCTAAACCCCCAAACCCCCTCATCTAAGCAACTCAAAACATAAAGATATTGAAGAAAGCAAGAATGTGCTGCCGCTACACAGATTACCACCTCTGCGGACACCCCTACCGCGACCGCAACCTGCACACCACCCGTCTCGTGCCCTGCTCGCACTACAACCCTTCCCACGCCTGCCACCGCCGCCTGCCGGTTCACGCGGAACGGGGGTATACCTACGATTTGGTTTGTCCTAGTTGTTATGATGGAGGGATTGGAGTGGGGAGTAAGCATGTGAGGTGGGCTGATTTGGGGTCTTCGTCGTCTTCTTCCCTAGGGTCGAGGACAGGGTTATGGTATCGGCCGTCGCCGTCGTCCTCTGGGTTAGGGTCGTCGGGGTCAGGGTCGTGGTCGAGCTTGGGGACCTTCGGGTCGGGGTCGTGGTATAGGTCGTCTTCGTCGTCATCAAGATCGTCCCGGTCACCGGCACAAACACGTACCAGCAAGCTAGACGTGAACTTTGATTGGGACTGGGATAGAGGACGAAGCCGGTACCGCAGTGGGACAGGGAGAGACAGAAACAGAGAGAGAGACGGACTGGATGTGAAGGTGCGGTGGTCGCCGCATCACGATAAGGATGATGATTATGATATCACGGCAAGCTACAGCAGGGACGGTACCCGCTGGTGGGACTGTGGGCTGGAGACGTCATGGAGGTCGAAATCCTGGTCGGGGTCGCGGCCGCGGTCGTATGGGGGTAAGGGGGCTACCAGGCTGGGGGATTGGGATTGGGATTGGGATGGAGGTGATTCGTGGGGGGCTAAGGTGAGGTATCGGTCGCGGTGGTTGTGAAAGGTTTATGAGTGGTTGGGTTATTGTTTTCTGGGAGTTGCTTTTATGGGTCTTAAGGTGGTTTGGTTAATTATTTCAGTTTTGGGGACAGCCATATTACAACGCTGTTTTAATTGTTTCACTTGTTAGCAGTATCAGCGTTCCTCTATTCTAATTTCTACTTGCTAGCAGGCCTAGATTCGGTGGAAATTACAACGGTATTTCATCACGGATTAAGTGGCATGTGGGCAAATTCCGGGTTGTTCTTGCTTTTTTGGTGGAGGTGGCATATGTTGAGAAGGCATGACTGAGAAACCGCAATTAATTGGTAGGGGGTCAATTGGACTGAATTAATACTGACTAGTAAGTTTTATGAGAGTTTGAACGTAAGAATCAGCAGGGCCAGAAAATTCTTGTAAATCACACAGTCTTGAAGGCTTGATGAAGATCAGAGTCGAATTACTCGACTGTGTCCCAGAGTGCGATCAACACCATGCGGCTGGAATCTCTTCTCTTTCTATCTTCTCTCTCAACCGCTCAGCCCGACACACCCTCCCAAAACCATCTCACACACCTCCACACCCACAACCTCCCCTACGGCACCCTATCCTACTGGGGAATTCCCGGCCGAGAAAGCCCAGACTGGAACTGGACCTTGAACCTCAACACCACCACTCACAACCACCCATCCAACCACCAAACCCAACATCCAGCCCGACGCCCCGCCCAGCACTGCGGCGCCAACATCGTCTACTGCAACGACACCTCCGCCCACCCAGCCCCCGCCACAACCTGCTCACACCTCCTCACCGTCCTCTCCGAAACACAACACCAAGCCATTGATCCCAACACCCGGGCTGTGTATCTCACCACTCCGCGTCTTGCGGCCCGGACTTATCACAGCCCTAATAACCACAACACCGGATACGGCCAAAATAGGGGAAATAGAAAAGAAGAAGAAGAAGAGGGAGACACCTGCGTCCTATCATGGCACACCCGCGTGCCGGGGCTGGTGAACGGGCATCTGGTCGAAGCGGCGGTCGACACGCTGTTGTTGTGTCATGAAGGGGGTCGGGTGGCGGGGTATGCGACGGCGGTGAGTCTGAATGGGGTGTGTACCGTTGAGTGTTTGTCGGGGGGGGCGGAGTGTTTTTTTGGGTGGTGATACTTACTTGCTGGTGTACATATGTAATTAGTAGCTGGAGGTGGTGGTGATAGGGGGTGGTAGGGTTAGGGTTGTGATGTTGGTGGTCTTGCCGGGACTTGCGATTCAACGTGTGAACAGTGATGGATTCGGGTTAGGGTTGGGTGTTATCTTGGTCGCTGGATCATGTGCTACGATTGAGAGAGAATTATTCGTCGTCAGTTAATAGTTTGTTAAGACAATTCATGTAAATGCCCCATTTCCGCGCTTCCCGCTGTAAATCCACCTTCCCCAACTGCTCCCGCTCGAAGCTCCGTCTGAGACACTTCGCAACTCCGACTCTGATCGGGAGCACAGACATCGCCGTCCGGACAAACCGCTGAAACCCATCGGCGACCAACGGCACCTAACTCCTGCACGCTCAGTAACTCAAACACAGTTTGACAGAACCCACTCTCCGGAGCTGCGAGCCGATTCCCCATTCCCCAAGTCTCGAGACAGAAAACGGAAAACGGAAACCCGCAGCAAAAGTTTTCACCTCGCTTCCTCCCGCAGTCAGACCCAGCCAGTCCCGTTGACAGCTGCAGCGCTGTGGCCTCGTCATTGGTGTGACGGCGTAAGTCCACAAAGTGAACCTGTCTCTGGCAGTGAGACCCGGCAGTTTGTAGATCAATCAGATCGTCGGGCGTTGGTTGGTTGCAGTGGTTGCGACTCAACGAACGGCGGACAGACGGGATGGCGAACGAGCGTTGGCCCGTTGGGTGTCTCACTGTCGTTGTCTTGTTTGGTCTGCGGTCTGCGGTTTGGGCTGTTCTGAGGGATGACTTGAAGATGACGAACTATCGTTATCGTTGGATGATGAGCATGTGTGTGAGGTTCCCGTCGAGCAATTGCCCGTCTCAAGCCAACGTGCATGCCTAGACTTTTGTCTAACTAGTTCGAGATGACTATCAACTTGTCTCTCGTTGGCTATGGACGTGATGATTATCCTCTTAACCAACCCATTCCTCGAACTGATTCAGCGATGTCTCTTCGCACTTCTTGTCTGTTTGTCTATCTGTCTCGTCCGGTTGTCCGAATGCGGCTTCCCGACGGCAGACTGTGTCTGAATGGGCATTTTCAGGAGGGTTGTTGACTCTCTTTTTTCTCTCTTGGCTCGACAGACTGAATTAGGAAATGGAAATGGAAATGGGGCGCTTTGACCACCTGTCAGCGGCTGTGACCTGAAAATCTCAGAGTTCAACCCTGGCTCTGGACCCTGGCTGACCTGACTTGGGCTGTCGGCACTAGGCGGCTTGGAGCTCTGGGCTGGACTGGGCTGGTCTGAGCACTCCTTGACCTGGACCTGGACCCTGCCCTGGTTCAGGACCCTGAGCCTGAAGCTTGAACCGAGGGTTGTTGGTTGTTGGTGGGACGAAGAGAGGAAATGAGGTGATTGTTTTCTGAAGGATCAGTGTGATCAGGGTGTCTCGGCTCTCAAGGAAGTCTGCGAAATGGTTGTTGACAGCATGAGGAGTAAAACATTTTCCACTTGTTGACATTCCTTTTTTTTTTCTTGATACACAGTATCTACCGAGTCTGTGAGGAATTTGGGAGCTGTCAACTTTCTTGGTACCGTGAGCGGCCCGCGCCGGGATGACGTGCGACGTCCAAACGAGTATCGATTGCGGTCCGAGGCTGGCTGAGCCAAGGCGAGCGGCTGATGGGCCGACCCCGGACTTAACGTCAACGTCGACGTCAAGTGAACAATCGTTGGAGTATTATATTACAACATATAGTACACAAAGCTCGGGAGTTCTGTTTACGATCAAGTATAGTTGTTGTTCGTCGTTCTCAACGCCGAATATGATAAAGGATTGAACTGCCTACCGGCAGGAGATTAAGCCAAACCAAATATCCACCAAATGCTAACTAGATGCTGAAGAAGTCAAAGTACAAGAATAACCCAATATGCCCGCTCAGAGATACCGGTAATAACGAAGGAATAATCAGCTGCCGCTGTAAAAACCAAACCGGTCATGGTATCATCCCTTCCGTCTCGTTCCCTTTCACTCTCTTTCGCTCTCTCGGCCCCTCTCCTTTTCTCTCTGTCTGTCTCTGTGTGCGTGTGTATGTCCCTCTCCGAGAGCCTAAACAAACTCCGTCCCCGTAACCCTCAAAAACTCCCCAATAGTATGCAACCACACCCGTCTCACCAAATCCTCCTCCCTCAACCGTCTAACCGCTTCCTCCCCCTTGGCCTCCGCATCCAACCCCACCGAATACACCCCACTCCCCTGTCTCGCATCGCTCCCCCTAGCCACATTCACCCCGCTCCCCTCAACCAACACCACCCCGGCCGTCCCATTCCCCCCGGCACTCAACACGCTATTCCCCGTAGCCGTCGACGCCGTACTCATGCCCCCCGTACTGTTATTCCTCCCTCCCCAGCCGCGACTCCGAGCCGGAAACCGCCCGCTGGTAGCCACGAATAGTTGTCTCTCCCCCGCTTCAGCAAGCGACGATACCACGGACGCACTGCTCCCGCTCGTGCTGGAAACCATCTTATTGAGCATCGACCTCATCAATCCTACCCCCCCGTTTCCCCCGGAAGCAGCAGCAGCAGCGGCCTTAGCGGCCTTCCCCCCCTTGCGGAGTTCGCGACCGACGTGGGTGGATCGGACGAAGCCCGGGAAGGTGTGGACGAAGGAGACGTCGGGGGCTTCGAGGGCGAGGGATTCGAGGGCGAGGGTTGTCATGGAGGCTGTGTGGGCGCGGAGGTGGGCTAGGTGGGAGGCGTGGTGTTTGGGGTTGTTTAAGGGACTCGTTCCTGTGGAGGTTGGTGATGGTGTTGGGCGTGGCGGGGAGCTGGTGCTCGCTCTGGGGTTGTTGTCCTCGCTAGGTCGGGATACAGGGACAGGAAAATCGGGGTCGAAAGGGGGCGGGTCGTAGTAGGTTGCTGCTACTGCGGACGGCGGGGTGGGCGGGCAAGTGCGGGAGGATAGGGGCAGGCCGAGGGAACGGCCTTGGAGGTCGCCTACGGAGACGGCGCCTTCCTTTGTGCCGCCGAAGACGGTTACCACGCGCCGGAGGAAGGGGGCTTTTTGTAGCAGGGGGAGGAGGTTGACGATGAGGCGGATGCGGGAGTAGTAGTTGAGGGCTGTGGGGTAGTAGAGGTGTTCGGGGGTTTCTATTCTCTGTCAGTGTTGTTCATAAGTAGCGAAGGATAGAGGAAGATAAGAATAAAAATAAATACCCTTCCCCGTCACCATCGTCCCCGCCGTCAAAAACAACAGATTAATCACCCCCTCATGCCCCTTCAGCTCATAGCACACCTCGTCCACCGTCTGCAACAGCGACAAATCCGCCTGCAAGAAATGGTACTGCCCGCCGGGGTTGATAGCCGCCAGCTCGTTGGTGATGCGCACGGCGGCACGTTCGGAGCGGCCGAGGAAGTAGATGCGCGGCTGCACGGCGTGTTTAGCCAGCTCCTTCATGGTCGCCTCGCCGATGCCGCTTGTGCCGCCGACGAAGACGGCTACGAGCCCGGCAGGCAGACACTCTGGGATGCGGGCGTTGGAGGCCCGCATCTGCTCGAGTGTGACCATTTTGGAGGCTCTCGTGGTGCTCTGGCGTGACTCTGGGTCGAAGTGAAAGTGAGATGGGAAACGAAGAAGGAACCAAGAAGGAAAATCGAGGACGGGGCCAAGTCTGAGTTCTGTCTCGATTCGGACCAAGGGATGACGGGTTCCAAGTTGTCGGGTGACTGACTCCAAGCGTTGGGTGATGCCAATGTTGAGTGATCACAAGATATCACAAGATGTTGGTGTTAGAGTCCGGAGTAGAGATATCCGGAGTCGTTGATATTGGTGTGCAACCTAAAGGCAAAGGAGACAAGGGGGCAGGTCCCCGACTGGTGGAGGGCGCGCGGGGGTCAAAAGGAACGCAGATGTCTGCATACGAAAGGAAGGGAAAGGGGGCAACGGCCCGGAGATACCATCCGGAGCTGCAGGCGGCCCCCCGATCATCAGCCTGACAACCTGACAACCTGGCGGCCGGTCAGAAATATGATACGGCTGTTATTTAGCGATGCGCCTGATGGCTGACTAGTTACATTAGTGCATGCAACAGCGATCTGGCACCGTCACAGCTGCAAGATCGGAAATGGGGTCTGTGATGAGGAATCTGTACTGTCAAAACTCCAGTTCAAACTGTGGGACTCGACCTCTCTCTGCGTACTGGACACGGCAGCCTACCGGACCGAGACCTTTCGCCTGTCCCAAACCGTCTTCCTCGCTTCTGTTTCCCGTCTCCTACAATACTCCACAGTCCTCACGACACCCGAACTTCGCATTCTCAAAAGACCCGAAATCAAGGACCGCGACGCGTCAACCCAAAACAGCCCAACCCGGCTGGACATTTGCTGCGGCTAGTGTAGTTCGACATGAAATGACAGGACCGGCCAAGAGGAAGAGAAATGCCCGAGGAAGCAACAAAGACAAGACATGGAAAAGCTCGGACTTGCACGCTTGCAGGCCTGCACTGCAGCGCACCATCAGCGCCTTCCCTGATCGACAGCGCCCTGGCAAGCCGTTCTGAGATCCTCTCAGGGGTCCCCTTGAACCCCCCCAGTCGAGCAGTGGGCAGGCCCACCCCACGGCTGGTCGGCATGGCCTCTCACTGGCGGATTTGCTGTCTAGCCGAATGCGCCTTCCGCTGGAGCTGGAGAAACTGGAGACCGGAACCCCGGCGCACTGTAACTTCTGCAACCTGTCTGCAAGTCTGCAAGTCTGCAAGTGCTGTGTTGCTGCTGTCAGTGCTGTGTCAGCCACGGGTGAGAGTGACAGCCCCGCTGGGACTCCACAGGGCAGATGTGACATGCACGAGCGAGGGAAAGAAGAAAAGTGTGTGGTAACAAAAGGATTAATCGGGGAAAAGGAGAGAAGAATCAACAAAAAAACCGGGGAATAGTAGCAGAAAAAAGGAAAGAATGGCTCAGACAGGTAAATTTAGGGTTTGGCTTTTGACGCCCATCGTCATCTGTACGACTCAGCTGCCGGCGTAAGCTGTCTCACGGCCGGCGGTCTCGATCGTGGCTGCAATTAGGGATTCAGCCATTTCGGGGGGCTTTTTATCAACACTTTCGGGGGGGGCGCTGTTACTCTGTTATTCCAGGGATGTCGGGGCGCGGGCTTCTGTGATGCGGATTCCAGGGATTTTCGGATACGCAAGGCCTGGAAAATACGCCCATACGCCCCCAGCTGCGGGAAGCGCTGCGGGACGAATCCTTCCCTTCCCCTTCATTTCCGGTGCTCTGTGCTGAGTGCTGACGGCAGAGACGAAAATAAATTCGAAATTTGGAATACCCTCCCCCAGAAAAACAAAAGAAAAGAACCCAAAAAAAGTCTCCGGCTCGCGTCATCTGTCATCCCTTGCTAAGTGCAACCGTCAACCCCGGGTTCCTCGGTTGCCTCAGAGGCTAAGGGTTCCCAGCACACACCAACAACCAACAGCCAAAAGATGTCCACTTCCCCAAATCACCATAAGACATAGCAAGACACACTGACACATTGACACAGCCAACAACACGGCTAGTCCCCAATTTAGTGTAATGCACAAGTAGACAATGCAATGCAATGCACTGCAGTTATGCTCTGCTCAACCAACCGGCTCAACTCCTGTCAGACAGCAGACAGCACTGTCAAGCCCCCCGAAGCCTCAGTCACGAACTCACGATAGGACGAACACAAGAAAAATCACATCACAGACCTGACTATGGCGCAGTTACAGTCCTGTGTACTTCGTACGAGAGAAGTAGTGTAATAAGTGGCTGCGCCTTGTGTGACGCAAGCGGGCGCGGGAAGCTGTCAATCCCGCGATTTGTGTTCCGATCGGGGCGTACAACGGTGATGGACTTGATGGGCCTGACGGGTGGTTGCTTGCAGGTTGTCCCGAGGGCAAGCAAACTGCTTCGGCACAGTATCCGTCCTCCTTTTCGGGGGGTTTTGGGGGGTAATTTCTTTTGTTGCTATTTTCTCTTCTGTCATTCTTCCCGCTCTGTGTTCCCTTCCTCCATCCCTTCTTGAAATGAGGTATTCCTCCCTTCTTGAATGAGTTACGGGTCTTTTTGTGACTTCTCTCGCTTTCGCTTGAACCCCCACTGTGCCCTGGAAGCTCTCCCGCTGCCCTGCTCGGCCCTGCGCTGTGATGTTACACTGGTGGATTTCCCTTCCCTGCCCTGCCTGCCTGCCAAGTGTATCCGTACATAGTGTAGTGTACTATGGTAAGGCTTGCTACACCAGGCACGCATCAAATTCTCAACCCCTCCAAGCATTCTCACTGCCACTGCGGTCACTGTGATGGATGCATGTCACTGCAAGAAAGAGAAACAAACCCCCTGTGGTTCGGAAACCCCAGCCAGAAGCAGACAGGCGAAGACGGGCAAATCCGCTCGCTTGCAGCTGGCTTGGGTTACAGAGGGGTTACAGAGGGGTTACAGAGGGCCCGCGCGGGCTTGCAGCCACTTGGGGCAGGCCGGCAGGGGAAGCTTGGTCGGCCAGGGAAGCTTGGAGCGGATTGAGTGGAGGGTAACACTGGAAGTGACACTGGGGGTGACACTGGGAGTGAAAGTGGGGGCTGGTGTAAAATCATAGCGCACGGCAGCCGGCAGGGCAAGGTAGAGGTGGTGACACGGATTTGGGGCATTTGAAATTGGGAATTGGGTAATGGGCATTGGGTAATGAGGGTTTGTTTCGTTCGTTTTTCTTCACGATTACTTGTTGATTTGGCATTCCAGCAGCCTTTTCACAGGTTGCAGAAACTTTGCAGCCGGGTGTTCGCATCCTGCACATCCGCCCCTGGCCGCTAATGCAAGTGTTATTCGCGGCGTTTGCAGATCGCCCTGATCTGCGGCGTCCCGCGGGGAGTGCCGGATTGGGCTTGGCTTGGCTGTTGGTTCGACACTCGACACGGGAAAAGCTGCTGTTGGTTGGGATGGGGAAATGGTGGGAGAAGGGGAAATGAGGGAAAGGAGAAAAGAGAAGTGAGAGAGGGAGAGGAAGCGGAGTGAGGGGAAGGACAAACTCAACTCCAAACTCCATGCGAACTCCCTCAAAGAACTGATCACGATGGTAATCATCCTCCAGCTTGTGTCACTGTCAAACCAGAAACACCACGCCGATGTAGCTCATCACAGACAACCCGCCGCATCATGACACCTGACGACGCGCATCTCGCATTCCAGTGTCAGATTCGCGAGTGTGATGCGGAAGCGCGAAACAAAAACGCAAGAATCGGACGTCCTGCCGAGTCTTCAGCTCTGCAAGTCTTCAACAAATGGAAGTCTTCAGATCGCAACTCCGCAAGAATCTTCAACAAATGGAATCTTCAACGTCAAATGCAACAGCTGAAGAGGACAAATGAGTGGCTGAATGGCTGTCCTCGGTGGCCGAGGCCCGAGGAGGAGAACAAGTTGGTTGTTGGTTGATCCCCCGGCTTCACCTTGATCCCCTTGTTCCCGGACTCTCCGCCCGGCCCGCCGGGGGTCGGACTTTCTTAACACTGCACTGCGCTCATCTTTTGTGCCAGGCCGGACCCCGATCTGCGCTGAACCCGACTCGCCGAAATGTTGAAGTGGGGCCGAGATCCGACCGGCCCCGCTGGCCCCACATCCCCGCGCAGTCCGGAGTTTCTCGAACGGAGTGCGGCGAGTCGGACGAGTCGGACTGGATTGGTGGGCCGTGTTGTGGGCCCCACTTGGCGACCCAGGACCCTGGGACCAGGGAGCGTGTGGGATTGGTTGGTTTTTTGGACTGCGTTTTCTTTGATTTTGGGTGTCCTTTTGAGTTTTTTTTTTTTTTCTTTGGTTGAGCGTTTTTCGTTTCTTGTTGAAGAGAGGCAGATGTGGTTACACAACGGCTTATGAGTTATTTCTTTATTTCTCAATTAACTCAATTAAGGCAGAAAATACCTTGCGAGATAAGGAAACCGACTTAATTCGACAACAGCAAAAGTTGATTCACCTCGCCAGTCATCATCCCCCGACCGATCGATCTCCACGTCGCTGTCGGCCGACCGCCACCAGTTCCACTTTTCCCGGCCCCAGCTGAAGAAGATCTCCCCACCTCGGAGTTAACCCCTGGTGAACCAACATGGCCCGGAGTATCTCCCACCAATTCAGCCTCTTCCCTTGTTTCTCCTTTCTCCAGCAGCTCGTCGGTCTTGGCTTTTATTTCTGCTTGTTGGTTGTCCACAGCTGGACTCGTTGGTTACACAGCCAGCCACGTCTGGCCATCCACAACGAAAAAGAACCAGAGTTTGTCTGCTTCTCTGGTACCGAGAACAGATCTGGGCACAAACACAGCTGAAGACGGTGATCGCCCGGGCCGATATGGAGACGTGATGAGATGAGTTGAGTTGACAGTGATCGTGACGGGTTGCCGGCCGGGTTTGCGTTTTGGGTTTGAGATATCGCATGGCATGGCTGGCTTGACGAGCTGGACTCGTGGGAGGAGGGTATCCATCCACTTGCAGGATCGAAGTTCCCACGCTGTCTATCCGTCTGTCTGTGTGTCTCTCTGTCAAATCCCCCCCCCCCCACGAACCCTGTCACACACAGCTGGCTAGTCAGTTTGTCCGCTCGTCCGGGCATACCTCCGTTCATGGTCGGCAGGTCGGCTGATAGACCGAGAACGGGCGGATTTCGCGGCTGTTGTTTGTTACTCTCTTCCTGGTCGGTCTGTTGACCTTGCGAACATCCCCCCACCCATGTCCGGATCTTTCTTGTCACCCACCCCGCTTCTGCCATCTCGCTTGTTGGGTGGGTGATTTTTTCTTGTGTTCCCTTCCCTTGTTCCCTTGTAGTATCTCCGCATGTGGGTGTGATCGAGATCCGGCGCAAGCAAGCAAATGTGATAAGGTGGGATCGCGCCCGGGTTGCATGTGCTTGCTTTTACTCTTCTTTACAAATACTCGGTTTACTTATAGCTGGACCCGCCGTGGACTTTGAGCGGATTCTCTGAGTTGAACTTGAGTTATCCTGGTTTTTTTGTCGACTTCTTGACTGGAGTTGTCGCGCTTGGAATACGCTACGTGGGTCCACTCCGCGCCAGTCTGTTTCTAGCATTACCTCTTAATTACTCTCTCGCCATCCCACTCTCACCTGGATCTTTACCTCGACGACTCACCTTATCTCCCACTTTACTTACTTTAATTGATACCCCCCCTCACCTCACCAAACACCCTTCACCCAGATACCACCACACAACACAAACAGATACAGATACACACGCCCACAATGGACCCCATCGCGATCATCGGCATGAGCTGCCGGTTCGCCGGGGACGTCGACACACCGGCGAAACTGTGGGAGCTCCTGGCCGAGGGACGCAGCGCGTGGTCGCCGATTCCGGAGGAGCGGTTTAACGCGGCTGGGTTTCAGCACCCGAATACTGAGAAGTTGAACGCAGTACGTTTTTTACTCCTCCACTCGCAAGGTGTTGTGGGTGTTTTATTTGGGTAGGAGGGAAATGCTGACTGTGGTGATAGACCAACGTGGTGGGCGGGCACTTTTTGAAGGAGGATATTGGGTTGTTTGATGCGAATTTTTTTAATTTGTCGGCTGAGACGGCGGCGGTAGGTTTACTCGGTCTTTTTTAGTTTACCTTGCGCTTGTTTGGTGTGTGGTTACTGACAACAACAGGCCCTCGACCCGCAGTTCCGGCTGCAGTTAGAGTCCACATACGAAGCGCTAGAGAGCGGTATGTCTCTTTCTCTCTTTCTTCTCCTCTTATATGGAATGTCTACTGATGTACAATTTAGCCGGCCTCACATTACAATCCGTCGCAGGCAGCGACACCTCCGTCTTCGCGGGCTCCTTCTTCCGCGACTACCACGAAACGCAAATCCGCGAACCCGACTCCCTCCCGCGCTTCCTCCTCATGGGCACCGGCGCAGCCATGGCGTCCAACCGCCTCTCCCACTTCTTCGACCTCCGCGGGCCCAGCATGTCCATCGACACGGGCTGTTCGACCACGCTAACCGCCCTCCACCAGGGGTGTCAGAGCCTGCGCGCAGGCGAGTGCGGCATGTCGATCGTCGGGGGCGCGAATGTGATGTTCAACCCGGATATGTTTTTGGCGATGTCGTCGATGACGCTTATTTCGCGGGATGGGAAGTCGTATGCTTTTGATCATCGCGCGTCGGGGTATGGAAGGGGGGAAGGGACGGCGGTGGTGGTGCTGAAGCGGTTGGCGGATGCGCTAAGGGATGGGGATCCGGTGAGGGCGATTATTCGTGATACTGGGTTGAACCAGGATGGTAAGACTGAGACTATCACGACCCCCTCTGGGGAAGCGCAAGAAGCGCTGGTGAGGGAATGTTACCGGCGCGCGGGGCTTGATCCGGCGCAGACGGCGTACTTTGAAGCGCACGGCACGGGCACGCCGACGGGAGACCCGATCGAGGTGGGGGCGATCGCGAAGGTGTTTACCCCCGAGGGACGGGCACCAGGAGAGGACGGGAAATTGAGGATTGGGTCGGTCAAGACGAATATCGGGCATACGGAGACGGCGAGCGGGTTGGCGGCGATTATTAAAGTGGCGCTGGCGCTGGAGCACGGGCAGATTCCGCCGAGTGTGAATTTTGAGAGGCCGAATCCGAAGTTGAGGTTGGGAGAGTGGGGGTTGAAGGTGCCGACTTCGTTGGAGGCGTGGCCGGAAACCGCCTCGAGTCAGGGGGGTGTTCAGGGAGGGGTGAAGAGGGCGTCGATTAATAATTTTGGGTATGGCGGGACGAATGCCCATGTTATTATGGAGTCGCTGGATTCTTATCTTTCGTCCAACGCCAACGGGCATTCTCTTACCAACGGACACACCAACGGCGTCAACGGTCATTCCCACACAAACGGAATCAACGGCCACGCCCTCACAAACGGCAACCACCCCATCAACGGCCACAACCGCAAAGACAGCGGCATCTCCATCTCCTCCTCCGACTCCCCCTCAGAAAACCCCTCTCCAGAAACCATCCACCCCCACCTCTTCACCCTCTCCGGCAAAGACGAACGCGCCACCACCCTGATTGCCACCAACCTCGCCACCCACCTCTCAACCCTCCCTCCTTTTCCCACACCACAAGACGAGAGCGTGTTCTTGTCTAACCTCGCACACACCCTGAACCACAGAAGAACCCAATTCCCCTGGATCTCCACCTTCTCCGCCTCCTCGCTCTCTTCCCTGGTTAAGACTCTTCAAAGTGGACGGGTGAAGCCTGTTAAAAGGGAGGGGGCAGAGGGAAAGGTGCAGAGGATTGGGTTTGTGTATACGGGCCAGGGAGCGCAGTGGTGGGCGATGGGACGGGAATTGGTGGATGTGTATCCCGTTTTTGAGGGGGTTTTGGGGGAGTGTAGTACGGTGTTGAGGGGGTTGGGGGCGGAGTGGGGTGTTGTTGGTGAGTTACTCTCTCATATTTCCTTCCTAGCTTTCCAGTTCTGGGTTTTGGGGGTGATAGGGGGTGTTTCTTGGGTGTGATGTTGGGAGTGATAGGGGGTGTTGACTTACTTCCGGATTGGGGAGTTTGTTTACCCCCCTTTTCCACTTCCCCTTATCATCACCTTTGCTCGATTCTTTTTTTCCCTTCTCTCTTGTTACATCTGCTAACGCATAGTTTAGAGGAACTCTCCCGCGACGCAACCACCACCCGCGTCAACCAACTCGAATACTCCACCCCCGTCTGCGTCGCCGTCCAAATCGCGCTCACCGTCCTCCTCTCTTCCTTCGGCATCCACCCCACCGCCGTGACCTCCCACTCCTCTGGTGAAATCGCCGCCGCCTATGCCGCTGGCGCTCTCGATTTAGAGTCCGCCATGACCATTGCCTACGCCCGTGGCGGTATGGCGTCCGAAGGGAGCAAGTCCTCCGTCCTCAAAGGCGGGATGATTGCCGTGGGCCTGGGCGCGGAAGAAGGGAAGAAATGGCTTCCCAAAATCAAGGCCGGGAAGGTGGTTCTCGCGTGTGAGAATAGCCCGAGTAGTATTACCGTCTCGGGAGATGTGGATGGGATCGAGGAGTTGGAGGCGACGCTCAAAAAGGAGAATGTGTTTGCGCGGCGGCTGAAGGTGGATGCCGCATGGCATTCGCATCATATGGAGGCTGTTGCGGACGCGTATTATGCCGCAATGGATGGGAAGATTCGGCCGGCGAGCGATAAACTCACTGTTGCCTTCTCATCCCCCGCGACCGGGACCCGACTGGGGGATATTGCCGAGATTGGCGCGCCGGGACATTGGGTGCGCAGTCTGACGGGACCGGTGCGGTTCGTCGAGGCGTTTACTAGTATGGTGTTTGACGGGAAGTCGGAGGAACCAGCGGTGGATATGGTCATTGAAGTCGGGCCGCACGCTGCGCTGTCCGGTCCTATCCAGGATATCCTCGGCCTGCCCGTGTTTGAAGGGACCACCATCCCGTACGCGAGCTGTCTGGTGCGCAAAAAACACGCCGTCGAGACCATGCACGCTTTGGTGTCGACCCTCATCCAGAAAGGTTATCCCACCCTCGACCTCGCAGCAGTCAACTTCCCCCTGGGCACCACCGGTCTGCGGGTCCTGCACGATCTCCCGCCGTACCCGTGGAACCATTCCACACGGCACTGGATCGAGCCGCGGGCTAACAAGGCCTTGCGCGCGAGAAAGGGGGCACCCCATGATTTGCTGGGTGCGCTGGTGCCTGGAACGAACATGGCCTCGCCGACCTGGCGGCATTTTGTGCGCATCAACGAGCTGCCGTGGGTCAGGGACCATGTCGTCCAGGGGGATGTTATCTACCCGGCCGCGGGGTATCTCAGCATGGCTATCGAGGGTGTCGCGTTTGTTGCTCACACCCAAACCCCGGAGAAACAAGTCAAAGGGTATAGGTTGAGAGACGTGGAGATTACCAGCGCGTTGGTAGTCCCCGAGACAAGCGAGGGGATTGAAGTCCAACTGTCCCTGCGGCCGTGTACTCGGGCGTTGGATACCGTTGGGTGGACCGAGTTTGTGGTCAGCTCGGTGACCCTCGAAAGCAAGTGGACGGAGCACTGTCGGGGGTTGATCCGGGTGGACTACTCCCCCAAGACCAAAACCATCGACCAACCCACCCAAGACTCGGCCTACCGCGTGCGCATCTCCCCCAAGGACATCTACACCGGCTTACAGTCCGGCGGGATCAACCACGGCCCGGTGTTCCAAAACATCACCTCCATCCGCGCACGGCACAACCAGTCGGTGACGGCCTTTGTCGTCGCCGATGCGGCAGCTACCATGCCCAAGGGCCATCAGCACCCGCACGTCGTCCACCCGACGACCCTGGACTCGGTCTTCCAAGCCGCCTACACCGCTCTACCCGGCGCCGGCAACCCCGGCAAGGACACCCCCAAAGTCCCGCGGTCGTTCAAGTCCCTCTGGATATCAAGCGATATCTCTTCTGTCCCTGGAACCGCTCTCAAGGCTCTTACTGCCCTAGAGTCAGTCAACACCCAAACCATGACCACCTCCATCACCGTGGCCCCCGCTTCCCAGGGGAATCCGGTGATAACGCTGAGCAAATTCACCTGCCAATCAATCGGCACCCCCCCTTCCCCCTTGCCAGCATACCACCACCAAAAATTCACCACCACCACCTGGACCCCCTCCACCGCCCACCTCACCCCTTCCTTCCTCCAACAGCACCTCGGCACCCCCATCTCTGCCACCGAATCCGCTCAACTCATCGATCTCCGCCGCGCGTGTCTGATTTATATTACTCATGCCCTTTCGGGACTCACGACGGCGGATGTGAAGAAGTTGGAATGGTTCCAGCGCAAGTTTTATTTGTGGATGCAATTGCAGGTTGAGTTGGCAAGGACTAATCGGCTGGCGCCGGATAGTCAGTTATGGCTTGCGCAGGCGGTAGCAGCACCCACCAACCCGAAACTCCTGGCCGAACAGCAAGCTTTCCTAAAGCGAGTCGAAAGCGACAGCACAAACGGGGAGATTGTCTCTCGTCTTGGAGAGCAAATCGTCTCTATTCTCCGCGGGGAAGTGACGGCGTTGCAGGTGATGCTTGAGGATGGACTGTTGTCGCGGTATTATTTGACGGGACTCAAATGGGCTAGGGCGAATGGGAAGCTGGCGAAACTGGTGGCGTTGCATGCGGCGCAGCATCCGAGGGCTAAGATTTTGGAGATTGGTGGTGGCACGGGGGGTGCTACTACCCAAGTCCTTCGGGAACTAGCTTCCCTCCCAGGAGGCGGGGTAGGCGAAGGGGTTGGGTCGTACGACTTCACGGATGTATCATCCGGTTTCTTCGAGGCAGCGAGAGAGAAGTTCAGGGACTGGGACGGGGTGATGCGGTATCGGAAGTTGGACGTGGAGCAGGGCGCCGCGGAGCAGGGGTTTGAAGAGGGGAGTTATGATGTGGTGATTGCGTGTCAGGTGTTGCATGCGACGGCGTCGATGGAAAGGACGATGGGGAATGTGAGACGGTTGCTGAAGCCGGGGGGGAAGTTGTTTGTTATGGAGACGACGAGGGATCAGATTGATGTGCAGTTTGTGTTTGGGTTTTTGGGGGGGTGGTGGTTGAGTAAGCCTTTTCTTGCTTTATCCGTTTCCCCTTTCTCATCTCTTTTCTTAGTGTTGACATATTGCCTATTCGGGTAATATGTTTACATTCCCACATCCTTTACTTTAATGGATTTTCACTTGACGGGACTTACTAACTGGGACCTCTAGGCGAAGAAGAAGAACGCAAATTCTCCCCCTCCCTCAGCATCCCCATGTGGGACAGCGTCCTCCAACGCACCGGCTTCCGCGGCGTCGAAGCCGAAGTCCACGACTGCGACGACGAAGACCTCTACTCCTTCAGCATCATGACCTCCACCGCGACTCCTCCCCGTCCCAAATTCGACTTCGACATTTCCCTCGTGACCGTCGGAGACGACGTCCCAGCCGACTGGCTCGACCAGCTGCGGTTGTCTATCGGTTTGTTGACTTGGACAGTGCCCACAGTCGGCACCCTCGAATCAGCCGCGCAGAACCCACTCGAAGAAGACACCAACAAAGTCACACTGCTAATCGACTCCCCCACGCACCCTGTCCTCGCAGCCCCGAGTCCAGCTTTGTTTGCAGGTATCCAGGCAGTGTGCACGCGTTCCCGCGGTGTGCTATGGTTGACCCACGGCGGCGGACCGGCGAATACCAATCCGCTTGCGAGTCTTGCGCCGGGGTTTTTGAGGGCGTTGAGGCAGGAGTACAGGGGTAAACCGCTGGGTACGCTGGATCTGGATGCGGCGAGGGGGATGTTTAGCGACGGGAGTGTGGCGGCTGTGACGGGGTTGTTTAAGACGTTCTTTGCGGAACCTGTTGATGGGACGGTAGGGAGGGATTATGAGTTTGCGGAGAAGGAGGGGGTGGTGTACGTTCCGCGGTTGGTTAAAGACCGGGAGCGTAACGCGCGTGTCTATGCCCCCCCGGCCACCTCCGAGAACACCACGGAGGATACCCCAGCAGAAGAAGAACACCTCGAACCCTACCTCCAACCCACCCGCCCGCTTCACCTGGACCTCACCACAAACAAATTCACCGACGACCCTGCCGCAACCGTCCCACTACCAGATGACTTTATCGAACTCGACCCGCGGGCCTTTTCCACCCCCTCTTCGGGACGACCAGACGGAACGACAGACGGAACCACAGACGTAGCAGGCCTCATCGCCCGCGCCAGCCCAACAGCCGCAGCGATGGGTCTCCGCGTCGGCGAGCGCGTTTTGGCACTCCTCCCCCCTTCTCCGTCTGGATCTGCTGCAGAGACAGAGTATGCTAGTCGGCCCAGAACGCACTGGTCTACTGTCGTCCCTCTGCCCGCCAACCTCTCTCTCCCAACTGCCGCAGCGCTGCCAACGGCGTATACCACCGCCTATCTTGCGCTGTATGATATTGCACGACTCCAGCCGGGTGAGAGCGTGTTGGTTCACGAACTGGGATCGACCACCGCTGCGGGGGTTATCAGCGTTGGCCTAGCAGCCGTGCAGTTAGCCCAGCGTGTGGGGGCAGAGGTGTACGTTACTGTTTCCTCCGCCGACGAAGCACTCTTCGTCCAGACCAAACTGGGTATTAAACCCGAGCGGGTATTCACTTCCCCTCCTGCAGACGACATAGACGAGTTTGTCGACCGGGTCAAAGAAGTAACCGGCGGAGAAGGAGTCGACATAGTCCTCACCACCCTGCCAGGTCCCGCTCTGCAGACCGGTCTCGCATGTCTCGCGCCCCTGGGGAGACTGGTGGATGTCTCGCCTGGAGAAGACGCCGCTGCGAACAAGACACTGGCCATGGAGGCTTTTGGAAGGGGGGTTACGGTTTCGCGGGTGGATGTCCCGGCGTTGGTGGCGAGACGGCCGATGCAGGTGAATAGGGTGTTGAAGCAGGTTGTGAGGTTGGTTGGGACGGGGGAGATTGGGCCTATTGAACCCGTTGAACCTGTTGCGTTGAGTGAGGTGGTTAAGGGGGAGGTGGGGGGTAGGGTGGTTGTTGTTGGGCCGGAGACTGTCGTGCCGGTGAGTTCGCTCCTTTTTTCCATTTACCCATCCATTACGCTGTTACTCGTTACTAACAGAACAGACCACCAAACCCACCGAAAAAACCCCCATCCGCCCCGACGCTACCTACCTCATAATCGGCGGCTTCGGCGGCATCGGCCGGTCCATCGCGCACTGGCTGGCCGCCCACGGCGCGCGCCATCTACTCGTGCTATCCCGCAACAGCGGCGGCAGCGCGGGAAAGGCCCGGCTGGCCAGCTTGCAGGAAGAGCTGGCCGCAGCGGGTCACAAGGAGGTCAACGTGTCCGCAGTGTCGTGCGATATTTCGCGCATGGATGAGTTGAGTCGCGTGCTGGATGCGCATGTGTTGGCGCGGAAGCCGCCTATTAAGGGGGTTATTCATGGTGGGATGGAGTTACAAGTAAGTCCCTTAACCTTCTGACTTTTGACTTTTTTCTTTTTTTTTTTCTTTTTTTTTCTTTTTTTTTTTTTTGGTCTGGTTTACTAACCAAGATACAATCAGGACGCCGTCCTAGAACACATGACCCCCCAAACCCACCTCGCCGCCCTCGCCCCCAAACTCCTCGGCACCCACAACCTCCACACCTACTTCTCCCGCCCGACCGACCTCGACTTCCTAATCCTCCTCTCCTCCCTCGTCGGCGTCGTCGGTTTCGCCTCCCAAGCCAACTACGCCGCCGCCGGCGCCTACCAGGACGCCCTCGCTTCCCACCGCACTTCCCCCGCCGGTGGCAGTTTGCCCTGTGTGGCGCTGGATCTGGGGATTGTGAAATCGGTGGGGTATTTGGCGGATGATGACCGGGAGGGGCTGGGGAAGACGATTGAGAAGTTGAGGTATCATGGGTTTACGGCGCTGAGTGAGGAGGATGTGTTGGGAGCGATTGGAGAGGCGGTTAGGGATCCGATGGGGGGGCAGTTGAGTTTGGGACTTAACACCGGGCCGACGAAGGGGGATATGTCGGGTTCGCCGATGGTTACGGATTTGAGGTTTGCGGGGTTGGCTTATCAGCAGCCTGCTGCGACGGCTTCGACTGCTGCGACCTCCTCCGGATCAGCTACCGACCTTGCGGCGTTGCTGACCGGGTCGGGATCACCAGAGGAAGCCGCCGGTCACGTAACCACGGCGCTGGCGCAGAAACTGACAGATATCTTCATGCTCGGCGAGGGTGAAGTGGTGCCGGGCAAGTCACCCGCGGATTATGGTGTCGACTCGCTGGTGGCTGTGGAACTCAGGAACATGCTGGCGCTCAAGGCTGGTGCGGACTTGTCTATTTTTGAGATTATGCAGAGTGGGAGTTTGACGGAGTTGGGGGGTAAGGTGGCGGCTAAGAGTCGGTTTGTGGGGGCATAATGATGATGGATGATAATACAGGTGATGATGCTACGGGAGATGGGTGATCTGGATGGTCTAATGCTTGTTATTTTGCGATGATTTTACTCTACGGATGGTATCTGCTTCGGGTTTGGAGTTTTGATGTTTTCACGTTGGTTTTGATAGCGATGCTTGTTGGCTTTCTCTCTTAGTTGCTGATTATTTGGTTGGCTTAGTTCTCTGACAGTAATAAGTTGTCTATTGCTTCTGCGAGCTGCTTTCCATTTTTGCTCTTAGTTGATGATTATTTGCTTAGGTTTTGACAGTAACAAGTTGTCTATTGCTTCTGCCAGCTGCTTGACAATCCGATTTGATTTCCCTTCTTGGCTCGTCCTGCTGGCAGTCTCTGATTGGGTACCGTTACGGGGGAACAGCACTATCCAAGATCGACACGCCCCCTTGTTAGCGACATGTTAGTTAGCGCAGGATCTCGCCGAAAGTCGGAATATCCTCGAGATAGACTAGATGTTAATTCACCTGCTTAATGAGTTTTCATCTAGAAAAACAATTAACTTTCGGTACTTTTGCCCGAGGCATCTAATAAGTCATGAGTGTCTAAATGAATCCTAGCCACAAAACCACCCCCAAACTCTGTACGAAAGTACCTCTCTTGCTAACCTCTGGGACGGCATCGATCGCTGCAAGTGCTGATCCGATCCTGTGATCGGCCGCTTCCGCCAGCCACCGCCCAAGCGACCCCTCCTCGCACACAACAACGGCAAAGATCGCCGCAATGGTTCGATCTCGACTGTCGCTCAAGTTGCTGAAGATGATGATCCAAGGCAGCCTCGCTCCGTTATCTACCCACACAAGCCTCCGTTATCACTCCGTTTTTTTGACTCACAAACTTCCTGATACCTCTGCCCCCCTTGTAACTCTCAACTCCTCCCAGTCCAGCTGAATCATCCACACCGGCCACGCCCATCACAGCCTCACTCCCAGTGTAACACTCTCGAAGCTATCAACGTCGTACAGAACACTATCCCGAGCTATCCAAAACCCCCAGAGTCCCAAAGGTCCCAAAAGTCCCAAAAGTCCCAGGGCACTTCCGAGCCTGGTGTGATATCCCTCTCTGCAGCTTTGTACTACTCTTGTCCAACCCTCGGTAATCTGTACCACCGTGATATCTGCACCACCATGCAATCGCCCGTACATAACCGTCGTTCCTGCTGGTTCATGCTGGTTCCCGCTGCTTCCTGCTGTCCTACCTCGCTCGCCTCGCCCGCCTCGCTACCGGCTGTTTGGGCTTCGGGTTATGCCGTCCTACGCTACACCACCGTGGGGGCTGACGTGGTTGTGTGACGTCGTGAGTATTCTGGGTGTGATCGTGAATATTTCTGGGTGCCGGAATATTGTGTGCTGCGAATGCTGGTGTTCAGGTGCGGATTATGGTGTGGTTATTGTGCCCAGAATAGGATTCATTTTAGTGCGAGCGGTTCGGATTAGGACCTATGTGAAGTACAGCATTCGATAGCGCTAACTGTCTATCCACTACCCGTCTTGAGAAACTGATCTGCTGTTTGTCACCCTCCCTGTGGCAAGTCAGCTCGGGAAATCACCCCACGAAAAGCCAACCTGTAAGAAATCAGCCTCCCACCCACAGACATCGACCACACACATCAACTATCACACATCAACCATCACACTCATTATCACAACCATCACAGCTATCACAGGCACACACATTCTAGTCCCTTATCCGTCCCTTGCCCCGCCAGATCACCACTCCGAATGATCCGAACTCCAAGGCAGCCGCTGCCCCCCACCATCACACTCCCTCGCTCTCGTAAGCCCTAGACAGCTGAATGTGAAACATCTCCTCCCGCCTTGCGTTCTCCTCGGGGAACCTCGGTGGACCTTGGCAGACTACACCCCGCGGGCGAGGTGAGGGGCTATTTTGGGCATCGAATTCTGGGTTTCTCGCCGTCGGGTCGTATTACTTCCGGCGAACTTTGAATGACAAATACTAGGTACTGGTGGTATGAGCGCTAAGCATGCGGAGGGACTACACTGCTGATCGGAGATTACGTACTACTGCCATACTAGTCGGGCAGAAGGAACTCGTATCGGCATGGGAGTTTTATTCGACCCATTTGAAAGTGGGGAGATATTTCTGGCCATGGGGACTGAACCTGACATTTGGACAACAGTGTACTGCGGGCGGAGTAGTATCGAATGCCCCAAATGTCGAGGGTGCACAATTCGGTACTGCCAGTTGAGTACCGTTCCCTGAGCTTTGGACAACCGCATCTGGGATCACCATATCTTCAGGCGCGCCTAAAGGCCCTCGTTTCCCCTAGAATTTGTAAAGAAATATTACAACCTCGGCGTCACCCAAACCATCTTTCCCGTTCCCACTCCCAACGCCAGCGCCCCAAGTTGAAGGACAACATCTTCCCAGTGATCTACGCCCAGTTCTGGGAAAACTGGAACCGTCTGTGGCTTGTCTCCGGCAACCGAGAGGACCCGCTACGGCCATATTCTCTCCGGGTCGGTGCAGGCGGAAAACTTGACGGTGAGCCTTAATCCCCGAGTCACCTCCTCTCGTGACTGACCGAGTTCCTAGGGCCACTTACACCGGCGGTACGGTCCCATGTCATGGCCAACTCCGAAGGCGTTTTCCGCATGCAGCTATCACGTGCACCCACACGTGCACAGGCCGAGGGTCACCGAGGCCACAACGGGCCCAGCCCGTCACATTAGTCGTCTAGCATTGTGAGTTGTTGAGAAAATCAGTGTTGGGTAGAGAAGTAGTCTGGTGTGAGGCAAAGTGTTCCACTCGCTGATAAGATACATTCCGGTAAACTTTCGGAAGGCGGAGGTGCAAAAACAACACAAGGACCTCCCGATCATCCCTTCATATTCTTGAAAGATCCCCCACTTGACATCTACGTGCCCCTGTTGAGGTTGCTAATACAGAGTATCACTCCCGAGCCGCCCATCCTGCCTTGCTCCTGTCCCATGACCGGAAAGCTCGCTCGACGCTGCCCGCGGGGGCGTGATGAAGCCCGGTGCACGGATGTTGAGGTCTAACATCCCCATCAAGCGTGCCCCTGGTGGCGCCGGGTTTCCGGCTGTTCTGTTTCCACGTGTCGACAGAGCCGATGATTATGTCCTTCTTGGTGATGCCGCCAAAAAGGAGGAGACTCGATGCCAAGTGCCCCCATTGATGAGCTTCCCGTCCGACATGATTTGCATATAGACTGTAGCGAGGCCGCCCAGACATTCCTCGGCTATCTAGCAGGCCCGGGCAGAGTCATAGATGTCCTTTACGTAGACAAGGAGAAGGCGGACGTGGGGGGCGAGTACGGGCCTCGTGACTCCCCCGCCGACATGCTGAAAGAGTATTTTATCTAAGAGATAGGTAGGACAGATATAGAGGAGGATGCGAGGGCGCAGATTTAAAAAGTGTAGAGGCGGTTTAGTCTTGAGGAGGGCAGTCGTGGTTTGTGAGAGGTTGGGGGTCACTGCCAGTCAGTCCCTTTCCTGTAGATGCCTGCAGGCACTCCCGGGAACCGCAAGCTTGGTACGCCGGAAACTCGAGGTGCACTTGGTTCACATGGTGTTCAATATCGCCAATTTCTGGCCATGGTTCCGCTCCTTGTGTCTTGATTGCTCTATTCCTCTACTCGGCTTTCCTAGCAGGTGTGGCCCTGCCACACGCTACGTAGGAGAGAAGGGGGGGGGAAAGTAAATGAGAGGAAGAAGGGGTCAAAGGGAAGCAGATCCGTCCAGCCCGGCCTCTCCTAACCAGCCCTCACAAGAAACACTCCGGCCGTCTTAGGTATTCATCTCTTCGTGCGAGTGAACCAGAAGTCATTGGTGATCTTGAGCGGGGTTACCTGGTGAGGCTTCCAGGCTGCCAATCTCTTCCTCATTCTTAAATTCCCATGAGGAAGTCACTGACGACCTCTCCCACACAACTCTCCTCCTCGCCGCCGAGCTTGGCGCCGTCAACTACCTTAAGACACACCTCGAAGATTCAGGGGAGGCCCGCTGGCATAATTTCAACGTCTCCTTCCGCTGTCTTCCCATCTTATCCCATGCTGTCTGTCTTCCATTATTGGCCGAATTGACTTCCACGCCGGGCTTTAGCATGTATCCTTTCAGGATTTCCGCCCGCATCTCGCAAGAGGTCATTTCCTTGCTACTCACGTCTGGCGCCGACCCCAACTTTGCACACCCCACTAATCATCTGGATTCTGAGCTCGGTTCATCTACAACGCCTTGGAGATGCTGGTTAACTTACGCGGCTGACCCGAAAGAAGGATTTGGCAGGGCCAAGGTGAAGTCCAAGGCCGAGACCGCCGAGATCACCGTCATGTTTCTTGTCGCTGGAGCCGATCCCACAGAGGAAGTCCCTGGTTGGATCATACGATTCCTCGCCGATGAAACCAACCGGGATGAGTTGACAGTTTCACGGAAGGATCTCCTCCAGGCGATTGACGTACTGCAGAGGCAGGGAAGATGGGGATCACGGGCAGTTTCTGAGACCAGCTCGGCCGGCTCGGATTATCTTCCCGATAGCGGCGACGTCACCGATAGCGACGACGAGGATTGGACCTGTGATCGACACGAAGCGGCTACAACACTCAATGGGGAAGAAAGTGTGGATATTCTCATGGCCGACTGCATCGCGCCACAATCCAGTCTACTGCCCAGCCCCAGCAAAACACGGAAAAGAAGCAGATCAGCTTCGCTAGATGAGGGAGGAACCAACAGACTCGGAAAACGTCTCAACACCGGACAGGCATGAATATGATGGTGATGGTACAAGGCGTCAGTTCACGTTGGAAAGGGACGCCGAAGCGGACAGGATTCCCACTGCAACAACCAGCCGAACGGCATCTCAGCAGCAGACCCGTCTGTCCTACGGCGACGCGTCGTAGATCATCAAGGATAATCCCATTGGGAACGGCCTTTGATCCGTTCCGCGCTTCGTTTAACACGGTCTGCGCAGACAGGGGAATTCCGTGCACACTCGACGCGCCCGGTCAATTCGACCCCGAACTGGCCAACGATGTTATCGCCACGCTCGCGTATCCTCTCATCAGCGCCGGCAACATTCTCGTCCATGCCGCCGCACTCTCGCCGAAGTGATAAGCAACAAGAAGTAAACTTGATTCGCCAGTCGGCAAAGGTATCGTCCGGCCGCTCTGCGGTAGCGCCCGTACACCGACGCTGACGCCGTCTAGAACCTGAGTCGAGGTGGGTGTTGAAATGGGAAGGGCTGAAATGGAACTGTCACTGAAGACCGCGCTGATTCCCGTGAGCCCCGGCACTGACACGGGCCGAAAAGCGGCGGCTAGCTCGCTTGCCTGTTGGTCGCCCAAGTGAAAGTTTGTGGCTGTGCTTTGGGGCCGAAACCGTCGTGGCTTCCGCCTTCGAAGCACAGTCGCCAAACTCGTGAACACAGCGCACCACGGACATATCAGGGTCACCAGCGACAGTTTGCTGATCGGGTGGAGTGAGCAGCCAAGGAGCAAGCATGCCTTTTCCATCACACACACACACACACACACACACGCACCACGGCAATAGACCTCTATTGCGCACCGTCTTCTTGCACCTCCATTATGCTGTCACACTTTCCTTGTCCTGTCCTAGCCCTTTCCCATTCAAGGGAAATCTACCCGGCAAGGTCTGTGAAACTGATCGTGGTAACGCCAATGGTCCTGCCATGTGCCTGACAAAAGCATCGCAGCAACCCTTCATCAGATCGGAAATCTACGCAGACTTCGTACTCAAGGTCGTACTTCATCCCAGTCGCCGTTGTCTCTGTCCTGAATCTCGACAGGTCGACGTTCGTAAAATCCACACTGATAGTGCCGATTTGTGCGATCCCTACAGGTAATTAGGTACCGAGCCGTCAGTGACTGTCTTCAAGGCCAATCCAAGGTGAGGTAATAGAATTACCGGGGTCGTCTAGACGCTCGGGAGCCAGATCGAGGTGGCACGAGTACAGCGTGTCGTTAAAGACATATGAGTGACCTGACCGCCAAGTTCTTGTTACTGCGAACGTTCGGCGTGTTGAGTCGGAAAGCTCCGCACCCTATTATCCTCCGTTGTTAGGCATCAATATTATTCACAGGATCATTGATTCCGGTAGCTAGGGAAGTTGAACGTGTGACAACGCACCTTTCCGATCATCCATTGCATGCGCCCAGAACAATAGGTGACACCCCAGTCAACGAAGGCGTGTTTCCTATCATCTATATCCGGCCGGAACGGCTGCGCGCAATCGAAGCCGTAATGACGACGGCAGATCAGCACGCGCGGCATTGCTCTCTCGAGACCCCTAATCGCAGCGCCCCGAACCACAGCGGCTTGGCTGGCATAGAGTTGTCAGGACCAAAATGTGGGTGGTTAACTTCGAGGGAGGTAGGGGTAGAGAGATAAAATACCAAAAAAGAATAAGAAAAAGAATAACGTTAAGAAAAGAAAAGAAGAAGAAAAGTAAAGAAAAAAAGGGGAAAATAAAATAAGAAATGAAAAGGAAGAAGAAGAAGAAAATAAAGAAAAGAGAGAGTCAAAGGGGGGAAAAAGCAGAAAAAGGAATTGAAAGGGAAAAGAGGATAAAAAGGAAACAAGATCAAAAGGAAAAGAAGATAAAAAAAGAAGACGAAAAGGAGAAGAAAGACGGAGGGAAAATAAGGGGGGGTTATTACCAGAAATTAGGCCGGATGCATTTGATCCTGCCGTTAATAGCGCACCAAGCGTCTAATTCCCGCTTCAGGTAGTCAGAGTTTCCGAAGCCGCCAACAAGAACGATCGACTGTAGGCTCGTCAAGATCTAGGTGTCTACTCGCCTGGACAGCAGAAAGTCTCGGTTGTCGGCTTTAACTTACGTTGATCCGCTTGCCCTTGGTGTGGGAAATATGGCTGGCCTGCTGGCCGACGAGGCGAAGGATATCCTCGACGACCGGGTCAAACAATTCCTTCATGTCGGCTCTGTGACAAGAGGTAATAATAGTGAGCCATAATACGCTATGGCTGTTGACGACTTGGGGGGGGACTTACCTCGACAAGGTCACAGCCGCTTCATCCTCGTCGTAGTGCTCCTCGGCGAAGTCCCCTTGCAGGTCGATGGGGTAGATATCGAACGTGTCGTTCTCTGAGGTGCCAAAGCTCTGCTTCGCCTTCTCGAACGACGCCATGAACTCGCTCCCAGGGCTTTTTCGCCTAGGCGGGACGTTTTCGAAGGCGGCCCCGAACCGTCGCGTCATCAGGTTGAGGAAATTCCGATCAATGTACGTTGAACCGCATTTACCACCTTCTCAGTGTGTCAGTGGGTTGATTCTAGCAATATGTTTAGGGGACTCGGGCAGCGCCATACCGACGCCGACACAAATCTCGTCGAACTCGATAGATGGAAACGTTTTCCTGATGGTGTAGGTCGTGATATCCACAGTCCCCCCTCCGCAGTCGAGAATGAGAACGTTTTCCCCAGCCTGCCAGAATTAGGACACTAAACGTTTAGATGATTCAATTGCAAAAGGGGCTGCGAGGCCTCACCTTGACGGCATTCACAGACCCAGGGCGGAGGTCCTTCCTCAGTGCCGCTATCGCTGCTGCTTCGGGCTCGGCGATCATCCGGATTTCATCGAAAGGACGCGAGCCGAAGCCGGCCGCCTTGGCCGCCTCCCACGTCGCCGAACGCGCCTTGTCGGCCCAGATGGCCGGCACGGTGAGGTAGCACTCGATGGGGGTCATGTCGAAGACCTCGGGCGTCATGCGCATCTTCAGGTTGCCGACGACGAAGCGGTAGACCTCGGTCAAAAAGTCCTGGCACACCATCTGGGCGTCCTTTCCGCGTGGGAGATGAAACAGCGCCGAACCCGTGGCGTTGCGCAGCGACGGGTCGTCGAACTCGCTCGTCTCGGCCGACGTGTCCAGCAGGAGCTTCGTCCAGGAGCAGGATGCCATGCCCCGCCGCACCTCATAGCCCCAGTGGTTGCGGCTGACGCCTCGATTCTCGGCTCCGTAGGCGATGACGGTGGGTGTCTTCCAGTTGCCCTCCACGGGCCGTCCCTCGCCGGGCCAAGTCCGGAACACGTCGATGTCATCGATGCTTGTCTTGTCCGACGTCACGTAGCTGACGCCTGTGTGTAGGTCTGTTGTTAGGCAGGGCGGCCCCTTGGCAGAAGAGCGCTGTTGCGGCGGCTGGCGAATCCTCAAATCACACACTCTGGTAACTTACCCGTGAAAGTGGTCCCATAGTCTACCCCGAGGATAATCTTCAGTCTGTCGGCCTGGCGGCCGTCGTCGAAATGGCCGCGATCGGGTGCGTCGGCCACCATGTTGGAGCAGAGTTTGGAGAGTGGGTATGGAACGGGAAGTCGGGAGGCGCGCGGATATAGGTGTGATATGTCTCTCCTCGGTCGATTAGCCTAAACAGAGGCCAGGGCTCAAAGTTAGTTGTCTTGTAAAGCTGGCAAACGGGAGGGCTTGCCGGATCAGGCTCGGGCGGGGTATGCTTGGTAGGCTTCCATGCATGTCGTCTGCATGTTTCGTTGTTGGTACCCCGGAGCCCCAGTCACGTCCAATCACATGCAATCCTCATGCTCCTCAACCATTTTCCCGCCCCTACACACACCACCAGGCTTACCAAGTCCCAAGTTCCCAACGGATTAACACTTGGTTCTCGACACAGCACCGTCTCGCTGCCTGCCTTTCCTTCTTCGACTACTCCAAGACAGACGGCTAAGAATGGACGAGGCACTTCGGGACCAAGACACCGCCGTCTCGGGAAATTCCGCGCAGGCAGCTCATGCCAACAGACACCCCAGGCGGACCGAGGACCGAGACAGAGAGACCCGGTCCGGAAGAGCAAGAGGATTTCGATGGTTTGGGCGGCTCATCAGCTGGGATGACTTGGAAGATCAACCCCCTCGGGACGAGGCCGTGATCCGCGAGCTGCAGAGCCAGGTCTGGAGTGCAGAATCCCGGATTTGCCGCCTGCAAAACGAGGTCCAAGAGGCACACGACGAAGCCCAGAAGGCACGTAGCCAAGTCCAACAGGCATGGAGCCAACTCCGCGTCGAACAGGACACAAACCAGCGGCTCTGTCAAGCAGCCCAGTCGATCCGATCGGAGCGCGACAGCTTGAGCGTCAGCATCGAGAAGCAGGAGGCACAGATCCGCCAAGTCCAGGCCCTGGCATTCGAGGGTATCGGAGGCGACTCGTGGGCGGCGGGCGACGACGGCACGGTCCGAGCCGACCTGGAGAACCTGCACACCCGCTTGAAGAGCTGGGCGAAGAAGTACGCGGCCAACGACATGAGCGAGGTACTCAAGGGGCTGGATCCTGACGAGCACATTTCCTTCATCCAGCTCCTGGCCCCGGTCGTCCGACTCCGTGCTGGGACGCGAAACTCCATGGAACATCTCGAATCGACATCCATGAAGAAGAAGTCGCCTGCTATGTGCCTCCAGGGGCTGCTCGCGTACCATGTGTACGCCAAAATCATCGGCCGGCCGTTTTTTGCTCTCGGTGACGCTGCCGAGACACTACATAATGTGTACATGGCAATCCAGCAAGGTGAGATGAGATATCATCAAAGGGGGGGTTCCCACTTGGCTGACACTACTACTATCAAACAAAGTCAACGAACGTGAGTCCCATCTCTGGCGCTCCAAAACCCTCCGTCTCCTCTCCGCGCCGCCGTCCAACGCGCAGCCATCCAACGTGCATCCAGGGGACGGACGGCCCAGCTACAGCGCCGCTCAAAAGACAGTCTGCCGCAACTTGGCCATCGACTTCTACACCAGCCCCGCCCAGCACCTCATCAAGCCACCAACACAACCGGGCGGGGACGCACAAGAACAGGACAACGCATGTTTAACTGACCTCGAAGCAATCAGTCAACACGCAGGCGAGCTGTCCTCGCGGCTGTGGTCCCGGCAGACGGCGCTGCGCGTCAAGTCGCTGGCCGAGCTCAAGGACGAGCGGTTTGTGGCCCGTTCCGAGCTCATGAAAGCGCACCTGCTGCATCGGCTGTATGAAGACGATGACGAGTGTGACGGCTGGTTGGTCGGGGTTGTGACGCACCCGGCGGTCCTTGGATTTGGGAGTGGCGATGGGAGGGACTATACCGCGCCGCGCGTGTGGATGAAGGCCGAGGTGTGGCTGGCTAAGGATATTTGAGGAGTAAGTGAATGAGCTGTAGTTTCTTGACAATTGGGCAATACCATGAAGGAAACCGCCTCCTAGAATTTCCAGGGGTGCTCCAATGTGCAAGTTGGGTCCACCCGTCCCCCCCTTTTTTGTTTGATGCCACCCCGCAACCTTATGCCCAGGACGCTGTAGGTACACATGATAGGGACCTCTTCAACCTAAAGCAATTGCATTCCCACAAGCAGATTGTTCAACTACTATTTACTCATCCGTCAAGTAAATGACTCGAGAGGGTAAAAAACCAAAAGCCGAGTCACCGGGATGCAACAGGGGTTGAGGTTATCACACAAACGACAGTCTTATCGCCTCTCTCTCACACACACAACTACCGCAACCCCCCCCCCCAAGAAGCAAGCCGAACACGGTCGAGAAGCTTCTGTTGCGCATCAGCGAGAGACCAGTGGGCGATCAGGTAGTCAAAGCCATTCTGCATTCGGCAGCCGCCGTGTGTTGTGTGGAGACGCCGTCGACCCTCTTGGTGAGTCTGCAAGGTATTGGGTATTTCCACGATCAAGTTGGTTCCAGAGATTACCAATCTCGACGTTAAAGGTTCAGCTCTCGGTCACTGGCGTTGATGAGGCGGCAGCGGACCTTTTCCGCAACTAGTAGGAATTCACTGTGTGGAAAGTTGTGGTCGACACTGACTACCCTATCCTCATCAACCGGACGGATTCTGTCGACATGTCGGCACAGGGGGGAGGGATGGAACTGGGCCGGGCAGATAAAGAAGTGAGTCTCTTGGAAAGCGGGCCATGGAGAGCAGTATCTGGTGAATTACATGAGCTAACGCGCGGATATGTCGGTACTGATAATACTCTTTGTCGTGGACTAGATAATCCAGGGTTTTCCCAAGCAACGTACCTTGAGTCGATGAGGGGCTCTAGTGCAGATGAACGGTTCCCCAGTGCCGAATGGTTGCAGTCTGCCGGCAGTGGGATCTGATAAAGCGGAACAGGGTCGTACTGCGGTTCCTGGCGCACTTCCATGGCGAGTTGGGCCTAGTAACCTACCCGCATGTGATCATGACCGTCTTTTCAATCCTTCATTGCTACCGGAAATGCACTTGATGCACTTGGGGCCTGAGTAACGTGGCATGGGTACCACACTTGGAATGGAAGTGAAAGTGTGAAGCGGGAGCAGGTTTAGAATAGGAGCTCCGTTCGACTCAAGTCAGTTGACCATGAACTTCTCGGCTCTGAAAGTCCGTTTACAGTTGAATCAAGCAATAATTAGTTTTCCATTGAGTCCTGGAACAATGAGTGCTGACAACGTCGACGTGAGCCAAACTGGATACAAATATTTAGATGACTATCTGATAACGCCCCCAAACCTCCAGCTCTATACGGGTTGATCAACTGCTAGAGCCTTCTCCTCCGAAGGCCCGCCCCCACCCTATCGGAGAGTTTACACGTGCACCTACCTCCTACCTCCTACTTCCTGCATGATACATGGTGCCCAAATCGCTGCTCAATCACCCAACAGTCACCAACTACCGTAGCCAGACCATGCCTTGACTCTACCATCGGCCGAGGGGGAGTAACATGAGAGTTCGTCACGAGAACTGCGGCCAAAAGGAGTCTGTATGTCCAGATGCAGGTGACAGCCTTTCTCACGTCCGTCTACTGCCCTCTACCAGCTCACCTTCCACTGAGAGTAGCAATCAAGCGCAGCCTCGGAGATAACTCCCCTATCCTAGCCCGCATCTGTCGTCCGAACTGTGCCCATGCGCCGGTGCAGGCGCATCATGCACTCCTTGCTACATTCGTCCGTCCATTACCCCCTGATTTGAACTTGACGATTGTGGGGGCGCACAAGATAAGTAGCTTCGTCAAGGTGTAAACCGCGTCCAGTGCAAAGCGCGAAGCGCGTATGCGCGTTCCCCCGCAACGGAAAGAGAAAGTAGGGGTAGTAGTAACCGGGCGTCTTCTGCACACTGCACAGTAAAATCACAGGAAGCGGACAGCAGGTCGACAGGTTTGGTAACGTTGCAAAGAGGGCCGACGGCAACTTCTAGTGTGGTGGGATTTCCCATGTCAGGTAACCCGCCTAGTTGGTTAGTCAGTTAGGCAGTGGGCGGGTGGGCGCCTCGTCGGCGCATAGCACAATACTCGCTCCTTTGGCCCCCCTTCTGGCATTTGAAGTTGGGTTTGTCTGTTGGGCTTGGCCACCACCGAGGCAGGAGCCGGGCATGGTAGTGGCGACGGCGAAAGCCCCTGAATTATGCCTCGGTGGACTCGTCTTTTTGCCGTTCCTCTACTTACTGTGTAGATTCAGCAGCCAGCGCGCGCCGGACCGACGGCTTGGAAGCCTGAGGGTCAGGTACGGATACCACGCTGCGATTCCAAATCCCTCCCTTCCGACATGCCTATTTTCGTTGTCGCCCCCAGCTCCAGCTGTGTCGGCGAAAGGAACCAACGACGGAAATCCACTTTTGCAGGCGACCAGGCCCGTTGTGCCCGGCCTCCGGGGCCAACAATCCATTTCCCTTTCGCATGCCCCTCCTTCAATCTGTCGGGGCCCCCAATCAGACCTTCCCAAATGAAGCGGCGGTTCGGTTCCTGACTGGCGAGTGTGGGATGTAACCCTGGGTGCTGCTGGAAAGGAACTTTGTCGGAGGGGGGCTGTTGGTCGGGTCGTCGGGAATGAAGTGGGCGGAATGGAATCGGAGAGCGAAGAAAGGGAGAAAAAAGAAGGAAAGGAAAAAAAAGAGGAAAATATAACATATTGACGTTCTGGCTGATTCGCGTCAACTTATAACTTGTTTTCCCGCCTCGTATTTACCAACCTCGTATTGTTCATCCCCAACCTCTTCTCTCGGTTCGACACGACACATGCATTTTCCCGATGCCAAATCCTACACAGAATTCATAAGTGTCCTCACAGAATTAATCAATCTCCCGGGCATCCCCTCCGGCCCGGCTCCCAAAATCCCCTCGTCGAGACCCAACCGAGACAGCCACCCCTGAGGCGATCCAACCTGACACCCAAGCATGACCCGATTGAGGAACCCATCCCGTGAGGATGCTGCCCCGGAATGGCACCAAGCTGGCGAATCACAGGGGGTTTTCTGACCCCCATTTTTGGAGGGGACTTAAGCCCCACTTGTGTACAAAATAAAGAAGACAACGGAGCATAAAGCAAGCCATCAGGAGTGTAAATCAAGGTTTTGCAAGGATAGACTCAAATATTATCGATACTGAAGTTAGGAATGGCTGTGACAGTAATAACCATCAACCCCTATCAATGCCATACTGACAGTTTAGACCTAGGGTATCTGTTTGCATGTGCATTTTTTGGCCAGACTCCCCCACTTGCCCGATTCCCCCAAGTCGATTTAGAGATCTGACCTTCCGCATCGGGCAACCCCCCAGAAGGGAACCAGACCGGCTCGTGGCGGGTGCCTGGTGATCTGGCAGTCGGCGAGGGGCGGGGCGCATGTCAGTGCCGTGTGCGGGGTTTCTTGTTTTTGGACTCTTCACTAATGTAGTGGAGGTTTGGATTTGGAGGTTTGATTGATGTTAACTTTTAGGGTGTGGGAGATGAGAGTGTGTGTTGTTTCATCCATTTGAGCAGCTTATTGGCTCTGGGTTTCGACCATTGTCACGGGCCTGGCTCAGCAGCCGATATGAGAGGGACTGGTTCAGCTTGGTAGGTGCGATAACGATTAGGTTTTGTGGTGGTGGTGGTGGTCGCAGATGCAAAGGGAGGTTGCATTCTGAGGAGATGACCTTTTTGGTCTTTTGGTGCGTGAACTGGGGAGGTTATCCCCGCAGTTGGGTGTCTTTGGCCCTCGTTCCCCTAATGAGTTCAGAAAATACACTCTTCCGTGGAACTTCCTTAATTCCATGATCGACCGTGGCAAAGGGTCATTTCGGGGGCCGCCGAGTGTTAGCCAGAAAAGTGACCTGTCCAGATGGCCATCTCGCCTGTCAGGCACCACCCTACCATCTGAAGTAACCTGCTTGCTTGCATGCGGGGCGCGGGGGATGCCGGTGGATGACACGGTTGGTTCATGGTGGTAAGGACACGCGCAGGAGATGTCAGGTCAGGCGTGCACTCCTTTGACATAACAAAAAAAAGGAAGGAAAATAACAAAAAAAACAGGGGAAAATAAAAAAAGCCCGGAATATTCCCCAGAAAGCCTAGATGGTTCCCCAGAGACAAAACGACGCCTCCACATCCGCGGCAACGTTGCCGAAGTGGCCAGGCCGGGTCAGGGGGCCCACGAGAGGATACACGCCGGGATAAGGCCGTCGGCCGTTGGCGAATGGCCGCCTACCCGGCCCAGATAGCGGGATCATGGTCGTGGTTGGTTCCCTGTCAAGCGCTTGGAGGTTGACTTGGAGGCTCTTGAGTTTAACGTTGGATGAAGGTGGGATGGGTGGGATGATGACCAAATTCCCCGACCGAGGAACGGAACGCGTGAGCGGGTGTCTGAGAGGGTGCGCGCATGAGGACATGATACCGAGTGGAAGATGCGGTCCTGTCCTGAGGACACATATGGACGGGTTGGGTATATTAAGAGTCGTCGATCCGGACGGGATGTTGTTTCTTTTCTGGGATCCAGGCTATCATCGTCAACCCGGTTGTTGATTCTACGGTGCATCCTTTCACACTTGTATATTCTTGTTACATTCTCACTCTCCTTGACAACATCACACGATGGTCCTCTCCCTCACCAAAGCCGCGCTGGCCGCGCTGTCGCTATGCGGTCTTGCTCAGGCCTCGCCGTTGCCGGCTGCCCAGACGGAGGTCCAGGCCCGGCAGTCCTCGGGGTACAAGAACATGGTGTACTTTACCAACTGGTAAGCTAACCTCTGTCTAAGAGCCCATATGAACATCACTAACAAGACCAGGGGTATCTACGGCCGCAACTACCAGCCTGCTCAACTGCCGGCATCCCAGCTCACCCACATTCTCTACTCCTTTGCCAACCTCCAGTCTTCCGGCCAGGTCGTCCTGTCTGACACCTACGCCGACCTCGAGAAGCACTACCCTGATGACTGTACGTCCTTCTTTAAGTGATTTTAGAAATGTTAATCAATACTAACATGGCAATAGCCTGGAACGACGTAGGCAACAACGTCTACGGCTGCGCGAAACAACTCTTCCTCCTCAAAAAATCCAACCGCCAACTCAAAACCCTCCTCTCCATCGGCGGCTGGACCTACTCGACCACCTTCCCAGCCGCCGCAAGCACCGACGCCACCCGCGCCCTCTTCGCCTCCTCGGCCGTCCGCCTCCTCGCCGACCTCGGCTTCGACGGCATCGACATCGACTGGGAATACCCCTCCGACTCCACCCAAGGCGCCAACTTCGTCGCCCTCCTCAAGGCCGTCCGCTCCGCCCTCGACGACTACGCCTCCCAGCACGCTCCGGGCCACCACTTCCTCCTCACCATCGCCACGCCCGCCGGTCCCGCCAACTACGCCAACTACCGCTTCCCCGAGATCGCCGCCCTCGTCGACTCCTTCAACCTCATGGCCTACGACTACGCCGGCAGCTGGTCCAACGTCTCTTCCCACCAGGCCAACATCTACCCCTCCTCTTCCGCGCCAGACACCACGCCGTACTCCACCGACAAGGCAGTAAGCGATTACATCGCCGCGGGCGTCCCCGCATCCAAAATCGTCCTCGGCATGCCCATCTACGGCCGGTCGTTCGAAGCCACGGGCGGGCTGGGCAAGACTTACACGGGCATTGGGACAGGCACCTGGGAAGCGGGCGTGTGGGATTACAAGGACCTGCCGAAGTCCGGAGCCACGGTGCAGGTGGATAGCGCGGCGGGGGCGTCGTATAGCTATGATGCGGCGAGTCAGGAGCTGATTAGTTTTGATACGCCCGAGATGATTGGGACCAAGGTGGCGTATTTGAAGCAGAAGGGGCTGGGCGGGAGTATGTTTTGGGAGGCGTCGGCGGATAAGCAGGGCGGGGATAGCTTGATTGGGACGAGCTTTGGGGCGTTGGGGGGCGTGGAGGCGGAGCAGAATTGGTTGGATTATCCGGATAGTCAGTATGATAATCTGAAGAAGCAGTTTGCCTAGGGGGGAGCAGAGGGATCAGGACAGAGGGAGAGGGAAGAGGGCAGATGGGGGAGGACGTTATGATCACGATCTGACGGTGAGAGGGTTCGGTTGTTGGAGTCACCGACCAGTGGGTTCTTACCTTCGCTTGACTCCCATTTTTGTATATTTTCTCTTTTCACTTCTCTGTCTTTATTTTTGTGTGTTTTTACTTTCAACCTTCACTTCTTGTTCATACTAGGGCGGGTATCACTCGTTTACTCTACACTTCATGTACATACTCATTCGTTTAGCCTGACCCGAAGCAGCCAGGTGGTCAATATACGCTTCACATCTGTATAACTACCTATGTCACGGGACAACCCCCTGACTCAAAACCCCCGAGACCCATCGCAAGCAAATAATCCACAACCCTTGCTGCTCGCCTGGTCTCCGATCTCCACCCGGATCGGATCGAGAGGCTTGGAATCGACTCCGCCATCTCCCTGACATGATGATCCCGTGCTAGGTAAGAACCCAATCGTTGACGTTGGTGAACTTGTCGTATCCGGCCCAATCAGTCCATCTTGAATGCTGTAAAGTCCTCACCGATGACCAAAACGGGATCCAACGCCACGATCGATCGGTACTCTGCACAGTGTTAAATGCAGCCTGAATCGCATTGTTTGCCCTTTGTCCTCGTCATCGATCCCCCTTTACCAGGGGTTTTCAATGGCCATGGGTCATCTCTCAACCCGAAACCCATCGAGATCTGACCCGACTAACGGAACGCAAACAATGCATTGTATTCGTACCCCCATGTCCTGCAAGCACCCGTGCAGGTACCCGCCCCCTGAGATCCTGCCGTGTTGTTTGTCCATCCCGTGACTTGACGTCGCACAACCGCCTTCCCGTGCCGGACGCCCGGAGATTCCAGGATACCTTACTACCTCTGTATTACGTAGTTACACACTGACCGGAAATTTATTTTCTTTGTCCGTGACTCCGTCCCGTCTTTTCCCGTCCTCGCACAACAGCCATGCAGGTTCGATGGCCAGGCAGGTCCCGTTACCAGGACCGCGGTACCGACTACCAAGACACGGGATAGACGACACGGGATAGAAGGGTGATGGAATGGGGGTTAGGGGATTTGGCGAGATGCATTCCCGTGCCGTTAACGGTTGGGTGTAACGAGCGGGAGGGGGAACAAAGAAAGGATTTGCGCGTTTGTGGTGTTTTTAGCGGGCGTAGTAGAGGGGATTAGTTCGAATGTAGCGACAACAATCGGAGTCAACCCCGATTCAACCCTTAACCGCGGTGTATTCCAAATTCCCAGATGCAGGCGGAGATCGCGATGACAGGCAGCTGTCCGACATAGCGCCAGGGAGTGTCCAGGCTAACTAGGATATCCCGCATGTCGTGCAGTGTGCGATCCCATCCGGACGACGATACCGCGAAGCTTGTCGGTCCTGCGCCCGTCCAAGGCTGGGGTACTACAATCACCACAATTGGGGCAACCTCAACGCCGTAAGCACCTCAGCTGACGCGACCTTGAATCTCGTTCGTGCTCCAATTGCCATGGCGCCAGTACGTGTGTGTGTCCAGTGCATAAGAACGAGAGTAAGCCCCCCCCAAAACCCCTATTTCAGCCCGATGACCACCGAAAGCCAGCACCAGCTCACTTCGCGTCGTACAGCACAAGGGTCAGCGATCCGAACCATCTCATCACATTCCAGCCGCTGCGTACCGTACCACAAACCGGGCAACAACGCCACCGGCGCAAGCGAGCGTGACAAAGGCCACTCACCCACCTACCCAGAACCAAGGCCTCGGGTCGGCTTTCTGTGTGATGTGGCGCCTCGCTTTTTTTTTGTGGCTGTCCTTGCTATTGTGTGATTACATGGGTGGGTGGGTTGGTACATAAGCCTTGGGGGCTTGTGACGTGACGTGACGTTATGGATGGTGGTGAAGGACCCGAGACAATCACAGATGGTACTTTTCTCTTCTTTTCAGCTATGAAGGGGTAGAACGGGATTGAGAATTCGGTGTCTTTTTCTGGAAATTTGTTCCGTGGAATTGTGACGGATTCGGATGAAGTCAGTGGCGCAACTCTTGTTTCTGCGTTAATTTGACGTAAGACTTACGATAGGTTGTGGTGGATAAGAGGGAGGTTATGTCAATGTTGGTATTCGCGTAGAAAACAGTCAGATTCCATGGACGAAGTGTCAAACCTCAACCAAGACATAGGTATTTAGGTAGTTAATACACTCAAAGAGGACGTAGCCCTCGTGCCATGAAGACTGACTGCGCCAAAATACTCCAGCGACAACAACGGGGGCTAAGGAAGAGTCAGGAACATGTATGTGACCCCTTGAATTGTTCAATGATCAGTTGATGTTGGACGTCTCAGTCCCGCTTTAACCCTACACTACCGACCTTGTACTTTCCACCGCAAGCTAGAGGCCAGTCTTCTGTACCCTCAACACCATCAAATCCCTCTCACATGTACCTCTCAATAAGTAGCAGCCACCACATTGTTCAAGGCAGGAACCAGGCTATGCAACGTCTTCCGGAGTCGCCGGGCCACCATTAGGGTTAACTTCCGTGCGAGGTATTGAATTCGTAATGGAGCTCCAAACGTAGCTGGCTGTCTCACTATACTTTAGCAAACATTCCCCCCAGCCCTCCGTTCGCTGGATGCCGGACTCTTCGCATACCTCCTTTGAGTCGCCGCCGAATTCCCTACGATTCCCAAGTGATAGCGTATGACGGAGGTTCGAGACTTTTAGGGGAGTCGGGTGGATCAGTAAAAGGGGTTGGCACGGCTATCACTGAATGCGGAATCCCGCGAGTGAGGGTTTGTATCCGCAATCACCAAGTATACTAGGAAGAAATGATGTATCCTTGACCTAGGATAAGTGGAAGCATGATTTTAGTTTGATTTTGCAGACCTGTAGACAATGAACGAGGACCAAGAGATAGGTAGACATCATAACGCTAGCCACAGGTTCGGGCTAGGTGATCGATATAGTACCCAATTCCCTGGAGATGTGACCTCAAGAAGGTACCTTCGTCAAGCCGCGGGTTTCCGCGGAACTTCTCAGAAACCGATGAAGAGTGGCTCATGCAGCGACCATCTCCGCGGCCTCACGTCGTCTCCATTTTACAAGTAATTCTTCGGACCTGTTTCGCCATCTCTGTCGCAAGCATGGTCATTTCGAGCGAGAGGGCCGGAAAACTCTCTACATGGCTACTCATCTCACCCTCAAACAAGAATGAAGCGGAGGTCGAGGTCATCGGAACAACACCCCCAAGAAGACGACAAGAACCTTTCGGGGCCGCTAAGAACAGCATCACGGCCATTGGAGTTGTGGGGTGAAACAAAGATTCAGAATCTTCGCACCCCCACTGGATGAATGTTAGCCGGGCACACACCCGAGGCTTTTGCATATGTTTGCCTCTATCTGTATCCACTGGGGTTAACTCTTTCGACTGAAACTCGCTGCAGAACGTCAGGTGCATACTATTAGTAGCCTCAAAAATGGTCAAACTGAGACCTACGTAGTGGTGCATGTACAACCCAAGGCTGTCATTCCACACCATTGATATCAAAATAACAGTCAGGGTGCGTGCCCGCTGAGTCATCCTTCGGTTCCCAAATCTGTTGCGTTTTTTTGTTTTCAATAATTAACTGAGCTGACGTCGGCTCAAACCGGCGAGGAGAGTTGACAGCAGGTAACACGACAGTCTCCGCCCAGTCGAAGCAAAGAACTTTTGCTTGCTGTCGTGTATCGTGTCACTTGACCTTCCAGTTTCTCGAAGACAGCGAACCTAACAGTTGGCGGGGCTGGCGTTTTTGCCGATGTAACACGGGGACCGACCGAGCGGTTTTCTTTCATGTGCTCGTTTCCCTAGTGGGCCGCCGCGGCCAGTTGGGACTTGACAATCCCACCTTGGCCCCTTCAACGCGCAGAAAATCAATCTCGCCATGCAAAGGCAAGGAGGGCGGAAGATGCGGTGAGCGGTGGCAGAGAGGCCAAGGAGGGGTTTTTTCAAAGCAGTTGGAAGAAAGTCGCCGTTGGCGATTTGATGAGGACACTTCAGGGCCAGGTTCCCGAGAAAACCCTAGCTCAACGGCTTCAACCCCCCGTCTGTCCTGCTTCGTGGTTTTTGCGAACGAATCACCAGGCATGGCCGTACCGAATACTACCTTGTGAGTTGGACGCCCGAATAGCGTCGCTTTTGAGAATGCAGGCCCTGATGCATACCCCTGAGGAAGGCGGGGCCGGTTGCTGCAGGTCAACCAACATCCTCGGTGCTCGGTGGAGGAAGGAGATGTTTTTTTGCCTCGTCGTAAGCAAAATATTATGGACTCGGGAGAACTGTGGCTTGTCCGATGGCGGAGAAGGGCAGAAGTGGCGTCGGGCGGGAAATGGTCGGTTCTCCAGGCTGTTTTAGCCCCCATGGTCCATCCCGCCCGGTTTCGATTCTGGGACAGCGGATTGGACCGACCAGAGAATTCCAACGACGCGCGCCAACTCTAATCACGATCAAAACGGCTATGTGGCTGCTGTGCTTACCGAGTGGGAGGGCGATTCAGCAGCTTGTGTGACCCAGCGTGGGCGGGATTCCTCCGCGCAATTAGTTGCGACACGCAAAAAGTTGGAAGGAAAGATCGGCGCATTTTTTTTCTGCAGCAAGGTGCATGAACCCACCAACCCAACTGCAGGCGCGCTGCACGGGGAAAGAGGAAGGAGTCGCCTGGGGCGTGAGAGCGTGGCTCCCCTCGGTCCAGTGCGTGGCCAAAGTTTGGGTCGATGTACCATCTCTGTGTGGTGTGAGGAGAGGGAATCTGCTGGCTGACGAGGCAGAGCAAGCGAGGCGATAACGTGAATGTGAATTACGGAAGATAACGCGGGCAACGCCGGCTTGCGGGGCGCGGCTCTTTTGCGGCGTCGTATTTCCGAGCCGTCATACTATTTGTAGAGTCTTCATCTCTTCAGCTGTTCTTTTGCCACGATGCGTTCTTCAGCGAGTGGATTCTTGATGGATTGCCGCGTGGGTGGAAATTGTTTATCATGGCGAGCAACATTGTGGGAGTGAGGGTGTCCTGGTAAGCCCTCTGAACTGCAAGGGGTTTCCCCTCAATCCATCCATGGCGGTGAAGGGGGCCTGGCGTTATTTGCAGGGGATCGGCAACGGCGACTTATGGACCGGGGCATGACCGAGGTCGTCCGCTGGACGGTCGCTGTCCACGCCGGTCAGTTACGTTGAGAAACGGACAGGGCGCGGGGCTCGGCCTTCAGCCCGGCATCCTTGGTTGGGTGTTTTGCCTTGGGTTGTTCATAGAAATAGTCAAGAAAGAGAAAAGTTTCCCCTAACGGGCAGCATCATGCGACGTTTTCTGTCTTGCGTGTTACGTGTTGGACATTGGCTCAGATTGGGTTGGCAGTGTACCTGCAGCCAATGGTTGCAGCCACCGTCAATTGCACGGCCCGCCTGGGCGTTTTCTGTCTCGTTATGGGCGCCGGCGCAGGACCAGACGGACGGGTGCGGGAGGCACCTTCCAGCCAAGTGTGGAGCTAGGTTCCTCTAAGCATGCAAGATAGATTGGGTGGGTCAGCCAAGCAAGCCACCAAGCTGGTCTCAAGAGCAGTTCGTGGCTCGTCTGATGGAGACCCTCCAGTTTTGGCAATGCTGTGCAGAACAGGTCTTGTATCACGACAGCAGAAAGCTGAATGCGGTAGCCCGGGGGGGAAAAGATATCCGATTGTGGGTGGTGGTTTGCCTTTTGGCCAGCTTGGGCGAAGAACGGGGTCGTCGAGACAGCATTCGAGTGCGCAATCGAGCTTCCCGCTTTGGGATGTACCAGGATCAAGGATTTGTCCGGATCAATCCCGGTTGCCGATCGGCCGCTAACAATGGGAGCGTGGGGCGAGCATGGGCCAGGTTCAACCAGTTTGGGTCGGGCATTGCACCACGACTTCCTTTCCTATCCCGAGAACGCGAGGGCAGAGCCAACATGCAGGAAGGAGCCTCAGGCAGTTGCAAACCGAACGAGGAAAGAAGGGACCCGCGAGAGCCATTTTTCGTTGCATCAGGCGACGGTTCGTCCGCAAGGTAATTATTTGAGGCAGGAACAACCTGAGGCTGCCCCTTGAAGAGCCAAGGGCAGGTACCATGTTGAGCGTGGCTGCTCCGGAGATTTTTGGAAACGATTCAAATTTGGCGAAATCGTGAGTGGACTGAGCATGGCGATCGCAGCGCATCATGCCGGGTTCCTCGCCGTCAGCAGAATCTCCTCCGGCGCGTCACAACGGCAGGTGTCACGGCTCAACCAGCATGCTCAGCACTTACCTCCCCACCACTTCCAAGGACCGCCGGAACTGCCGGTCGTCTCATGGTCCCACCATGTCCATGTTGACTTGTGGTTCTCATGTGGAGCCCGAGCAGATCGATGCGGATGACGGGATGGGTCCGATGGGCCGGGGCAGCACTGGGATTGGGAACCACGAACGGCTCATGGCATAGCCGGGAGAAAGGGTACTCTGCACTGGATGCTCTGGAGGGGGAGGTTCGATCGGGGGAGGGGCGATTCTCTGGCCCAGAACGCCGAAAAGCCATGATGCTGACCATGAGAGACAACGAGGGGTACGAAGTACCAGGGATGGTCGTGGGTGTTCGCGTGTGTTCCCCCATGTCCTGGTTACCCATGTTCCATCCTCCCCCCCCCCCCCCCCCCAAAAACTTAACCCTCAAGACCCGCAGAAAATTGCCCCGGGTTTGCCAAAATGCGGAATGCCAGCCACCTTTCGCCTCGCCCCAGCTGTTGGCCACACAACCCGAAATCAAACCGAACAGGGAAGGAAACCTGCGGCGCCGCCCGGCGGAAACCTGACGTGCTTAACCCGTGGGCTTGTCCCCGAAACCCTGCAGAACGAGGACAGGGAGCAGATCCCCTCATGCCAGATTTATAGTCTGGCGAACCCTGCAAGGTTCGCGCAATCCAGACCCGGTCCGTCCCTCCCGCACTTGTGTCTAAAACTCATCCACGGAAAAAGTGTCAAGTTTCAAGTGTCCGAATCATCGACCGACCATCGCCATCTCGGGGCTCTTCATGGCCGGCCACAGGCGAACAGCAAGCAGTCACGCTGGGGTTGGCGGCTCCGGTCAGCCCAGACAGTTGCCCGGCTCGGCGTGCGAAGAGTGTCGCAAGCGCAAGTTGCGATGTAAGCATCACTCCAACTGGCATTACAGAAACAGATGAAAGGCGCACGAGACGGCAGCGATCCTACGTGTTGAGACGGCGGATGGCGCTCACCAAAAGGGTTGGCGCGCGTTGCTGTTCGTCAGATTTTTGACGCTGACTTGAAAACCTCAACCTTTAGGCGACCGACAGCGCCCACAGTGCGGGACCTGCGCCGACGCCGGTATCGTGTGTGAGGTCAACAACAACAGACTAGCTAGAGGGCCGAAGAAAGGTGACTTGAAGGCGCTTCGTAGTCGAATAGGTGAGCCGCTCACTCCTCCATCACGCTAAATCCCGACAACCCTCGGTGCGCATTTGGAGTAAGTTCAGGCACTAACATAAAACCCCGCGCGACAGTCGCATTAGAGCGACGCCTCAGTCTCGATCACGGCGTCGAAGCCTTGACGCTTCTGACAGACGACTCGACCCTGGCGACAACAACAGCGGACAACCGAGCGACCACATCGGGATCAGAAGGAGGCTCCCCGCCACTAGTATCACCATGTCAGAATCCGATGGGCTGGGACAGTGAGATGCACGTCAAGGTTCCTCCATTAACCCCGACCTCCGCGCCTCTCAGCTTCTCGACATTCAAGTTTCCGCCGACCCCTCCATCACCAGTAGCAGGCACATTCGTTGATGACTTGATGCGGGCAGACCTGTAGGAAAGATCTCATTTTATCTCAGTTTCAGACATGCCACGAGTCGTATGTTTCGGTCTCATCGCGCTAACGACACGTCACCTGCCAATAGCGATCAGCTGTACTTTGACAGAGTCCATCCCAATGTCCCAATATTCAACCAGTCTCGATACTTTGCGAGGGCGCGCCAAACGCCCCCCTTGGACCGGCCCACCTACATGCTCAGCCTCCAGTACGCCATGTGGACCCTAGCCATGGCGATGTCGTCTCAGTTTGAAAGCTCCCGCGAGCCGCTGTACAAGGAGACGCGACAGATGCTCGAAGCTCTTGATTTGGCCGATGACGATCTGCAGCCAGTGCGGATTGAGCAGATACAAGCCTGGCTTCTTGTGGCGTTTTACGAACTAGCGCGCGCCAGCTATCGTCGCGCTTCAATCAGCGCCGGGAGAGCGTTCCGGCTCGTTCAGCTAGCGCGGCTACACGAGGTCGACAGCCCATCCAACCCGACGGAGGAAGAGGATCCTGTGGTCAAGGAGGAAAAGAGGAGGACGTTCTGGGTGGCGTATTGTCTGGACCGGTTAATATCAATGAAGAGCCGTGGGCCTCTGACTCTGGCCGAGGAAGTGGTACGTCAACTCCCGTCAGTTTTGCTTTTTCGTCGCTCGCGTGGATGATTCTCATGGATCCCACGTGGTGATTCCGAACCGGTTACTAACCCACGGTGGCGTGATACTAGGTGTGTACCCGGCTACCCTCCCCGGAGCTGGCCTTTCAAAGCGGTCATCCCATACCGGGCTGCTTTTTGCCAGAGGCTATCGCGTCAGGAGAACACAACTTTCTTTCTCCACTCGCTGAAGCCGCTATCGTGGTTACAGTTTGTGCTCGTCCGCTTGCCCACAGTCAAGCGGCTGATGTAGAACGGGCGCTTGGGAACCAGTCACTTGACTTTTGGCTCCGCCACGAATGGCTCGACAGCATGTTGACGCGGACTCTCGACTCTCTGTCGATCAATACCCCTGTTGTTTCGGCTATGGCAGACCCGATGGTCTTTTTCGCCTTCATGATTGCCCACGCAACGACCATTTCACTCTGTCAAATCGCCGAGTCGACGGGAATAGACGGGAACTGCCGGCCGACACTAGTTGAGTATCAGAATCGGGCAATGCGGGCGGCGCGGGAGATTGCGAGAATGACCAAGGCGCACGAGCACATTGGGTATTTCAAGGTGAGACATCTTCCCCAACTGACACAAGAACTCTGTTGGGCGAAACATCACAGACACACCCCCACCAAAGGGTGCCCCTCTGTCAATCGTGTGAGCTGTCACCATACGAACCACGAGGCTAATGCAAGGATCCAATGACAGGCCCACATATTCATGCCTCTGGCGGTGTCGCTCGGGGCGTCACACCTCGCTGCTGACCGTAAACGCCGCGTCGGTGAACGGTACTCGTACCATCCCAGCCAGGGCTTAGATGCCGAGACCGAGTCAGCGCTGGACGGTGAGCTCGAAATCTGCATGGACGCGTTGCGGAAGATGCAGAGTTTCAACCATTTGGCGAGGGAGCACTTGTCGATTTTGGAGTCGCAGGAGTTTGTTTTTGTTGGCGGTGTCTGAGCGTCATTTTTATTTTCCATTTTCTCCTGGTTTTTCTCACGTACATGCGATATACCCAGTTTATTTATTTTTATTATTTATTTTCTTCTTTTTTTTTTTTTTCATTTTTCAGCTCTTACAGATATTTATTATCTTTTTAGTTATCTTTCTATCCCCTTTCACCCGGCTCATTTTGGGTTTCCCCGGCTTCCCTTGGTACCCCAGTTTCATTCATTTGGGTTTTCGGTTCCTCGGACTAGAACTGGGGCATGGCGCTCTACGCGCATTCCATCGCTAGAACGTCAGGTATTTATGATTGACGAGGAGGACATATGGACCCGACGGCGCTCGGGTCGGAACTCGGCATAGCCTGGAACTCCGAAAGGCGGGTCCGGCGCGAGATGGTACGACACGGAAGCGGACGGCAAGGAAAGGGTCGTCCGATGGCTCCGACAAATGAAAAGCTGGATCGGATACCGTTTTAGGAAAGAGAGCATGGGCTACGCTGGGCTACGCGCGGCCCGAGGGCGGGGTCTTATTCAGCAAAGGACATACCTACAGTAACCTGCATACCGGATGAGTAGGAACTTACGTCTTAGAAAGAGATGATTAAACTCAACTCGGGTTCGTTCGCTATGCTCGGGCTGTGAATTTGATGCCTGAGTGGGGTGCGCACTGCAGATAGATGCCTGTTGATGATGCGTTAAGACCCGTGGACGTTCGGAGCTCGGCATTGAATAGATGCGACTAACTTCGAACCTTTGTCATCCACAACAGGTGAGGGGAAAGACGATAAATACCGGTCGACTAGCCAGTTCATTTTAGCATCCCACCATCACCAATTTCAATCACCTGCTTCTACGTATTCCATCAACGCAGAACCGCTTTACGTCACGCCAACATGTCTACCCCCGAAGAGATCCAGGCCGCCAAGGCGTACGTGACGTCTTCCATTCTCCCGCCCACTTGATCATCCCTCAAGAGTACCGTGGTAATTAGAAAACAACCCTTTCACTAACATACCCCGCAGTAAATACGCCGGCCGTCCCCGCGAAGAAATCGCCATCCTCTACGACTACGAACTCGCCAACGCCCCTGGCAAGTCCATCGTCGGCCTCGACCTCCGCTACGCGCCCGGTGGCTGGAGCCCGCCGCACAGGCACGCGGGTGCGCAGGCGGTCGCTTATGTCCTCGAGGGCGAGTTCCTCAGCGGGATGAATGGGAACCCACCCAAGGTGTACAAGCCTGGTGAGAAGTTTGTGGAGTTGCCCGGTTGCCATCATACCGTGTCGGATAATGCGAGCATGACGGAGCCGATGCGGGCGATTGTGGTGTTGATTGTGGATACGGCGGTGTTGAAGGGGGAGAAGGGGTATGCGGCGTTGACGGAGATTGATGAGGGGTGGGAGTAGATGTGGATTTAAGCAGGATGGTGGGATTGAAAATGGGCAAATAGATAACGAGGCTAAACAGTGGTGGAATAGACGCAACTCTGTGTAAATCGTACAATATGGTCCCAAGATCTGCGGTGTGTGTGCCTAGAGTTTCCCCTCCACCTTCTTTTCCTTCTCCGTCTTCTCTTTCTCCGGATTGCCTGTTTCATTAACCCCCTTCTCCTCGGTCTTCTCCCCATTCTCCGCATCCCCAGTTGCCTCTACTTTCTCAGTCGTCTCTGCCTCCTCCCCCTTCTCTATCTGAGCAACCCCCTCCTCAAACAACGCCGGCTCCAACTCCACCATCCTCTCCCTCGCCTGCCCAACCATCTCCCTCAACGCAGCCCGATTCTGCTCAAACAGTCGGAACCCCAACTGCTCCTCCTCCACGACCCCATCATCCAACGCCTGCGCAATCTCGGCGAACCGATCACCCCACAGTCGCCACATGTTCGGCCCATTGCCATCCGCCCACCGCTTCCAGCGATGCATCCGATGAAACGGCAGCTGGTTGCGCACGCAGTTCTCATCAATGGTCGCGCCGGCCAGCAGGATGTACTGTGCGGCGGCCATGACGTAGCAGTCGAGCTTGGTGGGCTGGTGGGACGGGAACCCGGGCTCCAGACCCAGGGTGAGCACGTAGCCGATGCGGGGGAAACAGTGGATATACAAGTTGTTGAAGCCGGCGCTGGTGCAGCGGGCGCTCAAGGCGGCTGCGCTGACCCAGCGGGCGCAGGCGGCGTTGAAGTCAAGCAGGTTGAGCTCGTCGGTGAGGGTGTAGGATTCTACGTGGGGTTCTGGAGGAGGGTTAGCGTTCTGTAAAGGAAAAAGAAAGGAAAGAGAAAACTCCAGAAAGAAAGTAAGGAAAGGAGCGGCAAAGGGGTATGGTAAGCTCACCTGTATACGGCATGGCGTGAGAGAGCTCCCAACCAAACAAAATCTCGTTGCTCCAGATCTCCGAGTCGACCCATGAGAACTCGGAAGCCTACAGGGTATTGTTAGCACTATGCTGGGCGAAACCGCAATGCAAGCGCCCAAGGCACTGCGGTTTGATGTCATAGCTAGAATATCGAAGAAAAACGTACCAAAAACACCTTGGCAGTCCGGCCAGGCAGATCTCGGAGCGCCTGAAGTAGCTCGACGACCTTCGTTTGCGCCGGATCGTCGTATGGAGCCCGGAACGCGGCCTCAAACACCTCACTGTAAAACAGGCACAGGTACCCCGTCCAGCCCTTGTGTTTGCCGCGGAACCCGTTGTATAGGGGTAGGTATACCTCCTCATACAGGTTGTCGAAGCGCAGGGCCATTTCGGCGGAGGTTGGGCTGCTGCCCTTGTCGTATCCACACAATTCGGGGAGGAGATACTCCTTGAGCATGGCGGCGATCTTGAACACAATGTCCTCCCCTTCGGGGCTGCTCAGGATCGCGTCCAAATGGGGGCGCAGACCAGGGAGCACCTCATCCCCCTCGTCGTAGATTTTTTCATCGGGAAGGAGGTCGAGGGTTGCCATGTCTAGTGTTCAATTAGTCGTGCGTGTAAAGTGAAGCAGTTTTGGAACAATATGTCAATGTAGTAAGAAAGCAAACGGGAAGTGTGTCCGGAGAGCGAAGGACCCGTGTGGCGATGGTGGAATTTTGAGAATAAAGTCTCTACTTTTGAATGAATTGCAAGATGCTTTTCCATTGATCGGATCTGTAAGCAGGAAAGGGCAGAAATAGTAACTCGGCAACCAAGGGAGGCTTTGCTGTTGGTGAACCATCTTTCATTTGGGAAACGAGGAGCACACCAAGTATAGGGGGGTACCTCTGATTGGCTGAACCTGGTGAGTACTTCTGCAGTTGGTTCTGCACTGCTACAGTCCCACACGAGTGGGGCTAGAACTAAACTCCAAAAGGTGTGGCAGACCATCACGGCGGGTAATTAGCCGCTGGATACAAGGTCTGCACCATGAATTGATGAAAGTCTCCGCCCCCAAGCGGCTACGCGCCTAGACTGAGACGAAGCAAGCCAGGCCAGGCCACACTTGAAGGCCAGTCACATCATTTTGGAACGGTGGTAGGATTCCAGGAACATGACCGTTGAGGTTACATTGCATGAGTTCATGCATATTGGCCGTTGTTCCGACGCGCCTCACGCCTTGATCTTGTAGCCCGGCGGTTTGGGTGGCCCCAAGGTTCCATTGAGATGGTCGGTCGAGGTATTCGGCCCTCGGAAAAGTAGTCAACCGCGTCTCTAAAAATAAGGAACATGCTATGAATCGCGTTGAACCTAGCCGCACTACGGCTATTTCAGGAGATGGCATGGTTGTAGGCGCTGGGTCTAGGCTTGGAATTCTCAAAGTCGTTCTTTCGTTTAACGCCCGCACTGTGCTACTGACGGCCGCAAGATGCAACCCGTCAATCGCTGTTGGGCCGGAGCCGTAACGCGAGGACCAATACTAGTGGAAAGTCCTGGCTTTTCTGGTGTCCCGTTGTGATTGAGGTTCCATTATAGCTCCATCTCTCAGCGAGGCGGCTGTCTGAAACCAATGCGCCTTACTGTGTGGTAGGTAGGCGGTAGGTGTGAGGTAGAGGGCCAGCCCAGATATTGCGGCCCACCAGTGATGAAGTGCTCAAGAGAAGCAACCATAGTAACGGCCAAGTCGAACCTCGTGTTTGGTCAGGAAGATTGATAAAGGGGATCGGCTTCCCTATTCTTTCAGATCATGCCTGGTCAACTGGCACACGCTTGTCCCTACTCCCAGACCTGACTTGCCTCTCACTGCCTGTGATCTCCGAGTGTATCCGTGAGAAGGCCTGATTTTTGGAATCTGAGCTGAACAAGATCCCATCTAACTGCGTATCTTCTACTTCACGCAATACATTACCTCACTTTCGACCACTCAATCCTACACGATGGGCTGCGGCGACTCCAAGCTTGAACTAAACCCGGGAGATATCTCTGGCACTGAAGGGCCACGCCTGGCTGCTGATGTTCCTCGGCCACGAGTACCCAACGACAAAGTCAACTCGGCGAACACACCTGCTGGATTTGTAAGCTCGATTTTACCCCTTTCTGTTTCCTCTCTGTGATTATGACCTCAGTCAACACACACTAACCTTGTACCCCCTGAAATATAGCAATACAACACTCCCCGCGGCAATCTCCAAATGGAGCGCGTCAACCAAATGGTTGGCCAAGCTCCCGATGCACCCGCCAACCGCCTACGAGAAGGCAGGTTCCCCAAACACTACCGCAACCAGGAAGGCCCACGCGACAACCGCCGTCACAACTTCAGTGGCTTTGAGTCCGGCCGCCCCGGGCAGGACCCGCGCGACCCGCGTGATGGCAGGCTGTACGAGTACCCCGTCAAGACCATGGGGCAGCCGCAGCCCCTGAAGAACACCTTCAACTTCGCCGAGCCGCCGGCCACACTGCAGGAGACCATGCAAGCCACGCAGGCCAACCACGAGCACTTAGGTGATCTGGACTATGAGCCGCCGAACGATCCGGGGGCGCTCCGGGCGGTCACCAATAAGGATGGGCAGGTCATGGGCGTGATTTATCATCCGGCCGGGAATCCGAGAGGTTATGAGCGCGCGAGGATTGAGCCATTGGACGCCCAAGGTCGGGCGGAACAGGCACGGTATAGAGAACAGAAGCTGGCATCATCGTCGACTTGGCCGCGGCGAGGGCCGGAGCCGTCAGTTCCGGAGTAATGTCGTCGGCTGGGAGGCGGACCTGGTGTTGGAGGTTGTATTTTGTGTTACTTTATTTAGGGCCCGGTGCTATGTTTTGGTTTCGATAGGCTGGCCTTGGATCTTATGCCTCGAAAGCGGGCGAGTGTTTGGGTAATCAATATGCTATTCTTTTCGTTGCCAAAGAAGTGCGGATTTACATGGCAAGGACCTTGACAGCCCGTCCCTCGCAGTCAGTGCAAATGTAGGATGCGGAGTCCATCTTGGCCGTTAAAGCAATATTTCATCGGCAACCACGGGTGACGGATTCTGAGTTTCACCCGCCCCGGTGCCTTCCATCCCAACTCACTTTCCGTTCCTTCCTGGAAACATCCACAATCCCCCCATATAACCCCCTCCCGCGGAGTTCCTGCCACCGACCCTCCTAAGAGCCAAACACACCGGTGGATTGGCTCAGCGGCATTGGGAGTAGGTCTGGCCCCGCCACTACCGTCGTAAATCGAAGTGGCCCCGGGTTCGATTCCCGGGACCAGCGAAGTAAAAGCCCCCCGCGGGCTTTTCGTAACCACCGACCACTATCCCTCCGGATGGGGATAGGGTTCCGTGGCGAGCTTTTGTTCGTTTTTCATTGTCATCACTTAGACTTATTGAAGTAAGCCGAGACCGGAATTTCAATCCGCTGATTTGTTTCCTTATTCCTAGTCATCTATGCGTCATCATCGATTTTTTGGGTTGGGCTTGGAAAAATGACTAGTACGACGATCTTGGTGGTTGGGACTACAAACATTACAATAACTCGAGATAGCCTCAGTACTGGATAGAAACTAGAGTCAAAATACCGGCCGCGGGTCAGAGACAAGGTGGTGATTTGAAACATTGTTCACGAGATCCAAAAGTGGCCAGTGTGTAAATACGATAACGTATATTATAAGCGAGTGGATCATATAAGCGAGTGGATCAGTTTCCCCTA